GGTTTACAAGAGGCTGATCTTGAACTTCATGACGCTCTCACCAATTTTGGCGCATCACACATGACCCAGTATAGAACACCAGTTCCTTCACTTGATATGAAGTCAGTTGACTGGGATGCTATGAGTGGTATATCTTTCACTGGCTCAAGGGCTGTAAATGACACACAACCTCAGCATTACCCGTCTTACTCTTACCCAGTCCTTGACCCGCGTGATCATCGTGCGGTAAATCACGATGAAGGGTGCGCTTCACTCGGTAATGATCCATACAGAGCAGAGCAAATACTAGCGAGAAGCTTTAGTACCAGCAGCAGGTACTCTAGTGGGGTCAAGAAAGAAGAGTCTGATGAGTTTCATGATGAGAATCAACCTCCTTTCCTCTTTGATCCGAACAAGGTACAAGATTTCAACGGTGGAGACCAATCGAAGAAACGTGGCGGGGGAAAAAAAGGCAGAACTTGGAATCGTCAAGAATATAGTGATAGAGATCGGCAACAGTTTTTTGATTTATGGTTGTCAACTGTGCCACGTAATGCAAAGGCAGCAGCCGAAGCTTTAGGAATCAGGTACACTACTGCGTCGAATTGGATTAAGCAGTTTCGCGAAAATGGACAGGAGGAAATACCCATGGGTGGTATACTTGGCAGGCCGTATGCTAACCCGTTGACAGAGGAGCATGAAATGCATATCATTTCCTTCTATAATAGAATAACTCAGGAGAAAAGGGCCATGAAACTTGATGAATTGCTCGATGAGCTGACAGCTCGATTTGAGGGTCTTAAGCTCTCCAAGACGGGTTTGAGAAAACAATTGAACGATATGAATTTCAAGTATCAACGCTTGAGCAAGCATGCCGAAAATCGAAACTCTCCCGCAACCATAGCCTACAGGCAGAAGTGGATTGACTATTTGGATCAGTCCGGTGCAAACTATACACGTAATTGTGTGTTTATTGATGAAGCTGGATTTGATGAAAATATGAAGGACAATTTCGGCTGGGCTTTCAAGGGTTCTCATCCTGTTGTTGACATTAAGAACAATGCACCTGCATTTACGTTATTTGGCGCAATCTCGCACGAGGGAATAGTTGATATTCAAGTGAAATATCCAAAGAACTCCAAAGCTTGGCACGAATGTGTCATGCAATGGGAACACCACATCAATACGGATAAACCAAATGATCCAGAACCAGATTGTGCGGAGGAAAGTGCAGGCAGCCCCCAGAAATCTTCAAGTAAAGCAAGTAAAGGCAGACCTCCAAGAAATACCAAGGCATCCAGAGCACGTGCAGCAGACAAAGCGAAGAGAATGACGATGGCAGGGAACAAAGAACTGGATACATCATTACCCGGAAGCTCCAAAGATCACTTCATGTATTTCTTATGGTCATTGATGGATAGGTTGCGCCATAACTCAGCATTTAATCAACAGTGCTTTTTCATTCTGGATAATGCTCGGATTCACAAAGGAGGTGAAATCACCGATATGATCAAAATGGCCAACCAGAAGTATGATACAGGATTCGAAGTGCTTTATTTACCGCCTTACTCTCCGGAGCTGAATCCAATCGAGAATATCTGGTCGATGATGAAGGGAAACTTTGCAGATACAAGACGGAGCAAACTGGTGGATCGATTGGCTTGCTCGCAAAATGGAATCACTCCTGAAATTGTTGCAAAGACGGTGAAGCATGCTACGAAGTATTTTGATCACTGTCGTCAAGGTATTCCTCTAAAGAACTTACATTAGTATTGAAATGCGTCAAGAGTGACCTCCAATCGGAACCAATAAGCTTGCAAAAGCAATCAATAGGGTATCAAACAATGTTCAATTGTACACAATTATACCACAAATTTACTTCAACTCTAAAGTTATCCCATTTGGTGACTAAATACTGCTCATTTGCTATATAATTCAAATACATACGCTGTTCAATACACTGTTTTCATTTCAATCATGTTCAAGTGGGAATCCAAAGCAGCTCAACAATCTAAATTTTGCACCATATCTTAATCAAATCCAATCCAATCTGCAGTACAATTGATTCTCTTCTACAGTGGATGTATAATTTAAGTTCAATTTGAGTTCAAATGTCATTCAATTCCTTGCAAAATTAACAATAATATGCTAAAGCACCAACATTGCTAATACAATTGTTAGTGACTGGTACATTTCTGTAATAAATGACTAGCATTACGAGCACAATCCTTGATGAATACTACAATTTTGTGACAAATCAGATCCATTATTACCACAAATCTTGACAAATTGTACATTGTTGTGATAATTCGTTAGCATTTCTGGTACAATTCTTAGTTAATAATACAATTGTGTGTCAAATCAGGAACATTACCGGTACACTTCTAGACGGCAAGCCCAAATTTGTGATAAATCAAGAGCATTACAAGTACAATTTTTGATCAGTTTTATTGTCTTACCCAATTATATCACAATAATATTGCATATTTGATCCAAATCAGGTACAAAAGTCAAACATTTGAAATGGATCAGTCATTACCAATGCAAGTCTGGCACAATTCTATTATCATTTCTTGCTCAGAAAGCAAAGGAAACTTATTCTAGGTACATTATCTGCTCAATAATACGTACCCGGTGCATTTTATTCGCATTTTGTGGGTATTTTGCGTACAAAAATCATTCAATTCAGGTACAAATCTACCTTGACGCTTCAATATTGTACCATCATTCCAAACCAGTCACAATTGAGGTACAATCCCAACACATTTTGGCTATAATAAGACCTTATTGGTTCAAAATGTGTCTATAAGGTATCCAATTTGAGCTCAAACCTTGCATTCAACGCAATAGACCTGCAATATACATCCAATGACACCTGCTCATGTCACATTTCGGGTACAATCCAGCCACAATACTATTTGAAGTCTCAATTACAACTCAATTGGTGCATAATTCCAATACAATCTTACTTCAAATCCTATTATTCGCTATATTGGATATGCATTTCCTGGCCAAATGTGATACAATATCATTCAATGGAGCTCTAAATTATTACAATACTTTAACATTAGTGGTCAAAAACATGAAGTCGTGCAATATGGTTGCAATCTCAAGCCTACATCAAATATATAACATATCTAGATAGATACTCATCAGATCATGATAATCTGTAAGCCTTGTGTTCCATAAGAACCAGAAAAGCAGCTCAATCGTCTCCATTTGGAATTCATTCTGATTAAAGTCTTAATTCTATGTTAATTTGTGTCCATATATTAATGGATAGCTCACAAAGCTGCACAATTTGCATGCAATCTTTTCTATGTAACTCTAATGCATACCTCACATATGCAATCCGGTTACAATGTGGATGCAATGGTATCAGACACCAATCCAATTCCAACACAATTTGAGATACAAAAGATACCGAGCGAGGATCCAAATATTACCGTCACATGACTCAAATCACGATACAAACTTTACCGACGCATTATTCAAATGTTTCCGACGGGGAATCCAAATATTCCCAGAGGAAATTCAATATTTCCGGTTTTACCTGTAATTATTTGTGACTCTTCGGTATTATGTCACTCGAGAGAAAAGAGCCAAACTATTTTGGGGCGGGACCTGCCCTGATTTCAACCAGCGTGCTGCAACAAGCTGCCCAGGACCTGATCAACTTCCAGGGAATTGGCCTTGGTGCCGGAGAGATCAGCCATCGCTCGGCTGCTGGTGCTAATATTATAGAGAGCACTCGCCAGCATCTGGTCGAGTTGCTCGACATTCCAGACACCCACGAGGTTTTCTTCATGCAAGGAGGCGGAACCACTGGTTTTTCGTCTATTGCAACTAATCTCACGGCCTCGTTCGCCAAGAAGACCGGTCGCAAGGGCACACCAGCATACGTCGTCACTGGAAGCTGGTCGAAAAAAGCTGCCGAGGAGGCCACCAGACTGGGCTTCAACCCGGACATCGTGCTGGACTCAAAGAAAGTCGACGGCAAGTTTGGAACGATTCCGGACACCGACAGATGGAGCATTCCCAAGGATCTATCCAACACCTCGTACCTCTATTTCTGTGACAACGAGACCGTCAACGGCGTCGAGTTCCCAGAGTTCCCATTTGACAAGTTCCCAGGCGTTGAGATCGTCGCAGACATGTCCTCCAACTTCTTGTCCAGGAAGGTTGACGTTTCAAAGTACGGCTGTATTTTTGCAGGTGCGCAGAAAAACGTTGGTCTGGCCGGTATCACGGTCTATATCATCAGAAAAAGCCTTCTTGACCACCCAGCGGAGGACGAGCTGACCAAGCTGAACATTCCCTTGAGCCCTATCGCATTCGACTTCCCGACGGTCGTCAAGAACAAGTCGGCATACAACACGATCCCAACCTTCACTGTACATATCGTGGACCTTGTACTGCAACACCTGATCCGGAAAGGCGGTCTGGATGTCCAGCAGAAGATCAACGAGCAGAAGGCCCAGCTTCTGTACGAAGCTCTGGACGAGTTCCCTAGCGTGTACAAGCTTCCCGTGGAGAAGTCGGTGAGATCAAAAATGAACGTTGTGTTCACGCTGGCTGACGGCTCGGACGCCGAGTTCCTTAAGGCTGCGGAGAAAAGGGAGCTCACGGGTCTGAAAGGCCATCGTTCCGTTGGCGGCATGCGTGCTTCTTTATACAACGCTGTGTCGCTGGAGAGCGTCAAGTTGCTGTGCGACTTTGTGAGAGCGTACGGCGCAGAACGCGCCTAATCAGTCTGGTACCCATTTAGATAATAAGCAATATCGCATTTCTGGTCCATGTCGATGTAGCAGTGTAGAATCGCACCCTGTGTGTGGATGATGAGAGACATTGCGTCGCACAGCTCCATCAGCTTCGCACCAACGTTCCAGTGTTTCAGCTTTACTTTCAGCGACACCGGTCGCAGCACACTCGAGTCCCAGCTCTGCGGCACCGAATCCTCGTCATCGGGCAGAACGTCCAGCTGCTCTTTCCAGTGGACCACTATTTTGCGCTGTTCTTCCTCAATGACAAACTTCAGCTGGCCGGTCTGATTTCCCACAATGGATATCAGGTCCGACGTCCGGTAGCGCTCCAGACGTTTGAGCAAAGGCACGATCCTCATCGGCAGTTTCATCGCCAGCTTCATGCTGTCCATTGCCGGCTCCACGATCCGCAGATCGCTGTCCATCTTGAGCAGACGCACAGGCACGTTGAACGAATGGCTCACGTTCGACGTCATCGAGATCTGCTCGGTGTAAAAAAGCGCGAGTGACGCGGCAGCCTTGTTTTTGATCTCTCCACCGTTGAAAGGCCTTCGTTGCAGGCGTATCACCAGACTGCTGGAGACATTGGACTTCTCGTAATTGCGTAGCACCTGCAGCAGAGGCTCGATGTTGATCTCAAACGGGATCACGTTGTTGCGTGTCGAGTCCACCTCGTAAAGTTGGAATATGCTCGAATCAAGCTTACACCAGATAGTGGGTTCGTTGAGTCCAGAAGACACTATGATCAATTGCTGCTCGGTGAAGCGAAACACACACATCCGTCGCAGTCCAACGAGAAACGAGAGACATTTGCGAAGCTCGACCGGCTTCTCCACAACAACCTTTAGTTTCATGGGGATATAAAATAATTAAATCAATTTATTTATTTATTTATTTATTTAATTTAATATCACAACCCATAGCTCCGTTTCTCAGCCTCATTCAGTTTAGGGAAAAAGTTATTAGGAGACGTCACCAACCCGAGGGCCCGGATTCCGATCGTGTCAAGATTCTCAAGTCCCAATAAATATCCAGCATTGACCCATCCAAAGCCCTCGGTAGCCACTCCTTTGAAATCAGAGCCCTGGTTACCATACTCGGCATCGACCTTGTGTGGCCTCTGCTCAGACGTGGCATCGTATTTCTCAACAACAATGCCGTTAAAATCAACAAATGCAAGTGTGATCAAATAGCACCATCTGTAGGAAAGCCTCTTGGCAATGGATGTGTAGCCGTAGTTCTGCAACCCCTTCCACGTCATGATCTGGTGCGGTGACCACGCATAAGGATAGTCCCACTGTCTCGAAGGCTTGTTCAGCCCAATTTCGCCTCGGGACTCTTTCGTTCCGCTCACAATGCCGCCAAACACCTCGAACCGTGGAAGCGCTTTCTCCACCAGAGCTTTGGCCTGGTCACGTGACGCAAGCTTGGCCCACAACGGGTAGAATGTGGTGGCCGACTCGTACAAGCTTTGCCTGTGTGTCTTGATGTTGTAGTCAAAGTACATTCCTTTGGACTCGTTCCACAAATACTTGTCTATGCGTTTTTTGCGCTCCTCGGCCAGGAACTCCCACTTTTCAGCAGTTTCAACTTGTCCGTTGACTTCCAAATGGTTATTGAAGTATTCGTCAATAATGAATGCAATATCTTTCTCGTATTTGTATAGCAAAGAGTTCAGATCGACAGTGGCCAAATAAGCACAGACACCTTCCAACCGGTAAGATGTATCGTGACCGCTTTCTCTGACGGCGCGGTCGTGGAGGAAGTACTCGTCGAGCTCTGGATCGACGATTTCTCCGTCGTTGTATTTCTTGGTAAACTCTTCGAAAGACACACCGTACTTCTCACAATATGGTTTCAAAACTGCACAGAAGTGCGTGGCCTCTGTTTCTGGAGGAATACCTTTGCCATCTGGATGGTAGCAGGAAAGACCGGTTTCAGGGTCTAGTCTTGGCGGAGCGCACCAGACTGTATTATATTCTTTGATTGCTGCCTTGACGGTGCGCTCCAAAAAGCCCAGGTCCTGGATACCCTTTTGGTCCTCAATATAGTTGAACACGTGCAACGCCATGTCGGTCAAAAATGGGGGCTGCGACCGGCCCAGGTAGTACGACCTGTTTGCGTTCAGGATCTTGCCGTAATTCTCGATCTCAAAGATGAAGTTCTCACACATACCGATACATGGATCCACGATGTCGCAGAGCAGAAGACCGAGAGTCTCGAAGTACGAGTCCCAGCCATACTGCTCGTTGAATCTTCCACCGGGAACGACGTACGGATAGCCCTCCAGATCGCCATATTCCTGGCTGCGTCTGCGTGTGGCCAGTGCCAGAAGACCCGGCTTGTGGTTTATAGACTTGATGTACTCGCCGTCTATGTGTTCGGGCAAGTATTCCACCTGCAGGTTATGTCCCGGACACTTTTTGGCGAGTCTTTGGTAGTATGCGTAGAGCTCGTGCTGGTTGTAGGGGATGTAGACACGAGGAATCCGGGCCTCAGGGGTGTTGATCTTGGTGTCCGAAGCCATGTTTATAATGCTGTGCTCGTCAAGGGTCCGGGTGAGGTTTTTCCAAAAGGCCTTGGAAATGAGTCGTTTCAGTCTGTTAACGGGGTTCTCGTTGAGCCGGGCCTCGTCCAAAATCATCTGCTTGCGGCCCATCCGCTTGGCAATGGTCAGCTCCTGCAGTAGGTTCGAAAGCATATAGGTGCCGCGGATGTCGTACTGCCGGTAGCCGTTGGAGTTTGCTGTGCCCAGCTTAAGCACCTTCGGACCACTGTCCTCGATTGTGATCTGGAAGTTCTTGTCTGTGTCCTCGTTTTCAAGCAGCTCCTCTAGCGTGGCGTCGATGTCGCTGATGAAAAAACGCTTGGAGTTCTTCATGCTCGAAGAGTCATCGGCCGATCCGCGACGCCGCAGAGTCGAATTGCTGCCAACAGAGTTCACCGTTCCGGAGGAAACGCCAGGCAAGTTGTACAGCTTGTGCGAGTTGAGCACATTCAAGTTGTGGTCCCTCACCAAAGACGACGTGGACTCGCTCGGAGAGTGGATGGCGGAGCCAGCCTCAGAGGGAGTCCCGGAGACCGCCGAATCATCCTCGTCGTTTGAGCTGTCGCCCACATCAAACGTGGCCGATCCGTTCGGAGGCGGGGTCGCAGTGGGCGAAGGCGTGAGCTCGCTATATTGGAACAACTTTCTGCTGGGGATGACAGCGGACATGGTCCTTGTTCTGCCGTATCGGGACGCTTTGTTGGACTTCGACGGGTCGGTCTTAGGTCCGTAGTACAGGTCTGCGGTTGCAAATGGATCGACGTCGTCTAGCGACGACTGTCTTCTGTGAGAGGTCGGCATCGCTAAAGAGTATGCAAATAGAATCTGATAGATAAATGCAAAACAGGGGGAGGAGTCCCTAATGAGGCAACCGTGGCGATTACGTAAGCACGGAGAAGGCTCGAGCACGCCGCTTCGGGGGCGCCGCGGGTGGAGCGGGCGATGGTGGTCTGGGACAAGGGTAGGATGAGGGCCCACGCCGGTGGGCTGTCCGGGCACACTGGCTAGCCTGTGGCCAGGGTGCCGTCAGGTTCAGCCAGACCAAGGCGGTTACCCTACGTGACAAAAAAAAAATAAATGGCGAAAAAACACAGATCAACTTAAAAAAAACAACATGAGCGAAGACAAGAGTGTTTCCAGCGTGCCTAAGACCGAAGAGCCAGCCCTGAAGCCGCCTACGGCCAACGTGTTTGCGATGTTTGGAGGCGCCAGCGCCAAGAAGGAGGAGAAGAAGGAGGACAAGGTGGAAAAAGACGACAAAGAAGACAATAAAAACGGATCCAAGAACAAGGAGGGAGACGACGAGGAGGAGGTTCCGGAGAACGACGACATCCATTTCGAGCCTCTGGTCCAGCTGGAGAAGGTGGAGGTGAAAACGAACGAGGAGAACGAGGACGTTCTGTTCAAGATCCGGGCCAAACTGTTCAAGTTCCACCCAGAGTCCAAGGAGTGGAAGGAGAGAGGTACCGGAGACGTCAAGTTTTTGCAGCACAGAGAGACCAAGAAGGTGAGACTGCTGATGAGAAGAGACAAGACGCTCAAGGTGTGTGCCAACCACATCATTGCGCCAGAGTACAAGCTGACTCCGAACGTTGGCTCGGACCGTTCGTGGGTGTACAGCGTGACTGCGGACGTGAGTGACGGCACTCCGGAGGCGCAGACCCTGGCGATCCGGTTCGGCAACAAGGAGAATGCAGAGAAGTTCAAGGAGGAGTTCGAGAAGGCCCAGAAGGCGAACAAGGCCTGAAAAGTAAATAAATACAGTGTGTTGGTGAAGTTAATACATACAGGTGAGCTAGAGCTAGTCGTCCTTGCCGTGGTTTTCGAGCAGCCGTTTGTTTCTGCGTGCGCGGCCGGTCCTGTTCCACCCCCATTTGAACAGGATCCACAGCATCAGCAGCGGCGTGAACTGCGGCCAGAGCACAGACAGGATCTCGACGTCGCAGTCCACGTCGACGGTCTCCCAGAGCATGAAGTCGCTCAGTCTGTACACGCCGGACGTTCGTATGAGCAGCTGCAGCTTGGGGACGCCGCCCGTGTACAGGTGTTCGCTCACAAGGTCCTGCGTGATGTCTTCTGGGTCGTAGCCCCTCGCTATAATATTTTTTATCGAATGCGTGATATCGTCTCTGGCTGTGTACGGACAGCAGATGTTGAGCACTGCGCGCTCGTTGTTTTTCGTCATTTCCTGCGCCTCGAGCAGCGACTCGCGCACGTCGGCGGGCAGCAGCTTGAGGTTGCCCAGAATGCGGATTTTGACGCCGTACTTGTGGCACAGCTCGCCGTTTTCCACCACCTGTTTCATTTTGGACTTGGCCAGCTTCATGAGCCACTCGATCTCGTACTCGCTGCGGCTGAAGTTCTCGATCGAAAATGCAAACACCGTCGCCGCCTGCACGCCGCAGTCGTAGCACACCTCGAGCAGCCGGGCCATGGTGTCGAACCCGGCGCTGTGGCCCTCCTTGGTCTCCATCTTGTTCATCCTGGCGTATCTGCGGTTGCCGTCCATGATGAACCCGACGTGCTGCGGCACGCTTCCGCTCCTCAACACCTGGCAGAGCTGTTTTTTCGTGTACTCCAGCACATGCCGTGTCACTGGAAACGAGGCTATCCAGTCCATGGAAATAAAATAAATATTTAGCGAATATTTTATTTTATTTCAAACAGATCCTGCATATGTCCATTTTGCGGCCGGTTTCCCTCGCTAGACGTTATTCGTCCTTCCAAACGGCCGTCGAGACGGCAGAGAAAATGGTGCAGCCCAGCGCGAGCTCCAAGTTCGACCCCTTCAGCATGGTTTCCAGCGAGATGCGCGTGCTGGCCAAGAACATTGCTACTCTCATTGGCTCGGGTCACCCGACGCTCAACAGGGTGGCCTCGTACTATTTCGAGGCAGAGGGCAAGAACGTGCGGCCGCTGATCGTGCTGCTGCTGTCCAAGGCGCTCGCCAAGATCCCCAAGTCCGAGAGGACGCGGATCGCGATCGACCCGTACGACGTGAACGAGCAGGAGGAGTTCAAGGGGACCCCCAAGGCGTTTTCTTTCGCGGGACAGAACCCGCTCGACTCGATCAGCCCGCTGCGGGTGCTCCACGGCATCAATCCCAACATCCTTCTGAACCCATTGTCCAAGCCCATGATGGACAGAGAGCTGTACAAGGCCAAGGACGCACAGAACGGCATTCTGCCCAAACAGAGACGGTTGGCAGAAATCACCGAGATGATCCACACGGCGTCGCTGCTTCACGACGACGTGATCGATTTCTCGGACTCCCGGCGCGGCAGAGACTCCGGGAACGTGGCGTTCAGCAACAAGATGGCCATTCTGGCAGGCGACTTCCTGCTGGGCAGAGCGTCGGTCTCGCTGGGGCGTCTGCGGAACAGCGAGGTCGTGGAGCTGATGTCCACCGCGATAGCGAACCTCGTCGAGGGAGAGTTCATGCAGCTGAAAAACACCGTGATGCAACCAAACGTCGGCCAGATCGAGAACGGCGGCGCCGTCAAGCAGATCCCGGAGCCCACGGGGAAAGTCCCCGTCGAGGTGCACGAGTACTCTGTCAAGACGCCGGAAACTGTCTCGCACGAGGAAAACGTCGAGGCTGCGTTCCAGTACTACTTGCACAAGACATATTTGAAGACTGCCTCGTTGATGTCCAAGTCGTCGCGGTCCGCCGCCATACTGGCCGGCTGCAATGACGACGTGATTGAAAACTGCTACCAATTTGGAAGAAACCTGGGTCTCTGCTTCCAAATAGTCGACGACATGCTGGATTACACCACCACTGCAGAAATGCTCGGAAAGCCGGCCGGGGCAGACCTGCAGCTGGGGCTGGCGACGGCTCCTGTGCTGTTTGCGTGGAAAGAGAGGCCGGAGCTCGGGCCGATGATCGGCCGCAAGTTCTCCAAGCCAGAGGACATCGAGATAGCAAGAAAGGCCGTCGAGGACGCCAAGGGGGTGGAAAAAACGCGGGAGCTCGCCGAGAACTACTGCACGGACGCGCTGCGCAACCTGCGCACCCTGCCGGACTCGGACGCGCGAAACGCTCTCGAGATGCTCACCAACTCGGTCCTCACCAGATCCAAGTAGCTGTGTACATAGATATAGAGACGTCGATCGACGCGTCAACGGATAAAAAAAAATCAACCTTTTTTATTTTGTATTTATGTTTAGTGCTAGACTGGCGTTCTCTAGACTCCCCCCTTTTCAGCGCATCACATCCACTTCTCGAATGGCCCCTCACAGATTACACAGCATAGTCCCAGCCGATCTGGAACCAGAGCTCACTAAAACGCTCCAGTCCCTGCCCGGGGGAGCGCAGACGGCTCCCGAGGGTGAGGTCGCCGCGGGCACACTCTCGGTGGCGGACGCCCTGGCGCTAATCAATACGCGAAAATACAACCTTTTGTCCATAGACGTGGAAAATTACGAGTGGAAACAGGAACACCTGCTGGAGATCGGGCTCTCGATCTATAAACCATCGTACCAAACCCATGCCCTTTTCCCCCATATCGTCAACTTCCACATCATTCTGGAAGAGGGCCTGAAATACGCCAACAGGAGATTTGTTCCTAATAACCGCCTAAACAACATCACTGGCCAGTCGATCATCGCCAATAAAGCGCAAGCCCAGAATATCATGCAAAAGGTGTTTGACGACGTGGATCTGGCCAAGACGATCGTCGTCGGACACGGCTTTGCGTCGGACCTGCGTCTCTTCAGAAACTGGGGGCTGGAGTTCCCGCAGCACGTGAAAATCGCCGACACCATGAAATTGTGGTCCTCGCTGCTACCGTCCGGAAAGAAAGGCTCGCTATCCTACATCCTGGACAAGCTGGGTATCCCGTATGCTTATTTACACAACGCGGTCAACGACTCGTATTATACACTCGTGGCATGCCTGATGCTGGCGTCGCCAGAAACTCGAAACAACCTGGTGATTGAGGAAAAGCAGATCGACCAGGAAACAGGCGAGGAGATCGCAACTCACCGCGTGCGGTGCTCGCCCCACGACCAGGACCTCGAGCTCAGAGGCCCCGACCGCAAATCAAAACGACGCACCCAGCAGACGTATTTCCACGCTCCCCGCGAGGGCTTTCCCGTGGAGTACGTGGAAAGCGTGCTGAAAGAGTTCCCGTGAATCAGGCCGTCAATATGTCCCTATTCTGCATAGTGATCGACTTGGTCATGTTGCTCACCTTGTATATACCCACCAGCTGCTGGGCAAGCTCGAACATGTTGTTTCTGAGAGAAATGACGATGAATTGTGCGTTTTTCGTGCGCTCCTTGATGTAGTTGGCCACAATGCTCACGTTTCTGAAGTCCAAAGCAGCGTCGATCTCGTCCATCACGTAGAGCGGCGTAGGCTTGTAGCGGTGTAGAGCGAAGACCAGCGCCAGAGAGGAAAGCGTCTTTTCTCCTCCAGAAAGATTGCTGATGTTCTTCCAGGATTTTTTTGGAGGCATCACAGAGAAAAGTATACCCTCCGAGAACGGGTCGAGCGAGTCCACCAGCTCGAGCTCGGCGTTCCCGCCCATCGTGATCATCTGGTACATTTCTTTTAGCGTCAGCGAGATGGTGTTGAAGCCGGCCATGAACTCGTCCAGACGCCGTTTCTTCAGATCCTCGCACGCTTGTTTGAGCTCGTCTCTTTTGGTCACCGACTCGTTCAGATCCGCCTTCCGCTCGTTGAACTCCTTGTATCGTCTTGCGTACTCCTGCAAAATGTCCAGATCGACCGTCATCGACTCGGTTTCTTTCTCGAGCTCCTCGATCTCCGACGCCAACGCCTCGGAGTCCACTTTCTTCAGGTCCTCCGACGAATATTCCGGACACGGAGCCAACAGCCGCTGTTTGATGTCGCAGTCCTCCATCCAGCCAACAAGATCCTCCAGATCGCGGGCTTCTGCGTGTCCCATTTCATTGGTGATCTTCTTGATGTTGCGGTCGCACTGGCTGATGCTCTGCTCGCACTTCTCGATCTCGGTGACAAGCTTGATCTCTCCTTTTCTGAGGTCGGCAATCTTGGACTGCTTGAAATTCAGCTCCTCCTTGATCTCGTCGCACTTCTCCACAAGCTCGTCCATCTGCGCACTCAATTCTTGCAGTTCCTTCTCGGACGCCTGGAATTTTGCAAGACTCGTGTCATAAACCTCACGTATCTGATTGATAGCCGCCTCTGCCTCCTTGATTTCAGTCTCGTTCTCGCTGATCTGGTTGTTCAATCGCGTCACCTGGTTTTTCAGCTTTGTGAGCTGCAACGAGTCGCTGGACTCTTTCTCGTTGAGAATCTCCAGCTTCTGCAAAACAGAGTCGACCTTTGACTTCTGCATTTTCAGTTTCACACCGCCAACCTGCATGATCTTATCCTGAAGCTCGGCGATCTGGTCTTCCAACCCTTGTGACTGGTCTTTCAAATCTTGCTTCTCGGCCTCCAACTTCGTAATCGCCTTTTCCTCCTTAGATATCCGCTCTTCAATCTCGACAATGGCCTTCTTGTTGGCAGAAACCTCTTTGGCTCGCACTTTCGCTTCCTTGGCCTCCTGCTGGTCCATATCGATTTCCAGTCTCAGTTTCGAAATCTCCATCTCAATTTCAGGCAGTCTGTCCTTGAAAGCAGCCAACGCCGTCTCCATCTCGTTGAAAGCACCTTGGGCCTTCAAAAACGCGTCTTCCTTAGTATGGACCTCCTCGACCATCGCATTGAGCTCTGCCTCCGAAATCTCGCCTCCCTTAGTGGTAGCAGACCTCAATTTCATGGCGCCGCTGAACACCCGCGATCCTCCTCCAGACAGCGTGCCGCTCACATCAACCAGCTTACCGTCAAGCGTCACGACACGCCACCTCTTCGCTCCAAAGGCAACCTTGTTGGCCTCCTCCAAATTGCGTGCAACCAGCGTGTTGTACATAGAACTGTAGAACGCCGGCGCAAACTTCGGATCGCAGGGAGTGATCAGGTCAAACAGTCTCGGAACGTTGTTGGGCGTGGGGATTTTGGAAAGATTGAATTTTCTCAGCTTTTCCAGGACAATGAACTTGCCGAACCCAAGATTGTTTTTTCTCATGTAATTGATACACTGTTGCGCGGTCTCGACGGAATCCACAACCATGTCGTCCAACGACCCGCCTCCCGTGGATACAGCAACGTCGTATTTGTCGTCAATGACTCCCAAATCACCTAAACGGCCATGGAATCCTTGCAATCTTCCAGAGTTCTTCAAATGCGTCAATGCCTGGAGAACCCTGTTGCGCGACTTTGTGCTGGTCACTCTGTTTCTGGCATCGTCGAGTTTGTCTCGTAGCACACGGATCTCAGATTCCATGGCTTTCAGTTTCTTCGAAGCATCGCCAACCTCAGCCTCCCCGAGCTGGATCTGCTCAGAAACATGGGCCTGCTCTTTTTGCAAATGCTGGATCTGTTTCTCTTTGGCCTTCACAAGCTCCAGCTTCTCGTCTGCCTTGCCTTCTATTTCTTTCGTTTCATTTAAAAGGTCCTGATGCTTTTGTTTGAGCATTTCCAGCTGCGACGTCTTGATGTCAATGTCAGCCTGCTTGGCACTGATTTTATCTTTCCAAGGCTCCAGCTGTTGCTGCAATTTCTCAACAGATGCAGAAAGGTCTTTGGTCTTGTCTGAAAGCTCGTACTTGATTGCCTCCAGCTGCTCCTGCTCCTTTTTAAGGGCTGAGTTGAGCTCCTCTAGCTGTGTCTGATTTTCTTGCTGGCTTCTCTCCAACTCAGCAATGTTGGCCTCGTTCTCGCGCACCTGAGAAGAGCTGCTCTGTAGCGCCTTGACGGCTTTTTTCTTGCGGTTTTCGTTGTGCTTGATTTTTTCGTCCATCGAGATCTTCTCTCGCTCGATTTTCTTGTGCGCGCTCTTGAGACTCGCAACCTGTTTCTCAACGGCTCTCACCTCTGTGCTCAGGTCGTGATGCTGCTTAGTCAGCTCGTCAATCTCGTCGTTGTGCTGTGCGGTCTGCTCTTTTTCCTTCTCCAGTTTCTCCTTCAGCGACTTTAGGGTGACAGTCTTCTTCTCAAGCAGGTCTCTATCCTTTAGAAGTCGATACTGCAAATACAACGACTTCTTGTCTGCCAGAGCCTTCTCTTTGCGCAGATACTTCAACGCGTTCTCTTTACCGCCTTCGAGATCCTCCTTGGCCTTCTCGACAATCTCGTATCGGTGCTCTTTCTGCACACATATATCGTTCAGATCGTCAATCTCGCGAATGCTGGACTCAATGGTGGCCTTGTACTTTGCCGTGCCGATAATGTCCTCCAGATACTCCAGCAGCCCGTCGTCGCTGTTCCCCTCGGCCTTGGGCTTCATCTGCGCAATGCTCTCGACCTCTCCTTGCAAAATAAGAAACCGCTTGTGGTCAAGGTCGATTCCCTGGTCTCGTAGCAGTGCCTGCATTTCCGCGTAGGTGCATTTCTTGTCGTTAATAAAGTAATCCGACGAGTTGTTGCGGTACGCTTTTCTGGACACCACAAGGTCGGGAACAGAGAGATACTCTGTCTGGAGCTCGCCGTTCTCGTCGTAGCGGTCCAGAACCTTTTTGAACATGATATCGACCTGGCAGAAACTCAGGTCCGGAAACGCCTCCGAGTTGTGGATCAACTCGCTCAGTTTCGACTGTCTCATCTTGGTGGCACGGAACCCAAACACGAAAAGAAGCGAGTCGATGACGTTGGACTTTCCGGACCCGTTGGGCCCGACAATCGCGGAGAAACTCGCATTAAACGGCCCCACCGTCTGTCTGCCCGCGTACGACTTGAAATTCGTGAGAATGAGCTGCTCAATGACCAGCCGGGGCTGGAACTCTTCCTTCAGATCGGGCTTCTGTTCCAGGGCGTACTGGCTGTGCACCAGGGCCAGCGGCTGTTCTGGCTTGAGGGCCACAACCTCGACGCCCTGCTGGTTCAGATCGCGCGGTCCCAACATCTGGCGATTGCCTTTAATCTGATCCATAAACAAAACACGAAAAATAAAAACCCAAACAATTTCTTACCTAAGCATATAATTCAAATTAATTATCAAAAAGCGGAGATGACCCACGAATTCCCTGAATTGCGTAAGTACGACCCAGAACCGTCTAACGCCAGTGTCGCACGAACAAATGAAAGAACACCAGATCCCGCTGCCGTTCCGGGACAGGTGCGCAGGACTGCTGGTCCCGCTCAACAAGTGCCGTCAGGAGGGGTGGTATCTGCCCTGGAACTGCGTCCACGAGAGACACGCGTACGAGGAGTGTCAGTATCTGGACTTCAAGAGACGCGTCAAGGAGCTCGAGGAGCTGAAGAAGGCTCGCTCGAGCTGAGCGGCGTGTGGCCGTCCTATTTATCTATCTATTTATTGGTACCGAATCCGATGTATCTGGTGTATGGATGTGCGGCGGCGGCGGCGGCCGGAAAAATTCGCTCTCGGGGGCCGGCAAAACACCCCACAAATTGTACCCCACGAAAGCCTATTGTCGCGCAAAGTTTGTCCGCACTATTAAAATTTTTTTACAACACGTTCTTCATGTTCGGCTACAAGCTCTTTGGCAAGGACGGCCGAGATCTGTACAAGACTCCGCGGGAGTTCCACGTGCGGGCCCGGCAGGACGTCCAGCGCCATTTGCAGAACCTGCAGGAGAGAACCAGCGCAAAAAGACCCGAAACTGTCCAGCCCGCCACGGAACAAGAGCCCTCGCTTAAGTACGGCTCGTCGCCCCTCAGACGGGCCATCACGGTGTCGTCGCAGGACTCCTCCGACGACGCGTCCACCGAGTCCGAACCGGCGCAGCTCCGGCGCACAAGTACCGTCCAGACGGCCGACTCGTCGCTCTTCAGCCACCTCACCCAAATATACACAAACACAACGCTTCCGACACAGGTTTCCGAGCCGGCGGCTGTTCCCGAGGGATGTATATCGCTTGCGGACGCGCTGCCGCACGACTTCCGAGACTACTATTCGCCCGATCTGCAGACGTTGCGGTTTCCGAACGGACGCCCCACGTTCACGAAACGGGGGCTGCGCGACTGGGAGCTGAACGACCTGCGGTCGCTGCTGATAGTGGACGGGCTGCGGCCCGAGTGGCATGGCAAGGTCCCGCAGGTGGTCTCGCCGTACCCGACGATACCGCTGCGCATCCAGGTTCTTCCCCTGGACGCCACCGACGCGGAGTATGTGCAGCTGCTGGCAAGCTCGGACATCTACAAGGAGAGCCGGTTTGACGAGGATTTCCGGCGCAAAACAGCAAACTACATCGTGCAGCAGGCGCGGCAGCGGCACGCCAGCCAGTTCCAGAGCAGCGTGTTTCTAAAATACGAGTGGAGAAATATCGTGGAGAATTATTTGCTCAACCTGGCAATCGAAAACCAGTGCCGGTACGAGTTCAAGGTGAAGATCAGCGGGCTGAAAAAGCTGAAACACGAGGGCACCCAGCGCGAGGAGGTGCTGTACAAAAAGGCTCTGAAAAACCGCATCGAGCTGACCGACGAGGTCAAGTTCCAGGTCTGGCAGGAGGTCCAGCGGAGCGTGTACAAGAGTTTAGGCAGTGTATGAATAGTGCGAGCGGGAAAGGTTTATTTCTATAGAGTGGATAGAGTAATCTGTTGGCGTACTCTAGTTGTCTGTTTTTCTTATCGCCTTGATGAATGCGCGCTCCTCGCCCAGCACGCCGTACACTTTTAGGAGCTGCAATCTCTCGTCGCCCGTGGCCGTGTCCAGTTTGCTGTCCAGCACGCTCTTGAGCTCGATTTTCATCCCGGCGATCTTTTTGCCCGCCACGGCCACCATCTCGATGCTCTTGTACTTGAGCAGCGCGCTGTAGATTTTGTTGGTGGACAGAAACAGCACCACGAGCTCCTTGACGTCTGCCGTGGCGATCTTCTTACTGAAAAGTGCGAGCTGCTCCTCCAGCACCACCAGCTGGTTGATGATCGCCCTGTACACGCTCAGCTTGCGCTTGTAGAGCAGCAGCGAGTCCACGGTCTCGAGATCGGCGTCGATCTTCATGTTGGAGATCGACAAGTCTTTGATGTAGCCGTTGAGGTCGATTTTGCAGTCGTGGATCAGGTCCACCGACCCGTCGATGGAGTTGCCCAGCTCAATGAAGTTCAGGTAGTCGTTGTTGACGAGGTCGATGAGTTCCTGGTCGATCTCGTGCAGCAGCGACCCCAAAGACCTGGTGAGGTCGTCCAGCGACCAGTACTTGTAGCTCTGCACCAGCAGCTCCGAGGGACTGAAAGGGCCTTCCGGAAGCTTCGTGAGGTTGTACTGGAACGACTCGCGGGTCAGCGTCGAGTAAAACTCCAGCGAGTCGTCCGAATAAACGGATTCTGTCATGGAAATAAAATAAATAAAAATAAATGCGAGCTCTATTTCCAAATAAATCAGCTTAATTTTAATTTTCATGCTCCCCCCTGAGGTTTGGAATATAATCTGCGGCCAATTGTCCCAGTTCGATCTCTGCTCGCTTCTCACAGTCAACAGAGACATCCACGAAATAGCATTGGCCCAGCTGTACTGCTCCATCACCGTCGACTACCACTACACCCAGTTCGACCCCGAATATGTCCAGACCGATCCCTTGCTCAGCACGAGACAGACGTACATCAGAACGAAATCCAACATTACGGCGTTCTTCAAGAGCCGCAGAAAAGCCTTTCTTCGCGTCCGATCGTTCCAGGTGGTGCATCTTCCGCAGGAGTTCATCGACTTCGAGACAAAGCTGGCTGAATGTCTGCCCAAAATGGAGAATCTGGTCTTGTTGAGGATCGAGCAGCCGGTCTCGCTCGATCTGCTCCAGGGCGCCGCCCCAAACATACAACATCTTGCCCTGTCGCTGAACAGCTTCCGCAAGTCGAAACACCAGTTCGCGTCCCTGCCCCTAAAAACACTCGCTATCGGGCCTTCTAACCAGCCCGACAAATTATTATCGAGTCTGGTGAAACACCCGCAAAAAATACAGGGCCTCGAGTTTGTGTGGCCGCACCGCAAAATCAAGCTCCACGACCTCGTGGCGTCCGCAGACTCGCAAAAACTGCCCCTCGATGCCTACAATAACATCGCACACCTCAGTCTCGTGAGCGCAATCGTCTCGCCGCAGGACCAGTTTCTGCGAAAAATCGAGTCCCGCCTCGAATCTCTCTGTTTCATCGACGTCAACGAGATCGGCCAGTCGGGGTCCATTCTCGACGCGTTCCGGCCCATCAAGCTCAAACGTCTGGGCATCGATCTGCGCCAGGGATCCAAGGACTCTGTTGCGCCTTTTCTCGATCGACTGGCTCCAGGCTCACTCCACGAACTCCATCTGGTAATTAGATACAACTGTCTCAAACGGACACCGCTGGAAACGCTTGTGGACCAGTACATCGCCGCCATAGAAAGACAGTCTGCCAGCCTACGCAAAATATCGCTCGAAATCCGGTTCGAGAAAGAGCTGGTGGAAATCCAAGAACAGCTTTCCGAGGCGCAATTCGGCCGCCTCTTCATGAACCACACGTTCCCTGCGCTCGAGTCTCTCCGCATCCAAACACAGTTTGCATTCATTTGCAAGGACAAGTTGACTTTCTTTCGAAACCTTCCTAGACTCCATAAATTATGGATCCTTGGTAGCAACGCGTTTGAGAAACACTGGGGACTGGGAAACGCGTATCCGGGCGTGTTCGACAACTGGCTCAGAATCCAGCATCTCCCTATAGGATTGGTGAACAACGAGCCACGGCCAAAAACGTCGCTCCGCTACATGAAACTCGACGACTGTCTGTTCGAAATAAAGGAGAAAAATGACACCAAAGAAGTCATCCCCAGAGACTCCATAGACAGCTGGTTCGAGTCTCAGACCCGCGTGCGCGCTGTGCGTCCATTGAACTAGTATATACACAAGATACATCGCAGTGCGACACTCATAGCACCCTCGTCACGTCCCCCGTCGGCTTGGACTTTCTCTCTTCTCTCTTCTCGCCCATAAAAGTTTGCGAGTCTTGAAACTCCCTGGCAGCAGCCTCCACTTCCTGAACGTGTCCGTCTGTGTCCCCCACAATGACGAACTTCTCCTTGGTGCTGTCTTGGGGCCTGATTAGCTTCACAGCATGCTGCGGCAACCCAACCGCCCCGTTCTGCAAGACTTTACTCAGCCTCCCCCACGTAGTGTCACTGAGGTTGTACGTTTCCGGTCGGAAACCTTTTGGATCATGTCTGTACTCCTTGATCACTTTGCTCAACAAACTGCTATCCAGCAGCCCGTTGCCCGCCCCCACGAAAGTCCGTCTGGAACCTTCTACCTGCGCCTTGACATCCGCGCCTTCCTCCTGTCGTTTGCGGTTTTTCAAAAGATCCACCGACTCGTGGTTTTTGACAAACTGTTGCTCGCTCACCTCCACAACGCCGAGCGACATTGCTTTTTTCAGAAAAGGGTCATCTCGTTCCACCTGCGGCGGGGTCTCGCGCCTCACGTCAACCACCTTCCCGGGCTTGAAAGACCTGGCCGGCTTGGACACTTTGGATCCCATGAAGAAAAAAAAAATATCTGTGGGGTAAAAAGTATGGACGAGACCGGAGTCGAACCGATGACCTTCTGCTTGCAAGGCAGACGCGCTACCAACTACGCCACACGCCCTCAATTACCTGTCTTACCCGCTAGTACGCTATGAGTGTCGCCATCGCGCGGCTCGGGTACCCTTATCGCAAATCTCCTATCTTGGATTTCCAAATCGGTCGAGACGATCCCTGAATATGCACAAGGAATAATACTTCTGTAAGCACAGCGCATTTCAGTTGGTGCTTTCCATATCTTCCGATCAGCCTGCGATCAAGGGATGGTTGTGCAGTTTCCTATTCGATCAAGATAAGCACGGCGACTTTCCGCGGAAATCGATTCTGCCAAGCTATATATACCGGCCCAAGTCCAGATCCTCCTCTCCAAGATGAAAGAGAGCAAAGAGGACGAAAAACACATTGGGATCATCGAGGTCACCAGCCACGTCCCGGAGGACTTTGTCGACTTCACAGAGGAAGAGGAGAAAAAGGTGGTGCGCAAGATTGACACCTACGTGCTGCCGGTGATGTGTCTGGTGTTCTTTGCGCAGTATCTGGACAAGCAGTCGCTGGCGTATGCTGTGATTGTGGGGCTGCGCGAGGACTTGCACCTGAACGGCCCCCAATACAGCTGGTGCACGTCGGCCTTCTATCTGGCCCAGCTGGCCTCCCAGATCGTGTACATGTATCTGCTCAGTAAGTTTCCGACCAAAATGGTGACGGGAATCTGCGTTATTATTTGGGCCGGAGTGTGCATGTGCCTTGCAGCGCCTGCGACATTTGCAGGCTTTGTCACCGTTCGGGCTTTTTTGGGATTTTTCGAAGGGTGTGTGTCGCCTGCGTTTGTTATCGTCACCAGCTCCTACTACAAGAAAAGCGAGCACGGGCTGCGCACTGCCGCGTGGATCTCCTGCAACGCCATCACACAGGTCCTGGCCACCTTCCTGTTCTACGGCCTCGCCAAGGGAGAGGGCAATCTGAGCATTGCCGTGTGGCGGGTCGGCTTCCTGGTGTGCGGAGCTTTTACGCTCGTGGTGGGCGTGCTCTTTTACTTCATGGTGCCCCTCTCGCCTAAGGAGGCTTGGTTTCTGACCGAGCGCGAAAAGACGATTGCCGTCCACCGGCTGTTGGCGGAGGCTGACCGTGGAGAGAAGAAATCGTGGGACTGGGACCAGGCCAAGGAGTGTCTGACCGACTGGGTCGCATGGTCGTCGTTCCTGTTTGGCCTGATCACCACCATGTGCTCGTGTCCGATCGGGTTCGCCACCATCATCATCAACGGCTTCGGTTATGACGAGTTCAAGACCATGGAGTACAGCTCGCCGTCCGGCGCGGTGCAGTTTGTGATGATCTGGATCGGCGTGGCCATGATCAAGATCGCCCCGAAACAGCGGTGTATTATCATCTGTCTGCTGATCCTTGTCCCGCTCGCGGGCAACATCGTGCTGTACCGGTTGCGCTTCACCGGCGGCTGGGGGGTTATCGTTGGCGGCTGGCTCGGTTCCTGCATAACCGCGTTCTACTCCATCAACCTCAGTCTGAACGCCTCGAACGTGCGTGGCAACACCAAGAAGTCGATCGTCAATAACCTGTACTACGTGGGCTACTCGCTCGCGGCCGTGGTGTCTGCGCAGTGGTGGAACTACACCGCAGACCCAACGTTCACGGCAGGCATCCTCGTGGACATTGTGCTGTGGATCGTCATGATTGCAGGCATGCTGCTGTACAGATGGAAGTGCATAACCGAGAACAAGCGGCGCGAGCGCATCATCGCGAGCGGCCAGGCAGACAACTTCGACGAGTCTCGGGACCTGACAGACCGCCAGGACGTGTACCACCGGTATAGTTATTAAGCTGCAACCGCTGCTATATAAAATTTCGCGCATTCCGGTGCCGGCGTAAATTTTTCATCTTTATGACTCTTCAATCTCTATCATCTCAACCATGTCTTTAGCAGATTCCGTATCGTCTCTGAGCTCGCTGCCGTCGGGCTGGATAGTGCAGAAATTCGGCGGAACCAGCGTCGGCAAGTTCCCCGAGCAGATATGCGAGGACATCGTGAAGGCGTACAACGAGAGCCACCAGGTGGTGGTGGTCTGCAGTGCCAGATCCACCCACCTCAAGTCGGAGGGGACCACCACGCGGCTGCTGCTGGCCGCAGAGTACGCGGCGGACGAGAAGAAGGAGGAGTTCCTGGAGGTTTTGCGGCTGGTGGAGGAGGACCACGTGAACAACGCTCGCGAGAAAATCCAAAGCGCTGAGCTGAGAGAACGGCTCATCAACGAGACCAAGGAGGAGATCGAGCACGTGACACGGCTGCTGGACGCGTGTCTGATCATCGGCGAGGTGAGCGCCAAGTCGAACGACGTGGTGATGGCGTGCGGCGAGAAGCTGAGCTGCCGGTTTATGAGTTATCTGTTGCAGGACAGAGGGGTCAAGGCGCAGTACGTGGACCTGTCGATGGTGGCTTCGGACATGGAGCTCAGCAACGGGCTGGACGCGCACTCGTATAAGCTGCTGGGCGAGCGGTTCGCCGCAGAGGTGCGCCGGCTGCCCGAGGGCACGGTGCCCGTCATGACAGGGTTTTTCGGGCTGATTCCCGGTGGGTTATTGCGTGCTGTGGGCCGCGGTTATACCGACCTGTGTGCGGCGCTGACGGCCGTGGGCCTCGCTGCCGAGGAGCTGCAGATCTGGAAAGAGGTGGACGGCATCTTCACGGCAGACCCGCGCAAGGTGCAAAAGGCCCGGCTGCTCGCGTCGGTCACGCCCGACGAGGCCGCCGAGCTCACGTACTACGGCTCCGAAGTTATACATCCGTTCACTATGGAGCAGGTTATCAAGGCGCGGATCCCGATCAGAATCAAGAACGTCATGAACCCGCAGGGCGACGGCACCATCATATATCCCGACAACATCGGCAAGCGCGGCGAGGCGACGCCGCCGCACCCGCCGATCTCCGTCCAGAACATCCCTGCGTCGGTCTTCACGAGCAAAAAGACCGCCACGGCCGTCACCGCCAAGTCGGACATCGCCGTGCTCAACATCCACTCCAACAAGAAGACGCTGTCGCACGGCTTTCTGGCCGGCGTGTTCAGCGTCCTGGACAAGCACAAGCTGGTAGTCGACCTGATTTCGACGTCCGAGGTCCACATATCGATGGCGTTGCACTACACGAAGGAGCTGAAACATAACTTTGGCAAGGCGCTCGAGGAGCTGAGGAAATTCGGCGACTGCGACGTCACCAAGGACCTGTGCATCGTGTCGCTCGTGGGGATCCACATGAAGCAGCTGATCGGCATTGCGGGCGCGATGTTCAAGATTCTGGCCGACGAGCGCATCAACATCGAGATGATCAGCCAGGGAGCCAACGAAATCAACATCTCGTGCGTGATCGACCGCAAGGACGTGATCAAGGCGCTGAACGCGCTGCACGACCGGCTGCTGCTGCGGGCGTTCACGGGCGGCAGCGCGGTGGACCAGCGGCTCGAGAACCTCAAGCTCGACGATGTAATTTAATAAGGTGAATATAAATTGGTAGCCAGTTAGTTATACAGCCCTAGAACACAAAGATCTGGTCGCCCGCCTTCGACACCGGCCGGGCCTTCTTGAAGCCCAGCTCGTGCGCAGCCTTCTTGAGCGCGCTCGTCATCGGCGGCGGACCGCACAGCAGCACCTGCACGTCGTCCGCGGGTGCGGCGCCGTGCTTCTCGAGCAGCTCCTTGGTTATAAATCCGGTTTCGCCAGCCCAGTCCTCCGGAGCGTTGTTCAGAACGTGCACAACCTTGATATTCGGGTGCTCCTTCTCGATCAGGTCCAACTCCGCCTTCAGCAGAATGTCCTCGGCCGTCACGTTGCCGTACAGCAGCGTCACCTTGGTGTTGTCCTGCGGATTGTTGGTGATGGCCTTGATGATCTGGTACATCGGAGTTATGCCCGTGCCGCCTGCCACCATCACAAACTCGCGCGCCATGTTGGGTGTGTACGTGAAGAAGCCCTTCGGCCCGCGCACGCGCACGTTCTCCCCCAGCTTCAGCCCGTCAACGTGCCGCGAAATGTTGCCCTTCTCGTAGACCTTGATCAGCAGGTCGAAATAACCCTTGGCGTCCTCGTCGAGCGACATCGGCGTGTACGAGCGCACAATCTCCTTGCCGTCGATCTCGGCGCCGATCGAGATGTGCTGCCCGACAGGCAGCCCCAGCACGTCGGTGGGTCTTGGGAGACCGAAGCGGAAGATCGCCGAGTTTTTGGACACAACTGTCTTCTGGATCAGCGGGAACTCCTGGAACTGGTCCGGCTTGAGGATCTTGCGCTCGCGGGCGCCGAGCGAGAAGTAGCCCACGAGCGCGGCCGCGAGCGCGGTCAGCGCAACGAGAATCAGAGTGTTGTCAGCCATGATGTTTTCGACGGGTGAAAAAGTTTATATATGGTGGCTTTACGTCAGCAGGGGTCGAAAAATGTTGCTGCATTGGGTTAAGCGACCCGGAGTGAGAGGGAGGCCGCCGCGAATGGGTGTGGGGCTGCTGCAGTGCGCCGACGCGGGGTCCTCTGGGTCGGTCGCGGAAAAGAGGACAGGTCGGCGGCGGTACGAAGACAAGACGGCCGGCAAGAGCAGGAGCAGGTCGATCGACGCGGAGCTGCCTCCCGCATCGACGCGTCTGTGGCGTCCGCCATGTCAAGTTTTTATTAAATCAATTTCGCTACATGGGAATATGAACAACCAAAGCCCTGCAGACGGCCATCGCACCACACAGTCGGTGTCTGTCGGGTCGCGCACGTCGCGGTCCAGCATGGACCGGCTGCGGTCGCTCGGGCACAGACTCTCTTTCTCCAAGCACTCGCTGCCAAACCCTCCTCCGTACAGCAACCTGTCGTCGTCGCTGAAAGTGCAGCAGACTGCGGAGCAGACGGTGGAGTACGACCCGGAGGACCTGCTGGAGTCGTCGGAGTCGGACTACGAGGAGGAGAACCTCAAGAAGGAGGAGGACGAGAAGGACTACTGCGAGGGCGGATACCATCCGACGTACGTGGGCGAGCGGTACGGCACAGAGAAACAGTACCTGATTGTGCGGAAACTGGGGTGGGGCCACTTCTCGACGGTGTGGCTGGCCTTCGACTCCAAGCACCACCGCCACGTCGCGATCAAGATCGTGCGGTCGTCCAAAAACTACCGGGAGGCAGCCCTCGACGAGATCAAGATCCTGGAGAAAATCGGCAGTGGGCCCGAAGCCCACCCGGGCAAAAAACACATTGTGCGCATGCTCGACCACTTCGTCCACGCAGGCCCCAACGGCGAGCACATCTGCATGATTTTCGAGGTTCTTGGCGAAAATATGCTCAGCCTGCTATTGCGCTACAAGCAGTTTCAGAAAGAGAAGACCGAGGAGTACAAAAAAACCTCCGTTTCCGACGACGAGAACGTGTCGTCCGCGTCCGTGGAGCAGCACATCCACGCCATCAACGACCTCACCATCCTCAAGGAGAGCTACGGCGGGCTGCCGCTCACGCTGGTGAAGCAGATCGCCAAGCAGCTGCTGCTGGCCCTGGACTACCTGCACCGCGAGTGCGGCATCATCCACACCGACATCAAGCCGGAGAACGTGCTGGTGGAGATCAACGACGTGGAGAAACTTGTGCAGATCCTGGAAAAGGACCGCAAGGACAAGCGACTGTCGCGGCTGATGACGTCGCGGAGCCACCAGAACTCCGACCTCGGCAAGACAGACCGCTCGCGCTCGGTGTCTCACCGCCCCAAGCCGATCCGCTCGTCCAAGCCGCTCACGTCGCCGATCGAGACGCGCGGCTCCGTCGACAACTTCTTCCGCTCTTTCTCCTTCAGCCAGCGCAGAACAGGCTCCCACGACTCGCTCCCCCACCTAAAGAGCGAGTCTGCCCCCGCGCTAAACTCGGCCCCGGTGATCCCGCTGCCCACGGCCAGCCCGGCCCAGACAGCCATCTCCCCCCAGGTGATCCCCGAAGAGGAGGAGTCGTCCGAGGAAAACGAGGAGTTTGTCGACGCCGCAGAGCTGCCCGTGCCGTTCCCAGAACCAGCCGTCTCGACCCCATGGCGTACCATGTCGCTCAACAACGATTCGCACCAACCCGTGTCGCGACGCGAGTCTGTTCTGTCCACCGTGTCGCGCCAGTCCTCGACCGCCACCACGGCCGTCGACTTCGACTCCATCATCTCCGTCAAAATCGCCGACCTCGGAAACGCCTGCTGGACCAATTTGCATTACACGAACGACATCCAGACACGCCAGTACAGAGCGCCCGAGGTTATTTTGGGGGGCAAGTGGGGGTGCTCCACGGACCTGTGGTCGCTTGGGTGTCTGATATTCGAGCTCATCACCGGCGATTATCTATTTGACCCAAAGACAGGAAGCACATACAACAAGAACGACGACCATCTGGCGCAAATCATCGAGTTATTACAGATCTGGCCGTCTAAGGACTACTTGAAAAAGTGCAAGTACTCTCGCGAGTTTTTCGACAAATCCTTCCAATCGCTCAAAAACATCTCGAAGCTCAAGATATGGACACTTCATGCTGTGCTCGTGGAGAAATACCACATCGAAGAACCACTCGCTTACGACATATCCAAGTTTTTACTGGCGATGCTAGAGTTCGAGCCCAAGCGGCGCATGGACGCGGGGTCTCTAAGTAATCACCCATGGCTCACAGATTGCTTGGCAGAGGAGCATGTGGACCGCGAGTTTGGGCTGCGAGGGCAGGACATCAAAGGATGGGCCAGCGAATGGAGTGGGTAGAGCCAAATAGAGGCGATATGCATAAAAACTAAATTCTAAATTATTTTTTTTCAAATTACAGTATTTATAACTATTGTTATGTCTCTAGAGCCCGCCACATCGGGAGCTGTCCGATGGAGGTCGATCAGGGGGCCCATGGAGGTGGCTCTATTTGCCAAACAGATACCCATTGGCACAAGGCGATTTGCGGAGCACGTTCTGCGCGGCGACAAGATGACCATCACGAGGGTCACCGAGAAATACATAGAGCTGACAGGCCAGGGTGGGGAGGCTGTTCCAAAAGAGAGTAACTCGCGAATCCGGTTTTCGCAGCCTTACATGGTGGCTGCAGATACGAGGAGACCGGGAATTTACGCCATCACGCTCACCCCGCAGGTAGGAGACGAGTTGGCCGACTGGACCATCCTTGGCAAGGTGAGAGGCGACGCCGTGTACTGGCTGCGCAACCTGGCTGGATCAGGTACTGTCAAAGACGAGGATGGTGTTCTGCAGTATGCGGTAAAGGGTACTGGCGGCGAGATTCTTGAGAATGTGTGGAACATACAGGAGGAGAGACGGGAAGCGATCCAGAATTCGGAGGTGAAAACGTCTCGAAAACAGGTATCCTTATCCTTGAGTTTTGAGGAGGAGGAGGAGGACACTGCCGATGTTCAGATACGAATGCGGCCGATTAAGAGAGTGAAGCGCGTGAAAAAGAAGGAGAAGGAGAAGGAGCAGGGGAACGCTGTGACGGATATAAGTACAACAGTGCCAGAGAGCATACCCCCAACAGAGCAGGCAGAGAAGCATTTGCAGGGGGTGGCAGAAGATGCCTCAGCCACCCCCACTGACCCCACGCTAGAGAAACTGCGCAAGTTTCAGGAGTCGCTACGCCAACCCAGCCGTTCCGCCAAGAAACCGCCGACTCACAACATCACAGAGGAGGGAATCGACGGGCTAAGTTCAGAGGACGAAGATCTCGGGTTTCTTAATCATCGCTGGAATAAATAGATAAATAAACTAATCCTTCATGTTGAGCAGGTCGAAGCTGTCCTTGGGAGTGTTGACAAACGCCCGCAGCTTGAGGATCTCGTCCCGGTCGTACACCGTTCTGTTGAGCGACTGTGAGGACGCCAGGATGTGAGGCTTGACGTACTTGTATAGGAAGTCGGCCAGCTCGTCAGGAACCATGTCCAGGTCCTCGAAAGTGAGAGCGTCTGGGTCCAACTTGTGGTTCATGTCGGATCTAACATAGTAGTCGTAATTGATGGCCGTCAGGTTGGAGTTCAGTTTCTCGTTGAGCCAGCACCAAGCTTTGTACACAAATTCTGGTGTCGGGATCGAGTAGCCTGCGGCTGCTGGGAAGTAGCCGTACATGCCAAGATGACGGATATATTTCAGCATTTCTCTCAGTTCTGCTCTGGAATACGGCTCATTGCCGTGCAGCTCGTACACTTTGCCCGCTGTGGAGTCGTCAAAGCCGATTTTCTCCAGAGCGCCTGCGACCTGCAACCCGTGCGCAGGATACACAGTGCTTCTGTACTTGATGTTTTCTCCGAATCCTTGCAGAGGAAGAAGATCGTTCAAAAACGACGAGTTGCGGCCGTACAGCGGTCCAGGACGCACGATCGTCACGTCTGGAAACGCCTCTCTCGCAGCAATCTCCGACTGGCCCTTGGTAGCAAAGAACTGCGACTTGGAGTTCGGGTCGGCGTTGTAGCTGGAAACATGCACCAGTCGCGGAACCTCGTACGCCGTGCAGAGCTCTGCAATGCGTCTGATCGACTCCACGTTCGCGTCCTCCATCGAGAAGTTCTTGGTGTTCTGGTCCGACCCAATGAGGTTGAACACGATATCCGAGCGACAAACGCTCTCCTCCAGCGACCGCAGGTTCCTGATGTCGCATTCTATGTAGTTGATGACTCCCAGGTCTCCCATTGGCTTGAGCTGTCTCTTGGCCATCTCGTTGCGGAACGGACACACCAGAATTGTGCCGTGTTTGGCCAGTTTCGCAACAAGGAGCCGGCCCAGAAACCCTGTTCCTCCAAAGACGGTGGCCGTGAAGCCTGTTCTGGACGAGCGGCCGCCCGAGCCCTGGAGGATCCGCGTCTCGCCCCGCCGGGTGATGGAAATGTCGCTTTTAAAGGGAAAACGGTGCACGCGACGAACAAAGGACAGGGACATGGTGATAAGTATTTATTTCTCTACTCCACTTTTTATATCGACATCCTTGCACAGGATTTTTGAGATGCCAGCGAGGGCCGTGAGAGTGCCCTATTGACCAGTTCCAGACCACCGCTTGCTGCCACAACCACCTGTGCCGACTATTACACGTCTATTTTCGTGTCCTCCCTCAGAAGAAGATCCTCAGCACCTCAAGGACACCGCCACCAACAAGCAAGAAAACAAGCAGGACTGTCGTTAGTACTTGTGCTCAGCAGCCGTCGCGGTCGCTTCACTTACCAATCCAGCCCGTCGACAACGGAAGCTGATTTTTCTTCTGCAACTGTTTGGGCTTTCCCACCCGCTTTTCGTTCTTCTTCGCAAACTTCTGGTTCGCCTTTCTCTGTTGCGGAGTTTGAAGAGCCTGGTGTTAGTCGTCAGCAATGGCAAATAATAACCATATCCCACGTACCATCTTTTGTGCGCTGGTAAATATTTAATTCGAATATTTCAATTTATTTGTCTAAAAAAATATATTTTTCCATTTTATGACCATCACTTTCTCCTACCCCCGCGAGTTTGACGCTTTGTCCCTCGATCCTCCGCATTTCCGCTCGTCGCTTCTTGCATGGGACGCCGACGGAACGCGGATTGCGTGCGCCCGCACCGACAAGTCGATCAAAGTCGCCAGATTCGACCCCATCAGACAGAAGTTCGACGACTCTGTCGTGATCACAGCAGCCCACGAGTCCCCCGTGGCTGTCCTCATATGGGACCCCCGCACGAACGCGCGTCTGACCTCCATCTCGACAGATTCCACCTTCAAAGTGTGGGAAATCAAAACAAAAGCCCACAAACTGGTAAGGTCCTTCAAACTCCCCAACACTGCCCCCACGCTCGCCAAATACTCCCTAGACGGCAGATACCTTGCCATTGCAGACAAAGAAGCCACCCTGCTACTACTGGACTCGTCCACTCTGCAACTGAACACTGCGATTTCCCTAAAGATGAGCTCCCGGATCGGCGACATAGACTGGCACACAGACTCCAAAACTCTCCTTTGCGGACTCGCAGACGGCTCCCTGCAGCTTTACCGGGTCCGGAACAATAACGGCCTCCACGCAATCGAACTTATCCAGTCGCTGCATCTTGCAGACTCCCCAATTGTCTCTATAAAATACATAGCGGACCGCAACCAGATCCTGGCTGCGGCCCTGGATGGCCAGCTGCCCGTGGTCGACGCACAGCTCCTCATCTGCACAAAAAGCCTCTACAATCTCGACGACGCACCCGTCTGCATCGACATCCTTACACCGGCTGTCGCGATAGGCTACCAAAACAACAACGCTCGTATATTCGATATGGACAGCGAGGAGGAGGTGCACGAGGTGAAGAACAGCAAAGGCGACGGCGCGCTCGCCAGGTTCCACCCGCAATCCCGCGAGGTTCTGGCCTATATTGACGGTTCCGGCAAAGCTACCGTGATGGTGGCCAAGAAGAGAACGGGGCCTGCCCGTGCCCAGCCGCGGCCTGTGTCGTCAAGAGGCAGGGGTCCTGGTCTATCAGGGTCGTCAGGTCCGTCCAGAACGGTCCGCTCCGACAGGTTCGAGCGGCCCAACGCCAAGCGTCCGAAATATTAGATTCTAGTGCAGTCTAGCCGGCGCTGGCAGCACCACCTGGTCCAGCTGGTCCAGCTGGTCGCTGGAGTCCAGCGGGATCACGAGCGACTGCTGAGACGGCATGCTGTTTATGTCGTTGTATGATGGTGGGGACAGAGCCCCCACGGTGTGGTAAGTTGGCGGCACCTCGTCGTCCCACGCGACTCCGAGACCGGATCTTTCTGTGAGGACGAGCCGGAACTGCATGCGCAACACCCTGGCAACGCCTGTCGGGATGCCTGTCGTGTGGTTGAGCGGGTCGCTGCGGTTGCCGTTCACGTGATCCGGTCCCGTGCCGCCGTCGTTGTGTTTGGCGTTGGTCGAGTGGTGTGTTGCGCCGGTTCTGTTTTGAGACGAGGTTCCCGTTTGCGTGGGGGCGTTGGTGATGGTGCTCAGATAGGCCGACGACGGCGTAGAGCGGATCGGCTGCACGTTGGTGGCGTGCATGAGCTCCTCGGCCACGATGACCTCCAGCACCAGGTTGTGGTGCACAAAAATGCCTGTTTCGTAGTCTTCTATGTCGCACGCGCAGTTGACTCCACTTTGGGGCTCCAGGCTGAAAATCGGAGACTCGCAGTTCAGCGAGTTGATGGCCGACAGGTTGGTGAGTGAAACGTTGAGTCCCATGGAAATAAGGTCCATTAGAGAAATGTCGGCCACGATCTCAATTCTGCCCTTATTCGAGAAATCGCTCTTCCAGCCCGACTTGAGCTCGCCAGACTTGATCACGCGGATCTCCTCCACGTACAACGGCGTCTCCGTGGTGGTCTGACGCGGCAGCAGGTCGTTGCTGGCGACCGTCGACAGCGACGGTGTCATTTGCGGCGTGCTCTGCTGCGACGCCTGCGGCACCAGACCTTCGCTTCCCGCCTGCACCGACCACGTGGATGCGACCGGCACGAGATCGGGCGACACAGGCGGCGACGTGTTTTGCGCAGTCACGTCGGTCGGGTCGTCGTTCTCCTCTGTCGGCTGTCGACGGGGCGGGTGCTCAAAATAATAGTTGTACACCGGCTTGCCGGGCCCACCACAGTTTTTGTGCGGTTTCTTGCCGCGGTACGCGCGTTTGGTGTTGTCGACCGTCGCGGCGTACTTGGCCTGGTGGCTGTCGCAGTGGTTGGCGCGCACACGGATGATTTCCTCCAGTTTCCAGTTCAGCTTGCGCATTCTCCAGCGTCGTTCCGGCGAGCACACGTTGTCCATGCGGATCTCCACAGGGAAAGTGGACTTGGGATACGCAACGTTGGGGATCACGGCGGTGGCGGTGACCTCTGTGGGCGGGAAAACTCTGAGCGAGTTGCGATCTTGACCTCTCAAAATCGATCGCCGGATCATCACCGGCAGCGCAATATTAATGTGGTCCGGTCTTCCCTGCTTGTTGATGAACCGCGCCTTGCAAACCAGCTCGTAGCGGATCGACGTCAGCGACGTGGACAGAACCGACGTGGCGGGAAGCGTCCCAGGCACCAGATAGCTGAACGGGAACGCATGGGAGGAGCCTTTGGCGAAACCTGTTGGACGCGAGAGAACGTCCCAACGAGCGAGCTCTGTGATCTTGCGGCGACACTCGCCACACGAGTCGATCGTGTTTGAGCCGGCAATGAACGGCTTTCCGTAGTCGATGATCTGTATAAAAGATAGTGCCACCTCCTTCACCTCTGCGTAATTTTGTCTAATACTTGTTACGGCAGTGCTCAGCGAGATGGTGGACTGGATCGACTGGCTCGAGGCGATGCCTTCGCTCTGTAGCTGGCCGATATGGTCGGGAAACACGTCCAGAACCACCAGGCCGCTGAAAATCGCGCCAGAGCTGCGTTCCGGCGGGCCGTATAGCATCAGAGGCGGAGACTCTATCTGGATGGACAATTTGAGCCCTGCCTGCGGGTTCGCCTTGTTTATGGTGTCTGTGTGGTATGGGTCGTTGGGTCTTGTCGAGGGCGATTGCGATGGCTCCTGTTTGACGGCATTGCTAAGGCCAGAAAAGAGTCTGGTAAATGAGGGCATGGGCTGACAGTGAGATTTTGCGAGAAATAATTATTTTATTTTATTTTATTTTATTTTATTATTTATTCAATTGATAAAGCACTTCTGCGCCACACGAGAAAAAAAAAAAGTTTGTGGCTATTACGACGCGTTGTGGGATCAAATATTTATATTTATTTTCTATATCACCTCTTTGCAAATAATGGCTGTTTCCAAAGGGCTTCAGACCCTGAAGTTCAAGGACGCACTGGTGTCCACGGTCGATAAACCCATCGCCACCAAAGAGCTGATCTCGCGTCTCCAGGACCTGCACAACGAGCTATCCTCGCTCGACCAGGACAAGGTCGACCTCAAGTCGCTGGAGGAGATTAAGGACTCGCTGATCAACAAAAAGCTGCTCAAACACTCCAACAGCGGCGTGCAGGCGTTCTGTGCCTGCTGTCTTGCCGACGTTCTTCGTTTCTACGCCCCGGACGCCCCCTACAACGCTTCCCAGCTGTCGGACTTGTTCAAGCTGTTTTTCTCTCAATTCAAGCAGATGGGCAACCCGGACGGCCCGTTCTACCACCAGCAGACGTACTTGCTGACTCGGCTGGCCGAGACCCGCTCGATTGTGCTGATCACCGACCTACCCAACGCAGAGACGCTTGTGGAGCAGCTGTTTGACATATTCTACGATCTGGCCTCGTCCGGGACGTTCAGCAGCAAGCTCGAGCCGCTCGTGTGCGAGGTGCTGAGCGAGGTGATTGCAGAGTCCAGTACGATCCCCACCAAGACGCTCAAGCTGGTGCTGAACAAGTTTCTGGCCAACACCATGGTGATGAAGAAGGGGAATACGACTCTGCCGGGGTTCAAATTCACCTTGGAGGTGTGTAATGCCAACGCCGACAAATTGTCGCGATTATTGACCCAATTCTTTTCTGAAACGATCTACGAGGCCACCAAGGGCAAGGAGAACGAGGACACCGAAGACGACAAACAGGACGTGTCTGCATTGCTAGCGCAGCTCAAAAAGTTGCACACGCTGGCATTGGAGCTGTGGAAGTACGTGCCCGAGATGCTGTCGTCGGCGATGGGTCTGATTGAGAACGAACTGGACGCCGAGGACGAGAAAATCAGAATCACTGCTACCGAGACGATTGGCAAGATTCTCGCGGTCAAACAGCCGCGGCTCAACTTTGCCGCCGCGCACACCGATACCTACACGAACTGGCTCAAGAAGCCGCTGGACAAGTCGCCGCACGTGCGCAGTTTCTGGGTGAAATCTGCCGTGCAGGTCGTCAACACAAACCCGGACCTTGCTGCCGAGCTGGCGGGCGGCCTGATCAAGACGCTTGTTGACAGCGATGAGCGCACGCGGCTGACGACGGTGCGGGAGCTCTCGAACGTGAGTCCGGGCGTGTTTGTCTCGAGACTGGCCAACAAGAGCATCATGAGTACATTGGGCCAGCTAATCAGAGAAAAACACGCCGAGATTAGAAGCTCGTGTCTGCAGCTGCTTGGCACGCTGTACAACACACATTTTGACGATATATACAAGGAAGACAGTGTGACCGAGCTTTTGGGCTGGATCCCCGACGACGTGCTCAAACTGGTGTACATCAACGACAAGACCGTCAATGCGCAGGTCGACCACGCGCTTTTCGAGCTGGTGCTGCCGTTCGAGCTGGACGACGCCAAGCGCGTCGACCGTCTGCTCACCGTTACAGAGCATATCTCGGAGAAGGGCAGAAACTCGTTCCATGCGATAGTCAAGCGGCAGCCGCAGATGGCCAAGGCGGTGAGTCAGCTGCTCACTCTGGCGGACATGAAGCCGGCCGACGAGGTTGCCTCTAAAATCGATAAGCTGATTAACTGGCTCGTGGCCTCGTTCCCGGAGTCGGTGGACTGCCGCGCAGCATTGAAGCAGCTGGTCAAACTCAACAACAAGCGGTACTTCAAACTGATCAGGCTGTGCAGCGATATCGAGACAGACTACAAGACCATCGCGAACTGCACTAAGGAGCTTTTTGGCAAGCTGAGCGAGCTGAAGAACATCAAGGTCGACGGAGAGCCGAGCGTGGCTCCGCACGACATGCTGTTCACCGTGAAGCTGCTGGTGTACCGCTCGTCTGTGATTTTCTACAACCAGAGCAACGTGGGCGAGATTCTGCGGATCAGCAAGGACCTGGCGCACCCGCACAACGTCGCGGCCCAGGACGTGCTGGAGAACATCTCCACGGTGGTCCCGGAAGTTCTGCGCGCCAACATCTCGACGCTTACCCAGGAAATTAGTTTGGGCGAGCCAGTCAGCGTGAAGGACCTCAAGGCTATCTTTCAATTTGGAAAGAAGTTCCCGGAGGTTATCACCACACAGAATTCCGATGAGTATGTTGCCAGCCTGAAAAGACTGGCCGTTCGCGGTTCGCCTGCCGAGGCGAAGTACGCCGTGCGGCTGCTGGGCCAGTTGCCACGGACGGCCGCGCGCAACGCCGCGGTGGCTGCGCTGGTTGACGAGATTTGGCCATTGGACCCGGTCAAGGACAACTTCAACACGTGTCTGGCGACTGTCGCGGAGCTATTTCTTACGGACCTTGCTCTTTTGGACGACAAAACCAAAGAGATCAGCACGTTACTTGCGTCGCAGATCCTGCTCAGAAACAGCACCATCGGCGACGACGACGACGACGACGCGAACGGGTGGATTGGCCCCGACGAGCTGGAGACCAGCAAGGACTGTCTGTCGAAAATCCTGGCCGTGCGGGTGTTTGTGAACTGGCTGATTGCCGTGGAAACCGCAGAGAACGCCGCGCAGCTGGCCGAGCCCGTGCTCAAGCTGCTCACGTCGATCATCGGCAACGGCGGCGAGATCGTGTCTCCTAAAACAGGCACGTACCCGACGCCCAAGAAGTACCAGGCGCGGCTGCGGCTGGAGGCCGGCGTCAAGCTGTTGAAGCTTGCCAGATACTCGCGCTACAACTTTCTGATCCAGCAGGACCTGGTGAACAAGCTGGTGCTGCTGATCCAGGACGAGAACGATCACGTGCGCGCGCTCTTCATGGCGAAGCTCAAGAAGAACCTCACTCTAGGTCTTATTTCAGAGCGGTTCTATGCGCTGGTGTTTTTCATCGCCCACGAGCCTCACAACGTTCTGCGCGAGGACACAAAGACCTGGGTGCGGTCGATGCACAAGCGCAAGCTCAAGGCCAACAAGAACGAGCTGCTATTTGAGAAATCGTTTGTCAGAATGCTCAGCATGCTGGCGCACCACCAGGAGTTCCTCGAGCTGCTGGAGTCTGCCAGAACAACGTCAGACTACACCGCCGTGCTGAGCTTTGCGCTCACCTATATCGGCCTCGCGCTCGACCTCATTGCCAACACAAACAACGTGTCGCTGCTCTACTATCTTGCCTCGCGAATGAAACAGTACAGAGACCGGCTCACTCCAGAACTCTCCGGCAACATGTACCTGGTGTCTGACCTGACGCAGTACACGATCAAGGCATTGGCGAAACACAAGAACTGGAGCCTGGCGACGTGGCCAGGCAAGCTGAGTCTGCCGGGCGACCTGTTCGAGTCGATCGGCGACTCTGCGCGGCTGCACGAGCTCGCCGTCCAGTCGTTCATCCCAGAGTCCGCTGCCAGGACGCTGGACGAGCTGGTGCGCGACCGGACGCGGCATCTGGCCGGCACAGCAGCGGCAGCTACCACCGACCGCAAGAGACCGCACACCGACGAGAAACCACGGACAGCGAAGAAACCGGTCGTGGTGGAGCCGCAGCGTCGCAGCTCCATCCAGCGCGCGGCTGTCAACTACAACGAGGATGACGAATTCTAGTTTATGGTACATGCAAACACTGCCACGCTACGACCGCAGAAACTCCAGCAGCTTGTCGTGGCCCTTGATCTCCATCAGCTTCTTGACAATCAGCAGCTCGTGCAGCTCCTGCTTCGACAGCTCGCTGTGCTCGAGGCGGTACTCGTCGTCGATCTGTTTGAGCAGCTCGTCCAAGTTCAGTTTTTTCTGCCGGTTCGTGATGATCGAGCGCTCGCTCAGCTTCGCCACGCCCCACAGGTAGTCGCGCAGCTGCGGCGCGGCCCGCTCGTACAGCCGCAAGTTCTCTGTGTCGCGCACCTTCTGCTCGTGCTGCTGCTTGTGCTTGGTGCCCTTGAGGAAGTCCAGAATAATGGCCTCCTCCTTGATCTGGTACGTCACGTTCTCGCTCTCCTCGGCCTTGCCGATCCTCACCAGGTCCCTGTTGAGCTTGTACGCGGCGCCGTTGTCGGTGCTGCGGAACTGGAACACCGGGTCTGGCGGGAATGTGTCCTCCAGCTCGCGCTCGTCCACGCTATAATCGTCCACGTTGATAATGTCAATATTCGCGTCCGGCGGCGCCTTGAAATCGCGCGTCATGGCCACGGCCACCTTCGGCTGGTGTCTCAGCTTGCGCCGGCTCTTGTTCACCGTCTCCACGTGGTTCGGACACATCCACTTCGACCCCAGCAACTTTGCTGACGTAAGCGGCGGGTCCAAGCAGTCGAGGTGCCATGCCAGCGAGCAGTAGTCGCACCGTGTGAGTTGGCGGTCGTTCAGCCCGGACTTGTCGCACTTATAGCAGAACAACGGGTTACCCTCCTTGTCGTACACGTTGGTGAGCGGGTCCTGGGCCTCTGCGAGGAGCTGGCTGTAAGACTTTGGCGGTTTCATGTTGTCGTCCTCGAAGTCGCCGTCTTTGCTCATGGTGACGCCCTCGAACGCCTCGGCCACTTCGCGCGGCAGCCGGAACGCGAGCGGGTTGTGTGTGTTCAGCTCGTCCAGCAGCACAGAAAATATGCCGATGTGGCTCTTTTTGGGTTTTTGCCGGCTCGCCACGCACTCGTTGCAGTACCAGTGGTCCGGCAGGTCGTCGTCGCTCGCGGGCGGGTTGAGACACTGGAAATGGAACGACCGCGGACACCCCTCGCAGCACAGAAACAGGCCCGGCAGCCCGCACGCGGCGCAGAAGTCCTGGTTGTGGACTGTCGGGTCGTCGCCGGGGCCTGGGTCGACAGAATCCGCCGTCACCGCCAGCTGGCCGTTGGTCTTCTTGCGCGGCGACTGTTTCACGCGTCTCGACAGCGCCGCCGTGCTGCCCGCCGTGCGACGGCCCCGTTTGCGCGACCCCGGCCGCGACTGCCCGTTCGTCTCCACAGGCTCCTGTGGCCGTTTCCCCACAGGGCGCAGCGCTCTGTGTGTCGCGTCGCGCTCCGTGCTCAGCCGCGTGAGCTCGTCCGACCGCCGCGTGCTCAGCCCGGCTCTATACTTTAATTCCTCAGCCTCAAACGCCTCCTCGTCCTCCTGATCCAGCGAGTCGGGTGTAGACGACCGTTTCGGTCCTTTCCCCTTTCCGCGGCGTCTTCCGCCAAATGCCTCCTTGCGCACCTTCACCGACGGCGGCTCTTCCAGCGGCTGTCCCGTCACAGAGCTCGCCGTCGTCGGCGACTCGTCCATGGCCCAGTCCGGCCCCGATCCGTTGGCTTCGTCCTGTAGCGGTTTTTCCGTGCTGGGCGGCCCGTTGCCCGCCGCCGTCGCCTCTGGCTCCGTCTTCACGGCCGCGCCCGGCGTCCTATCCCGCAGCTCGCGTCGCACCACGGGCCTGTCGGTGTTGGCGCCCTGTATCCTGATGCGAGAAGTGTATGCCATGGGATTTAGGAAGAAAAAAAGTTTGAAAAGTTGCGTCGATCGTCGCGGACCAGCAAACAGAGACTGCTCGCAACACACATTCAGAGGCACTCAGACACCATTTAGTTCGTCCAACTCCACCTCTACCTGCACGCAGCACTACAGGGCACCTCACCAGCTACAGGCCAGTGCCACAATAAAAAAACTAGCTACCTATTTCTGACTCACGCTCACATATTTAAGGAGCCCAAAGCAGTAATTTTCAGATATGCGCAAATTCTCCTCAGCTTCCAAGATCCTAGATAAATCGCGGTTTGTGCCCTCCGTGGGCTCGTATCCGCAAGGATACAATGTCGGGGCGCTTGCCACGGGCGTCAAGAAGAACAACGCGCTCGACCTGTCGATCCTGGCGTCGTCTGTGCCGGCGTCGGCGGCCGCAGTGTTCACCACCAACAAGTTCCAGGCCGCACCGGTGCTGGCGTCCAAGGACATCCTCAGCACGACGGGAGGCGAGAACATCAGCGCGATCGTGGTCAACAGCGGCTGTGCGAACGCCGTGACCGGCGGAGGCGGCCTCAAGGACGCCTACACGATGGTCGAGACGGTGGGCCGCGAGCTTGGTGTTGGCTCGCGGTCTGCCCTGGTTATGTCGACCGGGGTTATTGGGCAGCGGTTGCAAATCGATAAGATAACCAGAGGCATAACCGAGCTCGTGGGCCCGCAGCTGGGCTCGTCGCACGCGCACTGGCTCTCGTGTGCGCGCGGCATCATGACCACCGACACGTTTCCCAAGCTTGTGTCCAAGAGCTTTGAGCTCGACGGCGTGAAATACTCTCTTGCCGGGCTCGCCAAGGGCGCAGGCATGATCTGCCCCAACATGGCCACGCTGCTCGGGTTCTTCGTCACGGACGCCCCGATAGCTGCTCCGGCGTTGCAGAAGATGCTCAAGCACGCGACCGACCGCTCGTTTAACTGCATTTCCGTCGACACAGACATGTCCACAAACGACACGATCGCGGCGCTGGCCAACGGTGTGGCTGGAGGAGAAACTATAACCGAGGGCCACAGGAACTACGACGCGATCCAGACGGAAATCACCGCTTTCGCCAAGCAGCTGGCCCAGCTGGTCGTCAGGGACGGCGAGGGCGCCACCAAGTTCATAACTCTCAAGATCCAGGACGCCCTCTCCTACGAGGACGCCAAGACGGTGGCCCACTCCATTGCCAACTCCTCGCTGTTCAAGACCGCGATGTACGGCAAGGACGCCAACTGGGGCCGCATTCTGTGTGCCACGGGTTATGCGGGCGTCGAGGTCAACCCGGCGAAAACCAGCGTCTCGTTTATCCCAGCATCTGGCCCAGCACTCCAGCTGCTAGTCAACGGGGAGCCAGAGACGGTCGACGAGGCCAGAGCGTCCGAGATCCTCGAGCAGGAGGACATTGAGGTGCACGTCAGCCTGGGCACCGGCGGCGGTTATGACTGTGAGTTTTGGACTTGCGACATGTCGCACGAGTACGTGACAATCAACGGTGACTACCGTACATAGAGTTATATTTTCTCCCCTGAAATAATATTATTGAAATAATATTTATTTATCTTTTATTTTTGTTGTCATGTTTGAGGGCTCCTCGGGCGGCCAGCCGCCCCCTCAACAACAGATGACGCCCCAGATGATTATCCAAAACCTCATGCGGATGGACCCGCAGCAGCGGAACGCAGTTATAATGAAAAACCCGCAATTGCAAATGTTTCTCCAGCACTACGAACAACAAAGGAAGGCCGCAATGAACCAGTCGATGAACCCCCAGATGCAGGCCAAAATCATCCAGCAGCAGCAACAGCGTCAGATCCAGCAGCAGAGACAGCAGATATCCGGCCAGGTTCCAGGCCAGATGCCGCCCCAGATACCCACGCCTGTGTCCGCACCGCAGATGGCCCAGAAAAAACCGGGCATGCAGGCCCAAAAACGCATGGTGCGTAAACGGAGCTCGGCGGAAGACCCGCTCGGTCCTTCTGGAACGCCTGTAGGCTCGCCCGTCATACCTCAAGGACCGCATCCAGGTCAGAACATGGGATATCCGCCAGGTGCGCAACCTGGACCAGTGCCCCCTCCAGTCGCACAGGGCCCGCCGCAGCCGGTTGTTCCTCTCTCTGAGAGAATAGACGATACTCACAAATGGTCGAAGACATTAGAAAACGAGGAGAAAGAAGTGCCTACGTCGATCAGGGTGTACGAACAGCTAATCGAACGCGATATGGACTACGACCGTCGCTCGGTGGCCGAGACCAAGACACCTTTTAATGCAGAGCAGTTGCAGACAATGGCAAGGGGTCTCAAATTCTACCAGACCATCAGAGACTCCCGGCTCAAATCTATCGCGTTGACGGAGGCCGGCAAAAACGCAGAAAGTATTTGGGGCGACGGCTACTCTGGCTACGGGAACGGTTTCAGCGCAGGCAAGACCCGGCTGGTCCTTCCTAGAAACCGCAAGAAACACTCGCGCGTGCCCGACGATTACATACCTCCCGAGACGTGCGAGAAACAGGCCAATAAGCCAGAGGAGCTTGTTCCAATCCGTCTGGAGTTTGACGTGGACAGAGACTCTTTCAAGCTGAACGACACTTTTCTGTGGAACCTGAACGAGGGAACCGTCTCTGTGGAGCGGTTGGCACAGATTCTGATGGAAGACTACAAGTTTCCCCAGGGACAGTCTTCGAACGTGGATAAAATCGTGAACAGCATCAAGGAACAGATTAATGAGTACCATCCGATGGTGTATGGCGAGTTCAAGGGCTCTGATTTGCGACTACCGATCTCTGTGGATATAACCATCGGCAATAACCAGCTGGTGGACAAGTTCGACTGGGACCTGGCGAACCCGGATAACGACCCGGAGGAGTTTGCGAGGGTGATGTGCGAGGAGATGGCTCTTCCGAACGAGTTCATGACGGCCATCTCGCACGCGATCCGCGAGCAGTGCCAGATCTACGTCAAGTCGCTCTTTTCCGTCGGGTACAAGTTCGACGGGTCGCCGATCACGAGCGACGAGTTTAAGGACCTCAACCGTTCGCAGATCGACAAGGACTCCGTGGTGAGGTCGCGCCATCATTTACAGGAGTACACGCCGTCGTTGCAGGAGATCACGTTCGACGCATTGGAGAAAATCACCAAGGAGAGAGAAAGAGAGTCGCGCAGAAAGAAGCGTGGCCAGACCCGTGTTGGCCGTCGCGGAGGAATCGTGCTGCCCGATCTCCACGACCTGCCCAAGACGTTCCGCACGCCGGTGCCTTCCACCGTGCTTCCGTCCGGCGTCAACCTTGGGCCTCCCGTGGACAGCTACATCGACTTCCCGTTGCAGGTGGAAATACCGCAGGAACAGCTACGGGATCTTGAGGAATTCCGGGCACAGGAGCGGATGCAGGCTGCGCCGGCCGACCGCGTGGGTCCCGTGGTGGGCAGCAACGGCGTCGCGTACCAGATCGACATGCAGCGTGCGATAGTGCGGATCAAGCTCAGAAAATAAGTATATAATTCCAAGATGATAACTTTTGCGGGCTGTTCGGAGGCGCAGGATACAGAAATATTTTATTTTATTTACTTGTCTCCAAATATAAATGGCTAACAACATAGAGCTGAACACCATGAACGTGGCGGATCGCGCTTCCGAATCCGAACCGCGCGACTCGCTGCTGGACTCGTTCAGCCCTCAGGGTCCTGTGGAGGATGACACGCGGCTCCAGCAGCCCCAGACGTCTACACAAGAGATCACAAGCAACATCGAAAATAGACTGACCAGCACGGACTCCAGCACAGGCAGCTCCACGCTGACATACGTCCGAAACCAGCTGCGCTACATGCTGACGAACGCTCCTCTTCTGCGGTTCGTCGTCCCTGAAAATAGATACAATGCGCTGCGAACGACCGCCCCCATGGTGGGCCGCGGCCAGGACGGGGTTTTCAGCAATATGTCTGCAAAGCCGAGCGTTCCAACGGGCACAGAGCCCTCGTACCAGCTGCCTTCGTACGAGGAGGCGTCGCAGGACCCTACGCCGCCCTACTGGGAGGCCTCGATCATGGCCGGGTACGAGGACGAGATATTTGTTGACGGACTGCCCGTGGGCAACATCATCAATTTCCTCTGGAACATGACGGTGAGCATTTCGTTCCAGTTTGTCGGGTTTGTGATCACCTATCTACTGCACACGTCGCACGCTGCCAAGAATGGCTCGCAGGCCGGCTTGGGAATCACTCTCATCAGCTTCGGCTACTCGTCGATCCCTGTCTCGTACGGGAGCCAGTCGTCGCACGAGGGTGAGAAATTCGAGCCGTCGTCTCCGAACACGATCGACATCGACTCTTCCAATGCCGTCGACGGCCACATAGACGAGTTCACCTCCACGCTGCCGCTGCTAGACACGTCCGACCTGCCGGACACCACCTATCTCAACTCGACGCCGATTTTCTCCTACGCGCTGATCTCGTTTGGCATCTTCCTTATATTCAAAGCTATCTTCAGCTATCTGAGGGCCAAGAAGGCGGAAAAGCTCATTCTCGAGCCCCAGCAGCCTGTCTAACTAATTACTTGAGCACCACGAGCATTTTTTCATAGATGGTGAAGACTATTCCGCCGCTCAAAATCAGCCGTCCCAAACGGGGGGTGGCTCCTTTCCAGAACGTCATCAGTCCTTCCTGCTTGAAGATCTTCACAAAGCAGTCCAGCGTGCCCGTGTACAGCTTGTCTGCCCCAAGACCTTGCATCCGGGTCTTGACCGTGTCGATCGGCATCGTGGTGTACACGGTAACGACACCGGCAAACGCCCCGAGCAGGAACGTGAGCTGGCTGCTGAGAGGCTCGTTCGGTTTTGTTCCACTGGCCTGCTGCAGGAACGACTTGATGCTGTTGTACGCTCCCAGTCTCACGGCAGAGTTCGCTCCTTGTCTGAGGGCCACCGGCACCAGTCCCTGATAGAGTCCTCTGAAACCGAGGTCTTTCAAAAGTCTGAAGGTTCCGAACCCTTGCTGGTATTTAGGAGTTGCGCTCCGTTTGTCGTCGATCATGGCCGTCTTGATCGCCTCGGCAGGGGTCACTGCAACCACACTCTCCAAGAGACCGGCTCCCAGGCCTGCGAGCACGCCGCGAGGACCGCTCAGCTTGCCGTCCTGGTCTGCGAGCTGTTTCTTGATTGCGTCGAACCCAAGGAACCGCACCGATGCCTTGGCTGTGTTTCCGATCACAAAGGCCGGACACCCAACGTACAACGCGCTGGGGCCCTGTGTTTTGGCAACGGTGTAGATAAGCACGAGCGGATTACGTGACATCTTGGCGCTCTTGTCCACCAGCTGGAGTCTGGTCTTTGCGAACTCAAATGGATACGTGACCACGCCCTCGACTGCTCCGGCGACTCCTCCCGCGATAAACGATTTAAAAGGGTCTGGTTTTTCGGACATGGTGATAATGAATAAATGGATATTCGATATCGATTATTTCGATTTTTCAGATTTTCCACAATTTTTTTTTTTTTTTGACCCTATTTACTTCTATCTGTGTATTCATTAGTAATCTAGGTTCTGGATCAAACATTACCTTCACTCCATATCATCCTCAAACATCGCGTCGTCAAGATCCTCGTCGTCCTCGTCGTCCTCGGCCTCCTGATTAGCACGTAACTGCGCGTAGTACGCCTCCAAAGCGTCCAGCTCCTCGGCAGTATCGGCAGTTCCCGGCCCGTTGGCGTCTGAGCCGGCCGTGTCTGAGACACTGTAGCCAGCGCGGCCACCCGAGTCGGTCTCTGAGTCCTCCTTTTTGATCTGCTTCTCGATTCCTGCCTCCGTAGCCTCCTTCTTGATGTTTGGAGTTTCCTGCTCCATGCCCTTCAACAACGACTTTCCGACCGTGCTCTCCATGTGCCAGGACGGCAGCGCGTTCTGCTTGAGCGTCTCGCTCTTCTGCTCCTTCGACTCGCGCTCCTGTCTCATGTCCTCGTCGTCCGCCGTGATCGACACGTGCACCGTGGCCTGAGACTTTTGTGCCGCGTTCTGCAACGACTGCGACATGCCGCCCGGCTTGCCGTTGCGCGGCACCTTCGAGCTGACCGTGTACGACGCGACCGAGCTCGACGAGACCGGGATGGCCTTGACCAGCGACGACTCGAAGTTGTTGTCCTCGATCTTCATGTTGTCGATCTTCTTGAGCGACTCGATGATCGGCTCGATCTGCGACATGAGCTTCTCCAGCTTTTCCTGGCCTTTCTGCGCCTCCATGCCAGAATCATCCTCGATCAGCTTGTCTCCGCAGACAGAGCACTCGAACGACGCCTTGTCCTCGCTCAGCAGCGACGCCGCGTCCAGAAGCGAGTATTTCGTCCGACACGACGGACACACGTAGCCCTGCGGGTCGCTGAGCTGGTCCACCTCGTCCTTCACCATTTTCACCAGAGAGTGGATTTTCCATTTGATGGCGTCGATGGCCTCGACCCAGCGCACGAAAAAATACGTCGTCGTCATCATCCGGTACTGCGGCGAGTCCTCCTTCTGTGTATATGCCACGATCAGCCGGTCTTCCAGCAGCCGATTGCAGTACGACCGAAACACCTTGCGGTGCATACAGGTGAGCTTCAACATGTCTTCCTCGTACACCACCGAGTGGAAAAGAAGGACTTCCATGATGAGGGCGCACGGCACCGCGTAGAACGCCCTGGTGACAAGCCGCAGAAGGTGCTTCACCTCCTTTTCGGACTCTTTGGAAAGCGACATGGAGACAACTAAAGGAAAAAAAATTAATTCGTCGATCGGTCGATCGACGAGGCTCAAAGGTGCCACCAGACAGATTAACCGAACAGCTACCCAAATGGTTACCCAGACGAATAGCTCAAAGGCTGCTAACGTGACGGCATTGCAAAAGTGATGGCACGCTTATCTCACCTTGACCTCACGTTAGGATCCTGGCCGTCTGGCCGTCGGTAGGGCTCTTCCCCATGATGCCTCATGGCCCTGGCCGCTGGCACGGTCTCCGCCAACCTTGCCCCATGACTAATTCCTGCTGCCGCCTGTGGCGCGCGCTCGACAATTTCACACAGCTTATCACGTCAAGCTTATCAGTCGTGCCCCTGCTTTTCCCGTTTGGGATTTGCCACCCAGAAAAATTAAACACTGCCTACCTGAGCAATTTACTTAGTTTCTTTATCTCCTTCTCTTCTCTGGTCGTTTGATAGGACACTGAAGAGCCCTTTCCCTACTTATTCTTATTATTCAACTGCACCATGAAACACGCAGTTGCCGTCTCTTTGCTCGCCGCCATGGCAGTCCAGGGTCTTGTTATCCCTCACTTTGATGACATCCCTCAGCAGTTCTCCCTTGTCAAGCAGACAAAGGAGGCCGCAAAAACGGAGTCGCCCGTCGTCAACCTGTTGGACGAGAGCAACGCCAGCCCACTGATCACCACGCCAGTTGCCGTGGAGAACATCGTTCCAAACTCCTACATCGTCGTGTTCAAATCCGGTGTCTCCTCAGAGGCTATTGATTTCCACATGAGCTGGCTGCAAGATGTGCACTCCCAGACCGTGAACGAGCTGGGACTGAGCTCGGAGGAGGTCAATGCCCAGGGTTTCAAGTCGGACATCCTCGACTTGACCCACGTCTTCAAGATTAGTGACTTCTTTTCTGGCTATACCGGTGTTTTCCCAGAGGCTGTCGTGAACCTTATCAGAAGACACCCTGACGTTGCATTTGTCGAGATGGACTCTATGGTGTACGCCAACGAGGCCGAGACTCAGACCGGTGCTCCATGGGGATTGTCCAGAATCTCCCACAGAGAGGCCCTCAGCCTTGGAAACTTCAATCAATACCTATACGATGACGTCGCTGGTGACGGCGTTACAGCATATGTCATTGATACAGGTATCAATGTCAACCACAAGGACTTCGGCGGCAGAGCCAAGTGGGGAAAGACTATTCCAACCGGTGACGACGACCTCGACGGTAACGGCCACGGTACCCACTGTGCCGGTACCATCGGCTCTGAGCACTACGGTGTTTCGAAGAACGCCAACCTTGTCGCCGTCAAGGTTTTGAGATCCAACGGTTCCGGTTCGATGTCTGACGTCGTCAAGGGCGTCGAGTTTGCTGCCAACGCCCACATTGCTGAGGCCAAGGAGAAGAAGCCAGGCTTCAAAGGATCCACCGCCAACATGTCTCTTGGTGGTGGCAAGTCTCCTGCCTTGGACATGGCAGTCAACGCTGCAGTCAAGGCCGGCTTGCACTTTGCCGTTGCCGCAGGTAACGACAACGCCGACGCCTGCAACTACTCACCAGCCGCTGCAGAGAACGCAGTCACCGTGGGTGCTTCGACCTTGTCCGACTCGAGAGCCTACTTCTCTAACTACGGCAAGTGTGTGGACATCTTTGCTCCTGGTCTCAACATCTTGTCCACCTATATTGGTTCCGATACCGCAACCGCTACTCTTTCCGGTACGTCCATGGCTTCACCACACGTTTGTGGTTTGCTTGCTTACTACCTTGGCTTGCAACCAGAGAGCGACTCTCAGTTTGCTTCGTCGTCTGTTTCTCCAGCTCAGCTGAAGAAGAACATCATCAAGTTTGGTACCAAGAATGCTCTTTCCGACATTCCGGACGACGGCACTCCAAACGTTCTGATTTACAACGGTGCAGGCAAGAACTTGACCGAGTTCTGGGACGCAGACTACGAGTACGAATCCGAGAACTCTTTGAAGGTGGACCTGAACCGGGCTCTAGACATTGCTTCTTCCGTGGAGATCGACTTTGACGGTTTGAAGGAGAAGTTTGACGAGATCCTCAGCGAGGTTCAAAGTGAGGTGAAGTCTCTGTTGAACTAGCCGGACTAGCTGAATTGTATGAAGGAGTTCTTTGTTTTTGGGTTTTTTTGTTTTTATTCAGGAGATGATTGCTTTCATTGGGTTTGATTTGCTTCGATAAATTCACTGCATCGACGACACCCTTGTTTCGATCTATGTTTAAGTAAAATGCATACATACTAGAATTTACCAAGATAATATTTGAGTCACTTTCCAAAATGGTTGCAGTAGCGCAGCCACCGCCACGTAAATCCTGTATATTACTCTTATGATCCAAAGGTAAGAGATTATTTCCAGAATAAGCACAGCTTCTGGAGGAAGAATCGGCACCGAATACAATATTCCAAATAGCTGGAATACCACGCCAACAATCGGCACAAATTGCAGTGAGCTTTGGATCGAATCGTGTATGCGGTATATGTTGGAGTGTAGTTCAGGTCTATTTGTATGTTGCGGCCATTCGCGGTTTGTTTCTGGCCGTTTTCGTCGGTTCTCCAGTCCCTTCTTTTTATTTGGATATCTCGCTCCGTTGTTGTACCACATGTAGTCTTTTATATTTTGGTCAAAGCTATTTCCAATAAATTTGGAGTCCACATGGCTCTTGCTTTTAGGACGGTCCACTTTGATTCTGGAGCTGATCTTTTGCAGCCAGTCCGAATGGTCGTTGTTGGATCGCTCAACAAACGTTTCTCTGAAAATCTGCTCTTCGTCGCCATTGGCGCGCTTGATTTTGCGCATTTCTCGCTCCATTTGTCTTCTCGAGTCTAGCAGTGAACCGGTCTCCGGCTCTTCCACTTTCGGTGGCTCTGCAACCATGCTATTTTGTCGTTCTCTCCATTCGTCGTTTCGTCGTTCGAACCGGCTCACCATCGGCATAGACTTGATGTTTGTGCCCGAAATGGTGAGATCCAGATTTCTGCTGCGTCGCTTTCGGCTCACCATAGATTTGAGCCAGTTGCTCTTCTTTTTGGTGAAGAGCTGCTCCCCAACAGAGTCCACCTCTCCAGCGTTTCTGTCGTGCCGAGAGGCATTAAAGTGGTAATACTGGCCTGGTGGCTCAATATCCTGCGTCGCCATAGGAAAAAGCAAATTAATCGCTCAGGGTACAAACAGGTGCTCTGCACTTGGTGATATATCACTATTATCATAATAAATAAATATTTACGCCGGTTACCCTGCCACCACTGTTTTCGTGTCGCAAAGGAAAACAAATAAACACCCGTTCAGAATCGGGGTTGTAGCGGTGCAAGGATGGAAGCTGCAACAGCTGCTCCAACGCCGTGTCTTTCAGTCCAGAACGGCCGCCATAGACAGGCGAGAATGTCGGTGACGACTGGTCAGAAAGAGCGTGCACAGCCAAGTCCGGTCCTGAAACTCGGCCGGAAAAACTTGGGTGTTCCACAAGGCTTCGTGCATTTCTTCTCTTAATTGTAAATAAATGCAAGCTTAACAAACAAAAAATTAATACTTCCCTCCAGAGCCGAGATATAATTCACGTTTGCCCCCTGTACAATAGCCACTAGGAGCAGGAAGTCAGTCCCCAACAGAAGCTGACAGCTCGTAACCTTGAATTGACAGTTTCTACTCCCCCACACAACCATTATATGAACTCATCCGAAATCCCGCCTGCCGGCCTTCACGACTCCTCCAACATAGCTATTTTGAACAATAAAGAACCCGACCACGCCATGACTCAGATAAAGGAGCCAACGACACCATCTTTGAAAAAGAACGCAACTTTCGACGCGGCCCCCTTCCCCCAGACTCCCGAGCGTACACCGCATCAGTTGATGCCTGAAGGCACTCCGTTGCTGTCACCCACGAACATGGGTTCCGGGACCACTCCCTCAAAACGGCGAAGCACAGATTTTTACAGCTTACTCAAGTCGCCGGATGTCAATCGAAACGACGTCGACCTTAAACGACGGTCGGTTGAGCTTAACAAGATAGTTAACAAATCTCCCGAGAGATTGAACAACTATGTTTTCCACGACACTCTGCTCAAGTCTCCAAAGCGTCAGCCGGGAAGCTCGCCGTTTCGCGTTCACAAAAAGAACGACAACGAAATCAAAGAAATATCGGAAAACCTGAAAACGAGGCTCAACTATGCCAATGTGAAAATCCAGCACGGATGGTCAGCGAAGTCGATATCGGAGCTGGAGAAAAACCTTGAGGAGGAGAAGTCGCGAAAGATGCTCACACCTCAGGACAGGAAACTACAGGACAATTTCTGGAAGATGAAGACCGACCAGCTTCCTACGTACATCCAGCCGCCCTTGAACGCAGAGCACAGAACCACAGCCCCTACCAGCCCTAGCAGTCACGCTATTCCTGTGCGCAGCAGAGCATCAAAGCTGAAACTGGACGAACTGGCTAGCAAACAGGGATCCGCCGAGTCTGCTCTGTACAAAGCTCTCTCGCCCGAACGACCAAAACTGACTATCGACTCGCGGTCAATGCTGCCTCCAACCAGCCACCAGCGTTCTGCCTCTGATAGCAAACTCGAACAGGAAGCCATCATGTCTTTGATATCGCTATCTTCGCCCGTCAAATACTCTGGCTCGCAATCTCCGTCGCCTCCTCGGCCTGCAGGGTTGCAGAAGCCGCCAGCCCTGTCATTTGACAGAAGACGCAACGCGGGAAACGAGGACACCGACGAGGAAACGGAGCTCGAAGACGAGGACCATGGGAAGACCCATATTTTCAAATCTCCCCAACGGAACGGACTCAAGGGGCTTGGGCTCACGTCGAAGTCTGCGGCAGATGACGACGACCGCACAGCGAGCGATTACTCCGACTGAGCGCTGTCCTGGACACTTATATATAACCCATTCAACACTGTATATTAACACGTCGATCGACGTAAAAATGAACCTCGAGTCGAAATACCAATATATATTTTGTTTCATTCCAATTTATCTCTCGTCTTATGAAAGACACCGTGAAGCCTTTTCTGACCCATCACGAGGACCTCGTGCTGGACGTTCAGTACGACTACTACGGTCGCCAGCTGGCGACGTGCTCTGCGGACCAGCATCTGAAGGTGTTTGATCTGGACGCCGAGAGCTCGTCCTGGATACTCAACGACTCGTGGAAAGCGCACGATTCCACCATAGTCAAGGTCGATTTTGCCAACCCCGAGTTTGGCCATCTGCTGCTGTCGATATCGTACGACCGAACCCTGAAAATCTGGGAAGAGCGCTTTGAGGAGCCTGCTGGATCTGGAAGAAGATGGAGGCGTCTTTGCACGATTGCAGACTCTCATGGACCGTTATACGACGCCTGTTTCATGCCCTCGCATCTGGGACTTGGCGTAGGGACCATTGGATCGGACGGCAAGCTGCGCATCTACTGTTCGTTGGATCCTGCTAATCTCAAGAGCTGGACCCTGGTGCACGAGATAGATGTGCTCAACTCGTCGGTAGCTTCGCATCTGCAGAGCGACTTTTCGCTGTCCTGGTGTCCCTCGCGGTTTTCAGGAGAAAAGCTGGTTGTGAGCGCGTTAGATCAAGCTTACATATATTACAAGAACGAAGCAGACAACAAGTTCCATCAGGGTGTCGTGCTTCCCGAACACAACGGGCTGATCCGGTCAGTCTCGTGGGCGCCCTCGATGGGCCGCTCGTACCACCTGATTGCCACGGCGTGCAAAGACGGGTTTATGCGGATATTCAAGCTTGTTGAGAAACGTGACAACGAGTTTGAGATAGAGCTGCTAGCATCGTTCAATGACCATAGGGGCGAGGTCTGGAAAGTGAGCTGGAACCTCACAGGAACGATTCTGAGCAGCTGCGGCGATGACGGCCAAATCCGGCTGTACAAGTCCAATTATGCCAACAACTTCCAGTGCATGAGTGTCATCAGTGCTCACTCGTGATGAGCCACTAGAAACATTTCTCGGTGATATACTTGAGCAGCTGCTTGAACCGCTCGTCGCTCAACTGGTCTCTCATCCGATCCAGTTCCTCCAGATGCAAAACAGACTGCTCCACTGCCTGAAAGTTTTGCGCGCTTTCGTCGTACATCTGTCTCACCTGGCTGACCAGAGCATTGTTTTCCTGCCGCAACAGCTCCAGCTTTTCACTTAACGTGCTGATCGACTGTTGCTTGGCGTCTGCGAGTTTCGTCTGCACGATTTCTGCGGCACTGAGTTTGTGGATTGGAAATGGTGGGTCGTTGCGCTGTTGCCGTTGTCGCGACTCGAATATTATCTCGTCAAGCTCATTGAGTTTATGTTCTAGGTCTTTTTCCAAAAAAATGCCCTGGAACTCGTCCAAAGCTTTGCTGGTCCACATTTTGGTGATTTGCTGATGGAAATCCGTCAAAGTCTCGCGATCGACCCCGGGATAGCATTCAACGAGCTTCTCAACGTTGAACTTTTTGACAGTTTCCTGCAGTGAAAACTCTGCTGCCTTGCGCAGACCGTCAAATCGCACATACTTGAGAGTCTCGGCAGGCTCTTTGGCCGTTTTTCTGGACTTCCGGTTGCCTCTGGTGCTCATTCAAAATAGATATTGTATATTATTTGTTTACAACAAACACAGCCTTGAGAAAAAAAATTCAGATAATTTATAGATTTTTCAAATAAATCATGAGGCTTCTGGTGTCTGCCGAGGAGTCAGGGGCTCTTAAGGAAGTCATCTGCATCAAGGGAACAGACACTTCCAAGCAACAGGCTCCCCAGCCGACGTCGATCAAAACGTTTTGCCAGGAAACAAGGAACACCAAAATCCAACACTTTATTCTATACAAGAACCATGTGGTAGCAGCTAGACAAGGGGGAAGCATATGTATATACAACACAGAGGATGAGTACGCAGAGGTGAAAAAAATCAGCGGTCTTGCCGCCTCTGCAGAGGACGCTTTTGTGTCTCTTTTCGAGCTACACGACAAAATATATGCTTGTACGGAAGCTGGCAACCTGAGTATCATTGAGCCCGAAACCTGGACATACACGACTGCCAAGCTCAAAGGGCCGATTAGCAGTTTCTGTGGAGACGTTTCGAGACCAGGAATATTCGCATATGGTGGAAAGGAAACCGACCTCACTGTCATTAAGTTGGATACCATGGAGGTTGTGTTTCGAGGCAAAAATGTTCCCAATAACAAACTGGACTTGCGCGAGCCGATCTGGATCTCCAAAGTTGCGTTTGCTACAGACCCGCAAGACAAGCCGGACGTTTACAAACTGATTACCGTTACAAGATACGGTCACGTGAGATACTACGACTCGGCCAAGGGACGCAGACCTGTTCTCAACTTCAAACTTTCTGACAAGCCGTTGATCACCATGGCGAAGCTCAACGGCTCTGAGATCGTGTGCTCCGACACGCACGTGACAACCGCGAAATTCAATTTCAAAAATGGAAGCATGCTCGGCAAATTCCAGGGTGCTGTGGGATCGGTCAAGGCGGTCCATGTTCTGAACAACGTTCTGGCAACCGGCGGACTTGACAGGTATGTTCGATGCTTTGACCTTGGCTCCAGAAACATCATAGCCAAGGTGTACATGGGCACTCAAATTAGCGACGTCTGCTTGGTGGAAGCAGACGAGGAGCAGCCAAAAGAAGAGCCTCAGGAAGTGAAACCTAAGGCCAAGGAGCCGAAGGAATTGGAAAAAGAAGGCGAAGACGACGAGTCGAGCGACGAAGAAGAGATGTGGCAAAAGTTGCAAAACTCTTTAGCTGAGAAGAGAAAGAGACGCAAACTTAAATAATCGCATTTTTAATAAATCTATATATTAATATGCTAGTTAAACTGTTTGGCCATTTTTCGGTCGTGGCCGAGTTTTCTGTTGTTGCGGCCGCCCCTGGAAGTTTTCTTGGGCTTTGAAGCCGTTCCCTCCTTTTTTTCCATTTCCTGTTGCTTGTCCTGCTGGAACTTTGTACGGCTCATAGTTCCGTTCAGCGAGCCACCAACATCGAGCAATTTTTCTTCCAGCAACTTGAACCGCCGCGGATTGCGCTCAAGCATGCGTGCCCAGCCTTCCAGCTGTTCGTCAGTCCATTTGAGCTCGCTCTTCAGCTGGTTTCTGTAGTTCGTGTATCTAGAGCTGCGGTCAAAGGCCTCCGGATTGGACTTGTAGATCTGCAAAAGCTTGAGGTCCAGCGACTCCATACTCTGGTCTCTCTCGCGGTTTGCTTGCTTGCTCTCTGCAAACTCCTCGTCCGACTCATAATCCTCGTCTTTGGCCAGATTGTCTGCTCCTCGGGTGAGATCCTGGTCGTCGTACGTATCGTCCGGCTCGTCCTCGGCAGACTCATACAGCATGCGCAGCGCGTTTTCAAGAGTCTTCTTTTTCAATTGTCGCTGGGTCCTGCTATCGGCTTTCAGCGAGAAGTCTTTTTTTCCAAACTGGACACGGGCTTTCTTTTTTTCCGTATACTCCTCGACCTCTTCTCCCTCCAGCACCTTGTTCATCGCCTCTTCCACGGTTTTGTACTTCTTCAGAAGCGTTTTGCACTGGGCCTCTGTGAGTTGCGGGAAAACGGCGAGTAGACTCTGTATTTTGTGCTGGTCAAACGTACTCTTGCTTTCGAAGAGCTTGTTTCTCAGGTCCGGGTTCATGTCCTGGAACTTGCTCGAGAGAATTAAGCGCGCCACCAGAGGATACTTTTTGATCAGCTGCGCTCTCGAAACAACGCCAAGGTCTCTCACTAGATTTATTATCTTGGCAGACGTCAGACTGACAAACGAGACAAGCGCAATCTCAAAACACTGCTGAGCATGCAACGAGTCGCCTCGGTTGTACAGTGTTTCCAAAATATCAACCCAGTGAGCGTTGACAAACCGCTCGCTGAAACTGTCCTGCTGTCCGCGTCCAGCTACCACCCGCTGCTTGCTGCTTCCTCTATTTTTGACCTTCTGCCCAAGAAGCATGCTCAAGGTCTCTAGATCGATGCGGTTAAATTTGGTATCGCTAATACGCAGCTTCAAATAGTCCTGGAGAGACTTGACGAGCGAAACGTCGTCCGATTTGGACGTGATCTTCGACTTCACTCTCCCTTCCACCAGGTCTCGCACGATTCCCACACTGATCAGCGACTGGTTCATATTCATATTCTCGTACGCAAGACGCAAATAAACCTTGCAGAAATCCCAAACCGACTCGCCCGCGAGCTTCAGGTTAACCAGGTTGTAGATCTTGATGAACTGAAAAACGACGATCTTGAGCCGTTTCTGGTTTTTAAGGATGTCCGGGTTAATTGCCCCGAGAGAAAAGATCTTAGTGCTCTCCTCGCTTGTTTCGGATAGATACACCTTCATGAACGCGGTCAATTGTTGCTGGCTCTTCAAACTAAGCTTGACGTCCTTCTTGGTCGAAAAGACGATCAGCTTTTGAAACAGGTCAATATAGGTCTCCAGCAAGTGCTGCCAAATCACGGGATCCTTGTCGATCAGACTGGACCGCAGCTTGAACGGCGGGTACACCACTATAGGAATATCTAGCTGGTCCATAATATATATCCTATCAATTTTTTCCGGCCGATCGTCGTTTTTTATCGACCCTATATATCTTGAATTATTCCATGCTGTCCCTCGCAGTGTCTGCTGTGGCCGTTTCGCTCATTTTCACCAATGAGTCTTTCCAGCCCATCCAGGCGGCCATAGGGTTTGCCATTCTCGGATACCAGATGACCGCGTCGCTGATTCCGGCTGTCACCAATGCGTTTCTTAAACGTGGCCTGGGAGGTAGAGACCTGTCCAAGCCGGGAAAACCGCTCATTCCAGAGACCATGGGCGTCATCCCAGCCATCACATACATGTTTGTGATGATCCTGTTCATCCCGTTCATGTTTATCTTTGGGTCTGACCAGAACGGTCTGTCAGGAATGTTCCCCCATAAAATGCTGTCGACGTATCTGGGGTGTCTGCTCTCGCTCATGTCGATGATCCTGCTTGGCCTGATGGACGACTTGTTTGACATCAGATGGCGCCACAAGTTCTTCCTGCCTGCCGTCGCCTCCATTCCGCTGCTCATCGTGTACTACGTCGACTTTGGAGTCACAGCGATCCTGATTCCGCACTTTCTGCAGCAACAGCTGCACTTGGAAACGAACTCCGTCGACCTGGGCTACTTCTACTACTTCTACATGGCGTCGGTGGCTATTTTCTGTCCAAACTCCGTCAACATACTAGCAGGTATCAATGGATTGGAGGTTGGACAGACAGTCGTTATTGCCGCGCTTCTGCTGCTCAATGACCTGTTCTACCTGTCCATAGGAACTATGCAGTCGCCGAGCTACTCGATCCACCTGCTCAGCATGTGTTTCCTCATCCCCTTCGTCGGTATTGCTCTGGGTCTGCTCAAATACAACTGGTTCCCGGCCAGAGTGTTTGTTGGCGACACCTGGTGCTACTTTGGAGGCATGGTTTTCGCCGTCGTGGGGATCTCGGGCCACTTTGCCAAGACGCTGATGCTGTTTTTCCTGCCGCAAATCGTCAATTTCGTATACTCGGCTCCGCAGCTCTTTGGACTCATACCGTGTCCGCGTCACCGACTGCCCAAATTCAACGAAAAAGACGGCCTGCTCTACAACTCGTACACGGAGTATGGCCAGATAGACGCGACGAGCGAGAAGAGCGCCCGAAATCCACCGCTTAACCCGAAGTTGGTCCCAATAGTACTACTTCTTGAGAAATTAAAGCTCATCGGAGTGGTCAAAGAATACCAAGACGGACAATGGGTGATCCATAAGACCACCAACCTCACCATCATAAATCTATTTATCGTGTGGACCGGCCCAATCAGAGAAGACAAGCTCTGCACGCTTCTGCTGGCCACGCAGTTTGCAACCGGCTTTACCATGCTGGTCCTTCGACACACCCTTGCACCTATGCTGTTTGGCTTCGACAACTCGTGGAGCATGCTGAATAGATATCAATGAGTGTCTATGCACCCCAGAACGCCTTCCGCTCTTCCAACAGACTGTCGGCAAGGCCCTGGATCTCTGGATGCTTGATCAGCGCTCTTGAGCGGAAAAACTCATCGAGAGACTTCTTGGTGGCTTTCTCGTACTCAAAAGCCTGGATCAGCATCTCGTACTTGTCAATGTCCTTCACTATTGAGGCCTCGAAGTTACGCTGGTCCTCATAATCAAGCCAAAGCTGCACGATCTCCTCGGAAAAGGTAGCGTTATATGGCTTGATGACCTCGCTCAGATAGAGAATCGTGCTGTACTCTCGTCTGTTTTTCTCTTTCTTGTCAATATTGGCGTCGTGAGGAACGATGTCGCCGACCAGGCTCTCTGCTATGTCGTGCACAAGCGCGATCTTGGCACATTTGGTCAGATCAGGCTTTTGAGAAAATGCATCGCTGTTCAGCGACATCGCAATGATAGACATTCGATACATGTGGTCTGCAATACTTTCAGGGTTCGGGACCTGGTGGTCGATCCAGCCGGTGCGCTTCTGCTGCTTTAAAAGCGATGCGATCTGATAAAATGCATTAATATAGTTGTAATTTTTGCCGTTAGCCTCAGCCGGAGTCAGAAGTTTCCGGATATCAGCAGGAAGAGCATGCCGCGGATTCCACTCAGATGTCGTCATGGTCGATAGTGTGCGAGCCGCCAGCCTGAACGAGGGACCAAAGTGCGAAAGAATGTTGGAAAAATAAATATATAAACAATGCACGCTGGCTTACCAACGTCTCACGTAACGATACCGGTGCGAGGTGTAATTGATAGGATGCGAAGCAGGACCAATTTCTAGTGCCGCGCTTCCGCATGTTGATGGAGGCGTTACGAAACAGACTAGAGGAGAGGAGGTACAGAGTTCTCGTCATTTCTTGGGTTTCCGCAGTGTTACAAAAACCTGGTGTAGTTCCAGCTACCTTGTGGACGTTTTGCGGGCACATATAAGAGCTTGTGGAATAGCTTTTATTAGTCTTAGACAGCAATCCTGGAGCCCCTTAGGGCCGAACATGACTAGCAATACAATAAAGTCTGTGGCCGACTGGCCAACCTACAGTCTCTCCTCATGCTCAATTATTATTCGCATACTTAAGCAACAAGCTCAACAACACCTCCGGCAGCACGGATCTTCTCCTCAGCCAACTTTGAAACGTATCTGGCCTTGACAATAACTGGAACATCTGGCAGTCTTCCCTTACCCAAAACTTTTCCGTAACCAGAAGCCAGGGTGTCGATGACAACGGCGGAGTCCTTGCTGCTGGATGCGAGCTTCTCGTCCTTGTTTTCCACCAACGACCAGAGCTTCTCCAAGTTGATGACTGGTTTCCAGTAATGGCCTTGTTGCTTGTGGAAGTATCTCATACCGACTTTACCAAAGTAACCTGGGTGGTACTTGTCCAAGTTGGTTCTGTGGTGGTGTTGACCACCAGCCATACCTCTACCACCTGGGTGCTTTCTGTGCTTTCCAACACGACCTTTACCGGCCGAGACGTGTCCTCTGTGCTTTCTAGTTTTGGTTAATCTGGTAGGCATCTTTGGTGGAAGAAATTATTTGGCTTGACCAATTTTCACTATAATTTTACTCTCTGCCATTTTTCGTCATGCTCACAGATCGTGTCAGTAAAATATTTTTCAGCACGCGCAACCCTCCAGCCCGCAGGCCAGGTCACGTGGACAAAGACGATCTCAGCTATCTATCTCCCCGGATATCCCAGACCTCGGCGTAGGTGCTCTTGCCCTTGGTTTCGGGCACTGCCTTGTATATAAACGCGTAGAAGGCTGCACACACAGCCGCAAACAGCAGGAATGTGTATCCTCCTATGGAAGAGTTGAGAATAGGAAACAAAAAGCCAACCGCGAAGCAGCTGATCCAATTGCAGTCTGTTCCCCAGCTTTGGGCCAGGTCTTTGATTTCCACCTGTGAAAACTCGCTAATGATCAGAAATGGGATGGGCCCGCACCCAATCGCAAAAGAGCCGACGTAAACGAAGACTCCTAGCAACGTGAGCGCAGAGTTGCCAGAGATAATGCCGAGACTGAGTGACGCGGAGGCGGCGCCCATGATTGCCACTGAGGTGAGCAGCATTGGTTTGCGGCCAACCCTGTCCAGAAACAGCGAAGCGGCGAAAGTGATCAGCATGTTTCCGAGACTGATAAGACAGTTGATGGCAACAGCGTGTGCTGGGAACAGCCCTGTGAGGATCTTGACTCCGTAGAAAACAATTGAGTTGATTCCCGCGAGCTGTTGTCCCACCATCAGCACGGTCGAGACTAAGCGTGAGTTTCTGTAGTTGGCATTTGTCAAATAGGTGTAGAACGAGAGCTTCTTGAGCGACGGGTTAGACTCTATGAGCTGCGCGTGCTTTCTCTTCTCTTCCTTCCAGGTCTGGACCTCCTGTGCGCACTGCAAGGCATTGTTGCCTCTGAGCCTGTTCAGAATGCGCAAACCCCTGATTTCATTGCCCTGGTTGAGAATCAGCCATTTGGGAGACTCTTCCAGAAGCAGCAGCGAGAGAAGCAGCGTGAGCGCTGCCAGAACGGCTCCAGACCCCAAAATCAGTCTCCAGTGCAGCTCCGTAGCCCACCGGATGGCCAGAACCTGCGTGAGCAAAATACCCACGTTAATGCTGACCTGGTTCATTGATCCCAGCACGCCCCGCAGAGAAACCGGGGCAATCTCGTTGATGTACAGCGGAACAAACACCAAAGCACATCCTGCCCCCAGGCCGCTCACAAACCGCCCAAACAGCATCCACACGTACGTCTGCGCGCTATACTCCAGGTACGAGCCTATGGTAAAGTAGACAGCTGTGACGAGAAAGCTGGACCTCAAACCAAGACGAGAGCTGATCTGGCCCGCAAACGTAGACGCTATCAGTCCGCCAATCGAGAAGATCGAAGTGAGCAGCCCCACTTGCGAGCTGTCAAGTCCCAGGGCGTGTTTGATGAGCTCCTCAGGGGCATTGAGCTCTGACATGTGGAATCCGTACTGGATAGAGTTTAGACAAACCAGCCCGACAGAAGTGACCAATGCGGCCGTGTAGCCGTCCTGAACAGCCGGCAAAACCAAAGGGGTAGCAGACGTGGCGGTATTGCGGCTCATGCTCAGAGGGGACAACCTTCAAAGAGCCAACTTTATCTTATCATGTACATCTTTGCACGGGGCTACTGAAATAAATTCGTCCCCACAATGTCTTTCACCACAGAAGAGATCGACAATCTTTCGGTGCGCGACGCGGTGGCAGAGGTCATTGACTCGTCCAGAGACGAGCGGCTGGGTCTGCCGCCTGGCATTCGCGTGCCATTGCTTGTTTCCTCGGCAGCCCTGGTGGGCGGGATGTCAGGAATGGTGTTTGGATACAGAGAGGCAGGGCTTCGCTTCTTGGCCAGCAATTCGCATCGACTGCCCACAAACAGAAACGGCTGGTTCATGTACCACAAGCGGAAGGGGTACTACTGTTTTGCGCAGTCGTTTGTGCTTGGAGCCAAAACAGCCGGCAAAATTGGACTGTTCACGGCTGTCATGTTTGGGACAGAGGTGATACTCGACGAGGTGCGACAGCTGAAAGATTTTTGCAACACCGTAGCTGCGACCACGTTGACGGGGTTCTTCTACGCGTGGGCTCTGCGAATGAAACCAGTGCAGGCCAAGCAGTACATTCGAAAGGGCGGGAAATACGGCCTGTTGCTCGGCGTGGCCCAGGACGCAGTGACTTTCTTACGTGGGGGGTACGTGTGGTATGTAAATGGGGTGTTTGGGATCGAGCCCAAAAAATTGCACGAGAGATTCGACTAGCACACTGGCTGCTCCTCTTCGTCATCCAGGTTCGGCACAGGATAGTTCAGAATCACGGCTATTCCCGTCAGCTGGTTCAGCTGCTCGCCGCTGTCATGTAGACTGGAGAAAATGACAACCTCTCCGCCGTGCTCTTTCACCTGCTCCGTCATACGGATGTACTTCTTGCGCTGCGTGATGTCGTCGCTTTTGAACAATGTGTCTGTGATCATCAGCGTGCGGACCGCTCCTTGCATCTCTATTGCCTTTGTCACCTCGGCTTCTCCGTACCACGCCTTCCCGTCGTCGTCGTTCAGCAGCTTGCTGAATTCGTCAAACAGCATCACGCTGTGCTGGAACTTAGTATCGGAGAGCTGTTTCTGGAGCTCGGGCGTTTTCAGTGCTTCTTCGAGCCCCTGTAAATAGCCCGTGGACGAGTGAGCCACGACAAATTTGGATTTTGACTGGATGAGAGACTTGTTCTGGTTGCTCACTGCGATGCTGAATATCTTATCATACAACTGGCGGGCGCTGAATCCGGGAGAAACGAGCAGAATGACCTGCAGCTTGTCGATGTTGAAGTTGCGGATCACCGAGTCGGCCACTGTCTCCATGAATTTGTCCAGAGCCTTGTCGTGGGCGCTCGAGTCGCCTCGCTTCTTTTTGGGGATGGACTTGTCGATTTTGGACCTCAAGATGGTCATGTTCTCTGTAATCAAGCACAGATGAGCAACGCCTTCCTGTAACACGACTGCACCAATTTCGGCTTTGGCCTCTATTGAGCACGATTTGTTGACCAAGTCCAGGCTGATGTCGTCCCAGTCGTTTTTATAGAGCGTGAATTTTTGGTTGAACTCCAACTCTGCAGTGTGGTAGGAGCCCTGCGGAACGTCCTCGTGCTGCTCGACAGTGCGTCCTTTGATCCGCATCACCTCGTCGCTCGGCGTGAAATCAACGCTCTCCACGCTGAGCGAGAGAGTAACGAGCTTGCGCACCGGCTTGTCTGACGGAGACTTTTTAATATTTCTATGGGTTCTCAACCGCACCTCGTCGTCCTTGGAAATCAGGTTGTACAGAGTCCAAAGATCCTCGCCGTCCTGCGGAACAAGACTCACAGACCCGCTCTTGTCTTTCTGGAAGGAAGAATGCACTAGCTTCATGAATTAAATATAGATTAGTTTTTTTTTGCAGGCTGTGTATACATTAGGATTTATTTATCTCACGGTAGCACCAACAAGAGAGGCAGCCTTACAGACCTTACCGTCCTTGGTGACCAATCTGGCGTCCGGCTTTCCTTCTTGCTTGTAAATGACTTCAAGCTTGTCGTTGGTGCTGAAGTTAGGTTGCACCTGCTCGAAGATCTTCTTTTTAGGGTTGAGCTGCTTTTCTGGAGTGCCGTCGAATCCTTCGAAGAAAACCTTGTCTCCAGCCTTGGCGCCCTCTGGTGGGTTAATGAACTCCACGGTCTCGCCCTCAGAAGCACACAGAACCATCGCAGACGACTTGATTCCTCTCATTGTGACCGGCTTCAAGTTGGCAATCACCACCACGTATCTCTGCTGCATGGCCTCCAGAGGATAGTATTTCACCAGACCAGAACAAACGGTTCTAGGGCCCTCCTCGTCGCCCATGTGGATCGTAGAGACGTACAGGGCGTCGGCGTCAGGGTGCTTGATGGCCTTCTCGATGAATCCGACTCTGAAGTCCACCATCGAAGGGTTTGGAGCGGCGGCAGCAGACTTGGCAGCATCGGCCTCGGCCTTAGCTTTGGCCTTAGCGGCCTTCTTGGCCTCTTTAGCAGCTTTGGCAGCAGCAAGAGAAGCCTCGTCGGTCGGCTTTCCTTTCTTTGGCTGCTCCTTTGGTTGATCTGTTGCTTTGCTCTTCTGCTCGTCTTTCGAGTCCTTGGCGTCCTTCTTCTTCTTTTCCTTGACCTCTCTTGGCAATTCAACAGAGTGATCGATCTTGAGCTTGTTTTCAACGCCGATCTGGTTCTGGATCAGATCGATCCATCTGACAATGTGTCTGTACTTGGCCAGGTCCTCCACGGAGGTCCACTTTTGTGCGAGTGGGAAAACGTGCTCGAAAACGGCGGTGTCTGCCTCGGATGGTTTCAAACCAACAATGTAGGTTTTTGATCTAAGGGAGTCGTTGAGCTGGGTCAAGTTCTCCTCAATACGGCTGCTGAGAGTCACCCATTGATCGCGCAAGGCAAGCTCCTCGGTCGAAAGGTCCTGAGCCACTTTCAGGTTGGCAAATTTATCTGTGAGAGACATGGATTAAAAATTTTCGAAATGATTTAAAATATGTCTCTCGAAAAGAACTCCAAATGATGGAGGCATAAATTTGATCGGAACATGTTTTTGTCTAAGCTGAGCGGCTCCATGGCATATTATAGTAGAGTTTCTCATCACTTATTGAGCGAGTTCTTTTTCTCTCGTTCCAGCGAAGGAGTTGTTGGCCCGTCTTTGAAGGGAGCACTTCTCTATCGGTTTACGGCGACGACCCAACAGCTTTCTACGCTTTCAAACAGGAAAATGCTGGACTGAGTAATTGGAAGCTCTACGGCGTACTTCTCAGCCAAGCTCCCCACGACGAGGCTCTGCGCTTTGCCATCTGGACCACGGTAGCAGGTGAATTCACCAGATGGCTGGGTAGCCAGCGCCGTAAAAAAAACATACCCCCACACGCCCCACGCAGACGACACACTGTACGAATAGCTTGCGTTAGAGACACAGAAGTCTGGAGCCAATGGAAGTGAGATCCGATCTGGCCCCATGTGGATTCAAGTCAATGCTCAGACGTCCTGCTGAACAGCTACAGACTCTGCAGATGCTCAGGCACGACGTCCTAGCACGTGCTCCGGCTTTACACAGTGGAGAAAAATGGCAAAAAACGTTCAGGCGATGATCCGCAGCACGACATGGCTCGCATTAGGATCACCAAGGGAATACGTGATGAACCATCAAACAGAACAATGTGCAGCTTGCCAAGTGCTCGTTGCGATGCACAGCTCTAAAAGGCACTGAGTGTGCAACCGCAACCACGGGAGCCAAAGTCGCTAGTGCAGAAAAACAGATAAAGACTGTGGGTGGACGAAACACGTAGTAGGATTATGGTATCAGAGTGTTGATTGTACTAGGATAATAATGGAGCTGGAGGGCCGTTCCAAGCTACCTTGGATCTGGTGATGTGATCTAGCTTCCAAAATCAAATGGACCTCTGGGAGAGAGGTAACTTGAGAAGTTTCTTAGCTGGATTTGATGAAAGACAATTACAGAGGCAGTGTGTTTGGCTTTCCTCAAATTGCACGGTGCTGTTGACGTCCAGTGATCGAGTCACTGTGGGGTGAAAAGTCCACGACTGGCGGCCTCGTGGTTCTGTTTCAGCCAGTGCCAGTACAGAAGAGACAGACAGACATTTTTTGATGGCTCTGATAGGCTCAGTCCTTTTGCTGGACAACTATTTAGAGCCAGAGGGACCGATAGTTGTCAGAACCTTGTTTGCTGGTGAGCTATCCGAGAGATCACCAACACTTCATTAGGTATGTTCCGAGCTACCAAAATCTGGTCGTAGCCGCAATTGACTCTGATACGAATACTGTCAGCCTGATTCAGCAAGCAAGACCGACTCATGACCACAGTGTAGCGGAATATTCCCGGACGACTAGCTCTCACCCGCGGTAGCTGGCTACTCCGAGCCAGAGGCCGTGCAAGGATGTTTCCCATGATAAATAGGATAAAATTTACGTCGTACCTCCGAATTGTTATTGTCATGTATTTGATCTAAAATGAGCACGTCGCCACCCAAGAGAAGACGCAATGTCAGGAAGAAAGTGTCTAGAGCGTGCAACCATTGCCGGAAGGCCCACGTGACGTGCGACGACGGGCGTCCGTGTGCACGGTGTATAAGCAAGGGCACGGCCGAAACGTGCATGGATGCCCCGCGAAAAACGAAAAAGTATCTTACTGGCGAGACGTCCGGGTCGGAGCTGCCACCCACGATGCCGGAGAAGCGCAGACCGTTTATGTCGTCGGCGGCAGACATGGAGTACGCGACATTGGGCAACATAATTAATCAGGATTTTGTGAGCCCGGACAACCAGCAGTCCAGCCAATTCTTCAGCCCTGCCGTCAGCAATTCCGCCTCCGAGGACACCAACGACAGCGTCAACTTCCAGAACCCCATGTACCAGAATCGCCACATGTTTGTGCCCGACACCAACCAGATAAACATGTACAAAATGCAGAACATAACACCTCAGTGCGACCCGATGACCAACCAGTATTTTATAGGGGCCCACATGACGTTTCCGCAGGTGGTGAAGCAGATTTCGCAGTCACGGCAACTTAACCCCATGCAATTCAACGAGCGCAACCAGCAGTCGGCCATCTCTTTCTCTGTCGCGGTGCCTCAGCCAGAGGAGCACCAGCTCGCCAACACCCCCTGTGGACTGCAGTTCAAGGAACCTTCCGAGATCTATTCCAAAATAACGGCCCCTTTCAACTACGTTCAGCCCTACCACGACCTCAACCTATATCTACGAAAACGATTCGATAAAAAACACCTGGTGTCCATGTCCAAGTCCATGTCGGAGTACAGACCCTCTTTCATCGCCGGGATGATCCATTTGAAGGGAGACGACCTTATCTTCGCCGAGCAGTGCTTCCAGCGGACGCTGCTCGAGTACGACGCGTACATATCGATCTCAGGAACTCCGACACTCGTTTGGCGGCGTACGTCGCAGATCGCGTACGTTGGAGACGAGTTCTGCGTGCTGACCGGATGGAGCAAAGAGCAGCTACTGGGGAAGTCGACTTTTGCCGTCGAGATCATGGACGACAAATCGTGTGTCGAGTATTTCCAGCTCTTTTCCAAGATCGCGTTTGGCGACTTTCGCGGCGCCACGATGACAGAATGCACACTGCTCACGCCCGAGGGTGAAAGCATTCGCACGTCCAGCATATGGACGCTTAAACGGGATGTTTTCGGGATCCCGATGATGATAATCGCCAGCTTCCTGCCCATACTGACGTGACGATTGTAATATAGGTATAAATCGATAACAAAATTATATGAAAGCCTATTGAGCAAGGATGCTCTTGACGAATTCAACGTAGTCAACCGTCTGTTCGTCCGTGACATTGACGCCCTTGAGCAGCTCGTCGACCTCGCTCTCGTTCAATTTCTCGCCCACCGACGTCAGGATGTATTTGAGTTCTCCAACACCAATGAATCCTGTCAGGTTCTTATCGAAAATCTGGAACGCTTTGATGTAGTCTTCTGGCTGACCGGCCTTCTTGAAACCGCCCTCTCTGTTGACCACGTTGAGGAACTGCTCGTAGCTCAGTTCGGACGGAACAGACTCCTGGAGCTCGCTAATCTCCTGCAGCGTAGGGTTCTGTCCAACCGCCCTGAGCAGATCGCCCAAGTTCTCGCTGGAAACTTTTCCGGTCCCCTTCTTGTCGAAGAGAGCAAACGCGTCTTTGTAGGCTTTGGTATCGGACTATAATGTTAGTATTAGCAACGCTCTTGCACTTACCATCTTGTTTATATTTGTTCGTGATTTTGTTTACACGAAACAAATATTTTGGTAAGTCGTGTTTGACACACTGATTTTTTTCAGCCGGAGAACCATGTCTTCAGTGGCTCGTCGTCTGGTCGGCAAGGCCTCGTCGCCACCATGCGCGCTTCGCATTCACCCGTCCGACCCAACGGTCGTCTACATTGGCACATACAAGCTTGTGAAAGACAGCGAGCGATACGGAACAATTGAAATTTGGAAGTGCACAAACACACTACAGAAAGTAAACGAGATCGCAGCGGGATCGGCGATCCTGGACCTCAAGTTCGACCCATTCGACGAATCGCGGCTGATCAGCGTCCACTCAACAGGTAACCTAAAAATATGGAAGCTGACAGACGATTATCTGCATTTGACACAAACTTTAGATTATCAGGCATATGAAGAAACTACGCTCATAACAGCGGCCAATTTTCATCCAACAAAACAAAACGTGCTCACGTTGAGCACCACCACTGGAGTCTGTTCTGTTGTCACACTGGGTGACAAAATAAACCAAAGAGACTTCGACACGACTCATGACCTCGAATGCTGGTTTTCCACTTTTGGTTGTTTCAACGGCTTGCAGGACATCGTCTTTTCCGGAGGAGACGATAGAAATCTGATCGCACATGACAACAGAATGGCAGGCGTTGCCGTCTGGAAAACAGACCGCCTACACGACGCAGGAATAGTCTCAGTGCTGCCGGCCACACCGTCCTGGAACAGCGCACATCCTTACACCATATGGACCGGGAGCTACGACGACCATCTCAACTCTCTCGACTTGCGTGTGAGTCCGCCCAGCGATCTGATTCCTGGCGTTCCCCCAAGAGTTCTGCAGCGAGAAGACCTTGGCGGAGGGGTGTGGAGGCTGATTCCCGGGCCGAACAATGATGGCCGAGTTCTGTGTTGCGCCATGTATGCTGGTTGCAGGATGCTCAAGTCCGCTGGCGACACGATCATTGTCGAGCAGGAATTCAAAGACGACCACGATTCCATGGTCTACGGAGGTGACTGGACGGCAGGAAACATGGTGACGTGTAGTTTCTACGACCAAATCATTCAGGTCTGGGAACGGCAATAGTTATTTTTCGGCAGCTTGCGACTCGACCCATTTCTTCAGCCTCTCGTAGTCCACCTCTGCTTCAGGATTGTCAACAAGTCTGTCGTCCACAAATGTTCCTTGGGCGATCTGGTTCCTCAGGCACACGATGGACGGAATTTTGGTGACCTGGTAGTCGAGCAGCAGGCCCTTGTTTCCCGGCTCGTCGCACTCCACATCAACCATGCTGACAAGCTTGCTGTCGTCGATGTCGTAGGTCAAAATTCTTTGCAGAGCGCCTGTCTGCTTGTTCGATGCGGTGTCGCCCCTGAAGACGAAATTCATCAGCAAAGGAGAGTGCAAAGGCACCAATGGCTGTAGTTCAGACCTATTTCTCACGGGAAGGAGTATCCTGTTTTTTGTGGCCGACTGCGGAGGCCAAATCACTGGCTTCGGTTTGACCAGCGGGTTCTTAGATGATTGCACATACACTGCAATTGCACCAAAAACCAGCGTCCCCCCGAGGATCCATCGTTGTTTCTCTGTCAACGGCATCTAGTCTCAAATATATTACGTCTAATTATTTTCTTACGCCTTGCACCAGTCTATACTTTTCTTCCCTCGATACAGGACCCAGAGAATATCGGGCCAGCAAAGTGATCCACAAACGCTGAATTTACCCGACACATACCCAATAATGGACGCCCAAGATGTTTTCCAAGATATGCCTCTGATATCTCCCACTGTATCGCCCAGCAAGGCGATATCGATGACCGGTAACGGAATACAAGGTCACAAGCTCGAGAGAGACCAACTTCCCGAAACCCTACCCCTGGTGGAGTGCGTGGCTCGCGCCAGGATTCCAACTACCCAGGGACCTGAGATATTTCTGCATTTGTACTCCAACAACGTCGACAACAAGGAACATCTAGCCATCGTCTTTGGCGAAGATATCCGATCGAAGTCGCTGTTCAAGCGGCGGGCGGGCGAGACACAGCATGACAGAATGACCAGAGGAGCGTATGTCGGCAAGCTTCGGCCTGGCAGAGACATCGCGGACAGAGACGATGTGCTTGGAATCGAGCTCGAATTCGACGAGGATGGAAACATGGTCAACGAAACCAAGCTTAACGAGCCGGTGTTAGTCCGGATCCACTCAGAATGCTACACAGGAGAGACCGCCTGGTCGGCCAGATGCGACTGTGGCGAACAGTTTGACGAGGCTGGCCGTTTGATGGGCGCGAATGGCCACGGCTGTATTGTCTACCTACGGCAGGAGGGCCGTGGTATAGGCTTGGGAGAAAAATTGAAGGCTTACAATCTGCAAGACCTCGGAGCAGACACCGTCCAGGCCAACCTGATGCTGCGACACCCTGCCGACAAAAGAAGTTTCTCGCTGGCTACCGCTATTCTGCTCGACTTGGGACTGGTCGAGATCCAGCTTCTCACTAATAATCCCGATAAAATAGTTGCCGTTGAGGGCAAAAACAGGTCTGTCAAGGTGGTGAAACGGATTCCTATGATTCCGCTTGCGTGGCAGCAGGAAGATGCCGGAATCAAGTCCAAAGAAGTGGAAGGCTACCTGCGTACGAAAGTTGAGAAGATGGGTCATCTGCTTACCACGCCCGACGCTTGATTATAGATCGTGTAGTAATCGTACTTGGGGCTGGCCATATAAAAGATTATTATTATTATTTAGTATACCGGGTACACTTAAGGCGCGCTTTTTGGTTCGTTGAGCAGGCTCTCGATGTCTGCAGCAATTTTTGACGGGGTCTTCACGGAAGAGTATCTGCGAACCACATTTCCGTTTCTGTCGATCAGGAACTTCTCAAAGTTCCACTTGATTCCCTTGAACCCTAGTAAACCTGGCTTTTCGCGCTTCAGCCACTCAAACACTGGGCTTGCATTAGGGCCGTTCACATCGACCTTCTTCATCAGCGGGAAGTCCACTCCGTAGTTTCTGCTGCAGAACTCCACGATCTGGTCGTCTGTGCCTGGTTCCTGGTGTCCAAACTGGTTGCATGGGAAAGCAATCACAACAAACCCTTGGTCCTTGTACTTCTGGTAAATTTCTTCCAGCTCTTTGTACTGCTTGGTGAACCCACACTTGGAGGCAGTGTTCACCACAAGCACAACCTGGCCCTTGAGGTTCTCAAACGGGAACTCCTTTCCCTTATTGTCGGCAACGGTGAATTCGTAAAACTTTGACATTATGTGAATGACCCCCAGACTGCAATTTTTGTCGCTTTTATATGTCTTCATGAAAACGGGACTTCTGGTGCGAGGTGTCCATGGTATAGCCGTTTTAGTAATAACGTTGCTCGGCTCTAGAATATTTATTTCACAGCCTGGACATACGTATGACATTTAACGTCTATTTTTTCGCCGAATACAAACTCGTATTTTCTTGGGGCTTGCTTCCGCAGGGGTTCTCTATTTTCTTCGGGACTTTTTGGCCGCCGAGCCCGCAACCTTTGCTGTCGGCTCTCGCTTGCTGGGAATGCTGCGCTCGTATTCCTTCACGACACAGCCCAGCAGTGTCGCACATCTCCGGTTGATCTCGGTGGCATTTCGGCTCTGGAAAAAGAAATCAAACTCAAACATCGGGCTCAGCCTGATTTGCTCCAGAATGCGCTCGTATATGTCCTCAGTGTCGAGACCCAGTCGGTAAAGTTGCACTAGCAGGTACCGATCTTCTGCTTCGCTGAAAACTCTCTTTGACGACGAGAGAGATGACGACGGAGGGAACTTGAGCGTGAGTTCCAGTAACGGGCAGCTAGTCTCGGCCATTTTCCGACGCAGAGCCTCTTTCTGGATTTTCACCTTTCTGATCTTCTCCTCGCCAGCCTCGATCTGGCCAACATACCTTTCGTAGCCCTCGATACTTGCAATGTTGTCCCAGAACGCCTGCGCATATTCCTTGACATCTTCGTAAGTTTTGTCCTCAAACTCGGCAGCTATTGAAGAAATGGCTGTGCGACCGTACTTGACGTTCAAAGAGATGAACTGGTAGAAGTCGCGCCTGCTCCAGTTGTGGAATCCTTGAGTAAGTAGCTCCTGCTTCAGCTGCTCTTCTTCATCGGTTAGTGCTCTCGAATGATCTATCTCGAGCTGCTCAAGCTGCTGGTTCAGCTTGCGCTGCTCAGCCGTGCCGGGACCCTTAGCCAACTCGGCTGCTTGTTTTGTCTTTCTCTTGTAATAATTGCGCTCCAGATCGTACAGCTCCCATAATTGTGCCGGGAAAAATTGATGGTCGTAAATCGGAGTTTGTTTGAGTGGCTTGACGCCCGGAAATTGAGGCTGAGCAGAGCCAGACCGGTGGCCTGGGTTGAGAACATCTCTATAATAGTTGTCGATGGAGTAATTCTCCTTCCGCTCTCTCTTTGAAGGGTTGATCCATGTGTAGACGTTTCCAAGAGGCCCCGCCACCGCTGGGTCCTTTTTCTGGAACGTCTTACCATCCCACTCATACAAAGAGTCCGACGCTGTAGCGAAATTCTGTAAGTCATCGAGTCCAAGCTTCGAATACTTGTTGTTTAACTCTTGTGTTTTCTTCTCTGACTCCATCAAAATCATTTCTATCTCATCATCATCCAACTGTTCTTTTTCTTCTTCTTTGGAACTCTCAAGGTTCTGGCCCAGTACATCGGCAGCACCGTATTGGATCATGTTTAACAACTCATCCTTGGAGTTGGCCTTCGTCTTATCCTGCTGAACGTTCATCTGTCTACCTTGCTGGATGACTAGTTGATCTAATCTCAGTTTCTGAGAGGCCCTCTCCAACACCTTTTCCTCAATGGCTTTTTGGGTCACGAATCTAAACACCCTGACTTGCTTCGTCTGTCCAATACGATGAGCACGATCCATAGCTTGCAGATCCGCCTGCGGATTCCAGTCAGAGTCATACAGAAAGACAATGTCCGCAGACGTCAGGTTGATACCGAGTCCACCAGCTCTTGTGGTGAGCAGGAAAACAAACTTCTTGGAGTCAGGAGCAGAGTACTCGTCAATGGCCCGGATTCTATCAACATGGTCGGTTTGTCCATCAATACGACAGTACTCATATCCTCTGAATGAGCAGTAATCTTCCAAAATGTCCAGCATTCTACTCATCTGCGAGAAGATCAGCACACGGGAACCTTGCTCCTTGAACCGTTTGAGCATCTTATCCAGTACCTTCATCTTCTGCGAGTTGTAAATCAGGTGCTCGTCTGTTGTGTATGGAGGGCCTGGCTCCGCTCCTTCGAATAGATACGGGTGGTTGCAGCACTTTCTCAGTTGCATGACTATGTTGAGCAGTCTGGTCTTCGACTCGCGTTTTCCATTCGCACCATTAACGGCGTCTATGTCTCTCTCTAGAAGCTTTTGGTACCACTTCTTCTGCATCTCTGTCATCCCAACATACACGTTGAGCTCTTTTTTTGGTAGCAAGTTTTTCTCGACGTCTGACTTTATTCTTCTCAATAGGAAAGGCTGCAAAACTTTATGCAGTTGATTAACAATTGTTTCGTCCTTGTTTTCTGAGTCGCCTGAGGAAAACCAGTCGTCGAACGTCTCTGAGTCTGCGAAAACGTCCGGAAGCAGAAAGTTGAGCAAAGCCCAGAGCTCGTGTAAATTATTCTGTAAAGGGGTACCGGTGATGAGCAGTCTATTTCTTGAGTGGAAGGTTCTGATGATTTGAGACAAAAGCGAGTCTTCGTTCTTTAAGCGATGGGCCTCGTCAACCACAATGTACTCCCATGCAAACTTCTTTAATGCCGTCTTTTCTCTAATGACTATCTCGTACGAGGATATAACAACGTCAAACCTGCACGTCATCAGGTTCTCTTTGATAATTTCGTTTCTCTGTTGCTGATCTCCGGTTAGAACCAATGTTTCCACCTGGGGAGTCCATTTAGCGAACTCTCTTTGCCAATTCTCCAGCGTCGACTTTGGAACAATCACCAGATGCGGTCCCGCTATACCCTTGATGTATCGAAGATAACCAAGAAACGCGATTGTTTGCAGCGTTTTTCCCAAACCCATTTCGTCCGCCAAGATTCCCGAAAGGTTGTTTTGATTGAGCGAGATCAGCCAATTGAGTCCCTGTATTTGGTACGGTCTAAGTGTTCCATTGATATATGAGGGGCTCTCGGTGAACTCAAAATTGTCCGACAACAAGTCCTCGTCTTTCAGGAGCTCTGCATCCTCCTCCTTTTCAGTCTTTCGGTGTCTGTGATCCTGACCAGATCTGTTTGTGTCTGTCTTATCCTGTTGCAGCAATTTCCAAACTTCAGCAAATTTGGGGTCGCTAGAAGCCTTTGATTGCAGAAAATGCTGAAACAGGCCAGTTAGTCCCAGTAAATACCTGAATCTTGTAGCTGTTTCCTGCACATTAAAAGGTTTCTTGTCACCCTCGGCGAAATACTTCGCTTTCTTTGCTTGCGGCGACAACGGCTGGTAGCTATACGTTATCGGCGTTGGGGGTGCCAATGGAGGAGCCGGCGTGTTCTCCGAAGAGGCGTCAACGCTAGAGCTGGGAGGTACTTCGGCCATGAAATTGCAACAGGGAGTTTTTTTCCTTGCAATTTTCGTTTTGTACGCGTTTTGCCAACTAGCCACGGTGCACCGCCTCATGTCTATCCTAAAGATAAATTACTAATCTAACATAAAAAAATCATATTTATCTTTCAAGATGTTGACCGCAACGCACCAACGTCTGACTAACACTCATCTCCCCACTCCGGAGCCCGAACATTGTCCTGGTCCTGAGAGTGAGAATGCTGGAAAGTCGGATGCCTGCGCTGGGTGCGCTAACAAGGAGATTTGTGAGTCTTTGCCCAAAGGACCGGATCCAGATTTGCCCTTGATAAATAAACGTCTTGCAAACATAAACCACAAGGTACTGGTGCTTTCTGGAAAAGGAGGGGTGGGGAAATCGACTTTCACCTCGATGCTTTCGTGGGCACTTGCTGCCGATCCAGGACTAGAAATAGGTGCCATGGATTTGGACATTTGCGGACCGTCCCTCCCCAAAATGCTTGGTTGCGAAAATGAGTCCATCCACGCCTCCAACTCGGGATGGTCCCCCGTGTACATTAGTGACAATCTCGGAATGATGTCTATACAATTTCTGCTCCCGAAGGAGGATTCCGCCATCATCTGGAGAGGTGCGAAAAAAAATGGTCTGATAAAACAGTTCCTCAAGGACGTGGACTGGGGCCAGCTCGATTACCTCGTTATTGACACGCCTCCAGGAACCTCCGATGAACACTTGTCTGTCACGAACTACATGAAAGACGCTGGAATAGACGGGGCGTTAATTGTTACTACGCCGCAAGAAGTTGCATTATTGGATGTTCGCAAAGAGATCGATTTTTGTCGTAAGGCTGGCGTGAAAGTTCTGGGAATCGTGGAAAACATGTCTGGGTTTGTGTGTCCGAATTGCGGTGGTGAGTCCAAGATTTTTAAGCCGACCACGGGAGGCGGAGAACGGCTTGCCAAGGAGATGGGACTCAAGTTCCTGGGCAGTGTTCCTCTGGACCCCCGTATTGGAAAAAGCTGCGACTCAGGAGAAAGCTTTCTGGATCTATACCCGGACTCGCCGGCTTGCGAGGCCATTCTCGATGTCGTCGACGCGCTTAGGGACGAGATTGAATCCGAAAATTAATTAATCAATTGCATCTATCGTTATTTATCTATTTAGCAGGCAATCTGCTTCTCAAGTAATTCATCTCGCTCGACGGAAGATCCAGGCTCAGTAGCTGCTGCTCGTTGTAGTCGAGCGACAAGTCGAATATGAGACGAATCACCTCTCTGTACATCAAGGTCTTTGCGATTCTTGCCTTGGGATTTGACTCGCGTAGAAGAACCAGTCCGTTGAGCAGCTTTTTGGTGTGATTCTTGACAGCGTTCTCGTCGCTGTTCTTCTTGAGCTGGATATATTCGTAGTATATCTGAGCACCAATCACCCAGTCAGACAAGGTTTTAAACCTGACAAGCAGCTTCTCCAGTTCATCGAGATTGGCGTTGGCAATCACAAATTCCGGAGCCACGTCGCTCAAGGCCAGTTTGTGGGCCTCGTCCATCGATCCTGCCTCAACGAGCGCCCAGACGGCCCTCACGGAATCTCCATCCTTTTCAAATCTCCTGGATCTGGCCTGGTGAAGAATAGACTTTGGAAGTCTGTAGGTCTGGTGCAAAGTGTCCAGTCTCATGTCGTTATCCAGGAATCTGAACGAGTCAATGTTCAGTTTGATCAGGCTCGAGATCTCGGACTCGCAGAGCGCATCGTCACTCAAATGCTCCAAAACAAACAAGGCCTCTTCGTAGTATTCCTGTGAGGCGAGTTTCTGGCTTAATTGGAGAACCACGTTGTCAATATCTGGCAAGTTCAAAACACTGTTCAGCTTCTTGAACAGCAGGAACTGTGTCTCGTTGTCGTAGTGGACAACAACGGAAGACGGCGACTTCAGAAGCTTGAACGCGAGGTAATACTTGTCTTGCGCACTTGGGGCAACCCATAGCTTTGACTCGTGATCAATAACGTCGGTAACCAGTTCTCTGATGCTGCGGTTTGTGTCTCCGTATTTCAGTTGCATCAAAAGAACGGTCGGCCACGAAAGCCCTTTCAGATGCGGCACAATGTCGTTCGACAGTGTGTATCCTGCCAAAAGCTTGTAAACTTTCAGCACTGGAGCGGGGATGTACTGGAGTGTAGAGGTGGACTCCCATTCTTTTAGCTGCGCTCTTGATAGTCTTCTAACTGTAGGATCGTTCGAGTCTATAAGTGTCAGAATAACAGACAGATGGTTGTTCGACGACTCGATCGCTGTCATCACCGCCTTTGCTATGTCACCGGAGCATATGTGCAAGTATGTTCTCGCAAGAGCATCTGATTTTGAAGCTTCCAGCAGCTTGCTGATTTCTGGCAAGCTGTGATCGTGCAACCAGTCAATCAACAGCTCGCGGCGTTGAAGGTCAATGAATGTTTTTCTCAGCTGTGGTTTTCCTGCATACGCATCCAACTCAGCTTGTCCCAGGAACGACTCGCAGTATCTGTCATCGAAGAGGCGCGCAATCAGATCCCAGAATTTGTACTCGCTCGAGTTCCTGTAGATGTTGAGAATGGAGTGTAGTGAAACGTCTTCGTCAGGCTTGATCAGCGGATATGAGTTTTCTCTTGCTATGACTTTCATCTGGCGCATTTCGCCCGCCAGCACACTTTTCAGCGTCTGCAAATCCTCAGAGTGCACTGGCTTCATTTCCACTTTCTTGCGTTTGTGCGAGTCTCTGTTGAAAAATAGCTCGTTCACACTTTTAGCAGACACGTCCATTTTTTTCGAGTAGTCATACTCGTTGCTGAAGACAGACTCAAACCCGGAAGCCAGCTCCAGCTGCTGGCTCCAGCTATCGCTAGTTTCGAACTTGGCCTCTTTCTTGAGAACCATCATATCGATTTCCTCCAGCTCTGGCTCGTATGCGCGCACATGCACCAGATCGTCGAAAACGGGGTCTTCAGGAAGAGCCTCGTCTTCCATGTCGCTGAGGTCATCGTCTGGCTCCGGTGCGTCTACCTGAATGTAGTCCTCCTGGCCGAGTTCTATGCTGTCTTCCATGTTTGCGTCTTCTGGCTCTGCAGTCCATCCGCCGGGAACAGCCTCCAGATCGCCTGTATATGAGGAAATGCGTTTAAACGCCTCTTTCTTTCCCGTCTCCTTGCGTTTCTCGCGCTCATTCTCGCTCTCTAATTGTTTTCTGAAACGCTGGACAAGCTGGGGATCGTCTTCGTCCTCGTCAACCAGTCCCCATATACTGAAATGGTCGACCCTGAAAGTGTATGTTCCTGTGATTGGGTCGTAGTTGACGAACGCCATTCCTGGGGTACTTTTCAGTCGATTGATATGTGCAGAGACTTCGGGAGCAGAAGGATCGGTAATTCGCGTCTTGGTCGCCTTATCGAAAGGATAGCATTTTTCCAGACTTATCACGGCTGGCACGTTCATACCATTTCCGGGCGACGGCTTGTCTGTTCCGTCAGGATACACTTGCACTATTCTTGGTCTGAAGACAACGTGCACACCCAAAATCTGATCCAGTCTGCTGTGGAATGCCGACAAGTCGACAGGATACGAGAACGAGACCTGGCCAAATCCTTTGCATCCAACGGTGAAATTCTGCACATGCATCAGGTCCTGCTGTGTCATTTTAGAGAGTTCCTCAATTGAAGGCGAGCACCAGTAGCCGTCGGGAATGTTTGAGGAGCTGACATCCTGTTCGGCTGGCACAGGCGATTTCAGCAGCTTATCTTCTTGTCTGAGAAATGAAGGCTTGAAGTTGGACACAACACGCATAAAACCGTTCGATCTTGCTGTTTCCTTGCCAAGAAGCACCTCGTCCGGGTTGATCTCGTAGTAGTTTTTGTGCGTTCCTCTGGGGTTTCGGATTACCAGCTTTCTGAAATCGGACTTGGGTAACGAAACAGAGTCCTCTGAAAATGAAACCGGATCCACTTTGGGTCTCTTGGCCTCGTGCACCTTGTCCGACGTGAAAATGCCCGTCACGGTCTCCATTGGGTACTTGAGAGTGCCCGAAAACGGTTTTGAGAGACGGCCCAGAAACGACAGCGACGAGGCGTGTTTTTTCGTCTCGTGCGACGCTAGCGAGGACGCCGACCTCCTGCGTTTCAGCTGGGTGTCTGTGTTTGGGGCGCGCGACGTCAACGCCTGCGGCATCTCAGATTCCTGTGCCGACGCCGACGCGATGTTGACTCCATAGGGGCTCGAGGACGGCTGGGCTGGCTGGGTCTGCTGCCCGGCAAACAGAGCATTGCTCGTGGTCTGCCCCGTGCTCTGCGAGTTCCCAAAAATGTTGGGTTTCGACGTGCTGCCAAAGCTGAACCCATTGGGCTGGGTGGTGGAGCCGAACATGAATTAAGGTAATGTTTATTTATTCAAAAATTTGTCTAATTATTTTTCTACACAGAATTGTGTGTGGCAGAATTTTCATGCAACTGGCATTTTAGCCATCACGTCGAAACTGCCGGTTCCGACGTTGTTGAGCTTTCCGATGACGATCCGCGCGGACGGCGACTGCAGCTCCTCGCGGTCGTTGTCCAGGACGGCCTTGGTCAGGAACTGGCACGTCGTCTCGTACGACATCTTGGTGAAGGACGACGTGGACGAGTCGATGCCCTGTCTGTTGAACGCAAGGTACGTGCCCTCTCTGGTCATGTAGTCGGCGATCAGGTCGAGGTGTCTGGACGACACAGAGATGGCGTACCGTCCAAACACGTTGTTGACCTCGTTGACAATGGTGTTTCTGGCGGCCTCGACACCGTAGGTGCGTAGCACGGCAGCAATGTCGTTGGAACGGATGTCGTTGACGTTGATGAACGCGTCGTGCTCCCACATGGCGCCGAAATTGACACCTTCGGTGACCAGAATACGCCTGCCCTGCTCGTCTTCTGGATGCAGACATCTGCCGATGCCGCTCACCTCGCGCACCACCACAGCCTTGCACACGGCCTCGATGATGTTCACCATGAGCAGTTTCTGCGTGTCGGCGCTGAGCTCGAGCTTGAAGTCGCACCACGAGCCGTGCTCGTCGTCGTAGTTGAACTGGCTCACAAAGTTGTGGTTGATGATCACCTCCTGCTGTCTCTCGCGAGCAGCCTTGGACATGTTTTCCTTGATGAGGTTGGACTTGGCCACGTCGACGTCCATTTTGTCGTCGTCGTCGTCGGACTCGGACTCGGACCCGGACGAGCTGTCGTCAAGCAGCGACTCGTCGTCGGACTTCTCTGCACGGCGCATCGTCTCGACCTCCTCGTCGTCGGGGCCGTCGTACGAAACGGCCTGCTTCGTGTTGCTCTTGAGCTTTTCGTCGTCGGCGTCCTCGTCGACAACGGCCGCCGTCTGCGCGCCGAGCTCGGTCTGCGAACGCGCCACGGCCTTGCCGACGGCCGGCAGCGACTCGCTCGAGGCCTTCTTCTGTTTCTTCACCTCCTTGATGATGGCCGTCTCGAGCGCCTGGATGAACTTCGTCTTGATCACGTGCTCCAGCTCCTCCTTGGTGACGTCGTACTCCTGCGTGTAGTCGGCGCAGTCGAAGAAGCGCATGTTGATCTCGTACGAGCGCGCCGCCTGCGCGCCCGTGCTGCCCGTCGTCTCCACCACAGACACGCCGCTGATGAACTCGGAGAACCGGATCTTGGTGATCGACTTGCAGAACGCGTCGGCGGCCGCGTCGTCGACGTCGTCGAGGATCGGCAGCGTCATCTGCGGCGTCTTGATCGACGCCGACGCCGTCATCACGATCTCTCGCAAACGCGGGATACCCAGCGTCACGTTTGCGGCGCCGTGGCCCGCAAAGTGGAACGTGTTGAGCGTCATCTGCGTCGACGGCTCGCCGATCGACTGCGACGCAACAATGCCCACGGCCTCGCCCGGGTTCACGAGCGACCGCATGTACTTGAGCTGCATCAGCGCCTTGAACTTCTTCTGCGTCAGCCCGCCCCTCGTCTTGGCCTCTTTGCCCGAAACAAACAGGTGCTGGTTCTCCTCGATGAACTTGTCGAGCTCGTCCTCGAATTTGTCCGAAACAGAGCCCAGATACTTGCTTGGGTTGTACACCGACACCGTCGGGTCGTACTTGAGGCTCTGTGCGTAGTGCGGCAGCGCGGCCTGTTTCTTGAGCTGCTTGCGGAACTTCTTGTTGTACGACACCGCTGTCTCGGTGTCCAAGTTGTCGATCGACGACGGACTGTATTTCTGCAGCAGCGAGTTGTAGTTCTCCAGGAAAAACTTGAACTGGTGCATGTACGACTCCTTGGTGACGTCGATCGAGTCGCCGCCGTACAGGAACTGGATCAGCGTGCCGTCGGCGTTTCTGATCGTGTTGTCGTACGAAACGTGCACGCCCTCCAGCTGTTTGGTCAAACAACGCTGCAAGTAGCCCGAGTTGGCCGTCTTGACAGCCGTGTCGATCAGACCCTCTCTGCCGGCCATGCAGTGGAAATAGTACTCCTGCGGACGGATGCCCGAGTAGAACCGATTCTTGATGTAGCCACCAGCCCGCACGTCGGTCTCGAACGGCTTGAAGCACGGCAACGTCTTGCCCGACACCATCACCGGCACTCGGCGGCCCTCCAGAGCCTGCTGGCCCAGAAGACACATGATCTGCGACACGTTCACGTTCGAGCCCTTGGCCCCCGACAGAGCCATCGTCTGCATCGCGTTCGCAGGGAACTTCTTCATCGTTCCTGCCGGCACACACTGCGACACCACCTTCGACGTGACGGCGTTGACCTTGGACTGCGCGACCGCGTCCAGAATGGCCAGCTTGCCGTCGTCGCGCAATATCTCCTCCATCCGTCTCAAAAACTCCGGGTCGTCCACCTTGACGTCGCGGTCGAGATTCGTCACCTCGGCAGCCGCAACACGGCCAATGTCCGAGCTCTCCTCCAACAGGCTTCTTCTCCACTGGTTTCCGTCCTCCGTCAGCTTCAGGTCGTCCATACCACAAGTCAGCCCCATCATCATGTTGTAGTTCGTGAACAGTCGGCCCAGCACAGAGAGCGCCTTTCCTGCCACCGTCGGGCCGTAAACCTCGTGCAGCGAGTGGATAAACCCGTACTGCGACGCGCCGTACTGCGACTTGTCCAGGATCCCGCACAGGAGCTCGCCGTTCTGGAAAAGCACCTCGTTCTCGCGAGAACCGTCGCCCCAGTACTCGTTCTTGATCTTGTTCTTCGACCGGAGATTGATCCCCGGCAGCTCCTGCGGCTTGATGTTGAGCAGGATCGTCGTGATCACCTGCTTGCCCGTCCACAGCGGCTCCGGCTTCAGCACGGCAGGCGCAACCGTCACGAGCCGCGACCCGGTCGAGTGCCCGTCCTCCGGGCGGATACACCCGTACACCAGCTGCTGGTACTTGTCCCTGGTGAAGAAGGAGTCCTTGCTGGTGAGCCAGACGCCGGCAGAGATGTGGTCCTGGATGAGTCCTCTCACGGGAGAGCCCGCGGTCGGCGTCAGGTACTGCGAGTCGGTGTTGGCGAGGTTGAAAGCCTCGGCACGCGCGTTCTCGTTCTGCGGGAAGTGCATGTTCATCTCGTCTCCGTCGAAGTCGGCGTTGTAGGCTCCCGTGTTGGCGTAGTGCAGCCGCAGCGTCTTCTCGCCCGGCAGCACTCTGACCTTGTGGCCCATCATGGAGGCCTTGTGTAGAGTTGGCTGTCTGTTCATGATCACCACGTCGTTGTTTCTGATGTGTCTGTAGACTTTTTTGTTCACCACGTCCGAGCCGTTGGACGGGGTGAGCAGCTGTTTGGCGATGGCCGTTCTCTGCTCCAAGCTCATGCCCACCAGAGACACCAGGCTGCCGTCCTCGTTCTGCACTTGCAGTGCTCCAGGCCATCTGTCTGGCCCGTTGATGACGGCCTGTCTGAGCTCGGCCACGTTGTGGACGGTGACCGGCTCCGGGTACGTGAGTTTCTTGGCGAACACGGGCGGAACGCCGATCTCGTTGGTCTCGATCATTGGGTCTGGCGAAATGACCGATCGCGCCGCGTAGTTCACACGTTTGCCCATCATATGCTTCCGGAACAGTCCCTCCTTCTTCTCGAGCGCCTGCTTGACTCCTGGGTGCGCGGTGTTGCTGTTTTGGTTCTGGTTCTTGGTGGAGTCGATGAAGCCGTTGACGTCGTTCTGCAGCGTGACAAACGCGTTCATCAGCCGGTTGAAGATGATCTTGCGGTCCTCCGTACTGATATCCTTGCTCAGGACCGAAAACTGCTCGTTCAGGTCTCTGATCATCAGAGACGTGGTGAGGATCTTAGACAGCAGCTCGTTCTGGGAGTTCTCGTGAACCTCGTCGCCGAGCTTCGAGGGAAGCCGGAACCGCGTCGGCGGCACCACAAGAGCGTGGATGAAGAACATGTCTGCGGAAACAGGCGACCCGCTCAACGGCCGGGAGTGGAACAGCAGGTCCATCACTTTCTGCTCCGTCTTGAACACTTTTCTCAGAATGTTGCGCACCTCCGTCGACAGAACGTATTTCGAGCCCTCTCTGGGCTGCGAGTATGGGTCTGTCTCCGGCTGCTTATCCTTAGACCCGTTCTTCAGCATATCCTGCCTCTTGAGACCCTTGATTCGGTTGTTCGTCAGCTGCTTGTCCTTGAGACCGAGCTCGAAGATCTTCGAAAACCCGTCTTTTCTAAAAGGCGGCGAGTACATTCCACAGTTGTCGCATCTCGGCCTGCTCAGAATGTGCTTGTAGAAATCGTGAATCACGGCTTTTCTCTCTTCTGCCACCGTAGCAGTCATGACGCCCCTCTCCGTGGTGCGGCCCTCAGAAAGCGCCTTCGCAATGCGGATTTCAACAAACTCCTGTCTCTTGTCCATCAAGTCTTTGTCGGACTTGCTGTTGACGGCAACTGGACCGTCGTCTTCGATGGCCTCGTCTTCGTTCAATTCGGCGTCCGAGCGCATGTTGTCCAGTTCGAGAGCCTCGAGCAGTAGCCCGTACTGAATCAGTCGCAGTTTACATTCGTACTTGTGCACTTCCGTGGCTCTGAGTCTGAAATGGTGGCAGTATAGACAGGAAGACCTCAGAAATATGTACATTTGGTTGAAAAACAGAGGGTTGTAGACAGGAATCGGCAGCTCGATGTGGCCCTGGTGGCCCGGACAGGACTTGTCGTCCAGTCCGCACGTGGCACACAGGTTTTTGAGAAAGGCTCCAAGACTCAGATCGTACAGACCCCCGGGCACTGGGTGTCCTAGATTGTCAAACACCGTGGGATTGGTGATCTGTTTGGCAGACAGTTTGCGAACATCGGAGGTGGTGAGCACTCCAAAGTCGACCGACTCTATCTGGGACCCAACTGGCTTGGCAATGTTCATGATGATCTGCCTTTTGGAGTCCTAAATCAACAATTAGAAAAAATACAAAAAAATATCTGAAATTTTTTTATCACCTAAAAATTTTCAATCCGGGTAATATGTATTATAAACGCAGCAGAGACTTCGTGGCAGGCCTAGTAGTTCACTGGATATCCAAGGTATTCTTGAGTTTCTTGATCAGCAGCCAGTCCTCCCTAGGCACAGAGTCTCTAAATGCTGGGTCTTTCAGAGTGTCAATCGACTTTCTCGAGATCAAAGAGTACAGAGGATCTTTTTCATCAACATGTCTTCCCCAGGTAGGCTGCTGTCCCGAAGGAGCCTCCAATCTCATTGCCACACCGGCGTTGGTCTGGCCCTTTCTGACAGAGTCTCTGGACTGGTGGTTGACCTCTAGAGACACAACTTTTCCGAGTGGTAGCGGAGCGTTTCTGCCGGTAGCAGGATCTGGCTTCACCACACAAATCGGAGTTCCAATTTGCACCATGCCGTCCACAACGTCCACACCAATGATCATTGGGTTTCTCTTGTTGATGATCTGCAAAGTCTTCAGCACACATGGGTAGATGGCATATTGCTGGTTCTCCTTTCTTCTCTCCTCCAGCAGTTTCTGCTGATAGGCCGTGAACGAGTCGAACAGATGGTAGATAATATCGGCGTTGAAGATGGTGACGCCCTGCTCATTGGCGTATTGTTCAGCCTCCTTGTCGATTTTGACGTCGAAACAGAGCATGACCGCATACTCCTTGGCCTTGTCCAACATGGCAGCGGCCTTCATCACATCTCTTTTATAAACAGGACCCAGGCCGATGGACATCACCGGGATCTTCATGTCCTTGAGGAAGTCCAGCAGGGCCTCCAACGAACCAAGCGTCGAGGCCTGGACGGTGACACCTCTTCCAGAGGAGTCGACAGAGTCGAGCAATCCCGTCAAGTCGTCCATGACCTCGTCCATAAGCTCGTCCTCGTCGTCGTCCTCGCCCACAACGAGCAGTCTGGAACCAGCAACGGCTTTTTCCAGGTCGTTGGCAGCGATCTTCACACCCAAAGCGGCCTTCACCTCCTTGTGGTGCACGTACTCGGACTTTATACGCAGCTCTCTGGCCGGCGGAGGCGTGAGCAGAGCTCTGATATTCGTGACAATTGGACCGTTCATACCGCACAGAACGATCCGGTCTCCTTCTCTCAGAATTCCGTTCGACAGCACCACATCAATGGTGGTTCCGAGTCCTTCGACAACCTTGACTTCCAGAATGGTGGCCTCCACATGCGTGAGATACTTGAGCTGTTTGCTCATTCTCTTCTGAGTCAGCTCCAGAAGCAACCACAGCAAGTCCGGAACACCTTCTCCGCTAACGGCAGACGTAGGCACAATCGAAACGTATCTGGACAGGTTGTTGTTCTGGAAGTAGAGCTCCGAGTTAAGTCCCTGTTCGGCCAGCGCAACCTTGATGGCCGTGTATCTGGTCTCAAACTCCTGTTGCACGGCCCTGGTCTGCTTGGCAAAGGAGTCACGGAACGAGTTGTTAGGAATGGCCTTCCAGTCGTACAGTCTGTCGATCTTGTTCAGAGCCACCACAAACGGAGCCTTTCTGTCTCTCAGAAGCCTGATGGACTCCAACGTCTGCTGCTCCAAACCATGCATGATGTCGATCACCAAAATGGCAATGTTACACAGAGAAGAACCTCTGGATCTCAGGTTTGTGAACGACTCGTGACCTGGAGTATCGATGATCAGTAATCCTGGAACCTCGTATACCATCTTCTCGTATGGAGCCATGACCGCAGTCTTCTGCTTGATGGCCTCCACCGGGAAGTATGTGGCACCGATCTGCTGCGTGATACCACCAGCTTCGCCTCCTTGAACGTTGGTCTGTCTGATTTTGTCCAAAAGCTTGGTTTTACCGGTATCCACGTGACCCAGAATACAGCAGATAGGAGAGCGCAAATTCGACTCATTGTTAAGCTTGCCATTCTTCTCTGGAGCAGGAGAACTCTGTTTGGTAGCCTCCACATTCGTCTCCGAAACGCTTGTCTGCTCTTTCTGTGCTTGCGGCTCTTGCGATGACTCTTTCTCGGTCTCTTCGTCCTCGTTCTCTTCTTCCTCGTCCAGAGCAGCCTCCCAGTCGGCAGCCACGTCCTCGTCGTCATCGAGGGCCATTTTCTCCCAGTCGTCGACCAATTCCTCTTCCTCCTCGTCTTCTTCGGTAGTCTTTTCTTCGACAGTCTGAGAAACCGCCTTGGCTTGAGCGGCCTGGGCAGCCTCATCCTCCTCTTGCTGCTTCTTCGAAGGCTTCTTCTTGGAACCATAAACAACCTTCTTCGGCTTGACTGGCTCGGCAGACTGGTTCATAACGCCCGGAACAATAATATTGCTGGCCTGGAGCAACTGCTGTCTTCTTCTCTCCTGCAACTGTTTCTCCTGTTTCTGTTTCTTGGTCAGGTACTTGCCCTCTTTCTTGAGCTGTTCCCTCTTGGCCTTATCCTTCTCTTTCTTCAATCTCTTGGCTTCCTCCTTGGCCTTCTCCTCCTCCTCAAGACGTTTCTGCTCTTCCTCCTCTCTCAGTCTCTCTTCCTCTTCCAAACGTCTCTGCTCCTCCTCGGCCTGTTTTCTGAGCTCCATCTGTTTCTTGAGAGCCGCAATACCAGCAGCCATCTTTTTGGCCTTTTTGGCACCCTTGTTGGCAGCAGCCTTGTTCTCCTCTTCTTTCGAGGCCGCTTCCTCCTTGGCAGGCTCTGAACCTTCAGAGCCAGGCGCTGGTGTGGTCTCCTTGGAATCATCCTTCGGAGCCTGGGCCTTCTTTCTCTCGGCGAGCTGTTTCTTTCTCAATTTCTCCTTCTCCTTCTTTTCTCTCTCTTTCTCCTTCTTACTCTTAATGATAGGGCCCTTTTGCTGTGGAGCCTGGGCCTTCTCTTCTTCCTCCTGCTTGGCCTTGGCCTGTTTCTTGTTCTTGGCACGCTTCAAGTTGGATAGGAAATCGTCGGCAAAATCTTCAGCTGCCGCTGGAGTTGCCTCCCTGCTAGGTTCTGCTGTCTCGGCCGGGGATGAAGCCGAGCCTATTTCTTCGGCTTGTGGCATTTCTGCCTCAAGCTCTTCGTCCAAATAGTCTCCAGCCTTTTGACTCTTCTTTCCCTTCTTCGCCATTTTGATGGTGTTGTTTGTTGTGTCTGTTTAATGAATGTATTTGACTAGATCAGATCTGTCGGAACATACGAGAGGCGCAATTCTGTAAAGCTGTATGCTCATCCGTTTGCCTCTGCAAAATTTACACGGTGAACTGCAGGTTGCGGATCAGTGATAGTACAATACAGGGGGATAAGGTCCTGTATCACAAGCGTTTAGTTTAGAATGACACTTTAACTTTACAAAAGGGCTAAAAAATTTTCAAGAGACACCACAGACCACACCGTCGCGTCGCCAATAATTTTGCAAAAAAATTATTATATCCACCATCTTTGTTCACCATGACCACAGTCGAGAAAATCAAGGCCATCGAGGAGGAGATGGCCAGAACGCAGAAAAACAAGGCCACCGAGAAGCACTTGGGTATGCTGAAGGCCAAGCTCGCCAAGCTCAAGAACGAGCTGTTGAAGGACGCCAACTCGGGCGGAGGAGGAGGAGGACCAGGGTTCGACGTCAAGAAAACGGGAGAAACCATAGGATTCATTGGGTTTCCGTCTGTCGGAAAAAGTACTCTACTATCGAAACTCACAGGAACACACTCAGAGGCAGCAGCATACGAATTTACCACGCTTACCACGGTCCCTGGTGTCATTAGATACAAGGGAGCCAAGATCCAGATGTTGGATCTTCCTGGTATCATCGAAGGTGCCAAGGACGGCCGTGGTAGAGGTAAACAGGTTATTGCGGTGGCGCGTTCTTGTGACCTCATTTTCATAGTGCTGGACGTGAACAAGCCTTTGCAGCATAAAAAAATCATAGAGAGCGAGCTGGAAGGTTTTGGTATCCGTTTGAACCAGTCGCCACCAGATATCCTGCTCAAGAAGAAGGAGAAGGGAGGAATCAATATCACAAGCACCGTACCATTGACCAAGATCGACCACGACGAGATCAAGGCAGTGTTGCAGGAGTACAGAATGAACTCGTGCGACGTGCAGTTCCGTTGCGATGCCACCGTCGACGACCTGATCGACGTCATCGAGGCCAAAAACAGAAGATACATCCCGGCCATCTACGTGCTGAACAAGATCGACTCGTTCTCCATCGAGGAGCTGGACCTGCTCTACAGAATCCCCAACGCCGTTCCTATCTCGTCTGGAAGCGGCTGGAACTTGGACGAGCTGCTGGAAATGATGTGGGACAGACTTCAGCTTGTGCGAGTCTACACCAAACCAAAGGGCAAGCTGCCAGACTTCAGCGATCCGGTTGTGCTTCGGGCCGGCAAGTGCACGGTAGAGGATTTCTGTAACAAGATCCACAAGTCTCTGGTTGACGATTTCCGGACTGCCTTGGTATTTGGCACCAGCGTGAAGCACCAGCCGCAGTACGTGGGGCTGAACCACGTGCTGGAGGACGAGGACGTCATTACGATCTTGAAGAAATGAGCATTTGATAATCTATGTATAAAGGGGAGCTGTTATCAGATATAGTAGGCTGCTAGCAGGAATGTGAGGATGAAAGTGATGTTGAAGCTTGGCTTTTCGAAAATCATCTGCCTGACGTCGATTAAATGGGAGCCCATTTTAATGTAGCGAGTCCAAGGAATGGAGACGATTCCTCTCGAATTGAGGAACTGGACGCCAAGATAGAAACTGAGTGATAGAAACACAAATATGGAGCTCAGCTTGCCCACCACCATGCCGCAGACTAGCCCACACATGGATCCAATAGACAGCTCCTGGTAGTCAAGTTTTCCCTCGAAAGACTTGTCGTATTGGGGTTTCTGGGCGATGTTCTGGGCGGTGGTTTCGAGCTGGAGCCGTTTTTGGTCGCCAAATGCCACCTCGTTCCTGATTTGGTTGTGATAGAGCCAGTAGCTAGAGATACCGAGCACGCCTAGCGAGACACCCAGTTTGGGCGCCAGCGGCCTGGCCATTGGTCTGCCCAGCTGGCTGGACATGAGCCTGATCCTAGGCGCGGCCTTGGAAACAAAACTTGACGTAATTGGGCCTGGTCTGAGAAGAAATCTGGAAAACATTAGAGGAAAGAAATGTTGTGCCTTTCATACATTGTTAATTGCTACCGCGCCCGAAATTTAATTCGAGTATATTTTGTTGTATTTTTTTACCCCAAAAATATGTCACTGATAACAGGTCGGTGGTCCGAGAGATAATAAGAGTCGTCGTACCAATTGTCGCCAACCTTGTACCGGACGGCTTCCCAGCTGCCCGAGTTGCCGCCAAATTGGAAGTCGATCCTGCTGAACGAGTCGGCGTTGTTTTTGAAACCAGTGAAGGTAGCAAGGTTGCCAAGTCTGTTTTCAACAGGAGTCTGCTCGATCAGATCCAAAAACTCGAAGCCTGTGTCCACATGGCTGTATTTGGAGACAAAGGTCGAATTCAGCTCGTCAGCAGAGAACTCCAGTTTCCCCGTAGTGATCTCGTACGCTCCGTTGGTCTCTCCGCTGACCTGGGAGTTGAAGTCTCCGACCAGGAACACTGGGGCATTTTTCGTTTCCTGCTCGTATGCTGCTCTGTACTTGATCAGCGCTGCGCCCAGCCGTCTCTGGTCGTCCGACTGGTCGTCAAGATGCGCGTTAATCACGACAAATTTGGTGCCTCCTTTTTTGGTCCGAAAATAGCCAACCGTGCAAGAGCGATAGGAGCCGGCGCCAGGATACTTTGAAGGCTCAAACGGCGTATTGCTCAGCCAGAACGTGTCGTTTGAGAGCAGCTCAATTGAGTCCGGGTTGTAGAAAATCGCCTGGTACTCGCCCGCCTGTGCCCCGTCGTCTCGGCCCACTCCGATGTACGGCATGTCCAAGAGCTCCTTGAGGTCTTCAACTTGTCTGTGGAGGCCCTCATTGACTGTGAACAAGTCGACCTCGTTGAACAGGACCTCGTTTTTAACGCCGATCCTGCGCGTCGACCACGGTTGCTCCGTGTAGTTGGAGTAATACGTAGTCTGTGTGTCAATGGGAACGGTGCTGTTCAGAGCCGCGATTGTCTCGCCAACGGTGATGTCGTCCGGCATGGAGTCGTATCTCAGATTCCAGCTCTGAATTCTTATTCTCGAGCCTGCTTGTGCAGAGCGGGGATAAACCATGATTAGCACAACTAGCAAGAAGATAAGAGCAAGCATTTTGACTCTCGCGGAAGAATTGGCAGTGGCGATCATTTTGCACTATGGGCCATTTGCGTTTATATAATGCATCAGTGAACGCTGAACGTGTGTTTACCCCTCGCTGGACAATGTGGTTGCAGGTTTTCAGGCACGAGATACTATTAGAAAGTTATTTTTGTTTTTTATTTGAAAAAAAAAAACTTCCACGTGGGAATCTTCATCTCTAGCCCGGTTTGGGAACGCAGCGGTACGCGACACGGGTTTGTATTTGCGCGATGAGCACACAGACCGCGGCATTTCTCGGCACGAAAGCCCAACCGGCCTCTTCGTCAGTCCAGAAGGTGTTCAATGGCCAGGACACAACAGCCGCATCGGTACCCTCTAAAGAAGAAATACAGCTGGAGTTGCTGAAATTGGAAAAATCGCTGCAGCAGGCTACGTCTCTGCACCAGCTGGTGAGACTGTTAGGGCAGATCGACTCGAAACAACAGCAATTAGACTACATTCTTCACAGATTCACAAACAAACGGTATGTGGCCCACGGCTCGTCGATTCGCGCGTTGGAGATCAGCAGAGTGGAGCTGTCGACCACGCTGAGCCATTCGCGGTCGCTCAAGAAAATCATGGACAACGCGTCGGCGCTGAGCTCGAAAATCACCGAGAGAGTGAGACTGCTCGACTCGGAAAAATCAAAAATCAAGGCTACCAAGGAGTACGTGGAAAACGTCAGAACGTTAAAGTACGAGGTGCAAAAGGCGGATGCGGCAATCAAACAGCAGGACTGGCTGGCCGCAGCCACGTCGATTGACGCCGTCCGCAACCTGCCCCCTGGTCTGATCAACGACGAGTTTGTCGAGTTCATCGTCCCCACTAGCGACCTGCCCGAGATGCCGAGCGTTCTGCTAGATTCTTGGATCTCGGAACTGAACAACATATTTCTGAGCGAGTTCAACGAGGCTGCTGCCAAAAAGGACGTGCAGAGACTCACCTACTTCTTCCAGCTGTTCCCTCTCATCGGCAAGAGCGACGTCGGGCTCAGTTGCTACTCGAGGTTCATCTGCAATATTATTAGCGACCAGTCGAGGACCAATTTGAGGAGCGTGCAAGGAAAGGACGTGCATTCGAGCTTCTATGCGCAGGTGCTGTTCCAGCTGTACCAAACCATTGCCGATATCGTTCACCAGCATTCGCGCATCATCACCAAATACTACGGAAAAGGTGTGCTCCCGAAAGTATTGAGTGCAATACAGACGGAATGCGATCTTCAGAGCGGCCTCATTTTTGACACCTTCTGGGACGCCAAAAACCTGGACAGGGCGATTAACGATATCAATAACTACGGGTACCCAATTCTCGTGGGGTCGATTTTGAGGAATATCCAGACAGACGAGGAATTACAGGACGACAATGTGGTAGTTTCTCTTGCCGAGGTTTCGAGTCTGATCGACGAGCTCTCTGCGATGCTCAACCATTGGGCAATGTACTGCAAGTTCTTTGTCGTCTCCTGGAACGAGGCTATCGATACATCGAGCAAGGCGGACGCTGTTTATCCGCAGCCGTTGCTGTTGAGCACGTTTATGGAGAAAATTCACAAGAAAATCACCAGAAGCTTTGACCAGCTCTGCACGTTTGCTATCCGAAGAACTATAGAGAAGGCGTTTCTTCTGGAAAACCTCCCTGACATCACCCCACAGCTCCAGCTCTGTGTCAGGTACCTAGCATTAGCCACGAAAACAAACGCCTCCACCAATCAGTCACTACTTTCCCTAACTCCCGACGACCCGCCAGTCACATCGATGGTCGAGGATATCACTATTTCGCTGAACCTGATCATGTTGCAGACCATCACCACTGGAGAATTTTTCACGATCAAGAACATGATGTCCAACACCAGGAGAATCCTCGAAAACGACTTCCTCAATATCATGAAGAAGAAACTCACCGACTCGCAGCCGAGACCAAACTCGGTCTTGCTCACGCCTCAAGCTATCCAGTCTCTGCATACCAATAGCCGGACCAGTCTGCCTATCAACCAGAAGGGCGGGTCTTCGACTCTGATGACCCCAAGAAGCGGCACTCCGCCAATCGGAGGCAAGGACATTAATTCTGGAAATTTATTCATGAAAAGCGCCACCTCCGCATTGAACGCAGCCATGAACTTGAGCGGTGTTGAGACAGAGACGTCAGACAAGTTGCAGCAGTTTGTCATTGTGCTCAACTCGATCAGCGTTTTCCAGGAGTATCTGGACAAACTGTCCAACAATTTGGTGGCAAAACTCGAAAACGACAATCTTCTGATCGTGGACGACCAGGAGTTCGGTCAAGTTCGCGCGTCCATGGAGAGAGACCCAAACACAGACATACAGCTTCGTGTGGATCTCAACAACGGCGAGGGGACCGAGGATAGTCCGTCAGTTAGAGACAGGCTGAAATCGGTGGTGATGACGTTGAGCACGTCCTTCATCGAAAAATCAGAGGTTGTGCTCAAAGAGAACATAAAGACGATATTCAACCAGAACTTTCGGTTCAAGCTGTCCAAGATGGTTAGCGATGTGCTGAAAGAGAGTGACTATTTGATTTCCTCTGATATTCTGGCTCTGAGCTCGACGTCGGAGGTCATGGTCAACTTCATCAGGGAATGGAACTCGCTGATCATTCCGTATCTCACCATATTCACCAGGGCCAACTTCCAAGCATTGCTGCAATTGGTGGTGTCGAACCTGGCATCCGCAATGGAACAGAAAATCTGGTCCATGGAGAGAAGATGCAACGAACTGGGAGCAGCAAAGCTGGAGAAAGACGTGTCGACCATCATCAGCGAGGTCACCAAGTACGACTACAGTCTGCGAGACAATTTCATTCGGATCACCCAGATAGTCATGATGCTGGGGCTGGACGACGACGACGAGGTAGACGAACTCAGTGATCTCGAGTGGGCCCTGACTCCCGCAGAGCGGAGCAGGGCAAGAAACTTGCGAATAGATAGAAAATAATTTGATATTGTACAATGCTATATGCTCTATATTTGCAATCCGTCGTGATTGTCTGTGTTTTCCGCCTCCCGTTGCTGCTGTTCGAGCTTGGCCTTCCGTCCTGCGATAATCTGCTCGTCTGTACGTATCTTGAAACGGCCCTGGATCATGGCCGGGTTGAACTTCGGATGGCTCAGCTCGCACTCTGGGCCTTTGGGACAAAACCCGGTGAGATATAGCGGACACATGACTTTACGAACGTGACGTCTCTGGCATTTGGGGCCGTCCGGACAGTAGCCCAGGTTCGAGTAGTTGTAACATTCGGCGATCTTCGATTGCGGGTCGACGTGGAGATAAATGCACTCGGGCGACTGTGTGCACACTCCGTTCTGCAGGTAGTACGCGCACTCGGGCATACGTTGGAGATTATATTCGTGCAAGAAGTCGCAGTCGTCGCCCATCTTGCACAGTCCCCGCAGCCAGTACTTGCACACGATCTTGTTGTTGAATATTTTAAAAGGGTGCTTGTTTTCGCAGTCGTTGCCGTTGGGGCATTTTCCCGACTGCAGCCAAAACTCGCAGATCGGCCTGTCTGGGTTGAGGCCAAAGCCGTACTGTCTGCGCAAATACGGCTCGAACTTGAAGGTCGCCTTGTCGGAGCCCACATTGAACATCCCCAGCGCGGGCATCATTCCCAGCGGCGGCATAATTGGCGGAGCCAGCGGCATAGACGGGTTCTGGGACGAGGCCATTGGCAATTAGAATTAATTAAAATATATTTATTTCGTTTTCGCCTTTTAGATAGACGTGGTCGTGCAAAGCCAAACTTTATATCCGTACTATACATGGTATCCAATATACACTCGCACAGGTCTCGTGGTCCGGTCAATGTCGTCTAAATATCTCCCAGTACTTGTCCACCATCGAACACCCTATAAACTTGCCCAGTCGCACGATCTTGTCCTGTCTGCTGAGCCTGCTAGCTTCCGAGCCCTGGCTGCCCAGCAGCTCGTAGTTGACCAGGTACTGGTCGAGCGCGGCGTTGGTGCAATTGAATAGCGCGTAGATGTTCACCAGCAGCGGCAGGCCCGCCTCGTCGTTTGCCGGGTCGACTCCGTTCGCGAAAGGGATCAGATCGTACGCCTGTTCCAGCCCTGTTCCCCTGTTCTCGTTTAGCGATCTCGCCAGTCTCTGCTCTATTCGCACAGCCGTGCGGGCCTGCTGTCTCATCTGCTGGTACAGGACCTGCTGTGTCTGGACGACGGTCTGCAGCACGTGCTGGACCTGGTACAGTTGCGGCTGGTGGGCCCCGATTTGCTGCACCATCTGTTGCGCGCTGTACAGCAAGGCCTCGACCTGGTCGGCCTGTTTCTGTACCGACCTCTGGGCCGACCCATTGCCCTGCATGTCCAGACGGTACAGGGGCGTCTGTATGGCGATCGACCTCGAAATCGAGTCTGAGTAGTCGTGGCCCGAGAGAGACCCAGTGTGCCCGTTTGAGGACGCAGACGAGGTGGAGCCACCGCCGGCCGACGCCGCGCCGTTGTTGACCATGATGCCGTTGCCCTGGAGCATCGAGTTTGGCGCCGCGTACCCGGCGGGTCCCAGGTCGGTCGGCGTGGTGAGACCGATCTCCAGCGAGCCTGTTCTGTCAGCAGCACCCGAGGCAGCGGACTCTGTGCTGGAGTCCTTGGTCTGCGACGGCGACTGTTGCGGCTGGGCGATGCGAGGCCTTTGCGTGTCAGCGTTCTTGACGAGATCGTTGGGCGCGGCCCCAAACGGCCGGCGAGTGATGGCCGATTCGGGCTGTCCCAGACGATGGGTTTTGTTTATGTGCCGTGCCAGGTTCGTGGGTCCGTTTCTGCTGGAATACCGAAACGTCTTGTCGCAGTGCATGCACTGGACGTTGGAGAAGCCGTTCTCGTTCGAGAGGTGTCTGTAATGCTGCCACACCCAACTGTTTGGAGGCCGAGGCATGGTGGGATGGGTTAGGTGAGTATTTTATTTTTCAGTTAAAATTTATCTAGGGACGATAAATAGAAAATTATTAGGTGGCCCTACAACTATCGGTCCTTCCGCTCGCGCACCATGATTTTGCGGCGGCGCATCGTCTCCTTGTTCCAGAACTCGTTTCTGTACAGTTCCCACTGCTCGCGGATGTCGGTGCTGAAAACGCGCGGATTCAGAACCACCTTCACGTCGGTGACGCCGCCGTTCGAGGTTGCCAGCTTGATCTCGAGCTCCACAAGCCAGTTGCGGAACTTGGCGACCGAGCCCACTCGCACCACCTTCGACAAATACAGCGTCTGCAGCTTCAGCACACGAATCGGTACCAGAAAGCACGACTTGAGCACCACCAGCAGAGCATCGTACATCCCGACGCGCACCTTCACCAGTCTGATGTTGAGCTGTCGCAGGCCCTTGTTTGTGATCACCACAAACTTGCGCGGCCGCACAATCGTCCGATGGTACTCTCCGCTCAGATAGAACAACAGCAACGTCACAACGTCGATGATGAATACGATCTGCGTAGCAAACCGGATGTAGCTGGAGTCGACCGTCGAGAGCAGCCGGTAGCCGCTCAGAAACAGCACCACGATCATGCTGATGAAGAACGAGAAGTACTTGCGTCGCAGGAGCTTCTGCTCCACGTTCTGCTGCCGCAGCGACTCCTCCAGGATGAGCAAGTTTTTAAATATTTTAGCCGTCTGCGAAATTTCAGATCCAGAGCCAGATTCGGGAGCTCCGTCTCTGGTGCGCGACCGCGACGAGCCGGACCGCTTGTTCTGCGGCGTGCTGCTTCGGCGACGGCCCGGCCGGCTCGGCGTCTTCGTGTGCTCGTTGTCGCTCTCTGTGTAGTTGCCATAGTCGTTGTTGGACCTCAGCGAGAGGTCGCTGGCCCGTCGTCCCTTCTTTGTCGAGATCGGTGTGTCCAACGCGCGTCCCCGCAGCTCGCCAAACGATTCTCGGTGCTGCGAGAAGTACGAGTCTGAGGAGATCGCAAAAAGCTCGGGAGCGTTGATGTCTCTGTCTGAGCCGAGCGACCACACGTCAGAGTCCGACGAGCACGCGATGTCGTCCTCCTTCTCGTTGATTCGCGGCAGCAGCGACGGCGATATCGTCGGCGAGCTCGGCGGAGACGCGACGGGCTCCAGGTCGGACGGCAAATCCGCCGCGGGCGGGTCCTGGCACTTCTTGCTGGACATGGAAATATTTATAAATTTTATTTTATTTTCTATTTAATTTGCATATATTTTCCACAGTTTTTCCCATCTTGTTTGTGCCTTAGATGCTCAATTATATGGAATACATACAAAAATGCTTTTACATCTCGACCCTGTGGAACCGCGACAACTCGTATGAGAGCTTTCTTGCCACGTCCCAACAGGTTCTGGACTTTCCGATCCCCTCGGGGTTTAGCATGGCCGTGTCCTCGAAGAACACCGAGAACAGCTTCGCCTCCATATCCATCTCGCAGCTCGGAGAGCTCGCGGGCTCGCTCTCGTACATGTACAGCTCCGTCGATCTTGCCTCTGCGTACAGCGACACCGCCTCTGTTTCGTTACAGTCCATGTTTGAAGGATACCGCTTGCTTTCGTCGCCCAGAAATTCAAACTATCACAAAAGACCTACACTGCTGTACGGGAAAATGTATTTCCCTTCGCAGTTTTTGGAGGGCATGTTTATCAAGCGGCTCTCTGAGAACTCGCAGTTGCTCGTCAAGTTCATCAACACACCCAAGCTGAACAAGCTGTCCAACTCCACAACCATAATGAACATCTGCTACCAACGCCAAACACCCAAGTCTGCGCAGGATTACGTTTTCTCCACCAACGAGGCGCTCTTTGGCCTTCGCCACATATACAACCTGGGCGCGCCCACCTCGGCAGCGGACGCTTCGCTGTTTTCCGTCGGCTGCGAGCTGTGGTGCGCTGCCCAGTCGCTGGCTCCCGGAATGTCGACGGGACTTCGCTACTCGACACACCTCACGTCGTCGGGCAAACCGCTCACAATGACTCTGGTCATCAACCCGCTGCTGGGCTCGATCGAGTCCACGTACGCCATCAAGACCAGCGTTCTGTCAACTTTCGTGTCGAAGTACAATTTCAACGTCTACTCGTACGAGAGCGATCTGTCGCTGGGATGCCATCTTTGGCGACTCTCGGACGAAAACAAGTCTGTGACGGACGAGCGCTTCAACAAGCTGAAAACCGAGCAACAGAAAGAACTGGTGGACAATTTCATGCACATCGACCCGGCACATATGCTCTCAGAAACCAATTCCACCAGACTATTTATCAGCCAGCACCAGACGTCGGATTTTAGCAGCAGTCTCAAATGCGCCACCAGCTTGAATAAACAGCAAATCAGTCTGCTCTGGGAGGGGCGGTTCAAGGACTGGCTGCTGTCGACAGGCGTCAAGTTCGACTACAAAGACATGAACCCCAGAAGTCTCGGATACGGACTAGAACTCCAGTTTTCGTCTTAATATACACTCTATCTACTCGGAGAACAGCATGCTCTCCACAGCCTTGGCGGCCTTGTCGTCGTCGCCAGACATCATCGAATCGTCCAGCTGCAGTTTGTTCTGGGCCAGTTGCAAAATGTTCTCCTCGATGGTATCTCTGCAAATTATTCTGTAAACGTTGACCTCTTTGGTCTGGCCGACTCGGTGGGCACGGTCCTCGGCCTGCTTGTCGTCGTGCGGATTGAAAGACTGGTCGAAAATGATTACGTTGTTGGCACAGACCAGATTGATACCAAACCCGCCCGCTTTGGTGCTCAGCAGCATCACAGGCACGTCGTCGGCCTCGTAAAATTTGTCGATGATTCCCTGTCGCTCGTCAACAGAGGTCTGTCCGTCCAGTCGCAGGAACTTGATCTGGTTCAAACTGAGCACCATCTCCAAGATGTCGAGCACCTGGGTAAATAAGGAGAAAACCAGCACTTTTTCTCCCTTCTCGGTCACCTTGTCGATAAGTTGCAGCATTTTTCTCACCTTTCCGCTCTGATAGTACGCCTCGTTGTCCAATTGGAACGAAGCCAGCTGCTTGGAGTACGTGTGGCACAGTCTATTCAGCTCGAAGTCGGACATGACTTGCATGTCCTCAAAAATGTAGTCTCTATTGGCATTGTAGTAGTCGTCGCTCTTCATGATGTCTCGCGACATCTTCTTCAGCTTTGGGTCCTGGTAATGTGTTCTGAACAGCAGCGGGTGCAGAGCAGCCTTACGCAGCTGCATCACCACGTTCGACGCCGACAGCGCCTTCGGCAGTTTCCGAAGCTCGTCCGGACTCATCAGCTTCCGTCTCTCCCTCTCGGCCTTGGCCTCGCGAGCCTTCTGAATCTCCTGCTGATAAACGTCCTTCTGGTACTCGTCCAGATCGCAGTACTCGATGTGATGGTGTTTGGCCGGCAGATGCTGCATCACCTGGTCCTTCTTTCTTCGCAGCACAAACGGAGCCATCATCGCACGCGCGTTGGTGATTGCCTGCTGCGAGAGTAGCGGGTTGTAGTTGTCCTCGTCGTCCGCGTCGCCGTCCTCGGTCTCGCGCTTGTGGGTCGACTTGGTGGACGCCTTTTGATCAAAAAGCACCAGCAGATCTTCGCGCTTCTCGTGAAAGATTCCAGGCAAAATAAACGCAAGCAGCGAGATCAGCTCTCTCAGGTTGTTCTGCAGCGGAGTGCCCGTCAACAGCAGCCGGAAACGTGCTCCCAGCTTCATCAGCTTAGCATATCTGTCGGAATTCGAGTTTTTCAGCATATGGCCCTCGTCGTAGACGATCACGTTGAAGTTTCTGCTTCTCAAAAAGGACTGGTCGTACTTATGGCCCGTGGCAAGCGTGTACGTCGTCACCAGGACGTCGTAGTCACTGCTGTACATCAGCTCCTCTCTTAGCTCTGCTCTAGCGTTCTGGCTGCCATAGTACGGAATCACCTTGAGAGAAGGAGAGAACTTCTGGAACTCTCTGAGCCAGTTTTCGAGCGTCGAAGACGGAACAATCACCAAATGCGGGCCGTTAGAGGACTGTTGTTTAAGATACGTCAAAAATGCAATCACCTGCAACGTCTTTCCCAGACCCATTTCGTCGGCAAGAATACAGGAGAGTCTTTTTTGGTACAACAAGTTCAACCAGTTCATTCCAACAATCTGGTAGTTTTTCAGCTCGAACCCGTCAGCCATCAGCTTTGGCTTGTGCCTGTAGTAGTCGACTTTAACCAGAGGCGGTCTTCCGCGCGGTCTGCCGCTTGATTTGGACATTTTCAGAGTGAACTCTCTGTCCTCCATATCGTCGTCAGAAGTGAGCGCCTCGTAGCTTTCGTTCTTGCTCTGCGAGTTTTCGTTGGAGAACAGCGTCTTGTCCGACATGTCGTCGTCGCTCTGCTCGCTCTTCACGTCGATATCAACAATCTCCAGCTCCCCCTTGTCGTTGTAAACCTCGGCGCCCCATTTATGGATGGCTTGGGTGATGCTGTTTCCGTGAGTCTGGCACTTTTTGATCAGCGAGTCGACCGCCGCATACCCCTTCAACTTCTTGATGGTGGTTTCCAGGATCTTCTCGCCAATGGCCTTCTTTTTCACCACTCTTTTCTTCTGCGTGCTTGCAGAGTTTTCTTTTTCTGCGAAATCAAAGCTCTCGACCTCTTCCAGCGACTCGAAAGGCCTGCTGTCTATTAGTGCCTGTGCCACGGAAGGCGGGACGCCAGCGATGTCTACGACGTCCCGTTTCTCGCCGGTGTTCAGGAAGTTCAGCACTTTCTCGTCAAACTCCAGGTCCACGGCTTCTTCAACCTCAGACTCCTCCATGCTGTCGTCATCAACTTCTTCGGGCTCCTCGTCGTCAAGAATAATCGGCTCGTTGTCGCTGTCCGACACCGACACCGCTCCATGCTTGGAGTCTCTGGTTCCACGCACAAGCTTCCGTTTTTTCGCAGGAGCCGGCTCGGGCTCTCTCTTGGTCTGGACATTTCCGTATCTCTGTAAGATACTAGAGGCCTTTTGCAGCTTCACCTTGGAGGAAAGCACGTCGTTCTCTGGCTTTACGGGCGACGACGAAGAAAGCACTATTTTCTGAGGAGACACTATCTGTGCCACGCCCTTCGGATACCCGTCCGAGGGTTTTGAGCCGACTCCCTGGGGCAGTGAGCTCAAGTATGCGGCAGCCTCCCGCAACGACCCCTTTGTTTTCAGCGCCGAAAGCACGGTTGCCTGCGACAAATGGGGGAATTTATTTTTCAGCGCCGTGAAACTGCGTTTGAGATCTGAAGAAAGCGCGCCTTTAGGAGGAACAAGAGGCTCTTGCGAGAACTTCGCGCCCAGCGAGCTGCTGGGGGTATAGGAAAACCGCTCCCGCAGACTAGGGAGACGGGTAGTGATCTGGATAGGAGAAGAGGCCGGTTCTGTGGACTGTGATCTGACCCTGATGGGCGACGAGTCAGGGACCTGGACGGGAGACTCCTCCGAGCCTCCCGACAGTCTCCGATTGGTGTTTGCGTCCTCTATAATTATGCTGTCGTCGGTCATCGGTCGGTCTGGACGAGAAGCAACAAGAAACTCAGAATATAGTTTTTGTTAAACGCGATTGAAAAAAGGAGAGCAAAACACTTTTTGAGCTAAATTAATTTTTTTTTTCTCGACGCGTCGATCTCCGTTTATCGCGTCGGTATCAGCTAATGACCTATCGTCTCTACGCCTGCGGCTCCAACGGAAACTTCCAGCTCGGGCTCGACGACGACGAGGACCGCCGCCGGCTCGAATGTGCGCAGTTCCAGACGGAAAAGGGCCGCACGGTAGACCTAAACGTCAGGCCCATGAAGATCGCCTGTGGCGGAAACCACACGCTCGTGCTTCTGGAGAACGGACAGGTTTACGGGGCTGGCTCGAGCCAGTACGGACAGCTGGCCTGTTTGCAAGATCATTTGCCAGTTTTTCAGAAGCTCGATCTCCCGGCCAAGATGAAAGACGTGGTGGCAGGCTGGAATTACACCGTTTTTATTTCCGCACATGACGAGGTGTATACCTGCGGACAGGGCTTTACAGGCGAGCTGGGGCTTGGGAAAACACATCTACAGGCTCTACCAACCAAACTAGACTTACCAGACAACGGCCGCATAGTCAAGGCCGAGTCCTCGCTCCACAACGTCGTCATACAGTTTAAGAACGGAGAGCTCTATGGTTTTGGAAATAATAAAAAAGGCCAGCTGCTTGACGGGCCCAAAGTGCTATGGACCCCCACAAGGCTTGCTGTACATGCTCGCGATTTTGCGCTAGCACGAGATTTTGCTGTGTTTCTCAGCGACGAGCGACTGCTACTCCAAGGAAAAGACCAGTACAAAGTAGCAGAACGGCTCCAGGCTGTTGACCCGGTCGACCGCATTTGGGCCATGTGGAGCTCTGTCCATGTTCTTTGTGGCCGGCAGCTTCTCTCGTGCGGGAACAACTCGCACGGCCAGCTCGCTCCAGCCACCACAATCACCGAGCCTGTAAAAATTGCCATTGGAAGCGAACACGGTCTTCTGGCTGAAAAATTCAGAGTACTCGCCTGGGGATGGGGAGAGCACGGGAACTGCGGGCAGCACAAGAAAGAAAAAACGGGCGTCACCTTCGACTACATGAACACCATCTACAACGAACAGCATGTCGTCGCGGACGTGTTTGCCGGCTGCGCAACGTCGTGGGTGGTCGCCCAGCGTAGCGAGAACGTCTAGCTGTTTCCTCAGATTCTTTCCCATATTCATCTATGTTTTGCGAATAAGGCAAACGAAAGATGGAAAATATGTTCTGGGATGTTATTCTAGGAACAGTTGTATCGACGGGCGAGGAACAAAAACCCCCGTCCATCTTCTTTACCATCCACTAAAAATAAAAATTAAAAAAAAATTATGACAACAGTCTATTCTAAAATACACATGCACTTCACTCCTCCATTCTGGCCGGCGATCTGTCTCTATTTTTCAGGAAGTCCGGGAACAGGTCTTCCTCGTCGTCGCGGGCTCCTCTTCTCGGCTGCTGTCTCTCTCTATACCTGTCGCGGCCCCTTTCGCTTCTGCCACTCGAAGGACCTCTTGGCGCGCCTCTCGATCTTGGGCCGTCCCATCTTCCAGAAACCTCCAATTTTCGGTGAGAATCGCCATCCTGCTCGTCCACAGGCCCGGTGTCCTCGCCCGTGATCAGGTCCGGCCCTCTGTTGCGGGCCCCACCTCGTCCTCCTTTGTAGTTGCGGTGTGTTCTCCGTCTCTGCGTCGGCTCGGGCTCGCCGTGGATCAGATAGTAGCGCGAGTAGTTTTTGGCGCCCTTGACCTTCCGATCGCCCCAGTAGCTCTGTCTGATTGATAATCTGACGTTCTGGTCGTTGAAGCCAGGGTCGTTGCTGATATATTCCATGGCGCCGCGTTCCTGCTCGGGAGAAAGACCGTCAGACACCTCAGATAGCAGGCTCAGCGCCTCCAGGGCCGCGTCGGGCTGTTCAAACACAATGTTGATTTTCTTGTCGTTCACCCATTCGAGAGTGTAGTTGAACCTAGCGTACTCTTCTCTGTTCTCGAATTTGAGGTCTGGTTTCAGGAAAGAGTCAATGTACAGCTTGATGGCCCTCGTGTCCAGCTCGTCGACGCCCGAGAGAAGCAACGACCCCGGCCTGAGCTCGTTTGGGTCGTGTTCCTCAGGCTCCGTCGAAACGCGTTCTGGAGACGCTGATGGCGCCGGCTGCTCGGCCTCGCCCATGTGCGCAAGGTGCGGAGGCAGCTCTGCGGCCTCGACGTCCATTTGGTCGTCGTCGTGGACCACAGTGGTCAGCTTGGTTGCGAAGTCAGACATGGAAGATTAAATGTTTTTTGGATTGGAAAGTGCACGACAAAGAGAAAAGCAAGGAGGACGGTGTTGGCAGGGCACTGGGCAGAAAGCGAGAGGAAGGCAGAGTTGGGCAGCTGCAGGCGGCCGTGGCGGGGCCGTGACGGGGCCGTGATCGCTTCTCTCAGAAAAATATCCACAAGGCCAGGCCGTCGTCGTCGTTCTATTCATCTAATATACAATTAATTACATTTTATCTCACTCTGCCTGCGCGTCGTCGTGTTTCTCGCCTACCCAGAGGACGTTGTTGCACCGCACAAACAGCTCGTCGCCGAGATCCGTGCTCGTCTCGGCCGCGGTGTCGATCTCCTTGACGTCCTTGTCCAGCAAAAGATTCATGTAGTTGTCTATGGAAAGCAGCTTTCCGTGGTATTCAATGTTGTTGAACTTCAGCTTTATCACCACCGGCTTGCCGACGAGCGACTGCAGATAGGGTTTAGGATTGATGGGCTGGAAAGACATGGTACAAAGCACTGGAATTATATTTTTTTTGCACTAATTTTTCAGTCATATTTATAAACGGGTGTGAATCTGCTATGTTACTGTCTTCTATCTTTTGATTAGTACATCTATTTGGCACCCTTAGAGCTCGTCAGCGTATGGAACAGCGTCGACGTCACCAACAACAGCCAAGTTGAACTTAGGGACGGAAACAGAGTCCTTGGCAGCAGAAATGTCGATAGAGGAGCCCTGGACAGCCTGGTTGTAGGTAGCCAGAGCCTTGTACTTGGACAGGCCCTTGGCCTGCTTGAGCAGCTTGGCGGCCTGGGAAACCAGAGCACCGGTCTCAGCACCAGATGGAGAGGTGATGGAGATGTAGAACAGAGCAGCGCCGTCGTATGGGACAACCTTGGCGTCGACAGCGGCAGAGGAGCTGGCTGGGAGCGAGGACTTGGCGTATGCAGCAAGCAGAGAGTAGGTAGCAACGTCAGAGGCGGCCACGCCGATCGCAGCAGAGGTTGGGCCCGCCTGTCTGATTCTGGCGTCCTGGCCAGCCACAGACTTCTGTGGAGCCGGCGACGTCTCACCAGCAGGAAGCTTGGACAGAGGAGACTCGGAAATGAATTTTTTCAGGTCGGCCTCGACAACGTTCGACCCAACAACCTCGACATTGCCGTCCAGGAACACGGACTTGGCGTACTGGGCAATGTCCTCGGATGTGTACGATTTGGAGCCGTCGTAGTAAAGGGGTTTACCCAGGCCCGTTCTGAAGGTGATGGCGTGCAGAGCTTCCAGGGCCTTGAATTCAGGGCTGCTGTTGGCGGCCGCAGCCTCGGTCTTGGAGTATGGGAGGGCGATCTCGGCCAGCTCGTGGGGTCTGAAAAGAGTTCCGGTCAAAACGTCGCCAATAGCGGTGACGTAGTATGGCAGAGCTTCCTTGAGGAACTTGGCCTCAAGCACCAGTGAGTCTCTGGTGACCGTGGCCTTGTATTCTCCTCCCAGCAGCTCGGACTCTCTCTTCAGTCTCAAGCCGCTTCTGGCCTCGGTGTTGAGGAAACTGGACGATGCAAGCAGGTGAGCCAGACCTGGGGCACTGGCCTTGGAACCGGCGTTTTTCACAATCACCTTGAGAGACGAAACTCCCGATCCTGGAGCCTCGACAGTGGTCACCTTGACGGCCTTTGGCACAGTCGTGGAGAAAGATCTGATCGACGTTCTTGCAAACATTCTTGCCCTGTTGTACTCGGATGGAAAACTTTTTTAACTTAATGTTTGTTATAATTTCTAGCTAATTGGTTAGCCTGAAAAAATACACACCTCCCGGTGCGTCGTGGGGAAGATATTTTTTTCCACGGGATCGCGGCGGGCTGGTGATTTGGGAGCTGGCCGCTGCGGCCGGCTCGCTTCCTGTGGCTCTACAACCTAAATCATATGTATAGGGCTTCTGCGCCACATTCCCTCTGACAGGACACGTTCAATGCGGTCACTGGGCGATTGGCTTTCCTGTCCATCCCCTTGATTCGACAACGTTCAAGTGCTTTTATAAATTCTTCTTCTGTGATTGGACGGTGTAAATACTGTGACATCCGTCCACCACTACCAGGACTGGGTCCTATTTTTTTGCTTCTTTGTCCAGGCTGTGTTCTCTCCCGCTTATGTAAGGTGTTCTATTTTTTTTATAAATTTTTACGTATTTCAGATCGCAGACCATGTCGGCTCGAAAAGGGGCCCCCACAGAGCTTCCGCTGTCTATGAAGACCAAGTCTCCCGAGTCATTTCTGTTCACTTCTCTTTTGAAGCTGGTTCTCGGAGAGCAGGCGGCATACGTGTTTGGCATCCTCCTAGATCACAAAAGACTCACTCTGCCTCAGTTGCAGAAGATGTGCAAGATGAAGATGTCGGCTGTGAAAAAAGCGCTTGTTTCTCTTCTGCAACTCGAATGTGCCGTGTATTTTGCGGAAACCAATTTTATTACCGAAAAATCGCAGACATACTACTCGTGTTCGTTCACTGGCTGCTACAAGTTTCTGTATGCCAACGCCATCATAAACGATATCCATCGCGATTACGGCGAGCTCCACGCTGCCATTGTCCAACAGGTGCTGGTGAATGGGCATTTGACCTCCGGAGAGTACCTCAAGAACGTGGACGGAGCAGCTCAGGCTGAGGAGGCAGAAAAAGCGTTTTCGATCCTAGTCATTGAGAAATGGCTGGCTCCAATAGACGAGATGCATTTCCAGAGCAAGTACGATCTTTTCCACAAGGTGTATCAGCAGCAGACAGCGATTTTCAACGCGGAAAATAAGGGAAAGGTCATTTCTCAGGCAAAAAAGCTTCAGGTGATCAAGGAGGAGACAAGAAGAAAACACCAGCAGCTCATGGGCGAGGACAAAGTGCGCTCGCGGCTTTTTACATCGGACTCGAGTTCGATGTTTCAAAAAGTCAACCCAGATATTTGTCTCACGTTTAATCTCGACAGGTATCTGAAAAGATTACGGTCTCTGCATTTTGCCTCAGAAGCCAGACACAAAGTTGGCGAGATTTCCTCCCGAATTTATGCTCTTATACTCAATCGGCTGGAAGCCAAGTCGGCGGAGGTCGAGAACCCAGAGCTCAGGCTCGAGAAATATCTTGCCAACGTTGGACAGTCGGGGGTTGGTCTTGACCCTCGTGTAGTGGAGCAGGTGCGTGGCAGATACGAGCTCAAGGACCAGGAGAGGGGCATGAATATTACTGTGAGCGAGGTGTACAAGGAGCTGGTGAGAAACGGCGAGAAATTTGGCGTCACTGTCGGCAGCGTGAAAAATACAATTGCTGATCCATCGCTGGAATTTGGTCGCAAGCGGAAAAACGAGGACAGTTCCAATGGATTTCCTGGTGTGAAGAAGGTCAAAATCGAGGTGGATGAGGTCCTGGAGAGACTCGGGTCTCATGATTCGGACGACGAAAACGAAGATGACGACCCAGACAACCCGGACCCGCGCATTATGTCCACCCTCCTGCAGCATGTGAAGCTCCTGGCCGCTGACCCCAAATTCCCCTTCCTTGTCGAAACAGACATGGGACAGTTCCATGTCCCTTACACTCGTCTGTCTCCGATTTTGGCCAAACATGTGTTCAAACAGTACGTGAAGGCCATCATAGGGCCGGATGCGCTTAAAGTCTTGAACTGTATTGAAGACAAACGGCTCACCGACGAAAAGGCGGTGAGCAAGCTTGTGCTGATGAAGGAGGCCTCAGTCAGAAACATACTGGGTCGCTTGCTCAGCTTCAACATCATAGAATTGCAGGAGATCCCAAAAACCCAGGATCGGTCTGCGATGCGGTCCGTGTATGCATTTAGATTCAAGCCCCAGCCAGCAATCGAAATGTTCAAAAAGTCCATTCTGTTCAATATGGGCGAGGCCTTGGAGAAACTAGAGCAATGCAAAAAGCAGAACAAAATCCTGCTGGATAAAGTCAACAGAGAGGACGTGAAGGGCAGAGAACAGGAACTTCTGCTTCCGTCCGAGCTGAAGCAGCTAGAAGAATATTACGAGTACGAAAGCACCTGGATCACGAAATTCGGCAGGCTCCGTACTGCCATTGACGTTTTCGAGTTTCTAACGGCATAGGCATGATAGTCATAATAGTAATCTGATGTACACTACAATTTTCGCGTCAGTCCATGGACTGGATAAAAATGTTTTTTTCGTAAAATAATATGCCATTCTTTTTTTATTTCTAAGAAAGATGACTGATTTGAAGGCATAGCACAGTACTTGTCTATAAAGAAGCATTAATACATCCAAATCAGCAGAGTCATACATCTAGTCAAAGCATAAACATTGGCACTATTTCAGGTCATCAGGCCACACGGTTTGCAAGTTTCCTACTGCTAGGTCTATTATTGTGGGTTTTTTATCTCAAGTCTGTGTGGGTTGGGTTTTCTTATCGGATTTGCCCTCAAATCAATTTTTTGGTCAAACACTCGCCGCTCAATTTCACCTGCTCACCGCTCGATTTCTACCCTCTCTTGCTACAATTGCCTGTATCGCGGTCAGACACTGTATATTAATCAGGAATGAGCTCTGTGAGAAGGCCTTCAAAACTTTTATCTGAGAAACAGTCAGATAAGCTAGCGCAAATCATCCAGAACTTCTTTCTCAAGGCGGCACATGTGGTATTCCATTTCCGCGTGGCGTTTCCATCGGTGGTATTGCACCCCGATGATAGTTACGGCGCGATGGGCGATAGTTTTGCACAGTCCAAATATAATAACAGATGGTTCAATCTGGACCTTGGCAACTACGAGATTCCCAAAAACGAGCTCTCCCTCTGGCGAAACAAAGACATATTGTCGTTGCCCCCGCTGGTGCTGGAAACATATTTGGACTTAAGAGGGCTCAGCTCTAATCAAACACTCATGCTTGATGACGTGATCGTAAAAACAAACAAAAAAAGCGAGATCGTGTTGGAGAGATGGCTCATTGAGTTTGACCTCAGCACCTTCGACAATGAGGTGATGGAGCTCCCGTCGATATACAAAAAAATCATCATCATGTTCCGGTCGTTGTACCTGCTGGCGGGTCTTCTTCCAAGTTACAAATTGCGGGACAAATTGGTGAAGTCCAAATCGAAAGACAGCGCCATCCATGTCTCGTGCCGCATATTGGACGGCTCCAAGCCCATCACTTCTAAGGGAAGAATAGGACTGAGCAGAAGGCTCCTGAGCGAAGACGAGCACACGAGCTCCAAGAAATTGCAGCCTATCCTGACGCCAATTGGAGCATTGCGAGTTTCCGTTTCCTACCGTACTAATTGCAACTTCCAGGTCAGCGACAACGAGGAGGCTCTTTCATCTCAGTTCATGCTGGATCATCTCCCATCCATTCGCACTAATTACGACAGCGATGGCAACAGTCTTACCTCTCCAATGGAATATCTGCAGAACAGGGTCTCGTCAGCATCGATCCATTTGTCTGACCAGTCACCAAGACGGAGATCGTCGACCAGATCGGTCCAGCTGTTCAAAGTTGGCTCGATCAACTCGTCGTCTTCTCCTCCCCCTGGCGCCACACTTAGCAATCAAAGCGTGTCTTCGTTCTCAACATCAAAACCGATCCCTGTCACTTTGAATAAAACGAACTCCAGCGCATCTTTGGTGCCCATACTACGGCAAAATAGAGACTCGCTGCCCAAGTCGATTGGGTCTATGGTGCAAAATCAGATGCAAGATACAGGACATCAAGTCTCCTCCAATTCGAGAAGGTTTTCGTCATCGTTTGGATCTAGGTTTCGGACAGTTTCGAGTAGAAACAATAGTCTAGATGGCCAGTTGGTTGTTGCTAATCAGCCCTTTTCGACGCCAACCAACAATCCTATACTGCATAATTTCCGCTCAAGAAACAAGTCTCCGTCGGTATCGTCCACTGAACTAGGCCCCTCGAGCTCAATTTACATGGACGACGACCTTGACAGCTTCATGAAGATGCTAGACTCGAAACCCGATTTGAGATTCCCGTCAACTTCTCCATCAATGTATGAAGATCCTCTTGCAAACTTTAGGACTTTCCAAAAGTCGAATGATTTCCTCACTTTGGAGCAGCAGCAGCACGGTTCACCATCGTCGAACCAGATCATGATACACAGCCAAAGCCAAACCTCTCAGTCTCAGGTATTCAAACGGACGGTCTCCTCCGACAGGTCCCGCAGAGGATCTGTTTCTTCCAACTACTCGCCTTCCTCGCAGGCACTCAAGCCGGGAGTTTCTGCGCCGATGGTAACGCCTTCGGTAACCTATGGCAAATTCCACGCGTCGTCTGGATCGCCATCGAACTCCTCGCTGGCGCACTATCTCCGGCACAATCCGTCGCCTCCTGCGTCGGCGACCGCGGTGGCTACGGTCCACAACAGTCTACGGAGACTTACTAGCTCGTCACAGCGCACAAATACAAATTCCACAACCAGCAGCAGCCGACCAGTCAATCCAGAGCTGCTCAAACTCAAGTCTTTCAGCGAAGACGTGTTTGAGTCGGATGACGACGATCACGACGCGCATTCGCCTCGCTCCACAGACACCAAGTCAAGAAACACAGGGCCTTCTAGTGGACACGCCGAGGACGACGAGGATGATTTGTTATTTGCTATGAGTGACATGACACTAGCCAAGAATAACCAAGAGTTTTAATTTAATTAATTATAGTGTACTAATGCATGTCATGAACATCCTTTTAGTGCAATGTAGCCGTCGACGTTGCTTGGATTGAGAAGAAGAGACCGCTGGATCGCCCGTAGCTCGCCCGTCTGGATGTACGCGTTGCTCAGCTCGCCCGCGTCCACGCTCTTGGAGTTCAGGCAAACGTTCAGATGCACGTGTCTATCCAGTTTTTTCCAGGTGTGTGCGTCTGCCGGGAACAAAAATGCGTTTCTCTGCCAGATGGTAGCCGTTCCCGTGCCCATTCTTGAATCCAGCTGTTCAAGGAAAAATGGCACGCTGCTTGCTGTGTCGTCTATTCTCTCTTTCAAAGACAGTGACTCTAGTTCCTCCTTGATTGCTGGATAGAATTCCTCAAGGTTTTCGACTAGCGAGATGGAAGCCAGAGTCAGTGCGACGAGCAGCGACGTTCCGTAGTTCTCAATGTGGTTGAACAGCTCGTCGATGGCGGCCTGTTTTGTGTCCTCTGTGTTGCAATCGTGAAGAACCTGAGCGATCAGAACAACTATTCTTCTGGAGTCTGGGAAAGAGTCGAGTATTTTTTTGAACTCGACCAGCGCCGAGTCGAAGTCGTCCTTGAAGAAACTAGACAGTCCGAGCACAGCCAGCGACGAGAGCATGATTTTCTGCACCTCTTCGGTCAGGTCGTTGATCTCTTCCAGCAGGTCCATGGACTGCTCGCTGACCTCAATCGCCTTATCGTATTTCTGTGAGCCCAAGTACATTCTTGAGAGCTGTGCAAGGGCCGTGGACAGCGCGAGGGCTAGTTCCGGAGAGTTGTCCTGCTCGAACCTTTCCTCCAGCAAGGCACAGAGCTGCTGGGAGTAGCGAAGCCCCGTCTCAAAATCGCGCACCCGCTCAATGATCAAAGTGGCCACTTGCAACGCCAGCTTATCCTTTGGATAGTACTTGAGGTAGCTCAGGATGGAAAGATTGGCCACGTTGAGCTCCTGGACAGAATCCAAGTTCTGCTCGTCGATCTCGCTGCCAATGAGCGACTTCACGACGGAAAAACTGTACAGCAGCATGGACAGGGGGCTTTTTCCGTTGGACATGACGTGCGCATGTGTGAGCAGCTGCGAGGCCGCCTTGTTGTCGCCCTTGGCCTCTTCAACGAGCGCTCTTCCGGTCCAGCAAATCGCCTGGCCCGGGGCGAGCGACTGCACTCGCAGAAAACACTGGTTCGCAAGGTCCAGGTCGCCGTAGTGCATATACAGCACTGCCAGGTGTGTCCACGGGGCCGGGTCACGTGGCGACAGAGACGAGGCCTTGATGAAGCAGTGCTGTGCCACTCTTGGGTTCTGCACCAGGGAAACGATTCCCAGCGAGTTCCAGTACTCCGGGTTGTCGTTTTCTAGGACAATCGCCTGTTTGAACGCCTTGATGGAGCACTCCTGGAGGTGTTTTTTTTCGAGTCTCAAAAATGCCACCAGATACGCCACGCCGAGGTTGTACGTCACGGCGGAGCGCAGGAGCCGCGCTGCGCCGTCGCCGGTCACGGCAAGTGCTATGCGCGCGCTCTCGATCATGTAGTAGCACGTTTTGTCCACCTTGTCGCGGCTTGTTTTTAGCTGCTTGTAGTCTTCGTCTTCGCCCATCTCCTTTAGCAACCGCGCGCTGCTCGTCTCTGGGACACGGCTAATGATGAATTCCAGGTCGTCAAACGGAATGTGCTCAATGTGCGATTCGACGGTCAGCAGGAGTTTCAAAAGCTCCGCCAGCAGACGCCAGAGACTGGGAGCATGTGGATCCAAGTCTGCTGCTTTTCTGAGAGTCTCAAACGCCCTGAGTGCCGTGTCCATCGACCGCGCAATGTGGCTGTTGCTGATCTCGTAGTCGGTCTTCATTATGAGCGTCTCAGCCAGCCGACTGACGACGCACGGCTCGTCTGGCCTGGCAATTTTTTCCAGCTGGAAAATACTGTCTTGGAACTCCCCCATCTCACCCAAAACCACCGCAAGCAGGTAGATGCCGTGCCAGTTGTCCGGTTCCAGCTCCAGCGCCTTGTGGAAAACCTTCAGCGCAGCGTCCAGCCGTCCGCGAGCAAGATACCCTTCGCCCAGGCCGATCCACGAGTCCACGTCCAAGGAGTTCATCCGCAGACCGTTCTGGAACAGCTCGATGGCCTTGCTGTCGTCCTGGCGCTCAAGAGCAGCACATCCCAGCATCCGGTACGGCCAGGACCCGTCTTCGTCCAAAGAAAGCATGGCCAGCCGTCCCTGCTCGCTGTCGATCACTCGCTGACAGACAACTTCCACCATTTCCCAGTCTTTATTGGCGCTGAAATAATTGGCCAGCTCCCGCGCAGCAAGCATGTCGCCGGCGTTCAGCTCGAACGCTTTGGTCAGACACTTCAAGGCGCGTGTCTGGTTGTCGTAGAACGTGAGATAGATGTATCCCAGCGAGCTGTAAGGCGCAGAGAGCGACTCCGACTGTTTAAGGGCCTCGATTAGCAGGTCGAATGCGGACTTTACCAGCGCAGCAGCCGTCTTCTCGTCTGGGGCTTCCAGACTCTTCAGCTCCATCAAATACGACTCAGCCAGGCGCCAGAGCGTAGTGCCACGCATTTCCAGCGAGTTGGGGTCTGTACCGTCAATGAGCTTGTACGCCCTGTGCAGTCCCTCGCGTCCTTCCGAATAGCGGCCAATCTGGATCACGCTCCAGCTGTACTCGAGATTGGCCTGCAGGTGGTCTGGCGCATCCTCCAGGACCTTCTCTAGCAGCTCTGAGGCGGCCTTGTAATTTTTCTGCTCCACCAGAATGAGGCCCTTGCCGATTCTGGCCTGGACGTCTGTAGGCGAGCTGGCCAGAACAGAATCGTAGAGCCTCAGCGCCTGCGAAAAGTGCCGCGGAGGCTCGTAGTAGGTGTACGCCGTGGCCAGAGACAGCAGAGAGTCCTTTTTGGAGTTTTTCAGCTCCAGAAGCGTCTTTTTCTGCTCTTTCGAAACGAGAGTCACCAGTTGTTTGGCGTACTCAAGAGCACTCTCGTACTCCCGCAGATGCAGATAGTACGCGACGACTATTCTGTGCGCGAGAATCGACTCTGTCGCCACCTTGATGCCCTGGATCATCAGCTCGAGCACGTCGGCCGCAGAAAGGTCCTCCGAGCTGTTTCCCTGCTCTGCCTCCTCCAGCGGCACAGCTGACTCGTCGTTCGGGTCGTCCTCGGCATCCTCTGTGGTCTTGATGTTTTTCAGAACACGCTTGTTCTTTCTGTTGTGCCTTCTTCTGGATTTTTTCTCAACCTTGAGATACTCCTTGACTCTTTTTCTGTCGAACGGAGAAATGTCCGAGGAGACAAACGCATACAGCACTGCGCCCAGACCGACGTTTCCAAAGAGTTTGATGTAATCGGCAACGACGATGAGATCGAGCGAGTCGAACGACTTCAGGTCCAGCCAGTCCAGATAGAGGTCCCACGCGTGCTGGACAGGATTGTTCACAATCACCATGCCGTGGGCCATGTCGAACACTTCTGCAAACAGCTGCTTCTTCTCCTCGGGCGACGAGGCCTTCATGAGCTCGTATTTCTGCTCCAGCAGACGCGACTCCATTTTGCGGCGATACGAGTCGTCCGTGCAAATGTCGATGTATCGCTGGCACAGCTCCGACAGCCTGAACTGTCGATGTGCGGTCACAATCACCTTGTTGTACGCCAGCTGGCTTTTTTCCGACATGCTGGAGATTCCGGTCAGCTTGTTTTTGAACAGCTGCGACTTCACATAACTGTTCTGCTTCTCCTGTACTATGTTGATCAGCTGGTAGAGTGCGATCTCTGGTCTTTCAAACATCTCTCCCATCAGATCGCCAAGCTCTGCGCCGGGAATCACCTGGCGGTAGTAGTACTCTGTGAGCTCTGGGATCTTGCGCTTGAACTTCTTCATGTAATCTCGCACCTCGGTCACCACCTCTGTGAGAGGATCGTTCTTCGCAAGCAGGCTGTTGGCCAGTCCGATCACCACCGCAAAAAACCGCTTGTAGTCGGTGCTGTCCCGTTGCAGCTCGAGCATTCCCTTCCACGCAAGTATCTCGTCCGGATTTATCTTTGCAGCCTGCTCGTAGGACGTGAATGCCCTGGCGTCGTCCTTCAGCATGTGTAGAGCCTTGCCCTTGAAGATATATGCGAAGTAGTTGTTCTTGTCGTGCTCCTCAATGATCTTGTCGCAGCAGTATATCACGTAGTTCGGGTCGTCGTCTTTGAACGACTGCTTGGCGGCCTTTAGCAGACTGTTCACCGACATTTGGAGGGTGGATATATCTTGGAAAATAAAAAAATGTGCAAGGATTATTTTTGTTTACGTTAGATTATCTATCATGAGTGTAAGTGGTTTAGGAAATATACGGGAGTCTGACAAATAGACACCAGAGTGGAGCATCAGTGCACTCTCGAAAGAGCAAATCGCTCATTGGAAAGGGGTTTTCGACGTGATCGACCACGATCACGACGGAAAGATCACACAGGAAGATATCAAAAACACGTACTCCAGCCTCGGACTGAAAGACGAGGGAGAGGCGAAGACGATGATGGCAGAGGCCGGCCCGGACGGGCTGGTGTTCAACGGTTTTCTGAAACTGATGGGCTCGAAATACGGCGAGTTCAGCGACCGCAGCGAGCTCGAACAGGTGTTTGCAACCTTCAAAGACGACTCCAAGACCGTGGACGCCGCAGAGCTCAAGAAGCATCTCACAGGCGTGAGCAAGACAGATCCGGATATCCAGCTGAGCAAGAACGACATCGACAACGTGCTCAAGTCGTTCGGTAAGAAAAGCGATCTCACCGGAAAAACCGCCTTTGCAGCCGACAAGTTCATCGACACGGTTTCACACTAGGGATATACAGAGCGAGTCAATGATACATTCAATTCTATGCCAAACGATAAATAAAATACAGGTCCATTATTGATCAATGATCAGCTCGTCGACACTCCAGTCCTCGTATGAGCCGTCAGGCAGGTATCGTCTGATGATTAGCGGAATCTTTCTCTGCGAGAGTTCTTTGAGGGCGATCTGCAACGGGTCGGTCTCTCCCTCGATGTCGACCAGGACAGGAGCATTCATGGAGATCTGTAGAGCTCTGGTACCCAATATTCTTGCTCTTTCGTATTTGGTCATGTATGGCGTGGTGGTGCGCTGGTCTTTAGGAATCGCGAGGTTCTTGGCCTTCTTGTGCGTGCTCCCGTTGGCAAAAGCGTCGGCGTCGTCTGGTCCCAGGCCTCCTTTCACGATCGTCTTTCCGTCTTCGGTTTCCAGTGGTTCCTCGTCGCTGAACCGTTCCTCCTCGCTCAGCTCCATGTTTTCCTCGAAGTCGTCCAGCTTTTCGTTCTTGAATCCATCCTCGTCGTAGTCTGCCATGGTGCGCCAATTGGAGGTCTATTGTAGACTAACAAACAACACCGTTATTTTGAAAAATTTTGCTAGGACAAGGGCTCCGGGTAACGAGAAAAAAACAAAAATATTTAATATCTGATAAGAAATGGCCTCTGGCGACACTCTGGCAAAGCGAAAACTGGACAATTCCGAGCCGCTGGAGCCGTCAAAAAATCCACGAATTTCAGATGTCCCTCCAGGAATAATATCGCCGGAGCCGTCGTCCAGAAACTCCTCCCGGAGCTCCTCGAGATCCAGCTCCCCGTCTAAACTGAAGAAGTACTTCTGTCACTATGAGGACTGCGGCAAGGCCTACGCCAAGCCCTCGCTACTAGAACAACACATCCGCACGCACACCAACGAACGACCGTTTGACTGCTCCTCCTGTGGACAGTCGTTTATCAGAAAAGACCATCTACAACGACATATGCTCAAGCACACCGACGAGGACGCCAAACCGCTGCACTGCTCGATTTGCGGCAAGGGCGTGAACACGAACCAGCATCTGCGGCGGCACGAAAAGACGCATTACAAGTCGTTCAGGTGCAGTCACGAAAACTGCACCGAGTCGTTCTACAAGCACCAGTCGCTAAAGGCACACATCAATTCTGTGCACAACGCTTCGCGGCTGACGTGCGAGGAATGCGGCAAGAGCTTCAGCCGGCCGGGCCGACTGTCTGACCATATGGAGAAACACCACAGCGCCACGCCAAAGCTCATCTGCGAGTATCCGGGCTGTTTCAAGGCGTTCAAGGTGTGGTCTGCTTTGCAGCTGCACATAAAGTCCGAGCATTCCAAGCTTTCGTGCGACATCTGCGGAAAGCGCTGTGTGGGGCCGACGGGATTGGCGAACCACATGAAGATCCACGACGAAACCACCGCCGTCAAGATATGGAAATGCTCGCTGTGCGAGGAAAAATACCAGAAAAAGGAGGAATTGACACAGCACTACGAAAAAAGCCATCCGGAGCACCAGAGCAGCGAGGAGCTGCGGTACGCTCCGTCGGCCGACTCGCCGATCGACGAGGTGCCTGTCTCGAAGCCAACGAGGCAGACGTTCCAGAAACAGCTCAAGAAGGGCAGAATCGGGTCTGTTTTCAACCTGCTGGTCTCGAACGTCAACGAGCGCACCATTCTGTGCGATCTGTGCGGCAGAGGGTTCAAGAAGGACTACGATTTGCGCAGACATCTGGAATGGCACGGGAAAAAGGCGGGTCTACAGTAAATAGCTCAAAGTCCTTTAATATAGTATTGTGCGCCTGGGTATTAAGTGGTGTTCCATGCTGGATGGATCCTGATCAGAGGAGGAGGTAGAAGAGCACGGTGAAGACACCGAGCAATGCTGAGGGGGCTTTGGAGACGGCCCTACCAGAATACACGGACAGGCCGGCAGAGTCCGAAGAGCTGCCACGAGACGCAGTCACCGTGGTGAGCGTCTGGCTGCCGTTGGAGTCTGTGGTGAGGACCGCGGACGCGCCGGCTGGCACGCTCGTGGTGATACGCAGGGTGTTTCCAGCGGAGTCCGTGCCCGTGACGGTTGTTTTGTAGCCCGTGGCAGAAACCGTGGTGGAGTGGCCGCTGGCGTCTGTGGTGACGACGGCTCCGTTCGACTGGCTGGAGGAGCCGGAGGAGCCGGAGGAACTGTTGGAGGATCCGTCGGCAGTTCCCGTGGCGCCTGCTCCGTTCACGGTGGTGTACACCAGGTCGCCGTCTGCGTTGGTGGTGGCGGTGACGTAGCCGTTCGAGCCGGAGCTGTAGGACGTGGCCAGAATCGTGTTTCCTTCAGAGTCGGTCGTCTGGTACAGAGCGACGCCCGAGGCAAGGCTCGTGGTGATCACCGTGGTGTCGCCGTTGGAGTTCACACTGGTGACCGTCGTCTGGCCCGCCGCCTGGCCCGCCGTCTGGCCGGCCTGTGTCGTGGTGGATTTTGCATTATTTGTGGTTTTCGAGCTGCTGGTTCCGCTGGAGGATGTCTTGGTGGTCTCGCCGTGGACATCGCCCTTGCTGGAAGTCATGGCAGACCCGTCGATGGACGTGAGTGTGTCGTCGTCGTCGTCGGACGCAACAGCGGTCTCTCGGGAAACCACAGTGGTGATCACGGTGGTCTTGCCGTCGCTGCCCGTGGTGGTGAGGGTCTGCGACGTTGGAGCTGTTGCCGTGGAGCTGCTGGACGACTCTTCCGAAGAGCTTGGCTTGACCACGCCGCTGGACGACGTGGCGCTCAGCTTGATGGTGTAGTACCAGGAGTCGGCTCTCTTGACTTTGGATCCGGACGAGAGCGAGATGTAAACGTCGACAGAGCCCGGCTGCGTGTTGTCTGGCTCGTGTCCGGAGATTTCGAAGCTGGCCGCGGAGCTGCTCTGCGGGATGGTTCCCGAGCTGGCGCTGTCGATCTCGAAGTTGTCCTCGTTGGAGGTGGAGTACGACACAGAGCCGCGTTCCATGATGCTCGACGGAATGGAGAAGTCTATGTATATCTGGTCTCCTTCGTAGGTGATGGTGTATGTTGGGGCGTCTGTGGAGGAGGGTGTGGAGGAGGAGGAGGAGGAGGAGGAGGAGGAGGATGTGGCGGAAGTGGAGGAAGTGGAGGTGGAGGAGGAAGTGGAGGAAGTGGTAGTGGAGGACGTGGAGGACGTGGAAGTGGAGGACGTAGAGGTGGTCTGGGTCAGCGACACGGACGTGCTCAGGTACACTGTCGTGTCTGGGTCGGTGAATGTGAAGGTGGCATCGTAGTCGCTCTCTGCTCGCTTTTTCAGAGCCTGGTTGCTGTCGACCGGCTTGATGGCGAAGCCGACGTTGTAGGCGCCGCCCGGAGCGTGGGTCAGAGGATACGACATGTCGATGGAGTTGTTGGCCAGGCTGGAGAACGAACCGTTCACAGAGGAGCCGTCGTAGTCGAAATGGTAGTACTGGTCGACAAAGACCCAGTCGTCCTCGCTTTCTGCGCTGATTCCAAACGGCGTGAAGTTGGACGGGACGTGGATCTCAAAAATGCCGTAGCCGGTGTCGTCGTCCTGGTACGCCGAGATGGTTGGGTGGATCGCGACGAAGCCGGACGCGTTGAGAAACACTGTTCCGGCGTTCTGGGTGTCGAGCGTCGCGTTTGCCTTGTAGCTGCCCGTGATGACGTCCATGGCATAGAACGAGGCCAGGAACCCGAAATCTGTATTTGCCAGGTCGTCCACACACACGTCTGCGCCGCTGGCGGCCGCTGTGTTGGTGTAGGACACTGTTCCGTTGCTGAGGGCGATGTCTGCCGGGTCGAAATCGTCGGGGTCGAACTCCCAGTTGTCTCCCTGGTCCATTTCGATGGAGTACGAGCCGTAGCTAGGCGGGACGTAGATGCCCCAGTAGTAGGTGGAGGACTCCTCGATGAACTTCATGTACGGAGTAGGGGTGCACGAAGTGGGGGTGGGGGAGGAGACCGATGGAGAGAGAATGGGGGTAGAGGACACATCTGAGGAGAGAAGGGCTGAAGAGGACACATCTGAGGACGATGAGGCCTGTGACGACGTCTCTGAGGCCGTGGATGGCACGGGCACTGTGGCCGAGGGTGACGGCGGTGGTGTCTGTGGTGATTGTGTCTGCGATGAGGAGGGCTGAGATGGAGCCACGATAGAATCCGTCTCAGTTGGGGCACCCGGTGGACTCGAAGCAGACGAAGGACCCGATTCAGGGAGCGACGGTGGGGAGAGTGTGGGGAGTGGTGGAATTTGTGTGGAGAGCGTTGGGGGTGGTGGGGTTTGCGGGCCCGACACAGACACTGACACTGAGGGCTCGAGGTCTGGGGTTGAGAGAGATAACGACGTAATCTCTGGAAGCGAGAGCGAAGGACTGTTTGGACTCGCCGCAGGGACACTTGGGAACACAGGAGAGATTTCTGGAATGGACAGAGATGGAAACGAAAGGGATGGGACAATGTCAGGGACCGACAAAGAAGGAAGGAGGTCCGGGGTCGAAATGGACGGAAGAGAAATGTCGGGCGACTGCGGCGACGAGCCGGCCGACGGGGACGCTGGCAAAGTGAAAGAGTCGTTGGGGTAGAGGCTGGACTTGAAGGTGGCCGAGGTCAGAGGGTCAACAGTGTGGGAGGAGTTTGTGTATCTGCTAAACTTGTAATAACCCCCATATTCCGGATATGTGGCCAGAGCTTGCAAAGCGAAGCACGACGCCCAACCGGCGGCACTTAGTATGTTCACCATGGTGGAAGACACTAGTGTTACAAGAAAAGGCACGAAGGAAATATAAGTAAAGTTTTCACGTCTCCTGTGGAAAAAGGTATATTGGATTTCTGCGCTGTGCGACAGTAATAACGCTTCCCTAATTAGAAAAATTTTTGTTTTTCATCGCAGACGCACCGAAACGGGTGCTGCTAATTAGTGGCCGTATAGGGGCAAACATGGACTAATCGGCCTGGTGTGGGCGGGTTTCATGCATGCTCCTGCGGACTCGCCCAGGTGCTTAGTTCGCCGTGTTGTTTGCATTCGGGCCGAAAATGGTAGCGTGCTGTGCGCGACAATGCGCGAATGCGGGAAACTTTCTTTTTGCATACTGCAGATCTCAGGGCCATATCCGACCAGAGTTATGATTTAGCCGGATGCGGATAAAGGGTAGTCTGCTTACAGACCACTAGCGCAAAAACGGCGTCAAAGAACACTAGGTGATGTGCCAGGCGTCTGGGTCTGGCCTCTGGTGCTGCCAAACGCCCGGCCATGTCCAGCTCAATCCGCCTGAATTCTTTTATAGCCTTGAGGCTGTGCCACGCTAAATTCCGCAGTGCTAAAAAACTCTCACTAATTATGGAACAATTGGCGTACGCCCCAGCAACGTCGCGCTCGGTCTCGGAGAGCCTGGTCCGCCGCGCGAAGCAGTCGCTCGACCACGAGATCCCCCTGTTCGAGTCGAACCGCCAGAGAGACCACATCGAGTCGCTTGCGGAACTGTACTCCATCATAGTGGCGATCAACGTTCTGGAGAAATCATTCATCAAGGACAAATTCCACGACAACGAGGACTACTACACCAACACGGTTATGCGCCTGATCAACCAGTATAACCTCATTCTCAAGGACGACGAAATCAAGAGAGAGTTTGACGACCTAGACAAATTTGTCCAACGCTTGCAATTAGACTGTCCTCTGGCCGTGAAACGCATCCAAATCGGTCTCCCAGCAACAGCCACCCAATCGCACGGCTCCTCGGCGGCGGTGAACCTCGCTCCGTCGGCCAGCGGAAGCGAAATCGCGCTCAAGGGCAAGGCAATTGCCGAGGCGACCGGCTCTTTCATTACGCTGATGGACGCCATCAAGCTCAATTACAACAACAAAGAGCAACTCCACCCGCTGCTCACAGACATCGTCACCAGCACTAACAAGGTGTTCGGCGACTACGACGGCCGCGCCAAGCTCGTGCAGTGGCTGATCAAGCTCAACAATCTCAAGCTGAACGAGTCGCTCTCCGAAGAGGAGCTCAAGGAGTTTCTTTGGGATATCGACGTGGCCTACAAGGGTTTTTTCAGTCTGCTGGAGTGACTCCACGAAATAGCTCTGCGCACGCACCCGGTCTTGACTGCCAATTGTCTGTTCTGCACACTGCCCTACAGAATGTTGGCGTGCACGCCATGTAAATTGGGGCTCCCACCTCGCACCAGGAAGCGAATCTTTGGATTTTAATTTGTGGAGATCTAAAAAACAAAGAAAAACATTCTTTCGACTAGCTTTCGACTAGCTTTCGTTCGTTCCTAGATCCACTCGTTTCTTTGCTCTAGCTGCCATGTTGGGATACAAGTCTTTGCTGAGCATCCTCTGCTCGCTCTCTGCTGCCAGGGCCCTGATCCCCATCGAGATCATCGGAAACCGTTTCATCAAGCCAGCCGTGGACGCAAGCGAGGCCGGCGAGGTTTTCTTCGTCACCGGCGTCGACTACCAGCCAGGCGGGTCGTCGGACTACCAGGACTCGAACCCGACAGACGTCCTTTCCGACGCAGAAGCCTGCTACAGAGACGCATACGTGTTGCAGAACCTCGGCTCGAAAGTCAACGTGATCAGAGTTTACACCGTGAACCCCGAGCTCAACCACGACGAGTGCATGTCCATCTTCAACTCTGCGGGCATATACGTCATGATCGACGTCAACTCGCCGCTCTCGGGCGAGTCGCTCGACAGATACAACCCAAGCAGCTCGTACACTTACTCCTACATGGAGAGGGTGTTCAAGATGGTGGACGCGTTCAAAAACTACCCCAACCTGCTTGGCTTCTTCAGTGGTAACGAGGTCATCAACGACGCGACCTCTGCCGGCGTCGATCCAAAGTATCTTCGTGCCGTTCAGAGAGACATCAAGCAGTACATCGAAAATAACGCCAACAGAACCATCCCTGTGGGCTACTCTGCCGCCGATGTTTTGGACGACGGACTCAGAGACGTCACTCTGGAGTACATGCTTTGCTCTATTGACGGCGACGAGGACGATCTTTCCACGTCCGACTTCTTTGGCATCAACTCTTACGAGTGGTGTTCTGGCGTGTCCGACTGGGCTTCTTCCGGCTACGGCGAGCTCAACAAGACCATTGCAAACTCCACGATCCCGGTGTTTTTCTCTGAGTACGGCTGCATCACCAAGACCCCTAGGACTTTCGACGAAGTGAGCGAGGGTGTCTATGGGGGACTGGTCAACACCTTGAGTGGTGGTCTGATTTACGAGTACTCCACAGAAGCCAATGACTACGGTATTGTTAAGATTGCAAGCAACGGTTCTGTTTCCCTCAAGGAAGACTTCGACAACCTCAAGGCGCAGCTCGAGAACTCGACTATTCCAACAATCTACTCTGACGAGGTGTCCAAGGCCAGGGTAGTCACCTGTGACAAGGCTTATTTGGAATCGCTCTCCTCAGTCTTTGACGTCGACTTTGATCTGCCGGACGCCCCAGACGGAGTTGAGGACTTGATCCAGTTCGGTGCCAACAACTCGAATGTCGGCAAGATCGTGGACATCGACATTAGAGCCTCCAATTACACCATCTTCGACACCGACGGCACGGAGATCACTTCTGCGGTTATCTCTGTGGCCTCTACAAACACCATCAACAGCCAGACCGGCACGTCTGCGTCCGGCAGTGTCCACCATCCTTCGACCACCTCGTCGGCGTCCTCGTCGTCCTCTTCGGTGTCTCCAACGTCGTCATCATCCAGAGCACAGGGCAACCGCAACGCCCAATGTGCGGGTCTTCTGTCGGGGCTGACCGTTGCCTTTTTGGCCTTCTTGTAGAGACTTGATTTTTATTTTTTTAATTATTTGTACGACATCAAATATGTTGCAACCTGCCAAACAAAATAAAATCAAAAAAACATAATCTGTTCTCAATGACGAAAGCTTCCGAAACCGTGCTTGCAATATTTATTCTTTCTGCGGTCTACTTCTCCCTGCTGGTCGGCGTCATTCCATTGCCCAAAGTCGTCCAGAAGGAAGTGCTGCCTGTCGTGCCATGGTGGGCACTCGTGTCGTTTGGCTGTTACGCACTGGGCACTCTGGGCTACGGGGTCTTCACCTTCAAAGACAAGGAAGACAAGTATCACGAGCTGCTCGGCGAAATTGCCGAGGCCAAGGAGTTTTTGAAGAAAAACGGCGTCGATGTCGAATGATGCTAGAATATATTGGTGGTACATATTAAATACAACGGGCCTATGCTTGCGCCGCTACCCTGGAATCGGACTGCTGCCGGTGTTTCGATTTCAGCTTCTTTTCCAGCTGCGTGAAAACTTGTAGCCCCAGCGGCATTTCCACCTGCTTCTCCTGCCTCACGTTCTTTCTCATGAGTTCTTCCGGAATGTATTTGGCAGGCAGATAGTCGGGCGGTGGATCGAAGCCTACTGGCCACTTTTCCCTCACGTCGTCACCCTGCTCCATGAGCTTTTGCGCGGCCAGCTTCGTGAGCTGTTTCCATTCCTCCAGGTCCTCTCCGTAGAGCTCCCAAACACAGTTCACGCAGCCACTCATACAACAGTTATCCGGCTCTATAGGGCGTTTTGGCACCATCACTCCAGCGATGTTCCTCTGTATGCTTCTATAGGAAACGTCTCTTCTGGAGGACTTGTCTGACTTGTTCTTTCCAGAAAAACCAAAAATCTTGTCTATATCGGCGTTATCAGCGGCGGTTTTCGGTCTAGTATCAAAGGTCAGCGACATGGTTCGAACGGTCTCGTCGTCGGATTTGGCTTTCTGGTTGCGCGACTTGGCCATCAGGCGGTAGAAGTCCATTTTGTCAGACTGGAGCACATGCGACGAGGACGAAAACAGTCTCTTCCGGCATATTCGAATCATTCTATTTCATATCAGCACTCGGGGCGTACTTAAATATTTTCGACTTTTTTAACTTTTTTTGTGGCGAATATTTATTTGTCCTTAGCATGTCATTGGTAGGTACCCAACACCCAGAAAGCTCTAACAGCCAGGTTCTCAGATTCAGATCCAAAGACGGGTTGTTTCGTCTCAACACCAGCCAGGGTGCCACCTTTGGCTCGGTGCTCGACCAATTGGCCTCAAAGTTGCCCCCATTCAAACCAGAATCACTCAGATTGGCTTCCAGCCCCAGTGATCAGGGACAGCTGGCTATGGCTGTCAAGGACCAGTCAGTCCAGGGACTGAATCTCAAGCACGGCGATATGCTCTATCTGACTTACGAGCCAGCCGAGGCTGGTGACTCAGTCAGCATCAGCGAAGTCAAGGAAACTTACACGGTCAAACAGCTGCCCATCGATGATATCTATGACAAAGAGGAAGGACTCATTCCAAGGAAAAGGACCTCACTTTGCAAGCACACAGATAAGGGAATGTGTGAGTATTGTTCGCCATTGCCTCCGTGGGACAAGGGATACCAGCAGGAACATAACATCAAACACATTTCATTTCATGCCCATATTAATGAGCTGAACTCCCTGACAAACAGAAAAGAGTCAGGATCGTCGTACATCGCGCCACTTTCAGAGTCCAATTTCAAGATCAACAAGAATTGTCCCGCTGGCCACGATCCTTGGCCAAAAGGAATCTGCTCCAAATGCCAACCTTCTGCGGTCACGCTACAGAGACAAAACTTCAGAATGGTGGACCATGTGGAATTTCAAGATAGCGAAATCATCAACGAGTTTATCAACGCCTGGAGATTGTCCGGAACCCAAAGGATTGGGCTGATGCTCGGCTCATATGACAAGTACGAGAAAGTGCCTTTGGGAATCAAAGCAAAGGTCGAGGCCATATACGAGCTTCCTCAGGTCGACCAAGAGGATGGCATTATACTACAAAACTGGGAAGAAGAGCAGCAGATACTGACACTTATCAGGAAACTAGATCTGCAGCCGGTCGGCATAATATTCACAGATCTGCTGGACGCCGGAAGCGGAAACGGATCCGTGATTTGCAAAAGACACAAAGACTCGTTTTTCCTCTCTTCTTTGGAGGCGATATTCGCTATCAAGTGGCAGCTCAAGTTCCCCAACATATGTAAATGGTCGGACTCGGGAGTCTTCTCGTCCAAGTTCGTCACGTGCGTGATCTCTGGAAACACCAGTGGCGAGATCGACATAGAGGCATATCAGATCTCCGAGAGTGGAGAAGGCCTTGTCAAGGCTGATTTGATTAGTCCTTCCACACACCCAAACGAGGTGTACATCAACGAGCAGAACGACGAGAGATATGTTCCCGAGATTTTTTACCAGAAAGTCAACGAGTACGGGATACAAGTCAAGCAACATGCGACTCCTAGCTTCCCTGTTGAATACTTGCTGGTTTCGCTGACTCACGGATTCCCTGAACGGTCGTCGCCATATTTCAAAGCCGGTGCTACAAACAAGTTCCCTATCGAGAACAGGGCCTATATTGGAGAGTCTGCCTCAATGCCTGACCTGAAGAACTATCTGAGCTCCATCAATGGGGATGACATAAGCGTTCTGGCCACTCTTCTGAGCAACTTCCATCTGCTGGTGTATTTTACACTAAACCAGGACATCTTGAGCGGCCATGAGTACGAGCTGCTGGTCGAAATTGCACGGAAACTCGGCAAGGGCGAGGAGGTGCTGCCCGACTGCTACAAGCTGGTTGACAGCGACGGGTGGAGGACTCTCCAGACGATCTTGCAAGTTGGCTACTAGGGTCCTGTGGTGGCAAGAAATATCTAAGTAGTGTAATTTCTAGAAAGTTCCTGAAGAGTACACGCAAAAAAAATAAAGTGTCTTAAAATTTTTCAAGGTTTAAAAAGTTGCTTGTTAAAAAAGGACTAATTTTTATTGATCAATCATGTCTACTCCATTTGGTGTTGATCTAGGAAATCACAGCGCAGTTGTCGCTGTTGCGAAGAACAGAGGTATCGATGTTGTTGTGAATGAAGTTTCCAACAGAAGCACCCCCGTTATTGTTGGGTTCGGTACGAAAAACAGATCCATTGGTGAGACAGGAAAGACACAGCAGACATCCAACTTGAAGAACACAGTCGACAATCTGAAACGAATTCTTGCTTTGAACGCTGATTCGCCTGATTTCGAAGTCGAAAAGAAGTACTTCACCTGTCCATTGGTCGACAAAGACGGATATGCTGCGGCACAAGTGAGATATCTCGGAAAGCAAGAGGAGTTCACATCTGTTCAATTGGTTGCCATGTACCTGAACAAACTGAAGGACATTGCTACCAAGGAGACGAAGGGCAACATCACCGATATCTGTTTGGCTGTTCCTGTCTGGTACACTGAGCAACAAAGAAGAGCAGCAGCTGATGCTTGTCACATTGCGGGCCTGAACCCAGTGAGAGTCGTCAACGAGGTCACTGCCGCTGCTGTTGGATACGGTGTGTTTAAGACCGATTTGCCAGAGGACGAGCCAAAGAAGGTTGCCTTCGTCGACATTGGCCACTCCTCTTACACGGTTTCCATTGGTGCCGTGAAAAAGGGAGAGCTCAGGATTCTGGGCTCTGCTTACGACAAGCATTTTGGAGGCAGAGATTTCGACAAGGCAATTGCAGAGCATTTCGCTGACGAGTTCAAAGAAAAATACAAGATCGATATCAGAACCAACCCTAAGGGATACAATAGAGTCCTGGTCGCTGCTGAGAAACTAAAGAAGGTGTTGTCCGCCAACTCGCAAGCTCCATTCAACATCGAGTCTGTCATGAACGATGTCGATGTTTCTTCTCAGCTGACCAGAGAGGAGCTCGAGGAGATGGTCAAGCCATTGCTTGAGAGAATCCACGTGCCAATTGAGAAAGCTCTGGAGGTTGCCGGTCTGAAGGCCGAGGACCTGGACTCTGTCGAGGTCATTGGTGGATGTACCAGAGTTCCATCTGTGAAAGCCAGACTTGCCGAGGTGTTTGGCAAGCCACTGTCGTTCACTTTGAACCAGGACGAGGCCATTGCCAAGGGTGCCGCCTTTATCTGTGCTATGCACTCGCCAACCTTGAGAGTTAGACCGTTCAAATTTGAGGATATCAACAGTTTCTCTGTCACGTATTACTGGGACAAGGACGCTGAGGACACCGACCACCTGGAGGTGTTCCCAAAGGGAGGCGTTTTTCCATCCACCAAGCTGATCACCTTGTACAGAACCTCTGACTTCGAGATTGAGGCCAAGTACACTCATCCAGAGCAGCTGCCAAAGGGAACTCGCCCAGAGATCGCCAAATGGAAGATTTCTGGCGTCGAGGTTCCTGAGGGACAGGACTCTGCCATTTGCAAGCTGAAGGTCAGAAACGACCCATCCGGCTTCTTCACCATCGAGTCTGCTTACATCGTTGAGGAGAAGGAGGTCAAGGAGCTTGTTGAGAACCCAGAAGCCAAGCCAGAGGACGAGCCAGAGTACAAGATTGTCAAGAAGCTTGTCAAGACCAAGGATCTGAACATCGACTACGAAGGATTGGCCCTGCCAAAGGACGTCCTGGCCGAATTCTTCGAGCAAGAAGGAAAGATGGTTGCCGAGGACAAGCTTGTTGCAGAGACCGAGGACAGAAAGAACGCTTTAGAGGAGTACATCTACGAGTTGAGAGGTAAGCTTGAGGACCAATACGCAGAGTTTGCCTCTCCTGAGGAGAAGGAGAAGCTGTCGAAGATGTTGATGGACACAGAAGAGTGGCTCTACGACGAGGGCGACGACTCTACCAAGGCCAAGTACATTGCCAAGTACGAGGAGTTGGCCTCTATTGGCAACTTGATCAAGGGCAGATATAACGCCAAGCAAGAGGAGTTGAGACAAGAGTTGAGAGCCAAGCAGGAGGCTGCGCAAGCCGCTGCTATGGCCGAGAAGCTTGCTGCTGAGAGAGAAGCTCAAAAGGCTGCTGGTGACGAGAAGAAGACCGAGGAAGAGCGCCAGGATAAAGACGGAGACGTTAACATGGCTGAGGATCTAGACTAATTGGCGTGGCAGATAGATATCTTTGTGACGAGGTTGATCGTTTTACTTGCTAGGTTCATCTAATACATAGTATACAGGCGAATAATGCTTTTAGTTTATAATCTCGATTTTTTTTATTGTAGCGGCGATCGACGTACGCAGAAAAATAGGATCTGGGAAAAAAAAATAAAAGGGTACGCATTATTTGAGAAAGTCAACCTCCCGCTTGTTCATTGACAAAGCAGTCCGTTCAAAGTGTTTGGATCGGCAAAATCTGTTAGGTTAATAAGGTGACTGTTTCAGCGTGGTGCTTTACCGGAAGAAAACACAGAGAACAAGAAAGAGGCGGCCTGAACCCAGTTATTATTCGAGTTCCAACCAAGAGGGGTCAGCATGTCCTTCCTGCCCTCAAAAGAGAGCACTAATAACAATGAGGCACCAAAAGTGAACAGAAACAAGGAAAATGCTTCCACCGACCCAACAAACCCAACCACATCGAAATTATCGCTTGCTCTGAAAGAAGCTGGTGAGGAGTTGCCGGACCCGCACGAACACCATTTTGAGCACGAGGAGGAGATCCTCAAAGAGGTGACGCAGAAGTTGACCAACCTGAAAGATGAAGATCTCACCAAGGCCAATCCGCAGGGTACAACGACGTCCGTAAACGAGCATGTTGTGGAAGGAGAAAATATCAAGGAGCCGACAAGTCTGAAACAGCTGTTGCAAGCACAGCTTGGGGAAGACATTTCAAACGATTCCGACACAGACTCGGATGTGGATCCCGCCAATGAGGAAGATTTGGAAGACTACGTTCCTGGCGGCTACCATCCGGCATATCTTGGGGAGACATACAAAGATGGTCGATACGTTCTGGTGCGAAAGTTGGGATGGGGCCATTTTTCGACCGTCTGGCTTGCCAAGGACATACAGGAGAATAGACACGTTGCCATGAAGGTTGTTCGGAGCGCCAAATCCTACAGAGAAACAGCCATTGACGAAATCAAGCTATTGTCCAAAATCAATCACACCGACCCACAGCATCCAGGCCATAGGCATCTCATCAAACTACTGGACTACTTCGATCACCAGGGACCTAACGGAACGCACATTTGCATGGTTTTCGAAGTGCTGGGCGAGAATCTATTGAGTCTGATCCGTAGGTACAAGCACAAAGGTCTGCCGATCAAGTTTGTTAAACAGATCGCCAAACAAATCCTACTAGCGGCAGATTTTCTACATCGTCAATGTGGCATAATCCATACCGACATCAAGCCCGAAAACATTCTTTTGGAGATTGAAGACGTGGAAAAGCTCGTGAAGTATTTAGAGGACTCTCAAAGAGAGAGAAAGCTACTGAGAAGGGTATCGTCCAGACTGAAAGAATCTGGTGGGGAGGGCAGTTCGTCTTCGTTGGACGAAGACAAGAGACAGATACCGTTTAGAAAAAGCCGCCATTCAAGACGCCAAACGCTAGTGACGGGGTCGCAGCCCCTTCCGTCGCCGCTGAGATCTAAATCCAACTCGTTTTTCGTTTCACCGCTGCAGTCTTCGATTTCTACGTTTGCCGGTAGAACTGTCGGAAACATCCCGATTCGCTCGGAAACGTCTCACCAAGATCTGCAATTTCTCCTGCACAAGAGTTTCAAAGAGTCGGACCCGTTTTCCGCTGAGCCACCTCGGGAGGACGAGCTTGAGGATGATGACCTGATTACAGTGAAGATAGCAGACCTTGGAAATGCGTGTTGGGTTCATAGGCATTTTACTGACGATATCCAGACCAGACAGTACAGGGCTCCAGAAGTAATTTTGGGAGCCAACTGGGGATGTTCATCAGACATCTGGTCGGTAGGGTGCCTGTTGTTTGAGCTTCTTACCGGAGACTACCTTTTTGATCCTACCGAGGGCCCTACTTTCAGCAAGAACGACGACCATTTGGCGCAGATAATTGAGCTGGTTGGCCCGATATCTCGTCACGTGCTGGAAGAAGGCTTCAACACAAAGAGGTATTTCCATTCCGACATGAAGACATTGCGCCAGATCAAGAACCTGAAGCCGTGGCCACTTGAGAGCGTTCTGATGGAGAAGTACAAGCTCAGCGAGACGGACTCGCGCGAGATCAGCGATTTTCTCGGCTGTATGTTGATCACCGATCCCAAATTCCGGATGGATGCTGCTGGACTGTCTAATCATTTCTGGTTGAACGACTGTGGCTCATTTGGATACATTGACCGCGAGCCAGGGACGAGGGGAGAAGATGTCGGCGCTGGGTGGTACAGAGAGGTGCGCAAACATCATTAATTCCGTGTATTAATTCGTGTAATGTTAAATAAAATTAATTCTTCACCAAAAAAATGTCATTTGAGGATGCAGTGGTCCAGTTGCGGACGGTTCTAGAATCTGGAGAAGGCGAATCGTCGACTCTGTTTTTTCAAATTGGCACTTATCTGAGAGATGAGACCAACAGGGCTAATGAGGCTTTGAGAAGCCTGATTTCTGACATTATGGAGTATGCGATGCTCAAACAAGAGGTGGCTCCGTTGGGCGATATTTATAGATTGTTGGCCAACTTTGTTGCCGATTCAGTACAAAACAGAGAATTGGTTTTGCACCAGGCCAAGGCAGAGCAGTTTTTTGCATTTACACGAGACCAGATCGACGGATCGAGTCACGTCTTCTTTATTCTGCATTTTCTGAATAATTTACTTTTGGACTGTCCAGAGGCCTCTAAGTACCTCAATGGCAACGGAATCGCCCTGAAAGTTGCGTGCAAGAGTATCCCTGATGATTGGAAAGACGTTTGGACGAGCGTGTTGGAGGAACTAGCGAGCCAAAGTACGTCTTGCGAATTTTTCAGAGCACTTATGAACATCGACAACCATAATCTGATATACGACATGAGCAAAAACGACATGGATCTCCGAAATGATACACAGCTGATGCACGACATGATTCAGCGGGTGGCAAAGGACGACGATCGGTTACTGTTCGAAAGCGTGATGAATATCTCTGCAAATCCTTCCAACCCAAATAATGATCTAGAGGAGTACCTCAAACTCATTGATACCGACAACGGGGCGCTTCAGGCATTGGGAATGATAATTTTGGGGAACTATATAATGTCTGCCGAGCAACAGGCCGAGGTAGCTGCCAAGGTCAAAAGCGTCGAGAAATTGGTTGATCTTCTAACTAGCTTTGCCGAATCGCGCAAATACGAGTATCTTCAAGCTGTTTACCTACTTAACAAACTTCTGGGAAATAAAGAGTTCAGAGAACAGTTTCCCAAGAGCTCATATTTGCAAATGTTGTTTTTGGTTGATACTCTTTTTGAAAATCGACTTTACGAAACGCAGTACAAAAACGTACTGAAACTGAACCTTTTATTCCATTGGAAATATTCACATAAGCTTAGCGAGGACGAAGCTGAACGCCTGGAGGAGCACATCGTGAGATGGAAGTCCTACAAGTCTCGAGACTACAACATCAATTCTGAGCTTCAGAAAATAGCGTACAAACTTATAGAGCATAGGAACGACGCAACACTGGCAAGCCTGGCATTTGACGGTTTTGCCGCCGATCGCGAGATTGAGCGCCAGCTCGACCTTGTGTGCTTCATGGAAAAGGTCAAAACTATAGGCATTCTCATTTCTAGAGACGGCTCAGTCGCCCAGCTACCATGGTTTTCTGCTACAATGGAAGAAATTAAAATAGCCTTAGATACGCTTCACCAACAACCCAACTTCGAAAACGACCCTAGGCTGCGCTTGCTCGACAACAACTACCGGTATATATGTGCTAAAGTGGGCGAATGCAAATAACTCTAATCTCTATAATTGTCACCTTAATTCACTCAATTTTTGGCTTTTGGAGTTGCACCTCGGCAAATATTCCATGCCAGACAAGCTTGTACTTGTCCTGCTGATCTGTCATCCATGTGTGTAACAGCTGGTTGTAAATGATGAAGTAGTAAACCCCCAGACCAGTGAAAATGTGCCACCATCCGTGTCCCTCGGTCACAACACCCAATGGAAAGCCGAGGATGTTACGACGCCAGTCTATTAAATTAGGACACAGCAAGAAGTCCAGGTTCCAGATGAAGAAGCCAAAGATGAACAAGGACACGGCCAGCACAAGTATCTTGTACATCGTCTTTCGTGCTTTAGAATCTGTGACCTTCCATTGGATAGTCCTGATTGTTTTGTAGATCACGCCAAAATTGAGAATAGCGTAGAACACCTGATGAAAGGCCGGGTTTCTCTGCACGTATATATAAATGTAAGTGAACAGCGCGGTGGCGGTAAAAGTGCCGACTATCCAGGCATACTGTACCAGGCGAGGCTGGTTCCAGCTGAAAATGTAGCCGAACGGGAGTGCCGTGACATACACCATGGGCAGCTCATCCATTAGCTGGTACTCATAGCGCAGGGTCATGTGAAACAGGAACGATCCGAGTCCAACTGATGCGAAGCCAATGGAGATGAAGACGTACAGACTGCCGAAATTGTTCTTGTATGTACTCCACAGATGGCCCATTGCCAGGGCCACAAATATGAAATTGGTGAAGCTATTTACCACTTCGGCAATATATGGGGTGAAGATGTAGTTTTCCTCACACCAATCGATTGTGGCCGTGACAGGCCCCCAAAATCCAACGTAGGAGTCTGGGAGCTTTGCCGGATAATCAAAAGACACCATCTGAAATAATTTATGGAAGCAGCGGATAAATTTATTTGATTACTCCACAAAACATGAATGTTTCGAATTTATGTGCGTCGATCGACTTGTCTGATCTAGTGTCTATTTAATGGCCTTTTTCTCATCTTTCGGTGGCGTTGGCGACGGACTCTGTTTCAGCCTGACCTCAAACGGCATGCCTAATTTCCAAACCAGCTCGTATTGGTCCTGAGCCCCATGGTACCACACGTTCAGGATCTGGTTGTAGAGGATGAAATGGAAGATCCCCAGAGAGGTGAGAATGTGCCACCATCCGTGTCCTTCCAGCAACAAGGCTCCAAGTGGAAGGCCAACCATTCTTCTGACCCTAATGAGCTCCGAGCAGTAGAATGTGTCGAGGTTCCAAACTAAAAATCCGAACAGGAACTCAAACAGAGCAAAGCCAACAAATTTGTAGAGGAAATGCCTCTGGTTGTAGTCTGTAACGTGCTTCTTCACCAAAGATAGTGACTTGAACACTATGGCAAAATTGAGCACAGCGTAGGAAGCCTGGTGAAGCTCAGGATTTTTGTACACTGAGCAGTAAATATAAGTTAGTGCTGCGATGACGACGGCCGTGACCCCGTACACAAGGAACCTCTTCATCCTGGAATTTGTTTCCAGCCCAAAAATGTAGGCAAACGGAATAGCTGTGACATAAATCATTGGGAGCTCGTCTAGTAATTGGAATTCATATTTCAAGGTCATGTGGAACAACCACGATCCGATTCCAACGACGCACATACCGATGGACACAAAAACAAACATCAGTCCATGCTTGTTCACAATAGCCGAACGTACCAAGTTGAGCGACAGAAAGTAGAACGAGAGGTTTGTGGTGGCGTTAACCAGCTCCGCAAAATAGGGGGAAATCACATAGTTTTCCTCACACCAGTCGATTGTCGAAGTCACTGGGCCCCAAAACCCTTGCTGAGGCTCCTTGTATTCAAATGGAGACAGAAACTTTACTAGTGACATTTATGGCTGAGTCTAGTTAAATCGTATATTAAAATAATCGCTCTCGATTTATATTTTGCTTATCTGTATGCACGTTTGATTTATTATGTAGCAATGACGTTAGCCGTCAGAGTGTAAACAGGGAAGAGTACGGCCTGTTTGAACTAAACACTAGCTATGTGCCGCACAATGCCATGAATTAGAGGAGAGTCTCTCTGAGCTCCATGCTCTTGTTGCCCGTATTGCATGGAACTAAGAATAGCAACTGATCGCAGCCATCCTTTCAGCGGATTAGGTAAATTTGATTCTAGAACCTGAATGCTTCAGTCGAGGAAAGAATTGAAAATTGGTCCACCCCTACTTTTATCAATCATTGCGAGCCCAAACTAGTTGGCCTGATTACCTCGCTGCAGCTGGGCCAACGCGGCAAAATTTATTAAAGGTGGAAAATTAAAATAAAATGATTACCATGAGTCGAGGTCTTAGTAGTGAGGAGCGGCTCGAAAGATTAAAGGAGCTAAAACTGCTCAAGGAGCGTGCTCTTGAGGAGAATGAAAAGGAGCTGCAACGAGAGATCAGACAGCTCAAGGAGGAACAGAAACTACGAGCTGCTGCAGCTCGAAAAGACGTAGAAGAAATCGAGACAGAACCACAAAATCAGGGAGCGAACTGCGAACGTCTTCGAAATCTGCGCTACACAATTGAACAAGACGAAGCGTGGCATGAGAAGCTGGAGGCCGGCAAAACAGCGGCCGAAGACAGAGAGTTCCAGAATTTCAAGCAGCTCGCTCGCCAGACATACACAAAAGGCCTGAAAAATCTGAATCCGCTAGATCCAGAGCAGTACGAGGCCCAGAAACAGATATACTTCGAAATGAAGAAAGAAGGAAAGTCCGATTCAGAGATAATCAACTCCCTGACTAGCAGAGAGAGGCTCAACCAGATGGTGGATCAATTAAAGGAGCGCGAGACTACCACGGTTAAAAGACGGAAAACGGCGCAGGATCGCCAGAACTTTATCAACGACAAAAACAAGCAGTTCAACGATAAGCTGGACAGACATTACGACGAGTATCTGTCTGATCTGAAGGAGAGCATCCAACGAGGGTCCTCACTTTGAAGCTGCTGGTGCACAGATGCGTGCTGGTAGGAAATATTTCAGTCTCGCCAAGATCATTCATTACCCGGCAGCTATTCATATTTAATATTTTTAAGTAAAAATTGCCCAGTAAACTACAACGTTTACCTTGTGCAGGTTCGCAGAAATACATTTGGTTGGCAAGAGGCTTTCGTCGAGTTACCAGTTCACACAATGTCGGACCATGAGAGCAGCGTTGTTGCCGATAATGGGAACGACCTGAAAACCAGCAAAGACTTCATTGAAGATGTAGCCGAACACGACGCTGAAGACAACGATAACGACGAGGTGTCTGCTCTCGATTCTTCCGAAGAGGACGAGGACGAAGATGAGGACGAGGAGGCTCTGCGAAAAGTGCGGGAAGGGTTTATCGTGGACGATGAGGACAGTAGTCAAGAAGACGAAAACATAGATGAGGACGAGCGCAGGAGACGTCGTAAGCACAAGAAGAGAAAGAGAGAAGCAATTAGGAAGCTTGAGGAGGATGACGAGCTTGATGAGGACGATTTGGAACTGCTGAGAGAAAATGCTGGCGAGTTACCTAGTCATCTGGCAGAAAAGACCAAATTCAAGCGTCTCAAAAGGGGAGGTGACGATCAAACGTCGGCAGGACCGACCTCCAAAGGCCTGACAGATATGTTCTCGGATGAAGAGGGCGCTGAGGAAGAGGGAGGCGAGGACGGAGAAGAGCCAGAGGAGGAGGAAGATGATCTAATGGAAGCCTCTAAAAAGCTAAGACAACAACGACAGCAAGATCTTCTCGGGGAATTTGACGACTTTATCGAAGACGACGAGTTCTCCGAAGATGAGGAAGACCGAGATGAGCGGCTTGCCAGGATGAGATCCGCAAGAGCCAAGCAGGCGAATCTTGCTTCCAACTCGCAATTTGACCAGGACAAGCTTGATGAACTTTACGAAATATTTGGTGATGGAGAGGAGTATGCATGGGCTTTGGAAGCCGAAAGTCTCGATGAGGAGCCAGAGATGGAAGACGAGGTTGATGAGGAAGGTTACGCGGTCAAGAAACTTTCTAAGGAAACTCACGCACTGAACAAGGTCTTCGAATTTGAAGAGCTTAAAGAACATCTTTTGACTGACAGAGATCAGGAGATCAGAATAACAGATATTCCAGAGCGATACCAGTCTTACAGGGAGCGGATAACCAACTATGACCTGAATGATGAAGAGTTCCGATTCAAACAAGATTGGGTCTCAAAAGCTTTGCTGGAAGAGAAGAAGGCCTTCTTTCTTGGAAAAGAGGATTTGATTGAACCTTTTCAAAAAGCAGTTGCCCAAATTGTGTACTTCATCTCGAAGGACAACCTGGAAGTTCCAAGTATATGGAACTGCAGAAAGGACTACACGCTTCACACTTATCGTGAGGATGGGCAACTAAGAGTTCAGAAACTATTGACTGAAGACGACCTTTGGAGAATCGTGCAACTGGACATAGATTTCTATGCTCTTTTGGAGAAGAAGAAGAACATTGAAAAGCAATTCAAGTCGCTGGATACGGTCGATACACTTTACGATGAGTATATTGACTCTGCCAGGACAGTGACCGAGTTGCAGGACCTTCAAGAATATCTTTCTTTCACATACAGCGCAAGGCATCGCGAGCTTTATCCGGAAGAAACAAAGGGAAAGCAGAAGTCGCACTCCAAATACAAAATATTTGAGAGAATCAAGAGCGATCCAGTTTACGAAGTGATTGATAAAATAGGTATCAATGCAGAGAAATTTGGAGAAAACGTCTTTACAAACAACAAGATTTACCTGGTTGACGATATCGACAAGAAAGCTGACGACCTGACCCGCGAGTGTGTTGAGAAGGGCTCGTTTTTCGACACCGTCGACAAAGCAAGCAACGCTGTCAAACACATGTTTTCTGAGCAGCTATTCCACAACCCTAAACTCAGAGCGCATTTGAGACTTGCATTTCAGAGCTATGCGAGCGTGGATATCAAGCTTACAGAAAAAGGAAGACTCAAAATCACTGAGAGCTCCCCGTATGCCGACTTCAAGTATGCTATCAATAGACCTCTGGAATCGTTCACGTTGCAACCAGATTTGTTTTTGCGCATGCTGGAAGCCGAATCATTGGGGCTTGTGAGAATAGATATCAGCTTGAAAAACGCCTTTGCAAACTTTGCTGACCATCTGTTCACCTTTTTGTCTTCGGACGGTACCTCTGATTTGAGTAATTCTTGGAACAGCCTAAGAAGAGAGTGTCTTGACATGGCTTTGAAAAAGCTCATCCCATCGATTGTTCTTGATGTCAAAGAAAAGCTTAGAGGTACATGTGAGAGATTACTGTTCTACGAAATCAGAGAGAACTTTATGGAAAAGGTGGACCAGGCACCATTCCATCCACTCCCAACCGCCAAAGGTACTGTTCCGAAGGTTTTGGCTATCACTAACGGTGATGGAAAGCGTGATTCTGCAATCATTGCTGTTGCGATGGACTACGATGGAACTCTTTTTGACCACGTCAAGTTCGAGCAAAATCACAGACACGGAGATTTCGAGAAGCAATTCTTGGAGGTTGTCGGCAAGTTCAAGCCAGAGGTGGTTGCTGTTTCGAGCTACAACGTTGAAGTGTCTCATCTTTTTAGAAAACTTCAGGACATTGTCAGACTCAACAACCTGACTGTTGAAATTGATGTTGACGAGGAATACGAGGGCGACCCAATCCCGCTTCCTGTCATCTACGTTCCAAATGAAACCAGCAGACTTTACGAGCATTCCAATCGGGCAGCTGAAGAGTTCAGTGACAAGCCAGTGGTGGCCCGTTTCTGTATTGGTGTGGCAAGATACGTACAGAGTCCATTGCTAGAGTACATGGCGTTGGGAGATGCAGTGACATCTATTTCCGTGCACAAGCATCAAAATTTGCTTCCGACTCATAAGGTCAAGGAGGCGATTGACACGATATTCGTTGATGTTGCCTGTCTGGTTGGTATCAAGATCAATGATGCCGTGAGGTCCCCTTATTTATCTACCATGCTGCAATATATTGCAGGTCTGGGTCCTAGAAAAGCCAGCAGCTTGATCAAGGGCATTGAGGCCAACGGAGGCTCGTTGCTGAGAAGAGACGAGCTGATCGTGAGAGAGCTGTCTACCAAGGTTGTGTTCATGAATTGCGCTCCCTTCATTGAGCTGCCAGTGCCTGACAGACCAGATAAGGACGTCGAGCTTTTAGATGCCACCAGAATCCACCCTGAAGATTATGAGCTGGCCAGGAAAATGGCGAGCGACGCTTTGGACCTCAGCGAGGAAGAGAAGCAGGAGATTGAGCAGGAAGAAGGTGGCGTTATTTCCAAGCTCTACGACGAAGGAGTTGAGAAACTCGATGACCTTCTCCTTGAAGGTTACGCTGATCAGTTGGAGGAGCACGGACATCGCAAGAGAGCAACCTTGGAAATGATCAAGGAAGAGTTGCAGAACAACTACGAGGAACTCAGGAAATCGTTCCACATCCTCAGCGAGGATGAGGTTTTCGAAATGCTTACGGGCGAATCGAAAGAACTTTTCCAACGCGGAAAACTGGTTTCGGTTATTTTGTTAAGGGTTGACAACAGATTCATGTTGGGAGTTACTCAGTCTGGAATCTCGTGTAACATCAGCAGATCCAATGTGCTGGAATACGGAGATAACACAAACCTACTCACGAAGTACCAGAATGGACAAGCAGTCCAAGCTGTTGTTCAGACGGTCGATTATGCTAATTTCAAAGCAGAATTGTCCTTGTTGAAACGTGACATTGAGGAGGCAAATCGCGGGAAGAAGGTGGACAAGTTCCAAGGCCTGTGGGATTTTGAAGCTGAACGTGAAGATCTTGCCAAGGAACAGGAAAGAGAGAAGAAGGAGAACAGCACGAAGCGTGTCATTAAGCACCCATACTTCCACAATTTCAATGCCCGTGAAGCAGAGGACTATCTTGCCTCGAAGAACAACGGAGAGTTTGTGATCAGACCGTCTTCCAAAGGAAATGACCATCTGACGGTCACATGGAAGATTGAAAACCAGCTTTTCCAGCATCTTGATGTGTTGGAGCTAGACAAGCTAAATGAATACACTGTTGGCCGCACACTTCAAGTTGGAGAATTCCGTTATCACGATCTGGACGAGCTGATTGTCTCTCACATCAACAATCTATACCTGAAGGTGGAGGAAATTGTCAACCACGATAAGTTCAAGAACGAACCACTCAATGATACAAAAGAGTGGCTGATTAGGTATTCGAAGGCCAACAAAAACCGGTCATGCTACTGTTTTTGCTACAACCACAAGTCCCCTGGATGGTTCTACTTGCTCTTCAAGCTGAACGACAAGAACGATAAGCTGTATACGTGGAACATCAAGGTTCAGCCAAACGGTTATCTATTGCATGGAAACCTTTACCCTGACATGGTCCATTTGTGCAATGGTTTCAAGAAACTGCTACAAAACCAAATGAGCAACTCAAGAAGCGGCTACACCAGCTATGGTAGGTTCTGATGTATAGTATAATATAGTTATAAAAGTTTATTAATCATGGCCAAAATAGGGAGGGTTTTTGATTTGGTGTATAGATTTTCGCAGAACTATATTTTGTTCTTGAAAGGTTACACTCAGATTCCGCTAGATGGCTTGGTTCAGAGGCTTGACATGGGCCATTACACTGGTTACTGTGCTCCTGAATCTCTATATTTACACTTACCCAAGCTTCACTCCCGAGAGATGTTCTTGGAATCATAGCTATGAAGATGGCAATGATCTACTCGGGGAACGCGTCAAAAATATACCATATTTTGGTGATCTTTACAAAACACTCTTTGTCAAAGAGGCGAGCGAGAATCTTCCCCGGCCCCGTGATATACGCATGATGGCATTTGGCGATCCACAGATTAACGGCAATTGGCCTTCCACTCCTTATATCAAAAGATTAGACAATTTCGGCAACGATTACTACCTTGGTCATATTTATAGAGTGATGAAAAACAGACTTCACCCGACTCATGTTGTTGGACTGGGCGATCTGTTTTCATCTCAATGGATCGCTGACTCCGAGTACTACAACAGAACCAGAAGGTATATGACCCGTCTTTTTCCAAGACCGCTGGAACAGACCTTTGCTGAGCTCGATTTCATAGCTGAGCATAAGGACGTGGACTGGGTGAGCCATCTGGAATGGTTTCAGAAAAACCTTGAGGAGGGTCTATTTTTGAAACCAGAATTCTATCATTATGAGAATGTTTACGACTGGTCTTCTGCCAACCTGACTCACGAGCCATTGTTCATCAACGTTTCCGGAAATCACGACATTGGATATGGAGACACAACTTACCAGCATATGACTCGATGGAGGAGACTTTTTGGAAAGGACAATTACTGGATAGAATTCGACAACGATACAGACCATCCTTGGCGAATAGTTGTGCTCAATTCACTCGCCCTAGACGGGCCCCTTCTGCAACCAGAATTTAAGGACTACACATGGCAGTTTGTTGAAACGTTGAAGCAAAGAACTTACCGTGGCTCATCTATCTTGCTCACTCACATTCCAATGTACAAGCCTGAGGGTCTTTGCGCGGATGGCCCGTTGGTAGAGTATTTCAACGAAAAGAACTGCCATCCTGGCGGAGAATACAGAATTGGACTTTTGAAATCGGAAAACCATCTGCAATACGACACTTCACAGGCCGTGATGAATGCAGTGTTCAAAGGAAACTACTCTGGCATCATTGTGACTGGGCATGACCACGAAGGATGCGAGAACTACTATAATTATAACTTCACTTCTGGGGAATGGCAGGCCTCCAAGAGCATAGACTCCCCGAAATACATAAAGGAGGCCACAGTCAGATCTATGATGGGTGATTTTGATGGAAATACCGGGCTCATCACGGGGCATTTCAACCATGAGACCAAGAACTGGGAATTCAACTACAAACTGTGTCCCTTCGCCGTCCAGCATGTCTGGTGGGTTGCGCAAATTGGCATTGTGCTGAGCACTCTGTTGCACTCCATAAACTTTTTGCTTTGAAGTTGAGCCGCATTCTTCGTACATAAAAAAAAATTCCACCAGCTAAAAATTTTCCTATCGAAAGTTTACCTCCAGACTATTTGGCAAGCTACCAGCGTGTTTCAGTGCCCAGAAATGGAAGCTATTCCGCCAAGGGGTTGCTGCTTGAACCACCGTCGTGGTTAGTGTCATAACTGATCGGTATCGTCGCCTATTAAGTTAGGGGTGATTTCTAGATGTTGGAACGAGCAGTAATCATGATGTTAGTAGCTTGTTGAAAAGTCCGGACAGAAGGACGTGGCTTCTAAGAATTCGTCGTTGACTCAGACAACCGCGGATCCCGTATGGCCACAACATTGTAGGCATGTAGCACCACACCTGTTTTTGTCATATGTGGCTGAGCACCTCTCCTCAGCCGCCTTGGCGTAGTTTCCAACTTTGCAGTAAAAGTAAAACATAAAAACAGACGAGCTACCTATTTTGATTGCTGGAAAGATATGACCAGTAATTTTTGATCTGTCAAATACCGCTTCGTTACCCTCTAGATCAAAACGTATTCATTCTTGTTTACCAGCCTTGCGCTCGCCAAGTTCAAAAAATAGTGCCCAATCCCTACTCAGTTTCAGCTGAGGGACTAATTTAATTGGTGCACCATTTGCTAAGGTAGTTTTACCAGATCATGTTTTCGAGAAGGAAAAAAGAACCAAGCCCGCCGCTGCCCAAGCTGCTGGAAATTTACAATGAGATCGCCAATACATCGCTTACAAATCTAAGTTTAGAGCAAAATAACCGTTCGAACGAAGCCCTAAATGGCTGGAAAACGCTTCATCAAGCGGCAGCCCAGAAGGTGCAAGCCCTTGAGAAGGGTATCGCAGGAGTAGAGCTCACCGATGAGGAGTCCTATATTTTGGACGAAATCCACATTTTGCAGGCACAGGCGGACGACCACATGGATAGATTGGAGAACAAACTGAACCCTCCCCTTGTCATGCAGGCGTCTAAAGTCTATTCCAACCCTCAGCATTCCTCCAGCTCTGCTGGTCTGAAAGTGTCTCCCCCTGGCTCCAGATCGAACTCTGTGCGAGCGAACGTTCCCACCTTGAGATCCGCTAATCCAGTAACGATGAAATCCAAAAGACCACTCAACAAGCCATTGATCAAATCACTCCGCCCCAACCAGAACATCGCTAACAATAACTCTAGCGGAAGTCTGGGTAACTCCATCTCGTCACAAGCCACAGCCAAGCAAGCTGCAAACCTGATATGGGCGCCATCCAAAAGTCTATCTACCAGCAAGTCGTACTCGTCGAACTCGCAGGACGACTTATTTCAAGATTTCGACGGAGTCATTGATGATGAGGAATATCATCATAAGGAAACGCTCAGACAGTTACAACAAAACGCCTTGGCATCGAAAGCCGCAAGAAGTAGAAACGACGAAGACTTAATCGACCTCAGTGAAAACCTGTCACATCTTGATGTCCGTCACAAACCAACGCCTCAGCCAAAACAACAAGTACAAAAGAACCACGCTAAGTCATCGGCAGAGAGAGCCAGGGCGGCATTGAAGATTTCCTCGCAAGTCAAACTTCCTCAAAAGGTGGCCCCTAGTGCTGTTAGACAACCTACTCGCCACGCATCGCCGGCAAGAAACGCCAGATCCCCACCTCGATCGACAAATGCGCAACTCACAAAACCTCAGACCCGAAGAGCTAATCTTTCCCCTGCTCCCGCTAAACCTGTTTCAAGACCCCAATCTGGCTCCAGGAGAGCCTCACCAGCCGCTAAAGGATCAGCAGCAAGTGCTCCCAAGGTGCTTGCTGACAATTCTACGAAAGATACAGAAACATTGGACAGTGACAATTCGATCGAAGACGATGAAGATAAACTAATAGCGTCGATGAGAGGCGTGGATCCCATTGCTGCTAGGCAGATTCTCAACGAGATAGTGGTTCATGGAGATGAAGTTCACTGGGACGATATCGCGGGACTTGACGCTGCCAAGAATTCTCTCAAGGAGACAGTGGTTTACCCATTTTTGAGGCCAGACCTTTTCAGTGGTTTGAGAGAGCCTGCCCGCGGAATGTTGTTGTTTGGTCCACCAGGCACAGGAAAAACTATGCTCGCCCGTGCAGTGGCTACTGAGTCAAAATCAACGTTTTTCTCGATATCTGCGTCTTCGCTGACATCGAAGTATCTTGGTGAGTCCGAAAAGCTGGTCAGAGCTTTGTTCCAACTGGCCAAGAGACTTGCTCCTTCAATTATCTTCGTGGATGAGATAGATTCCTTACTGGGAAGCAGAAATAATGAAGGCGAAAATGAGTCTTCGAGGAGGATCAAAAACGAGTTCTTGGTTCAGTGGTCTGATCTGACCAAGGCCGCAGCTGGAAGAGACCAGGGAGAGGATTTACAGAGAGTTTTGGTGCTAGCGGCCACAAACTTACCATGGGCAATAGATGAAGCTGCAAGAAGAAGATTTGTGAGACGACAATATATCCCACTTCCAGAATACGATACCCGGAAAGCCCAAATAAAGAGGCTTCTTTCGCATCAGAACCATACATTAACGGAAAAGAATTTAGAAGAATTAATTCAGTTAACGGATTCCTTTTCAGGGTCCGATATCACAGCTTTGGCAAAGGACGCGGCTATGGGGCCATTAAGAGAGCTAGGAGATAAGTTGCTCTTAACATCAAAAAATGAGATCAGGCCTGTCTGTCTTCAAGATTTCATCAACTCCCTGAATTACATAAGACCTAGTGTCTCAAGAGAAGGTCTCAGAAAGTTTGAAGAATGGGCCAAGCTGTACGGATCCTCGGGTGTCTAAGTTGTAAATCGGAGTCAAGATTCTTTTGTGTGTTATATAGCATGTATTCAAGATCGGCTGTTCGTTAATCTATCTTCATGATTATACATTTATGGGTGGGCTTTCTTTACATTTGTAGTATCCAATCCCTGTCAGCGGAATCTCGAAAATAAACCTTTTTTATCTTTTGAGAGCTTCGAATCACCAGCCTTCTCCTCAGGGGCCGTTTTGATAGATGCACTTGGAGCTGAGGTTGGAGGTGATCCTTTTGAAGACAAAGCTGCCCTTCTCAAATCTCTGGCTTTCACCTCTTTACTCTCCCTCATTAGCTCCTCGAACATCTGCACTTCATTCTCGTCGTCAGGGTCTCGTCTAGCGTTCTTGAACAGAGCACCCATTAGTACAAGTAGTTCAGCTCTCATTTTTCTGACCTCAAGTGGCACCGTTTTATCATTAAGAACCTTTGAGCAGACTTGATTTAAGGTCGATTCCATCTCAAATTTGGACGACACCCAGGCAACGGAAATAAACTTTCCTGTCATGGCTCTCTCGAACTTTGCTCTTTCGTATTCGTCCATCGCGCTTGCCTCGTCCACTTGAAGTTTTTCCATGGCTTCCACAGCTGATTGCGCTTCCGTAGCGGTTGCAACCATCGACCAAACATTCTTGACGGTGTTTCGACTCTGCTTCAGAGATGAGGACATTTTGTGGAATTTACCAAGGAAGGCTTTTTGGGACTTCAGGAAAGATTGTCCTTTGAAAAGGTAGACTTTACCAATGATATGGCAAATATCAACGCCAAACGACTCTTGTTTCAAATCCTCAATTTCCTTCGCCACTTTGCTCTGGAATTGAGTCGTCGCCTCGTTGCTGAGATAACCATGACTAGAAGCATCTATAACAGGTTGCAATTTTTCGATCAATTGCTGAGCGAGCTCTTCCACTTTTTTGGCTTCCTCTTCTTGTCTTTGTTTCATCTTTTCCATATCGAACTTGTCCTTTTTAGGATGCTGACTTTGGCTTGCGTTTGGATTGTGAGCTCCAATCTCCTGGCTTTCCGAGAATTTGATATCCTCAGGTTCCGCCTCTGGACCCGCTGCCATTTCCTCAAACATAGCTGTCAGAAGCGTTAGCTTTCCGATGTAAGGCTCAAATCCTTCACCTCCGAACATCATGCTGAATAGCTCCCTTGGACCAAGGTCTTCGGCGGCTCCTCCAGCCTTCGTTAACTCATCTTTGCCGATTTCATCGTAGAGCTTCCGCTTTTCCGGATCACTCAGAACTTGGTAGGCTTCCGCAATCTCCTGGAACTTCTTTTCGGCGTCTTTGTCATTTGGATTTTTATCCGGGTGGTATTTGAGAGCCATCTTTCTGTATGCTTTCTTTATCTTCACCTCATCGGCATCCACCTCAACCGCCAGAAGGTCATAATAAAATGTATCCTTCACCATTTCAGTTTCGTAAACCAAGAGCAAGATTTATCTGGAATTTATTGACTTATGGGTGGTATCCGCAGTTCTGCAAATTATAAATAATCCTAAATAAAGATCAAGTGTGAGATTTTAAAATAAGGCTGTGCTCCGGAGCTTGATTTTATCGAAAAGAGGAGACCAAACTATCACTTACAACATACTGCATGACTTTTGCACGTCAACTGGCTTCCCGTAGGGTGTTAAAGTCCCACAGTCCCGGGCTCCAGGATGTAAGTTGGAAATTGAAAGATTTTAATTCTGGCCGATACCATATTCAGTTTACTAACTACTAGTTTATTCTTCAAAATCAAATTATCAGAACATACAGAGATATGCTACGCACAATCCACAGTAAGTAGTGATGTTCGCAAACTGACGCTAGAAATACCAGATAAGTCCTTGCAAATGGAACTACGACATTATCTGAAAGAAGAATTCAGATCCAGTAGCCAAGTGACGGATTACGATACTCGGAAGTCTTTACTAACGGGAGCAATCAGACAATTCAAGAGCGTGACCAGCAACTTGGGATTATCATTGCCGAACTTCAAGCACTGAAATTGAACTAAATATATACACGCGATCAACGTTTGACCCAGGTTGGAGACTTTCTGGCCTTCAGTTTTCCAGGTTTCTTTCTCTCCACCGATCTTGGATCTCTATACAAGCAGCCTGCCTTGAGCAAAATGTCCTCGAATAGTGGGTTGTGAATCACAAGAGCCCTGGCAATGGCCAATCGCACGGCGTCTGCTTGCCCTGTGCTGCCGCCTCCTCTGGAAAGAGCAAAAATATTATACTTGGTCTCAGACTCAACGATTTGCAAGGGATAAAGTATTCTAGTTCTGTCTTTCAGGTTTTTGAATTTCTCATCAAATGGTAAGCCGTTGACCAGGATTGTTCCCTCTCCTTCCACAACGTAGACTTTTGCGCTCGAATCTTTTCTTCCTCCAGTAGCCACTGCTCTTCCCTTACTGTCTAATTCCTTGATTTTCTTATCCACATCCCTCATGGTCTTCGAGACTTTGAAGAAGTCAAGAACATGCTCAAGATCAGGGCTTCTCAATTGTGGATCTATCGAGTCCAATCTCACGAGGGTCTGTTTCAGCTTATTGTACTCTGCCTGTTTGCATTTTGCACCATTGCCCTTTCTCTTGTACTCCTCAAAAGATAGCCATACTGACTTCTCGGTGTTCTTCTTGCTATACGGGAGAGACGCATACTTGTTCAACAGATCGAGCAAAAATTCCATCACGTCCTCATGGAATGGGTTTCTCGCAAACACCGTTGGACTTGGGGGAATGAGTCTCATTTTCTCTAAATGTAAATCTCGCTCAATAGACCCATCAGATCCATACTGGAAAACAGGCTCAATTGCCCGAGGCTTGCCACCCGTCAACTGACGTGCAAAAACACGGAGCGTGAGACCCGCCCGGGCTTTCCAAACTCGTCCTGCCAACATCCCGATACAATCAACGATGAAAAAATTTACCAATTGAATCGACGTGAGAATCGACCAAAATTATATACGCGCGCCGATCGACCTCACAGATTAGGATTGGCTGAGGTCGCTGAAGGGGTCGTCGCTATCAGAAACAGGCTGTCTTCTGGTGTCAGCAACTACTGTAGCGTGATTTCCTTCCGCATCCAAAGATTCCAGACACTCCTTCAGTATGTCACGTAGCGCATTATTCTTACGGCTCACCATGAGCAGATCCTCGGGTATAATTGTCTTTCTTCTTGCGTGCTTGGCAAACAGCTCCAAATCCTCCCCAACGTCAGTTAGCTGGCGGTAAACCAGTTCAACTAGAGCAGCTGTAAATCTCGGGGTAGCAGTTATATCAGTTCCCGAGTCTTCAGAGAGTTTTTTCGTTTCCTCCTCAACCATCTTCGATACGCTGTACCAAATGCTGGCCTTGAGGTGCTGAACTGTCAGATCACTTTTTCTGCCTATACTTACTGTCGCTATTTCCTTTTCCTCCGAGGTTAAAACTCTCATATGGGTTACAATAAATGTCACTGATTATTTTGTCGCGTCGCGTTAATTTTATCAATTAAAATCCAACCTATATAATATACAAAGCAATGATGATCAACACCGTTAATACCCAGAAACACACACTCAAATCCATTCACACAGACTTCAGATCCATGAGGGCAATTGCAGCTATCTCCTCGTCACTCTGCGTCGCCAGCGCAGGCCTCAATGGACTCGATATATCTGGTTTAACCATTTTCACAGATACTGGTCTCGGTGAGTTGTGTTCCACTGCGACGTTGGAAGCAGGCATCGTCAATGCAGACATGTTGTTTTTTCTCAACGTGGCAGGTCCCATCGCTTCCCAGTCTTCCTCGTCCGTGTAATTTTCCAGGTCGTTACGATCTCGATCATGAAGATTCTCCATAGACGACACAGTATTAAGAGTCACGCTGCTATTTTGATCATGCAACATGATCGGACCATTGGAAGGAGATATGTTTGTTCGTAAAAAGGATTGTCGTGTCACACTGGACGAGTTCGAAAATGACACTCTCGGACGTCTTTTGGAAATCAATCCATCAGGCATGGACGCAGAATCGAGGTTGCTATTCTCGTCGAAAACAGCCTCGATCGACTGACTCGTGAAAGATGAGCGCGGTTTTCTCGGTTTGGCAATGCCCGCAAACGATGGGTGCCTGTTTGTGGACGACAACGAAGACGTGCGGAGAATGTGTTTAGCTTTCTGAGAACCATTGTCTCCTTCAAACGTGAACATGCCGTCATCATCGTCTTCTTGCGAGTGAACCAAATTCAGCTCGTCATCGTCATCATCGTCAGAGGAAGAGGACTCAATAGCCTCGTCCAAGGAATATTTTCGTTCTTTGAATGAATTTCGCAAACTCTGTAGAGGTCTGAGGTTAGGTGATATAGGAACCTTGGTATTGTGTAAATCTGTCGTTGAATTTGTGATTGACTCTCGTCTATAGTTAGCTCCAAGACCTCTTCCTTTTGGCGACACGCTTAAAGCAGTGTTGCTTCCTCTTTTTTCTTTCCGCCTGGCTCTAGTGGAGCCGTGATTCTCAGGAGGGCTTTCAGGCGACCTGTCTCTGTTGCCTGTAGATGCTTGTGTATTTCGATGGTTGATCTGTTCGTCGGAGGCCTTCCTTGCTTCCCATTGGCCCCATCCAATTTTCTCGAACACGCAGCCAGTTTGCAAGTCTCCCATTTCCAAAGCCGCCATAATCAAACGTCTTTGTTTGGACAGCGAGAGGTGACCGAAAGCCGGGATCTGAGAAACCAAATGTGCAGTCAAATGTCTGATTGGCAACGGTCCCTCTTTGAGCAGAATATTCGCAATTCTGTTCGGCGTGATCTGGGAGGCAGCCGCAATTCCTTCAGGTGATGATGTAGAGATGAGAGATTTATGTTCCTCGGCCACATTCTTCTTCCAGCTCTTTTTCCTGTGCTTGCCATTGATATGAGTCACAAAGGAGACCGATTGGTGCTCCTCTTTGTCCGGAAGGGACGGAGAGCCATCATGCGCCGCAGCATCGAAAATGGATGAGACCTGGGTTGGACTAGCTCTGAAGTCGTCTTTTGGAGGCGAAGTGTACCGATTGCCACTCTCGTTATCGGCGTCCGGGGTAATGTTTGAAGTGGACGAGGTGGCTGAAGCAAGAGCCGAGTTCAGGGGGGATGAGAGCTCCCGCTTGACCGCACCGGACTGGTCAGCAGTGTTGACCAATGATTGAAGCATGGGTAATTATTTAAATTTAATAACGAGCGCTGACACCGGTGTGTAATTATAGCACGCGTCTATCAGTCTGGTCAAATGGGTGGAACGCAATCTTCAGCGTAACTGGGGATATCAAAGCTGAGTCTGACAGTCTTGAAGCAAAGGTGACTGTTATTTGCTCGTTATGTGTAATGGCTTATATTGTTTGGAAAATAATTTATTCAACAAAGTTTCTAGAAGTCTAGCACGGTAACATAAAGAACAAAAATAATTTGTGAGTCGGATAGTTGAAAAATGAAAAATCCTGGGACGGAATACAGATAATAAAAATTCCCAATTTATGGATATATTATTTGTCGGTACAAATACCACCCTATCCACCAAAATCATAGAGCTGGGAAGTTCTTGTCGTTAAGTTCGATCTTTGGGGCAGCAGACTTAGGTGCCTTGCCTCTTGGAGCTCTTCCTCTACCTCTGGTGTTGCTGGATCTAGCTGGTCTCTCTCTTGGGATACGAACCTCGTCGGCAACAATAACGTTGACATCCACGTACTGCTTGGCCTTCTTGGCCTTTTGCTTGGTTTGCTTGACAGAAGTTGGTGGAATAAAGACCTCTCTTTCTTTAACAAGCAATTCAGCATTGGACCACTTGTCCTCAGCACCGGCGTTAGGGGCTCTCTTCGGCTGAGCAGCAAGACCCTCCTGTTGCAATTGCAACTCGCTGAAGTAGTCATCAAGAGTCTTGTAAACTGGCTTTTCGGCCTCCTCTTCCTCCTCAGCAGCCAATTCCTCAGCAGCATCCGCCTCGGCCTCAATCTGGGCCTCGGCTTCATCTCCAAGCTTGGTCTTTTGAGACTTGGCAGTCTCGGTCTTTCCGCTCTTGGAGTGTCTGTCGTAGTTCTTACTCTTGGCAGTACGACGCTCAGTGGACTTTGGTGGCTCAACGTCAGGATTCTGGTTCTTGAACTTCAAACCAGCCTCGTTACCAGTCACAGATGGCTTCTTGTTCTTCTTGGCCCTGGACTTGTCGGCAGATGGAGGAGGAGCGTCAACCTTCTTGGAGGAAGTGGTCTTCTTGACGATTTCCTTAGGTGGAAGGACTTCACCCTCATCGTCGGACACATCGTTACCCAAAAGGGCGTAAAGGTTCTAGCGCATTAGTGAATAATTTCGCTGGACTTGAGTGCTTCTTATCAATTGACTGGGATAAATTATGCCTTAGTGGACTGGCACCATTCTAGCTTCCTTGACTCACACGAGTGAACAATCTCATCTTGCTTGATTCAAAAAACACACAAATCCCTTCGCTATTATTAAACTTACCTTGTTGTTGGACATCCTGCAAGCTTAGTGATGCGAAATTACGCTCAACCTCAAAGCTTTGTACTGTTAGAAGTTCCAAAAGTGTGTAACTTTTCGAGCACTAGTTGAAAAATTTTTGTCGTCGAACTGCCATCGTTCTTGTATTTGTCGTGTCTTTTCTGAAAAAAGTGCTAACTTTAAATCAAAGCACCGATTATTTTGATTTGTGCGATCTAAAAACAAATGCTATATAAGGACTCTACTCTTTCTTTTCCAGGATGTAAGCGTCGCCAACCCTCGTCAGAAAGTCCTTAACAGCACCTCTCAGGTCCGCCATTAAATTCTTGTCGAAAAGCTGCAAAACGAGGTCGTATGCAACCGGACAGCATCGTAAAAAGTCTTCATGATCCAGCTCACTGTATGCTTGTAGAATCTCCACCACAACGGGTCTCCAGCTCTGAATGTTTCTTGACTGGTCTGCCTCGTTTAGCCTCACATACCTTTCGAGGATCGTAACACCCATTGGAATCAGAATTCCAACAATCTTTTGCCTAGCTTCCTTATTGACGCGGCCAGAATCGCAGTACAGACGGAACAGAATGCTAATGTAAACACCCGCCGAAGATGTTTCCTGCTTCAAAAGGTTTGGAAGCTTGTCGATAACACCTGCATTCCACAGACGCACTCTCAAATTGTAGTCCTCGTTGAACTCTCTCGCAAACTTGTAGCTGTGCTCCAATAAGTCCGACAACTTCAAAAGATTAGCAACAGGAATCGTTTGGTAGAATTCATCAATGTCAAACAGCTCCGAAAGAATCTGTATAACATGGAGCTGAAGAACGCATTTGATTACAATTGCCGATTTCTCTCTCGATTGGTTTAAAGGAACTGGGAGCTCCAAATCTGAGTCGCTCGCTGGACTTCCCTGCAACTCAGACTCATCTCCGTCTAATGTTTCCTGTCTCTCTCCATTCGACTGTCTCAAAGGATCAGCTTTAAACAACTCTTTGGCTGTGGTCAAATCAAATAGTTCGGCAAACGAGTTATTCAACAGCTCCCAGTGTTTCTCATTGAATTTAGCCATATTGTCGAGAATAAGCTCCTTCAAACACGAGATGCCAATTTTCGAGATAGTTTCATTTTGTTGACAGATGCACGAAACCAGAAGCTTCAAGTATCCCTCCATCTTTCCACTTAGGGTATCGAAATAGTAGCCGAAGAGGGCAATCATGTTTCTCAAGGCCTGAATCAGAGTTGTAGAAAGCCAAACAGAAAGGTCATCTTGCGTCGTAAGCTCCCAGCGATCTCCCAAAACACCGAATATTGGAAATAGTAGCTCTTCGCAAATCCTGTCCCAGAATTGTCCCTCAAACTGGCCACCATTTTCAATCAAGGCATCAAAAGTAAAACTTAATGCCTTGGACCTGACTTCAAGATCCTCTCCATTCATCACAACGTCGTGGAAACCGAACAACAAAGGAAACCAAAGATCTTCGGCAGAATATATATCGCCGTGCTCTTCCAACGTCTTCGGAATCGTTTTTGTCAACTTCTTCATTGAATTGAGAGACTGCAAGCTCGATTTTTGGAACTGTTCGTTCTTTGCATATTCGGTCAGACAAACGACCAAGGATGAGAAAGCATCAAGGCTCAATATCTGATCGAAGTGTGATTTCATGATCATGCTCGTGTACGAAAGTCCTTTTGCAACAAACTTCTCATTATTATCTTTGGCTGCATTTGTCAGAATCTCTAGTAAAGTTTGCCAGCCAGATTTGATAAGATCAGCTTTTTTGTGGACCATGTATTGCACACAATCCAATACCATTTCACGAACCTGCAAATGCGGACTGTGGAGCACAATGTAATTGAAAGGTTTGAGGAACTCTTTTTGAAACTTGAAGTGGGACAGCTCCTCAATGGCGAAGAACCTCTCCGATAGCTGCCGGAGTGAGTCCAGCGCAAAGAAGGCAATTGAGGTATTCTGGTGACAGCCGAATTCATTGAACTTTTCGTTCATGACCGCCCAAAGAGCAGACCATTGAACTCTGATTCTTCCCATATTATAGTAGCAGACATCAACCATTTTTTGTAGTGAGAATATCCGCGGGTTCTGGCTCTGTCCAGACGACTCAATCTCTTCATGTGCGACTTCACTGAGTGCTGCAATGAAATCAAAAATACCGTTTCCCTCTATCTCAGAACTCTTGGAAAACACCTTGTCTATTGCAACATCTAAGTCTGTCGAACTGATACGAACAACCATATCTGAGCTTAGCTTCTGACTAAAATGGTGCTGTGAAGTTTGCTCCGACATGGTTTGTTTCTTCCCGAAGGAGAAGAAGGACATCTGGTTGGAGTTGTGCGATCGGTAACTCTCAGTGGAATGCCTGCTTGCTAGTCTAGCATTGAGCAGATCCGGAATGCTTTCGGAGTCAACGCCCTGCGACAGCAGCTTCAACCGCTCGATCTGGGAGATTGAAGTTAGAATACTTTTCCAAGATGAACCAAGCTTGGAATTCTCATCCACAGCAACTTCTAATAAGGCATAAACGGCATCGATGTTCTTGTTCTTGAGTTCTTCAGGATTGTTCAAATTGCAGAATTGCACCAGTGCCCTAATGAAGGAGGTTCTTGCATAGTCCAAGTCAAACATGCAAGAAATGTGGATCGACACCTTGATTCCTTCCAGCAAGATTCTCGAAGTTTCATCGTCATCATATTCCTTGAAAGGCGGGGTGAGACCAGCCAAAATGGACATCCAAAGGTTGTCAAACATAGACCTCACGTGATCAGCATTATTGCCGACGTTGGCAGTATAGAATACAACTTTCGAATTTTTCTTGTAGGTGTTTCTTATACTTTTAACCGCCTCCTCTGTCTTTGAAGACATTTCTTTAGAAGCCTTGGCATATGCCTCTTTTGCCAAGTCTCTGCCACCAAAGAACGATTGTTGCATTGAATGCAAGTCGCTTGATATGAGCGCGGCGTGCTGCTCACTTTTTAGCATGATCTCGTCATTTTGAATGTCTGTATAAATTTGCTCGAGCATCGAGTGATCAAGGTCTCTACCATCATCAATGCCTCTGTTGTTGTTGATGAAGTCTTCCAAGGTCATCCTTTTTTTCACTTGTGGCGAGTGTTGATCGGTGTTGAGCATTATAACTGAGTAAGACAGAACATACACTGTGTCAGCGTTTGCGAACGTGGACGGATTATCATTAACGTATTTCTCAGCAAACTTCAGCATGAACCGGTCAATTTTCTGCGATTCACCGGGCAGTCTGAAGTGTTGCAAGAAATATCTCAAAGCGTCCAGGAACTTTTTGTCTTTGAACACCATCATATCAACAAATTCATGCATGATCGTCACGTTCTTCTCATCTCCATCTCCCAGAAATTCTCCCAATGCTGCCTTATCCAGCATGTCTGTGTCCAGTAGAAATTTTGCAATATCCCGAGGAGAATCTGAAGGAATAAATCCATTATCCAAAAGACTTCTCAGTCCCCTTTTCGGATTGTAATTGAACAACCGTATACCATCCAGAAACACGTTCTTTCTTTGCTTGACGCTATCGAACTGAGAAACAGAGGTCTCTTCGTTGGCAGAAGTGATAGTGTCACTAACAGACCCGTTAGTAGAGTCCTGGACTGAAGCTTGCGATAACACAGAACTACTGGTATGAGCTCGGCCCCGGTGAGAATACGGTGCATGATCTCCTTCTGCAGCGGTCGTCGTGATTAGAGGTTTTCCACTCCAAGAGTTCAGCGACTTCAAGAACGCGAGAATGCAATCAATCGAGGTCATTTTCAAAGCGTACTCGATCGGGAAGTTCAAAGAGGCATCGGGATTTGGCGGGTGACCGCTCATTTTTGAAACATTGAGTTGTGGGACATCGGACAAGTTGTATGTGGCAAGATTCCTAGTCAAACTCTCTCTGTAACTCACTTTCTGGGTTGGTGTCGCGTCCACTCGCATTAGCGCAAACCTTGCCAGATAATCCATGATGGCCTCGCACAAGTTTGGCATGGAAGTGTCACAGTCGTAGTTCAGGTAGAGCTCGATCAGAATTTTAGGGGCCTTGCAGATGCGGTGAATAATCGAAAGAAGATATCTTTTTTGGTGCGCCGTTGATGTCTTCATCTCGCTAACAGGGAAGTAGATCTCGTCCAGAAACACAGGAATTTCCGATTTGAACTGATCTCTCATTTTATCCACCATAATCCAAAATATCTCGAGACACACCTCGTAGACTGGGGCCAGCTGGGAAGCGGCATTTCTAGCTAGCACCAGACAGAGATACTTTCTGATGGCGTCAACCAGACGTGTTTTCTCATTTGTGGCCCTGTTGATGATCGTGCAGTCTTTGTCCAGGAAGCTTTCAATGTGATTTTTGAGTATCCAGTGTATGATATGCAATGATAGAAGTTTTGATCTGATCGCATGGGAGCGCATATCGATAGATTCGTTTTCCATCACCTTGACTGACAAGTTGCACATAGATCTCAAGATTAGGAAAGCGTCCTTGACAACCAGCTCTTCCTCGGTGCCTGCAAACTCGTCAGAGCTTATCTGGACGTCGTCGTTTTGAACGTTCTGTTCCATCTCGCGCAGCGTCATCTTGGTCTGCGCCGCGGTCGGCGTGCTAGAATCGGCTGGCGTCGAAGTGGCCGCAATATCATCCGGCTGATCGCTAATATCGATATCAGAGCGTCCTTTCTTTCTTGTGGATGAGACCTTCTCGAAAACAACATTCACGACCTGAGTGAGAGTTGCCTGTGCAATGCCTTGGTTGACCGGAGACAACGAGAGCAGGAAAATATTGTATACTTGTCTCACAGCCTGCAATAAGACTCTTCCATGGAGCGGTAACGTATCATTAAGAATGGCACCTGTCAGCACGCGTATCACCTGAAGCTCGACCCTCTCATCCGTGCCCTCTCCTTCAAAGCACGAGCTTATCACTTGGACAACCGCCTCAATGAGAGGAATTGCGCGAACACGGCCAACCTCTGTTTCTGTATTTGTTTCCATGTCAGCATCCGTATGAATGTCAGGTTTCGTTTTCTTGTAACTTATGGTCAATGGCTCGTGGAAGACGCTGAAAGTGAAAACCTTGCTGAGACAGTCAAGAGCGACTATCTTCGCTTCAGCACTAGGGACATCGCATGCATTTTTCAGCACCTCAAAAATATCCTGTTCACTAGGCAACTCGCCGGTATTTAAAATCGCAATTTGCTTGTTGAGAAAGTCCACCAATGACTTGTGCTTCTTCGTTATTTCTTTTATCTGAGCCAATTTCTCGAACGACGACTTGATGAAAGAGACAGTCGCCGACTGGTTCGCAAAAGAAGCTGAGCTAAGAGCGCGGCTGCGTGCCGGACTTGCGGGACTCGATGCGCTCGTTCCATTCGTTTCGGAATCATGTGCTGTCACCTTGATAGAAGGCCGGCTTGCGGTACCGTTTGTGTTATCTGGTTTGGCCTCGGCCTCATTTGGAGAATCGTCTTGAGCTGGTATGTCGTTCACTTCCTCCGCGGAAGAATTTTCCTGATCGGTCGGCGCAGGAGTGGAAGTGTCGTCTTTCGCGGCTTCGCTCATAAACCTAAAGTAATACTATGGACTGACGGCGGACGTAGATTGTGTAAGTTTCACTTACTCTTTGCTGACAACACACACTAGGAAGGTAAGGGATAACGCGTTATAAAGCCTCAATTGTCTGGGTTGAAGCAACAGAACCACTCAGAAAATTACTGTAGATCAAATATGGAACTTCTCGTTATCTCCGAGGCGAAATTGTACACTGGTCAACAGGTCGTTATTCCTCTGTGATTTTGTACTTGGCTTGTATGCGCCCCTACTCTGAAAAATACTTTGAACAGGGCTTCGAACCGGACATAGGAATAATCTCGTACTTAGATCGATAAATATTTTTGGAGCTATCTAGCATGCATAACAGAGCATCGTGAGCCTTGCACTTTCTTTATTACCAGTCTATTTAGCTGAGGTCGTCCCACGTGCGTCCACGGATGGTTTTCAGTTCCTCCTGTGTGTAGACGTGGCCATTAGTGAAGTATCCGGAGGCAATTTTGGCGTCGATCTCGACACGCGAGTCCGCAGGAAGCATCTCGTCAGGGATCTCCACCCTTTCCACGATCTCAATTCCCTGGCCGACAATCGCGTCGTGCTTCATGTTGCTCATAGAAAGCATGCGGTCGATTCTGGTGATGCCGAGCCAGTGCAAAATGTCCGGCATAAGTTCCTGGAAACGTGCATCCTTCACGCCTGCTATGCATTCTGTTCTTTGGAAGTACGCGTCGGCGCTATCGCCTACACGCTTTCTAGCGTTGTAGACGAGATACTTTGTAACTTCTCCAAGAGATCTGCCCTCCTTGCGGAAATATGCAACCACTCCGTTTCCGCCCTTTTGGGCCTCCTTGGCAGCTTCTCTGAGTCCGAAGATCAAGTAGCATCTACAGGAGCAGATGTCCGAAAGAAAGACATCTGATCCAGAGCACTCGTCATGGACTCTCAGAGCCAGTCTCTTCTCAGGATTAGGAATGTCCTCGGGGTTTCCGAATATGTACACGGTGGTTCCACCGATTGGGGGCAAAAACGTCTTGATATCAGGTCTCGTGATCAGCTCAGGATACATGCCGTTGGTGTCCTCAAAAAGAGCACGACGGAGCTCGTTCTCGGTGACACCCAATTTTTTGGCCACGCCAGGCAAGTACCAGACAGGGTCGACAGCTATTTTCGTCACAGCCATCTCGCCCTTGTCATTCAACACAATCTTGCCGTCAGGCTTCAGATTGCCCTTCTTGACCTCCTCTTGAATCTCAGGAAGGGACAGAATGGCCTTGGTGATCGACATGGATGGTCTGACCTCGACATTTTCCGCCTCCGCGACGTCTCCGTAGAGCCAAGGAGCCAAATGGCCCAATGGATCAAGCGAGACTATTTTCTCGCTGTCATACCATTGTGGCTGGGGAGCAAAGTCAACGGGAGGCTGTGCATTGGTATAATCGGGAACGTGTTTGGGGTCCAGTTGTCCAGAAACAATGCTAAGGGCATGGTAGACGGAATAAGGGCCAGAGTGGGCGCCAATGGCGTTGTGCTTGGTAACACCGTCGCCACGGCGAGAACAAACAATGGGGCCTCTTTGTTTCCAATCTTGGTTGTACCAGTCAAGCTTGATTGGATGGACATCGGCGTCGCCAGAGACGGTAGCCAGTCTTATCTGGTCGCCATAGATGTGCTCCAAAGAGTGGCTGATTGGCTTTTCGTCGTCTTTGAAAGTGCTGGAGTGTGTGTGCACGGCGGTTGGTTGGCACAGACAGCTGTGCTTTGCAATTAGAGAGGCAGGGGCCATGGTATTAACGGGCGTTTATTTGGTGTAAACTTTTAATCAAACAGTTTGTGCTCGAAGGTTGGATACTAAGGCCTTATATAGCCCAATGCCTTATCTTATCACTAGTAGATGGAATTGTTTCTGCACACATCCTGTTGAACCCGTGGTGGCCCCAATCAACGGCTGTGCTACTAAAACCGACGGTGGCCGGCTAAACAAAATTGGCTGTGCAACGGAAGCCGTCGGAGAAGAATATTAGCTGATTTATTACGATAAGAGCTTTTATAAAAGCAACGTTTTTGCGATCGCAGCCTTTAGCACTGGTGGGTGTGGATAGAGTCGACGTGCTCGACCTTGATCATCGGTCTGTAGACCGGTTTCCACATTTGCGATTTGACCCAGGCAAGACACTCTTCAAAGTCTCTAGGAACAGTGACCTTGCCTCCGTCTGGAGATTCTTCGTCCTCGACACGAGCGACTCCCTCTTCCAAGGCGCGCAAAATCACGGCAGTTGCAACTTTGGCGGAGGTCTCGTCAATGACCTCGAGAGGGGCCAGAAGACCGGCCTTGGCGTTCTTCTTAGCAGGAGAACCGTCAGCCAGCTGGTCAACGGCAGCAGAGATCATCGAGTCAGAAATAGTAGTTGCTCTCGAGAGAACTGCGCCCAGACCGATACCAGGGAACGTGAAACAGTTGTTGTTTTCTGAAATCACGTAACCGTGGACCGGAGGGAACGGCGAGCCCGTGGCCACCATAGCGTTGTAGTCTGTCCATTTCAGAGCGTCCTCAGGCGTGCACTCGTGGAGTCTTGTTGGGTTGGAAAGCGGGAAAATGATGGGTCTAGGGTTGTGTTTGTACATCTCCTTGATGACTTCCTCGTTGAACGCAGAGGCCTGTGTCGAGCAGCCAACCAGAACCGTAGGCTTGATTTTTCTTACCACCTCCACTAGAGATTTTGTGTTGACACCTTCCCATTCGTCGGCTGGGTCGGCGTATTTCTGTTGAGCAGGCGTCGAGGTCTTGTGCATAGAGTCTAAAATGAGGCCTCTCTTGTCCATGCAGTGGATTCTTGCCCTTGCGTCCTCAGGAGTGCTTCCGTGAATGACCATGTGGTTCACAATCTGGTCGGCAACACCCAGACCTGCCGATCCTGCACCGTAGATGATGATCTGCGAGTCCAACAGGTTTCTCTGGCTAACCTTCAGAGCGGCAGTCATGGAAGCCATGACAACAGCACCAGTTCCTTGAATATCGTCGTTGAAACATGGCAGCTCTTTTCTGTATCTTTCCAAGATAGGTCTGGCAGTGGTGACACCGAAATCCTCAAAGTGCAAAACGGCGCTTGGAAATCTCTTCTTTACGGTCTGGATGAACTTGTCCACGAATTTGTCGTACTCCTCCCCCCTGACTCTCTTGAATCTGTTTCCCATGTAGAGATCATCGTTTAGAAGTCTCTCGTTGTCGGTGCCAACGTCCAAAACAACGCTCATCACTCTTCCTGGATGGACACCAGCACACAAAGTCATGAGAGCTGCCTTGGCGATGGTGATACGCACACCTCCCACACCCTGGTCTCCAATACCCAAAATTCCTTCCCCGTCAGAAACAACAATGTAGTCTATATCTTTAGCCTCGCCGAATGCGGCTAGTCTCTCGTCCACGGAATCGGGATCCGTGATATCTAAGAAACATCCTTCTGGCTTTCTGAATCTATTCGAGTAGGCGGCTATGGCGTCTCCTTCCGTCGGAGTATACACGATCGGGAGCAGCTCTCTAATGTGTCTTCTCACCAATTCGTAAAATAACACCTTATTTTGCTGTCTCATGGAGGTGCAGAAATCGTTTTTGGCGAGCGGGGTCTTGAGAAAGTGGAGCTGGTCGTAAGCTCTCTCCACTTGCTCATCCAGGGTGTTCACGACTGGCGGTAAAAGTCCTGTAAGCCCAAAAGCCTCTCTTTCCTCGACAGTGAAAGCAGAGCCTTTGTTGAAAAGAGGTGAGTTGAGCAATTGGAATCCATGCAAAGAACACTCAATGGGTCCATCAACAGACAATCTGGTGTACCTTGGGGCTCTCAGTTTAGCTTGCTCACCGACCGGGGTCTTGATTGTATGTGAATGAACATGCGATGTGACAGAATCACTGATGATTGATTGGTATCTCACGAAACCACTTGGCTTCCACTTTCGAGCGATACAGACGGACATCTGTGTGCAATCTGGAAATGAATCTATTAACAACCTCGAATAGCAGATTTCGGTTTACTTAAATAGTCTAAATACGAGGGGCAAATATTCTCCATCTATGGCTTCATACAGCTCAATAAAAATTTATCACCAAAAACAAGAAGCCGCAAAGAATAAAACCTGCATTGCTTCCGTAAAAACACGGTGAGAACTCCGTAATTGTAAAACTCCGCAACGTCGGCGAAACAGGTGCTATTTACCGAGTTCCAGCTCCCATCAGCTACATCCATGGCTGGATGGCATACACAGGGTATGCCACTCTTCGATCCTTCAATGGCAGCACAACTGAATCGGGGGCCACACGCCAAAAACGCGCTTCTGACTAAACTCGGGCTGTGTAAGGTTATGCAGCGCGGACTATCTCGGAAGAATTTCTCCTCCTTGAGCGCTTTGTAGGGAATACAGTGCTGGTCTCCTAATACGGACATTGTTTACGTTGTTCACAACCCACGTATTGTATACCACTCAGATACCCCCACCTCTACCCCTCTTCTGACCGTCTTCTCTCTGTGTCCCTATAGGCTCATTCTCGTGATCTCCATTTGTCCATACCCCACGAAGCCATGCTAGCTACATAGTCGTGTGTGAAGCACAAAATATATGTCCGGTACAGGAGAACGAAGTTTCGTTGGCTTTAGTTTTAAATGCGATATTTAGCTTATTGCCGTTAAGTGGCCGGAGTGCACCTCCGTGATCGCTTTTTGAGATCTCGCCATACTGCACGCTGAACGGTTGATTTTCCGCCTCTCAGATTACAATTTCGTGTAACACTACCGATGCGGAAAAGTGTCTGTAGTACCCTGCTAATAAGCGAATAGGAATTTAGAGCCCCTGAGCTGCTTTGCTTGCTCGCGTTCATCGCAAGAACTAGGTTGCTGTTTTGGTACTTGATTTTACTCACCAATGCTTTATTCAAAGTTGCATTGACATAAGATTACTTCAGGGCAGACAGCGTTTGATGCCCACAGCATTAACCACTAGATATTTTGGCTCCAAATTTTCATAGCCCATAGAAAAAGTTCACTAAAATTTCTCTCTAATGAGTAATTCTCAAGATAAATAAAGAGATGAATTGAGGATAGATATTAATCTATGAGCGCTGACAGACGACATTTTTTGATTTCCAAAGCCCTTTCAAAGCTGCTTCGGCACCAGGCAGTGAACGAGAAGTTACCCATTGATGAGAAGGGTTTCGTACCTCTTGAGCAGATTTTGAACCATCGTTATATCAGGTCACTAAAAGCAACGTTTGAAGATATATTCTTTGTGGTCAACCAGAATGATAAAAAAAGATTTCGGATTGTTTCTCAAGAAGGAGAGCAGCTTGTCGATGCCCTGGAATACAAGCCAAACAGATCATACTATATTTGCGCGCTACAAGGACATTCTTTGAGTTCCGTGAGCCAATCTTTTGACATGGTTGAACTGACTGCAGAAACCTTTCCTGAAGTCATCGTGCATGGGACATATAGAAGATACTGGAAGGATATCAAACAAACTGGTGGCTTGAGCCGAATGAAGAGGAATCATGTCCATTTTGCCAAAGGATTGCCCCGTTGGTTTTCCAATAACTCAGATAATACGGTTATCAGTGGCATGAGAAAAAGCTGCGACCTGCTAATTTACTTGGATGTTGACAAAATCAAAAACAGCCCTCTCACTTTCTACGAGAGCGGTAATGGCGTGATTCTCACTCCTGGCGACGAAAACGGCATTGTGGGTCTACACTATTTCAAGGAAGTTACTGACGTTGAAGGTAACAGAGTATATAATTGAATCCGAGCTGAATGCACAAAAGTTCGTGAATTAGTGTTTGATGGAGCTGGAATCGTACTTGAACTCCAAAAGTTTGGCTAGCTCTGTTGTAGGACAAGCTTTTTTGAAGAATCTGTGCTGAAGTAGTTCGTCGGTTCTAGCCCGATACTTCACCTCGACACAGAGGCAAACGCTCAGAAAGTCCATGAACTCACTTGATAGGGCTTCGGGATTTTTCAGCGTAGGCGTTCCGTTGGAAACAATAAGATAGAGAGCCTTCAAGGGCTCCTCGTTAAGATACGGAGGTTCCCCTTCAACCATTTCAATGGCCATGATACCGAGCGACCACACATCCACTTTCTCGTCGTACTCTTTTTGTCTCACAACTTCAGGGGCCATCCAATATGGTGTTCCAACCATTGTGGCACGTTTGGACTTTTCTGTGGTCAACTTAGCACAAAAGCCAAAGTCTGTGATCTTGACATTACCCTTAGCGTCCAGGAGAACGTTATCCGATTTTATATCACGGTGAATAAAGTTTTTTTTGTGCAAATGTTGCAATCCCTTCGTAGTCTCGTAGCAAATCGCGGCTATTTGCTCTTCAGTGATTTCAGGATTGTTATCGATCACGTCGGTCAAACAGCCGCCCTCCATGTATTCCATGATGACCCATAAATCGGCAGATCCATTCAGATAAGCTTCAATGAAATTGACGATATTGTCATGCTGAGAGTCTTTCATCACCAGGATCTCGTTCACAATCAGCTCTTTTCTGCTCTGCTTATTCAAATCGATCTGCTTGATAGCAACCTGCTTGTTACGCATTTTCAACGACTTAGCAAGGTACACCGAACCACTGGCGCCCTGTCCCGCTTTCTCAATGACTTGGAAGTATGGAGCGGGATTTGTGTTGATGACGACGCTTCTCAACTTTGCCATGATCTGCGAGTCTGTCATTGTAGAGATACGTTTGTCCTTGAGACCAGCCTTGCCGACTGGCGAGCCTTGTGTCAGCTTATTTTTGGTCGTAAGAGGTTGTCCGTTAGAGGATTTGTTTGAGCTGGCAGCCAGTGATGCAGCAGCGACAGCCAGCTTATTCTTTTGAGGAGGCACCATGTGCGGCTGTGGATATGGCATTGGATGCTTATGATAAGGAGGCACTTGACGCTGAGAGTTCGGCGAATAGTGGTTTTCGTGGCTGTAGCTGGACAGTGGAGTTTGTTGGTCGCAGTTTGGAGAGCTGTGTGAGAATGCCGAATGTAAAGAGGTTTGCGAATATTGATGAACTGGAGAATAGTTCACAGGCGAAGGTTGTTTATAAGACGAAGGCGAATAGTTTCCTGTAGGGCTGGGCGTTGCCATGCTGGTGTTTAGCCTCAAGTTTGTATTTATTTTCTTCGATGGAGTCACATTCGAAGCTGGAGCATAGGGGTTTTTGACGTTGCTTCTGAATGTTGGCGGCGTTGGTGGAACCTGTCCAACCGGCTTTGAGGGAGATGTCGAGCTTGGTTGCTGAGGCGTCTTGGTCCTCGTTTGAGGAGCTTCCGGAGCTTTTCTCACAGGAATAAATTTGGTGTTTGTTGGGTCTGTCTCGGCAGCCTGCGCGGTGGGTGGAGGGGGTGGCACCCTTCTAGGTTGCAAATATTTGCCGTCTGTCGTTGAAGAATAGGGTTTGGTAATGTCATTGATAAGCTTGGACGAAGCAGACATGTCACCGTCTCCAAATGGCCCGCCCGAAGATTTGTCTTTGACACCCAAATCTGGACTCACCATTTCTGTGTATGTGTTCAGCACATCAATGACGGCGGTCGGATCATTGGCAACATCCTCAGATGTAATATTGGAGCCTTTCAAAAGTGCCATCCACTCTGGAGGAACGCCCGTCAACTGCCCGCTCGACGGATCGTAACCAACATGAGTCTCATGGGTGACTGTCAGGGGCTTGGAAAACCCCTCCTTGGGACACTTTGCCAGTATACAATCGATCCACATGTTGAGCTCTTTTTCACTTTTCACGGACACAAAGGTCGACCTTGATCTGTGGACTATTTCGAAACAGAAAGTTTTAATCTGGTTCTTAAAACACCCTGAAATGTGAAGCAGGGGAATACGCATCGAGAGCTCCACTTTTTCGTCGTTTTTGTAAAAGTCCAAGCTAGACTCGCTCAAAACAAGAAATTTCTTTGGCCATCTAAAAGAAATCAACCCGTCTTCTTTCACCTGAACCCACCCACTCTTACGGTATATGGTCGCATGGATACGAAGTCGGCTCATTGACAGATCGTTTGGCGTGTTTGCGTTAGACGTGGAGCTTGCTCCCGACGACGCACTCGATTTCTTGCTATGTAGCGAAGCACCCGAGGATGTCAGTAGTTGGGGAGGCTGGGGAGCATGACCGATATCCGTGAACGCGTTTCTGCCCATTGCCTCGGTGGTCATTTTAGACATCGAACTTGTGTGGGTTTAGAACGCGACGAAAGATCGTTTTGGTTTTTCGCTGGTGTTGAGGATTGGTTGTAAAAATCCTGCTTTTTCTGCAAAGCGAGATGGCGATACAGAACAATTGGCCGAAATGACGCTTTTGTCAACAGTAGACGGATACTTGGGAATGAACCTCAAGCAGATAACACTGTGAAAACAAAATGAAAACAATTTTGGTTTAATTTTTGAGAAAGTCTGCTCGAAACACTCGATCTGGAAATATATTTTTGGGAACGCGAATTGCAGCCCAAAGGGGTCCTTTGGAAAAACGAGAATGAGCGACACTCTTAAATGCTAGAACCCGTACCTTAGCAAAGATGTTGCTGTGACATGTCTACGGGGTGCTACAAGCCTGTAGATAGCAGCATGCTCACATACAAGCACTGGTGTTTCGTAATTTTAGCTTCGTTTCAGGCCGTGAAACCGCGTCAGATTTTTCGCGACTCCTGTGCAGTCTGGGCTGTTTTTAACTTATAGGTGTTGTGCATGTACCTCGGCGACTATTGTTCTAAACGTAAAGATGAGGCGGTACACTATCATCACGATGGAAATGTGGTGGAGATTGCAGAATCGAGTAGTATGAAACTTGATCATCGTCATCCTCGTCGTCAGAATAAATGCTAGACTGTAGCGCTTCTTGAGAATGCTGTCCCAAGGAGACGTCCGTGAAAGCCGACGTATAGTTGAACGTGCGCGTTGAACGTGGGGCCGATCCCTCGTCTTCCATTGGATGTTCCATTGGTCTATCCGCGCGAAGCCCAGAAGTAGGGTCTGAAATCAATGAATAGACACCTGTTGAATGCGTCTCTCTGGGGTGTTCCCGCTCTGGCTGCCCATCCTCGTTGGATGTGGACCCCGATCCTTGCTCAATGTCGGCCAATGTTCGTGAGAGATGTCTGTGAAGTCTGCTGCTTCGACGACTCGAAGCATTAAAAGCAGGTATGGAATCTCGCCTGATAGGCACTGTCTGAGATCCCGGGATCACCAGCGAAGCCATCGAATAATTGTCGTCGCTGCCGTTTGTGGATCTGGGCCGTGCAAAGCTAAATTGTCTGTTGAAGTTGAAGTCACTGTGATTATCGAATAAATCGCCTCCAATGTAGACCTCAACAACCGAAGACGGATATCGGATCACAGAGCTGTAACGTGACAGGGATCTTCGTTGGGAAAGTAGGAAGGACTCCTCGCTTATCCTACTCGCGCGACTAATTCTGCTGAATCTGTGATCTAGCGAGCCTAATCTACCTTGGTCAGGTTCTTCTTGTATTTCTTCGGCAAACGTGGTGCATGGAGGATAAAGGTCGAGATCGTCGTCTTTTTGAGCTTCCTTGGGCGATATCTCGCGGTGTGGATCTGTTTTCCTAAAAGGTCCCTTCAAGCTTTCTCGAAGCTTATAGTAAAATCGAGAGACTTTGTGCTCTCTGGAACGTCTTCTATGCTTTATTGGTTTGCCTTGATTATTCAGCTGCTCTAGATATTCCTTCACGGTTGGTGATTTTTCCCCTTCGAAAACATATGGCTCTTCTATGTCCTTCAGCTTCTCCAAGTCCTCCTTTAAATTTTGCAGATACTGCTTGACTTCTTCCCGATCAGCAGTTATCGTGGTTGATCTAAGAGACACCGAGCCCTGAAACATAACAATGGCACTGGTCCCGACTTGCCGAAAAATAGATACAGTGTTTTCTAAACGCCTCTGATAAAAGGGCAGAAATCCTTTTTTTAGGTGTGGGGGTGACCGTCAATTTAAATTGAGTTCTGGTACTCTGCTACTCCAATAAATGGGTGCATCTGTATTCTTCACCTCTTTCAATGAACAGGGGACAAATTTATGAGGCACTCGAAATGAACCTCTGTTTACTGTATTTAAATTTTAACATTTTATAAAAATTAAAAGCGGGACACCACCTTTCCACTCCTATTTGATCTTTTTCTCATCCCATACAAAGAACGTCACCTCCCAAAATGATCGTCAAATACGAGACCGACAAGGTCTGACTAGTCTCATAGCCTTGAATTCATCGCAACTGTTATGATTTTGAAATCGTCGATTACATAATCGATTACAATCCGAGTTTTTAGATTTTGCCTTTACATATCCTGTTGCGGATTCCAGTTTGCATAAAATCAACCAATAATTACACAATCGATCTTTTGATCAAATACTTTGGGCCAAGTACAGGATCAACCATCGTAGAGTCCGATTATACCCAGCTCAGAAAGTTTTCGAGAAAAAGTGGTGCTGTTTTCTTTGCAGTAAGCGAAAAGCAACAGGTACCATTTATCGACGATAGGCATTCTAAATGGACCAAAAGTATTGTTATCATTAATCACAACGCAGTATTCTTACGACAACCTTTTCATCTAAGGAGAGCAGCATTGAACGTTTCACACTCATCAATACATCAAAATAAATCTTGACAGATTGCAAAAACCCCCGCGAAAATGACGTCTAATTTCAATTCCAGTCGATCCAACACAATATCTCCTAATCAACATGTCATATCAGACTACTCAGACCTATATGACGAGTACCTGGTAGATGAAGGCCGTTCGAGGCCTTCTGCAATCAATACCTTTGTGGATCAAAAGGCTAGTGGTGTGCGGTCAGGATCCTCTGATTTCATTCCATATACAAAAGAACAACTCTTGAAGAGAAATCTTTGTGAGACCCTAGGGGATGCAGATGCAACGTCAGATTATGACGAGGAAGAATGTTCGTCCTCAGAGGAAGAGATTTCGACTCTGGATAAAGATCGGATATTGATACCAGAATCATCTCCTGAGTGGCAGCAGAAGGGTGCAGCTCAAATTCTGGAGAAAGTGAGAGCAGCCGATGGAACTTCGGTAACCAGGGTTGTTAGGAAATCTATCAAAGACTTCAAATTAGGAAAAGAGTTAGGTGAAGGCTCCTACTCGACTGTGGTGTTGGGGTCAGATCTATCTACTGGACGTGACTACGCGATCAAAATACTCAATAAAAGACACATAATTAAGGAGAAAAAAGTGAAGTATGTCAATATCGAAAAGAATGCGCTCAACCGATTGGGAAAAGGCCATGGAATCATCCACTTGTTTTATACCTTTCAAGACGAGCAAAATCTTTACTTCGTTCTTGACTACGCCCCAAATGGAGAGCTTTTGTCGCTGATAAAGAAGCATGGTACAATGGATGAGGAGTCCGTTAGGTACTACTCTACTCAGTTAGTTGATGCGATCGATTATATGCATAGAAACGGCGTGATACACCGAGACATCAAACCAGAAAACATCTTGCTGAATGCTGACATGAAAATCAAAATTACAGACTTTGGCACAGCCAGAATATTGGATCCGAACGACAACGGGGTTTATCCTTCAGACGTGAGAGCTAACTCTTTTGTGGGCACCGCTGAATACGTTTCTCCAGAATTGCTGAATGACAAATATTGCGGCAAGGCTGCAGACGTTTGGGCTTTGGGTTGCATAATATACCAAATGATTGCTGGAAAACCACCTTTCAAAGCAACCAATGAATACCTCACGTTCCAAAAGGTGCTTAAGCTTCAATACGCTTTCAGTGCTGGATTTCCAATGGTGATCAGAGATTTGGTGAAACGCATTTTGGTTTTGAAGCCTAAGGACAGAATCACAATCCAAGAGATCAAGAAACATTATTTTTTCAAGGATGTTGACTGGGATGACATGCACGCAATCTGGTCAATGCCTCCACCCGAGCTTGGTCCTTACAAAATGTCTGCAAAGTCAATGCTTCCTGTTCCCGAACTGAACAAAAGCACACAAAGTTTATCTCCAGCCGGGACCAAACGGATCGCCAGTGCTGGAAGTAGAAGTGCCTCAACCACCAATATTTTGAACTCTAATAATCTGGCTTCTAGTGCAGCTTCAACTCCCACGAGCACGAATGGAACCATATTTGGTTTGCCAAACCCTATGGAACCAAAGAAGACAAGTTCTTCCCCAGTCTTGCCCACAGAAAAAACACTAAACAATCCTCTATCTACCGCAGCTGCCGTTGCCACGACAAAGAAATTGCTTTCGGAGCCTATCAAAATCCCATACTTAGGAGGCAACAATCAGTCTCAAGGAAGAACGGGTCGTTTTGATGCATCAAAGGCTAATAGCAATCTTCAGTACTCAATTTTGGGATCCAAACAGAATTCAACAACATACAACGGCGTATCTGCTCAGGATGCGGGTGGTAAGTCATCGCCCAAATTGGAAGCACCTCCTGCCTTCAATTCTGCCAGTTTTGCCAGTTCTCCATCCTCAACTCTATCCAGCTATTCAATTCAGCAAAAACAAGGTTCTACACAGAACTTTGACGTGATCCCAGGTACCAACATTCCGAGACCCGTTCTTAATACTCGTATTAACGCGTCGAATAGCTTTCGGAAGACCTCTGGAGCATCGGGATCTAAGTCCAAACAGCCTACTATCACTGGCTTCAAGTCAGAAGACATCCCCCCTATGTCTGTCCTTGACCTCACGTGGGTCAATTTTCTGATTCATCCTGACGAAAGGGTTTTGAAAGCAGGTATTGTGCAAGCTAGCAAGTATTCGACAGAGTCATTTGAAAAGAAATACAAAGGAATGCTAGCAGAATCACCATTGGGCTATAAGAATAAAGAGTTGTTGAACTCTTCAAATCCTGGAATGCTAGGGCAGGCTTCCTCCTTAAGAAAAAAGTCGGTCGCATCTCTCCAAAGTCTAGACAACGCAATTACATTCATTGAGCACGAGACAACAGAAAACCATGAAGATGAGGATTCACCAAAAGATGTCTCTTCAGAAAGAATGACGAAGCTGAAAAACTTGTTTCATAAGACTCCAGCGGATCCAGTCGCAAAGCAACGGACTCTGGTGATTACCACCTTTGGCCGTGCAATGTTGTTTGTGGAAAATCATGATCGCAATAAAGAAAAATACCAGTGCGTCAGTGAGATTGACCTCGTCAATTCCTCAGTGCACTTCAGAGAGGTAATAGGGGACCGAAGATCCAAAAACGCTTCATCGGGTATTTTCGCTATTGTTTCCAATAATGTGAGTTTGGCTTTTGAAGTAGATAAGCAGGATCTTTCTGCTTGGACAAACTCACTAGCTAAGTCCAGGTTTATGCAACAGGAACGACACATTTACATGCTTATTGAAAATGATCCCGCAGGTGACTCAGGTATGGCCACGGGGAACCAAGCTGCCTCTCGTGCAGCCAACATGGCAATGTCCTCTCCGATTGAAACCTCTCCCCGACTTTCTGCTGAGCTGCCTTTTGCATCCTCTCATTCAGATGAAGGTCTTCGAGAATTACCGCCGAGCACGGAATTAGGTCACAATACTACAGGCTCACCAAAGGTGCAACCAGCAAGTAAAGTCAGAAGAAAGCCTCCACCATTGGGAAGTCAGTTCCCAACATCCATGAGGCCCGATACGGAAACCAATTCTGGCAAGTCACAAAGCCAGCAGCGGCCGGATCCAAGCACTAGGAAAGTTTTGTATGAAAATTCTCCGATGATATCTGCAGCTATCAGCAAAGCACTCAAAAACACAACTATCTCCTCTGAGAGTGATTACAACGGGCTATCAAACACTCGAAACTCGAGCTTTACGCATAAGTCTGCTAGCTTGGCTTCTAAAACAGGCAACACGGGCAGCAACAATCATGGCTCGAGTCCACGTTTGGTGACATCCATGAATTCCAAACTTCTCGCTCGAACTACCCGAAAGAAACGTTAATGTATTTTAGTTGAATGTGCATCTATCTTCCCCAGATTTGCCTAGTTTGGTTCTGGTGTCTCGTATTAGCTAGCCATCTAAACTTTGTGACTGCGTTTTTTCAAATTCTGCCACAACAATTGAGGCTGTAAATAAAACAATAGACGTCGTGCGAAAATAAAACACCGCAGTTTTCGACCCTCCCCGGTAGAGCTGAAATATCGCCCGAGGAAGAATTTTGTCTACCGGGCGACAAAGCGGGCTAACATTTTTCTGCCGGTACAGCGCACAAAATTTTTCAGTTCAAGAATTTTCACTTCCTAGCTACTTTTTGTATCTGTGCTTAATCCTAGAACAAGAAGAGAATAGAAATGGCTAAGTTCATCAAAGCAGGCAAAGTCGGTACGTATAGCCAGTGTGATACCTATCAGTTAAAGAGAGGCCGTGTGAATTTCCCAACAGGACGTATTATTCAACACAGTTTTTCAAGACACCACTTTTGATTTGGAACAGCTATATTCAAGTTCGAAAACCTAGTGCTCACTTTCATATGCATGTGTCGTCAGTTTGGGAACATACTCTTTCGTGGTTGATAGGTCGTGTCGTTTAGTACTAACAATTTTAGCCGTTGTGGTCAGAGGCAGATACGCAGGTAAGAAGGTCGTCATTGTGAAACCTCACGATGATGGTACCAAGTCTCACCAATTCCCACACGCTATTGTCGCCGGTGTCGAGAGACAACCACTCAAGGTGACCAAATCCATGGGAAATAAAAAAGTTGCCAAGAGAACCAAGATCAAGCCATTCGTGAAAGTTATTAACTACAACCATTTGATGCCAACCAGATACTCGTTCGAGGTCGAGTCTTTCAAAAACGCTGTTTCTGTGGAGGCTTTGTCCGAGCCATCCCAAAGAGAGGAAGCCAAGAAGGTGATCAAGAAGGCATTTGAAGAGAGACACCAAGCCGGCAAGAACAAGTGGTTCTTCACCAAGCTTGCTTTCTAAACTCATACTAAATAGTTCTTAATCATTGACCTAAAACTGTAATACCTCAGTCGTATACCGCAGAGAGCTTTTCCCGACCTTTAGTCACGGTGTACGGATGTGTACCATGACGTTTTAGGGTCGGCAACCGTTTTGAAAACCGCAATTCTGTCAAGATTTTGTTTATTTTTTTAGGTCTTACATTATTATTACATGATTTGAAACGGAAATTATAGTAGTCGTATTGTTGAGCAATGCGTTTGAAAGCAGCTTCTCATGAAAATTGTAGCCTATCTAAAGCTTTCATACCCGGAGTATGGATTTAATGTACTACTTTCCCGGCTAAGCGTGTTTTAGTGTACAAATCCAAAAAACACAAAAAAACGTTAGACCCAACTGCAGACTGATTAATTTAAAAAAGAAACCAGTTGGATTCTCGGTGTGTGGACAGAAGAAAGTCACGCAAAAATATAGCTTTTTACATAGAAGCTGATTCAAGAGCTTCCTAGAACAGAGAATCCATAATGTCTTCTGTGCTACAGGAGGCCGACCAGACACAAGGGCCAATCGAGTCAATAATTGCGGCTCTCTATGCCAGAATAGAGAGCATTTTACCCATCAAATCTGGCATGAGCGTTTCGCAAATTGAGTCGGACCATAACTACAAGGAGGCCAAAAATCATCTCTGCAAGGTGGCGGATAGCATGTGGATCAACGACATTGCTGCCTGCACGGCAAACACTATTGAACACATCAATCAATTCGACAACAATGTCCCCATAGAGGAAAGAAAACCGACGTCGATTGCATCTTTGGAACTGATACTAGGCTTACTGGTAGACTTCATAAATGTCATATGGAGCAGTCACCACTTGAAAATAGACAGCAACAAAGAAACATCCAGTGAGAACTCGGAGCTTGCAATCTCGCAGGCAAATATCTCGAAGCGATTGTACTTCAAACCCCGCAAGATAGCTCGGCCGATAGCCAAAAGACTAATTTCTCTTCTGGGTGATCTCAAAACCCAAACATGTTGTATACAGGCTGTTCAGATCCTGACGTCAAACCATAGCTATACCGCCAAATTTTCTGAGTATGAGCGCAAAGATATTCAAAGAATTGATGGCTATTGTGATGACATAGTCAAATACCTTGCAGCGAGCAACGCATCGGAATTCTTTGAATTCTTGGAGAACAAATATAGAAGGGTTGGCTTTGAAGCTTTGTTTGTTCCGCGATCCGATTTCATTGGTCTTGCTTACCTGGATTCAGACAATATCATTGCCTATCTAAAGATAGTGAAAAATGTTATCCAGTTAACCACTCGTCAATCACAACAAAACCTTATTCTCTATTGGTCTTCTGAAAGCATATACAACTGGGCAGTCACACGAACCCGTGATTTTCTGAAGAGCACCAAATCGGTGAATGTGAACACACAAGCAGAGTTGCTATTTGACTATGTTTACAAATTCGCCGAAGTCAAAGCGTACTTGCTCTCAGTGTACCGGTTTTTGGCGACGATTCTTCTATTGACTCCAGCTGCATACGAAAGATATCTCGATGAAAGACAATCAAAGTCCTCAACACTGACACTCAAGAGATCTGTTGCGCGTCTTAGCTCAAAACACAAGTTCCTCAATGATCTGACTCAGATCTTCCAGAAAGCCCCTTCCTCAACTGATAGCCTGATTAAGGTCATGCTCGTGGGATCCTCTCTAAGCTTGTACGAACCACATCACCCACTAAGCAAATTTGCCACAAACACCTATGATCAATTGAGGCTTGACTTAAGTATGGATAATATGCAGTATTATCCAAGCAATCTGGAGCCCGAGCTAGTCGATAGCTACAGAATTGAGGTCTATGCTGCTGGCTTTATCCTAAGACCCAAAAAGCTGACTTTGGAAGCAATAGATGCATTTCAAAACTATTCCTCGAAACCAATCTGCTTATCGAATATTACTGGGGGTATCAAAACTCTTGTGAACAAACTCGCAACAGGGAAGTTCTTGTTGGCTTATCTAAAGACCTTGTTTCCTTACATGCTTTCAACTTTGCAGAAGCTGTCGATTCAGAATACCACCTCCTATACGGTACTTGACACGGATTCATTACCAAGTAATGACTCGAATGAGTCTGTGGTTGATATCAGAGACGCTTTGCAACAAAGCATTGCTGCCAGAAAAGCCCAGTCAAAAACGGAACTCTCAACTACACCCACCGCTGAATCGGAAGTGGTCGATTCTTCCGCCTCAACCTCACATGTGCAATCTTCCGCTGCCAAAGAGGTTCCGCCCTCGAGGTATATCCCCACTACCATCCATTCAACCGAGCCAAATTCCACCATGCTGAAGAACGTTTACAGACCGAAGAATTTCTCTTCAAAAGTCATTGCTCCGCTGAAGCACACCCTTTCAACGTCGTCATCCTCTCTTGCGATGGCATCTATATCATCTGCTCCATCATCAGCACCCTCAACATATTCCACCACATCCGGTCCAGTTTCTTCCAAAGACATTAAGGGTGGGAGTTCATCTTCTCGAAGGTCCACACAGTCATCGTCCACTTCGAGTAGTACCACGAGCCACAGCAATGATGATGCACCCCATCTTGTCAAAATGAAAGTTAATGTTCTTGCCACTTCGAGGCAAAGTCTTATAAACATTTTGCAAACTCTCAAATATTGCCCGACAATATTCTTTCATGTTTTGACTCCTGAAGCTGAGAATAGTCTTTCTGTCTTTGAAGAACAGTTTTCTGTGGCGATGGCTCCTATCGTGAAACTCATTTTGGGAGAGGATCCTTATGTCACTAATTCTGTCAGGGAATTTTTGATCAGCTTCCCAAAGAGTGCTGCCAGCAGTATCCAGGAAAACGCCTATATGGGTCATTTGGCGTCGATGGTCATTCTCGATCTAATCTCTAAAATGTGCATCTCCAAGCACACAAATAGGGAAGAGTTGGAAAAAATGCTTTTTCTTTCAACTGAGTTCGCAAGCTTGAGAATGGAATATTTCGACTATAGGAATTTTAGTCTGTCAAACCCATTAATATACGAGTTCCACAAGTCAGGGAAATGCTCCAAATTGTTGCAAAGTTTTGAAAAGGCAGTGTACCTAGGATTATTCTCTGACAATGCAGAAACTCACAGGCAATCGCGCTTTCTGTTAAGCAACTTTTTGCAAATGGTCACAGGAGGCCACCACTTGCCTACCTGTTTCCAGGATACATCGTCCCATTTGGCAAGAGCGATTCTTTCAGATAAGCTACCGTCCGGAACCATGGCAATGAGGAAGAAGTTACGCGATCACTTGGCCAATTTGGAGACCCCAAATGAGATACTTCTTGACATTTGGAATACAATGTACGAGAGACTAAAACTCTCCAGTGCCATTGAGTCAGGATCATTAAAGTCCTCATCATCGACGTCTAATCTTGATCAGGTTCAATACGAAGATTATGCAGACTACCTGGCATCATTGGGTGGGATCTTAATGTCCCCAGATTTCGAAGGCGATCCTCGTCACTATGTTTTTCAGGAGAAGCTGAGGAAATTTTTGAATTCGAAAGTCATAAATCTTTTCTCATCAGATCCCAAGGAGCGAGAAGAAGCAAGAGAGGTTCTTTGTGTTTCGATGCACCCTTTTCTGTGTGGAATATACTTGGAGTTGCTGACAAAACATTTCTGGAAATTTGAGGCAGCATATGAGAAGAAAGAGTATCACATATGCGAGGTCATGGTGAGTGTTTTGCGGACCATTAGTCAGATTGATTATGAATCCTTGTTTTTCCATACAGGGGAATTCTGCGAACTTAACCTGAAAATCCTGGTCATGATGGATTCTGAGATTGATAATGACTATTCGTTTTTGAAACTGAAGCTCAAGCTTTGCAAACTGCAATCATCATTTCTGCCTCGTCTTGATGACTTATCTCTTAACGGGAACATCCTGAGGAAAAATCAATATGCCAAAATTATTGCAAACTACCTTGAAAACTCATTCAACTATCGTTTCATCCAAGAGAAAGAGGATGAAAACAAGCGGGTTTTGAGATTTGAGTACAAACCTACGAACGCAAATACGTCTAGAACCCAGAAGGTTTTGCAACAAGACCTGAACGATATTCACTACGACATAAAAGTTGAGACGTCGTTGATACTGAAAATCATTCTATTTGGCCTTCCCCTGGATGCTTCTAATGGTGGTATGCATGGAAGAGTTCACGGGAATTTGGCAAACGAAGTGGCATTTAGCAATTATTTCAACTTGTTCGTGAGAATTCTCGAGCACCTTGATGTTTCCGATCAACCTCAAGGAATGAATATGGCAGATCGTCATAGATCTTCTATCATCGTCAAAAACATTATTCAGGCACTCATCAATTTGTTGAAATCAAATTCTGACCTTGGTCTCAAACACTCTCTTCCATTGGGATATCACGAAAACATCTTATTGAGATCGTCTTTCTTGAATGTCTTTACAAGCATTGTAAAGAATCTTAGCATTCAAATGAACGCAGATTCAGATTCCCAACGAAAGGAAATAATGACAGAAGGCCTTGGTCTCGTGGCAATCGACAGATTACTCTTGTATTCGTGTACTCAGGTCTGCCCTACTTCGGAGGTTGACGATTTTGCCAAATCCCTGCTTACACTGACAAACGATAAGGAACTAGAGCTTTCAATGATCACGTCCTTACTTCGTGCGGATATACTTGACACAAGTGATTATGTCGAGATTTTGAGATCGAACACCGTGGCTACTCGAATGGTCGCTCTTTACTCTCATAGAGTTGCCAAAAACTATCTGGTGAGTATTCTCAGGCCGATTTTTCATCAACTGCAAAACTCTGGCGAGTACTTTGAAATTGAAAAAATCAGCGTAGACGACGAGAGTTGTGAGGAGAATTTGCGTCTTTTTATGAAATACTTCACGATGATAGTTGACGCCATAACAAACTCTGTGGATCAGATCCCAAAAGGTTTAAGACTGATATCGAAAACGATTTATGACACCACTTCCATCACGTTTCCAGAGTCCAAGCTTTCAGTGTTGGGAGCCTTTTTATTCCTTAGACTATTCAATCCGGCGATCGTTTCTCCAGAAGGCTTGAATATTTTGCCGCTGATGTCCGTTCCGATGAAGCGCTCATTAATGCAAATTGCGCGTATATTACAGTTACTTGCCAATGAAAGCTCCATTTCTGTTAAGATTCCACTTCTGCAAACTAAGATTGAAGAGTTAAAGGAGCAAAAAGCCAAGATCAACAAGTTCATGGTGGAGGTAACTAATATCTCGGATGCTGCATTGCTCTCAGACGATTCGGAGAACCTCATTGATGACGGCAGTATTGAAACCGAATACAGCTTCTTTCACAACTTTTTATACGACCACTGGCTTGATGTTCGCATGATATATTCTAAACCGTCGCCTATATTTGACGTCCCCATGGAGGAGCGTTTCGTTATGATTAGAGAAATTGATAGCTTCCTTTCGAGATCAGGAGTTCCGAAAAGGATCACCGTCTATGAGATTCCAGAATCCATCAAAAAAGACCAGTCTGAACGAGGTGTCCAGCTTTACGATTTTATGTCGCAAGTTTCCTTGCCCGACAGACAATTCAAACCTATGATCAAGGAATCTATTACAAGGGATGGTTTTCCTCTTGTAATCGTGGATATGTTCCAAATCTACCGTGAAGAAGAGAAGCCCTCACCCGAAATTTTGTGCTACCAGTTATTTTTGACAAGCAGCAAATACTGGGAGAACCCTTACTGCATCCTATTCGATTGCACTGCGTACAATAACGACACTCTACTGAGTCCAGTGCTGGACTTGATGTTCACTCTCCTAGCTGAAAAATACAGGAAAAATTTGAAACGATTATATTTCTTCAATGTTTCTCACAGGTACTTGAATTCACTCAAGGAAGCAAAACATCATTTTGAAAATGCGAATATGCTGTCCGATTGCGAAGTTTTTTTTGTTAGCGCAAATGAAGACGAGAAGGCCTTCGCTAAACAGGGTCTTATTTATTACACCAATGCCGTGACTAAGGATGCTAGGGTCACTTTCCATGACGTGAGTCTTTATCAGGAGAGCGTCAAACGATTCATTCCCGTGAAGCTGAAGATTGGAAACAAATTCCTTCAAATCTTCTCTGCTCAACCTCAAAGACTAAAATTTGGTCAGAAAATGAAAACATTGTACCTAGTTGATATTTACCAGATTACGACATTGTCAACAATGAGTCCGTCTAATTTCACGGGGGTTGCAAACGAAATGTCTACAACAGATACTTTGACAGATTTTAGACTCATATTGACATCTACCAAAAAGGCTGAAATTATGCGCACAATCTACTTCTCAAAATCGAAGTACTCGACAGAAGTCCTGGACAATGAAGAGGACAGAAATATTGAAAAGTCAATAGGAAAACTTCTTAACATAACATTGACGGGTCTTCTTTCTCAATATGATGAGGTTAGAAACGCTGCGTTCCGCTTGCTCACAGCCATGACGGACTGTTTCAGACTATCAGTTGGAAAGAAGATTGTTAGCAGCGATGCAATGGAATTCCCGTATGGTGATGTACAGTATATCTTTGCTCTGTCTGACCAGCTTGCCGCCAATCACCCACAGCTGACATACGACTTCTTGTCTGGATTTTTTGACACCCTTGAGTATTGTCAGGAGCAAGAGCAAGATGCATATGTCATATACACTTCGCCATGGATCAAAAACATATTCATACACGTTTATTCAGCTGATTCTATTAAAGGCCCAAGAAGAACTTCCGATTTGATTCGAAAATTTGTCAGAGCAAGCCGAAAGTCCAAATCGACGACGCTTGCATTCGCCCTATATATTTGGGGAGAGTTGTGCTTGGAGGATCGGCTAGTGGAAATTGTTATTGATGAAATCATTTCAGCAGCCATTGATCATGAGGCCGAAGGCCACGGCTGGGAGGAGATCACCAAATATTGGCCATTGACGCCTACGGTGGAAATTTGTGGTTTACTGATTCACAGACTTCGAGAGAGGTCATACTTCATCAACAATGACGAGTCAGAATTGGAATCTCACACAAGATGGATTGAAACAACGGTTTTGACACGCTTCTTAACGTTTCTTGTGTTTGATTCAATAATTTTTGTTCAGATGTATATCAGTGACATTTTCTACCTCGTCACGATATACATGGACCAAGGGCCATTAGAGTTTCGCACATCCATTCTCCGTCTGGTCATGAGAGCACTTCATTCGTTTTTATCGAGGGAGAATTTAACTCCCGCTCAGATCAAACTGATTCGGGAGAAAATAGAGCTTTTTGAAGGAGCAAGATTTCGGATGTTATTTGGTTTAACCCGCTATGATGGTATTGCGTCGACCACAACGGAACAAGCGGGAATTGAGATGGTCAATAAATCTCACTCGATTGCCACGGTGACGGAATCTTTGATATCATTCTTGAAAGATCTTTGTGACCCAGCTGATTACGAATTGCATCTAATTAAATGGAATTCTTACGTGCTTAATATTGCATTTTTAGATGAGGCACAACTTCAAGGACGTGCGATGCTGGTGCTGGGAAGTTTAGTCAGGGAAGGTGTCAGCCACAGCATTGTGACAAAATTTCTTAAGGTTTTGGCAGAAATGCTAACAGTCCAAGAGCAGAATATTCAGCAGGACATCGATGACAAACTTTACATGGTGATATGTGTGCTACATTCATTTACAAAACTCACTGAAGGAGTTCCCTCTAGTTCCCCTTTCGCCCCACAATTCTTTTGGATTGGATTCGCTCTATCTTTATCCGACAATGTGATTCTCTATCAGTTTGCGATAAAAATCATGAATGCTGCATTAAAAAAGGTTGCTAGTTATTTGAGTGATTCTGACATAGAGATAAGAGACTACTTATTTGACCATAGGACGGTTTTCGAAGGTTGTTTGGAGGAACTCGAGTCCCTTCATGACATTGACGTTTCGAAAAACCATTTCGATGTTCTGATGACCAGTGTTTGCTCTAAAGGTCTCCAAATTCCATTTGCAACAGATCCTACATTTGGTTTTCTTGAGACACTCTTATCCGCTAGGTATCGAGAAAGCATGAAGTTTGTGAAAAAGTTTGACAGGCAATTTGATCTGAACACAATATCGTATGCATTCTACCTATTTGTTTTTTCTCAAAATGACTCTGAGCTCATGAGTACGCTATACGAATGCGGTATGAGAGACTTTGAGATGGTGAGAATAAGTGATAACTATCATATTCCCAAAGTCTTTCTTGACTTTTGCAATTCAGATACTCCCGACGTTTATGTGAACACGCTCAATTTATGCCGTTGCTTTAACGCTCAAAAAGGTGACGAAACGATCATTTACAAGTGCTTGAAGCTCTACGATATAATCATCGAGAGATACCCTAAAATTGCCTGGCGTGCGTTCAATTTGATGATCAAGACAATAAGAAAAGTAGCCGAGACTTCTACGTCAACAAGGTTATTGCACACCACACTGAATACAATTTCGAGTATGATCACATGTCCGGAATATAATTACAGAAACGCTTATGCACAAGAGCTTCTAATCAAGGTGGACGAGGCTGGTCTTAGCGGAATAAAGGCTTGGGAGTTCATGTACACAGACCGTTCATCAGGGTTTCTTAGTCCTTTGGAGAGCAAGCAAAAATTAAAGAGAAACAAACTCATCAGAATACTGGTGGAGAAGATCACAGCAGCTCACATACACGAAGAATGACTGATGTGATATACGCATCTAAGGTGGCGAATTCATTAATATCTTATATAGAGCGAGTTCACATTGCGCGTCCACTGACAAATAAGTTTTGTCATTTACGAGTTTGTCGCGGTTTCCTTAATATAGTTTCAAACTCGGCTTTCGCAGACTTGTAGATCATCATTGTCGCCCTTGCATCTTCGACAGATGAGTGCTGGCCTAATTGTATCTCAACACCGAGAATCTCCTTGCTGAGCTTTTTCAGTGATGGTGTCTTGCCCGCTGCGTATTTTTTTCTAAAAGGTGTATGTTTCGCAGTATCTCTAATCATGAATCTTGGATGAGAAAGCATCAGGGCATCCAAATCATGGCCCACATCATGTCCCACCAAAATTCTACCATCCAGTAAATCTGAAACCTTTTTTTGGGCTTCTTTGAACGAAACAGCATTCTTCATATGTGCAGGAGTGACACCACTCACATGCGTCCGCCAATCTGTCACCTTTTCGGTCGGATGGACAAAAGTGTCGTAGACAGTTATTCCGTGATAGTTTACCAACGATACCCTAGCCAGGATCGACGATTCTCCTTGTTCTCCGGCCCCTACAAACTCACAGTCCATGGCCAAATATTTGCCGACTTCTTTTTTCCTATGCGAAATGTCCTTTGTGGACTCCGTGATTGTGAGCTTCAACGAGACATCAGATTCTTTATCTGAAACAGATGCTTTGACAGATTTGGAAGTGATAGCAGCAGCCGATCTGGGTCGTTTTTTTGCGATTCCTTTCGTTTCAGCTTTTTGTTTTCGTTGTAGCTGTTTCCAATTCGAAGACAATGAAAAGCCCATTTTGAGCTCTTTGAGTCTGTTCAACGGTAAATATTCGAAAGCTTAACAGTCTGCCAAATTTTAGTATAGCTTAAAATTTACTGTAAGGCTTATAAAAAAATTTCTTAGCACTGCCCTAAAGTCGTCCTGTCTGATTAAAACCCAAACTAATTACGTAACCTATGCAGAAAAACCATTTTCATAATCGACAAAAAGTCACAGGTCTGTTTATTATCTGTATAAGTTATAGATTCTTCTGCGAAAGAGCCGCTTACAACCAACACCAGATCACGAAATTACAAGGGGTAATTTAATACTGAGGTCAGTTGATAAACTTGAATCCTCTGAACAGAGAAGCTCATTGCTCAACAAAACGAATGGGTAGTCAACTATACAATTATCGTTCAGGTCACAATTTACTACTCGTTTAGTTCATCTACAATTCTTAGGGAGCAGGATAACCAATTAGTGCTAGCTTTCTTGTTCTTTTAGTTGGATTTCACTGAAACGCAAAAGGTCTTCATATCACTATGAACACCGCTTCTCAATTTCAACAGAAGCTACAACCACAACAGCAACCACAACAACAATTTCAGTCCCCTTATATTTATCAACAACAACAGCAACCTTTCGCATCTTTGCAGGATGGTTTCATTCAGCGTCAACATCAAAGTCAACCACAGTCGGAAGGTTTGAATCCATCAAGCTTTTTGGCTCAAACCCTATATCAAGGGGGTTACAGACCTCCTAACCAATCGGGCCAACAAACTCAACTTCAGAGCTTGCACCAACAACTTCAACAATTACAACAGCCAGCAACCCCCCAACAACAGCAGCAACAGTTGTTTTCCTTGCCAGGTCATCAAAATCAGTTTCAACAAAGTCAAGCTCAATTGTCAAATGGGCCCCTAGTCTCTCAAACCCAGCTCAACCCTATTCATGTTGATGCTTCCGTGTCAAGTCAAATTCACTGGCAACATCAAATGCAGCTGGCAATTGTTGCGAAGAACTCCAACTTGCCTCATTTCTACGCTCGTCAAGCCGCATCGTCGTCGAGGAAGCTCATAAGCAATCCCGATGTGTCGAGTAAACAAGGATCCTCGCTTGTTGATATTACAAATTCCCTCCTGGCAAGCGTGCAGGAAAGTCAACAAAGCCAAGATCAACAACAATCCAATGAAGGTCTGATGCAACACAAGAAGATGAGCAACGACACTTCAGTTGACGAAGAAGAAGAAGATCAACGCATAAGAATCAAAGAAAACAACACACAACTTTGGACTGCGTTAGATCTTAGTGGTCAGATGATAACGACCATTTCACCTAAGGTATTCCATTATAACTTTCTTAGAAGATTATACCTCAATGGAAACAACTTAAGCAAAGTACCAGAGGCAATTCTACAATTAAAATCTTTACGCGTGCTTGATCTTTCGTTTAACATGTTAACGGAACTTCCAGCCGAGCTAGGAATGCTTTTCAATTTGAAGTATTTATACCTTTTCGGAAATGACTTGAAGGAAGTTCCATATGAATTTGGAAATTTATATCAACTTGAATTTCTGGGAGTGGAAGGAAATAAAAACTTCAACCAGGAATTTGTCAACATTATTGCAAAGAAGGGAACCCGTGGCTTAATAATTCATTTAAGGGATGAAGCTCCACGCTTGCCTCCTCCAGAACCGCGAAAATGGATTGAAATTGGAGATGATGGAGAACCTAATTTAAACCCCGATGAGCAAAGACCGGCCATTGAATGTGATCTTTCTTCCACCGACTCTACTTCGTTTACTTTGATGAGCTACAATACGTTATGTCAGCACTATGCCACTCCGAAATTTTTCAGGTACACTCCATCCTGGGCGCTTGCTTGGGAATACAGAAGGCAGAAACTCACAGAGGAAATCCTTTCTTACAAAACAAACATTATCTGTCTTCAGGAAGTCGAAACCAAAACCTACGAAGAATATTGGGTTCCGTTAATGGAAAGCAATGGTTACAAGTCCGTTTTCCATTGCAAAAGTAGGGCTAGAACTATGAATGATAAGAATGCAAAAAAGGTAGATGGTTGTGCCACCTTTTACCAAACTTCAATGTTCGAGTTAATCGATAAGAAAATCATCGAATATGGAAGAGTGGTAATGACCCAAGACAAATATAAGAAGACTGAGGACATATTCAATAGGTTCATGAACAAGGATAACATTGCTTCCATCTCTATATTGCATCATATACCCACTGGAAATAAGATTGTACTAGCAAACACACATCTTCATTGGGATCCAGAATTCAATGATGTGAAAACAATGCAAGTTGCAGTTCTTTTGGAGGAATTGCGTGTGCTTCTTCTGAAATATGCTAATAGCAAAGACGAGTTAAATAAAATTCCTTTGGTGATATGTGGTGATTTCAATTCTCAGACAGATTCTGCTGTTTATCAACTATTTTCTCAGGGTTCCGTCAAAGAACATTATGATATTAAAGGGAGGGATTACGGAAAGTTCACTTCAGAGGGGTGCACACATCCCTTCCATTTGAAGTCGGCTTATGGGGCAATCAACGAACTTCCATTCACAAATTTCAGTCCTACGTACACAAATGTCATTGAGTATATTTGGTACTCAACGGGAACATTGTCTGTTAGAGGCTTACTAGGAGAAATGGATCCCAATTATGCCAAAAGGGTCATTGGACTTCCAAGTGCAGATTTTGTCTCTGATCACTTACCATTGATATCAAAGTTCGAGTTCAAAAAATCCTCTTCGGCGAAGAAAGTCAAGGTTGATTTTCGAGATGGCAGCTATTCGAGAAAGACTTGACTTTAAAACTTTATATATGTTTACGTCTAATGCTATGTAATTAGCTTGTACTCGGGTTTTCTTCTATTCATTATCTTACTGTGAGCAAAAATGACAGTACAATAATTTATCAGAAAGAAAAATCTGGGGAAATATAAACAAGATAATTTGGGAAGTTATTCTTTAATGAAGTAAATGAAGATTCTTACGGGAAATAAAACTTTCAGGCCTGTAAGTCGATTGTTTTCAGTCAACTTGGATAATTCTATCACCAGGAGAAGAAATTGGTTTGATGTCAGTCCTCCAAGGCGACCGACTGGAAACGAGACTATCACCGTGTCTACTTACAACCTTCTTTCACAGCAATACATGTGGCCAGAAGTCTACAATCATATACCCTCAAAATATACAAGCTGGCAATATAGGCTACCTCTGATAAACAGGAACCTTATGGACTTATCACGGCTTGCAGACATAATGTGTTTTCAAGAAATGGAATTCAACGTTTATCAGGAAACGTGGAAACCCTTATTGAAAGATCACGGTTTCGACTCCATTTTCCAAAAGAAGAGGCCCCCCACTTACTGGACGAAAAGCGAAGACCAATTAGATGGTGTGTCCATTTTTGTCAATTCCAACAAGTTTGACCTTCTTAGCTATGAGCCAGTCGATTATTCTGAACACTTCCAAAATCCTGAATATTTCACTCCGACTCAAGACTTAAGAGAACGTGCTATGACAAGAAATACTGTTGCTCTCATTGCAACAGTGAGACACAAGAGAACAGGAACTATCATTTTTGTGACTAACACGCACCTGTATTGGTCTCCTGAGTTCCCCGATGTCAAGGTTTTGCAGGCATACTTGCTGGTTCGTTTACTCAAGAGGACTATGCGAAATCACTATAAAGTAAATGACAATCAGCTAAGTGAGATCATGCGTCAGGGACAAGCTAGTGTCCTTTTGGTTGGAGATTTCAACTCCACTCCTGATTCCATGGTTTATGAGTTTTTACAAAATGGCTCGCTGAACATCGCTAAAGACACTCGGTTCAATTATGATTATGGCAAGCTTGAGGGTGCTATATTGAAAACTGGTCTTCTAGAATTTGAGTCCCAGTACAAATCACTGGTTCATTCCTCTGAATTCCAATGCCGTGAGCATAGTCAGCCTTTCAAAAGATTTATCGACTATATCTGGGTGAACAAATACAGCAAAACTCTGACACCTATTAGAGTTCTCGGAGACATAGATATCGACTATGTGGATGAGTTTTCATGGTTCCCTAATGAATCTTATCCAAGCGATCATCTTCCTATGCTAGCTCAGTTTGGAATTAAGTAATATACAATGCACACATCATAAGTGCGCACATTACGATACCATCATTACTATAGAAATTTGTTTTTTAATGGTAGATTTCAACAAGCCTATTTGGAACTGTTCAATCACCATATTGCTAATTATGGTACCGATGTCATCAGAAGCGTGTTCTCGAGTCTTCGAATGCGAGAGACATTGAAGATTGTTCTCGAAATGATACTTGGCATGATTATTCTCGGAAATTATACAATACTTACAAGTCTATGGAATCATTTACCCCGGAATAGAAATGCAGACTTAGATTTTTCGTGTGTGCGAGAAAATCAAATTTTCCGGTGGCCCAAATTCGATGTTGATGCTTGATCTAAAATTTCGATAAGATACTTTCTCGGAATGGTATTAAAAAAAATCAAAGACGAACTTGGTCCCAGTTTATATTTTACGGAAAGGCAAACACGGAGGTCAAAATCCACAGCTAGTCCGTCAAAACTACAGACTGTTGACAAAACTGATGATTCAAAGGACAGATTTGAATTGGAGTGCAAACAAATGTTAAGCATTACACCGCCATCAAGCGAGCATCACGATGTAATGAAAAGCAAGCGTAGAAGAATTCAAATCAAGACCGAGAGCGACTCAAAGGATCTGGCCGCAACAGTCAAGATCAAAAAGCAGCGCGTATCTAGAATTACCCCCAAAGAAACTTTACCCACGCAGCCTCCACCGCATTTTTGGCCGATGTACAACGAGATTAAGAAAATGAGAAGCAGAATTAAAGCACCTGTTGATGAAATGGGTTGTGCAAATGTCGCGACTACAGTTTCTGGTCTATCGGAGGGAAAAGTTTACAGATTTCAGTGTTTAGTATCATTGATGCTTTCTTCTCAAACTAAAGATGAGGTCAACTTTCAGGTGATGAAAAAATTACAGGACTACTTCATCTCTAAAGGCTACAAACAAGGATTGTCGCTGGAGGCCATACTGGACATCGACGAGCTCGTTTTGGATCAGCTAATTTATAAAGTTGGTTTTCATCGAAGAAAAGCGACATATATTAAACAAACGGCTAACATTCTTCATGAAAAATACAATGGGGAGATCCCGCGAACGATTGAAGAAATCACTTCATTTCCTGGTGTCGGTCCAAAGATGGGATTCTTGTTGTTGCAAATAGCCTGGAATATCAATACTGGTATTGGAGTGGACACACATATGCAACGAATGGCAAAAATATTCAAGTGGATACCTGCAAGCAAAAATATGGACCCCGAATATGTAAGGCGATGTTTTGAAAGTATGCTTGCAGATCACAGAGAGGAATGGTCAAGAATTAATCCCATTCTAGTTGGGTTTGGCCAAGTTGTTTGTCTTCCTCAAAGACCACGATGTGATGTTTGCACTTTGTCAAGGACAGGTATTTGCCCTGCAGTCGATAAAGCTTTGTTGAAAAAGACTGATACTGACAAAAAAAATGGTATTAAAATCAATTCGAAAAGCAGAGGCGATCTTTCCAATTTGATCAAAGACATCGAGGATTTACATTAAGATTAGCTTAACTCCGTTTGTTCACTCCCTATAGTTTTGTGACAATTATATTTTCAAACACTACTTGGACACTTGGAAAAGCGCTGAGTAACTCATTATTAGAGAACATGGCTAAACGATAGCTACTAATCATTCTAGACAAAGTCTGAACTGATGTTTCATACAACAATTCATTACTCCTCGTCGATGGTATGCCCCCAGGACTAAGCTATTCTTGGGTTACGACCTAGCCTCTTGAAGCACTGACGGGTAGTCTCGTTCTAAGCTTTCATTAATAAATCATTTTCTGAATTGTTGCTACCAGACCGACAACATTTGAAAAATTACTCAAAATACCCCAAAGATGTCAAGCGTGTAAGAATCTTAATAGATTCCCCAGGATATTGCTGAATTCTATAAGCTCAAGATCCTTGCTTTCTGTCACTAATAAAACATCAAGATTGGTCCCATATGAAAATGTCTTGTTAATTTGTGTCCTTACTCAAGCCTTTCAATTCGAACACAAGAAATCTTTGCCTTGCAATAATATTGTCCATCATACTCACTTAAAATGCTGTCAAAAGAATATCACACTTTTTGAGGATGAGTAGACGGAATAAAGCGAAAAGGGGAATAAATATCACAAACCTGTATATCAGAAATATACTATCTTGAACATCGCATTGTGACTATGATGTGTGTTTTTGTAGTCATGGGGCGATCTATTGCAGGTTTGTAACGCATTGCCTTCCTTGGTTTTCTCCGTGGTACCAATTAGAGTTGTCTTAGCACTAAGGCGTTCTTTGCACAGCCCTGGATCATTTGTATGCAGTCCGCATTACAAGCTGAATCGCTCTCAGAATAGTACCTAAGGGATCACAGAAAGATACTTCAACATCTGCAAGCTCATCATCTTCGTCAAAGAGGTTGTTATCAATAATGTTCGCCAGATAAGTAGAGCTTGGACGATTATCTCCACCGGCTGTCACCTTGTCAAGAATGTGCGTATCCGGTGTATATTCAAATGAAATGTGGTTCCCGTTACTGAGTAGCTTTTGAGATACTGCCCTGAGTCAGGATAAAGTCGTAGTTTTGGTAGTTCCGGATTGATTATGTCGTCCTAAGGGCATTCTTAAACGGTTTTTGAGTATCTTTTTGAGTATTCTCAGTGTTTGGCGAGCTCTCTGGAAATGGAAATGGCTCCAGTAAAGACAGAAGAGGGGTGGAACATAGCCGATGGGCAGAGGCATCAGTATCAAAATTTCTTTGAGCTGAGAACTCTATCAACAATTTAGGTTACTCAAAGTGGGCCGAATGCCGTCGAATCATAAACGTGTGATAAATAAAACTCATAATATCATCATCTGGTATCCCTTTCTTGTAGATAGATCCTCTTTGCTTGCTTTTGGGGTTGGCTTCTTGTAGTCAATCATGGAACAAATTGAGGCTTGTTAAAATGAATCCTTATCGTCAACCTCCACATTGACAGTAGCAAAAGTATTACAAATTGAACAAGCTTCTATTCCTCTATTCAGATCTTTATTATAGTCTGAGATAGTTTCACCTTTTGAGCGGAAAATTTCCACCTTGTCCTAGTGCTCCTTACTAACGATCGGCGTTGGCATAAATATTCCTGAAGCTCTTTTGGTTCGCTAGCATACTGAAGTGGTCAGCCGGTTGCCTATATTTACAAAGTTCTAAAAGTATTTTTCTTGGCATGCTTTCGTTTCCTAGTCATATTATACTCCTTTCGAAGATGCTTCCTCTACACAAATGTTTACAATTTTTATCCACCAGATCCGTAATCCGCATAGATATTAAGATACTCTTTTTTGAGAGCACTTCAGAGTACAATTGTTCTTCAAGAGTCAAGGTAATGGATCATTGCACTCTAAGAATATTCGAATAGTATATTTGCCAGCGAATCTTATTAATCGTACACAAGCATTTCTTTATTTCTATGATGATAGTTCTCCATCGCATGATCTTTAGACGATTTCTTGACCTCTTGAGCAAGTTTCTTTCCCAACTCACCTTTCTCGTTCTTTCGCTTTTCCTGTTCATACCGATCTTTCGCAGCATTGGCAGCAAGCTCTTTCGCGCTTAGTCCATTTGTTTCATTTTCTGTAACACTCCCCAACCGTTGCCCTTTATGTTTAGCAGCCTTTGCTCCAACTTGGTTTTGACAAGGGGACAATTTTTCTGCTTTGCTCTTTTGTGCCTCCTTTGATCCACATAGTCCCATCTTGGTAAACAATATTCAAGTCTAGTACAAAGTGGGCACAAATCTTGTTGATGCTTGCTAATAAAGTACTATTCAGCACGGGGCTCGAATACCGCTTATTATAACCCGTCTTCTACAGCAAAAAGTAGTCAGTATTATAAGGATAATATTTGAAATTCGGGAATTGAGCGGAGTAGATAGTATAGTATATACAAATAAATTAAATGGTAAATTTCTCTATTAATTGACCTTCAAATCGATGTGGTGGTCCTTGACAAAAAATTGCAGTTGATCCAATGGTAGATTGTCAGCATCTATCTTTCGAATGTTGTTGAAGATGTGAGAGTAAGCAGCATTGAGTTTCGTGTCCTCTCGCTGATAGGAATAGTAGTTAGATGAATTTGCAAAGTATGGTGAACATTTTTTCCAAAGCTTGAAGTACAAATCAACTTTTTCTTCCGATACCATTTTAGAGTTGATTGTTGCATCTCTGATAGCAAGCCAGTCTGCATTGGCGATCTTTCTGTAGCCCATGGATGCATTTGCTGAAAAGAGCTTTTGTACTAATATGATGATTTCAGAGGCCTTCAAAGTCAATGAACCAGAAGCCTTCAAACAGCAACGATAAAAAACATTGGTTTTTGGGAAATTATATAGGTCTGCTGCTTTGACAATAGTGTGGAAGACCTCGCTATTACTCCAACATGAGGAGTTTGTCAGTAAACAATTGAAAAATGGCTCATCCATAGACTTGACCTTTGAATAAGTTTTGATTACCTGTTTAAGATGTTTGATACCATCAGGTGTGCATCGTGGGTATTTTGAAAAGAAAATTTTGAAAAAGAGATCATTAAGCGATGATGACATGGAAGAGTTTGATCGATGGTGTATCTCGTTATATTCCCACGTTCGTTCCCAGATATTCTGGACCAAGTTCAAATCATTAGTTGTTTGCCAGAGTTTGACCATGTATGGCTTAACGTAATTCACTTGCAGAGGAGTAGGGTAAGGTAATTGGCCTTTCGCAGCGCTCTCAAAAAACATACTTGAAGTTGCAATATCGGGCGAATAAGCAATAAATGAAAGATGCGCATTCGTCATATAACTCAGCATTTTTGGTGTTGGTACTTTATTCATATGTTCACATTCTTTGCAAACATCGGATGTTATTCGCTGGAACAATTCTCCGGCGACACTCGTTTCACCTTTCACAAGGCAAGCTTTAATCATTCCAACTACTAAGTCCGGGTGAATATCATTTTCCCCTTTATTCGACTTCGCTTTTCTGACTTTAATATGGTCATACAAATCTCTGACCTCTTGCATATCAAAATCACCCGTATCCACCAAGAACTGGATGACGCTACCTAAAACTGGTTCTGAATCAAATATTGGTTTCAGTCTGTTATTAGACTTTCCTTGCTCCCAGAATTGGACAGCTTCCTCCACAAAATCCAAGTCCTTGTAAGCTTTGAAGATGTTGGATATACCTGCGGGACTGACGTGAAGGGTCGGAAACCTCAATATTTCGTCTGTTATTTTTCTCAACGCTTTTATCAAGTACACTTTCGTACTTTTTAGTGAGTGATGCAAGTCGTTGTCTAAATTCTTATTTTGCTTGGCCAACTCGTATCTGTATATTCTTAATCCATTTCTTAAAAGAGATATCAAGCTGTCCATCCTTTCTTCCCTTAATTCTCCTGTATGAATAAGATTATCATACAAAGGCATTATTTTATGAATACTTTGCCAAAATCCTTCAACTCCTCCAATCACTTCTCCAGTCTTACTGTCGTATGTACAATTTTGAGACGTGCATTCGTCGAATGCCACCAATTGTTTGTAATATGGAAGTGACTTTTTTGGCAAGTGAGAGATCATGTTTTTGAGTTTTGGAAGAAGTTCATCGAGGTTGCCAGTGTTGGTACCATTCTCGAATGCTATAACAGAAGACTCTCTGGTATGTGCCGAATATCTTCTCACAGCGGTGGTACATACCTTTATGAGCCAACGTGATCTCGGTATCATAAGAGAATTTAGTACGTGAAAATATTTATTGCAGTTTTTTTCGTTTATGGAGTTAAAAATTGAACGAAGTCGTTTTTTGTTTAAGGTTTGTTATTTTGAGATTAAGCTCACCATATTGCATTTTTAAATTGTTAAGTGCTCTACTAAAACTTGAAGATATTGCCACGTTGAAATGGCGTCATTACCCCCACTGACAGAATCTCTTGTCCCTTTTTTAGATCCCTACCTGCCACAAATAAATCGTACGGTTTCACTAGACAAAGCCGAGACTGATGAGAATCCTCCTTTTATTACTTTAACATTTGCTCAATCCATCGATTCAAGGATAAGTAGCTCCCCAGGTGTCAGAACTTCGATTTCACACTTAGAAACTAAAACTATGACCCATTATCTGCGATCGAAGCACGACGCTTTACTCGTGGGAATCGGTACTTTCCTGGCAGATGATCCAAAACTCAACTGTCGCTTCAGAGTAAATCATAACGGCATGGATCATTTGATAAGACCCGTGATTATTGACCCCACATTTAAATTGGGCTCTTTTTATGAAGGGTCCAAGCTCAGACAAGTCTCCTTAGATAGCAAAGGTCTTCCACCGATTGTTGTAGTGAAGCTGTCAAAAATCAGATCAAACCCCGAAATCGAGAGCTTTTGCATCCAGCATGATATTGTGCTGCTTCCGTTGGAGGGTGAGCTAGCGTCTAAGTTTCAATGGATTGAAGTGTTTAAAGAATTAAAGAAGCGATCCATCAGATCAATAATGGTTGAAGGGGGCGCATCGGTAATTAACAGCTTGCTCTCATCCAGAGACTCAAGAAGTGGACAGCCTCTGATTGACTCATTAATAGTAACCATCAGTCCGATTTTTCTAGGCAAATCAGGAGTTGAAGTCTCTCCATGTAAAGAGCTCCGCCTTTCAGACGTGTCTTGGTGGACGGGAGTGCAGGATTCCGTGATATGTAGTCACTTGAACTGATAATATGTCTCAAGATTTATTCAAAGCTTCGAATTACAGTACTAAATGCTAAATTGATTAACCTTCGTTCATATTGATGGATGTTTATACAGCGTTGAGCCTCAAAGACAGATTCTATAGGATGCATATCTTCCAGAAGTCTCGGATCTTCTAATTATCTTGACAACTTGTCCACGACGGAGTCCCAAGTATCGAGCAACAGGGTCCTCTCTTTGAATTCTGGGTAACTGAGATTCTTTTAATCTATACCGAGCCAACAATTCTTTCTTCTCCTCGGTTGACAGCCTGATATGTTTAGGAACTAATTCGTGGTGCGTAATGTTGACTATGATATCAGCTTCCTGGAATGTCTCGATTGTGGCTGGTTCCGCAACCGCGATCGCTTTTGTGGCCGAAGGCGTCATGTTCTGTTGGTAAATAAAGATTCCTGTAGCAAAGTTCTTGTCTGCGATATGTTGGCAAAAATTCTTTATGGTAGTTATCCCAACAGAAGGCTCATCGCAAAATTCAACCCATAAAGGCCCCAGATCTCCATATTTCTCCGCAGCTTCTTGAGAAGCATTAGCTTGAAATGACATGAGTTTTCTTTGTGGCATTCCCATGGAATCACATATCTTCTCTCTGAATTGGTCAAGGGATATATCAATTTCCTCTTGCGTTATGTAATACCCGCGGTCTCTCACCATTTCTTTCACAGTCCTGTAAGCCCTCCATAATCGAGAGGTAGTGCGTTCAACGTCATCCATGTTCGGAAGTTTTGTCTCGCAAAAATTGACCACAAACCGTAATATACTCTAACTAGCAAGGGTGACTATGAAATGCCCCGGTCAGATAAATTCCCAAGTCTTGACAAGTATACGAGGCTAACCTTAAGCTAACTAAATTAACCGAAACAAAAAATTCTTTTAGAAATAATTATACATTGTGGTCCGGGTAACTAGATGATCATTCTTCAAAGCTGAAAACTAATTCAGTGTCTGCACTTGTTCTCCAAATTCGAGTTTTGACAGTTAGTAGAGTCATATGAGGGTCTAGCTTTTGGCCTTTACACCATAGTTGAATATTTTTCTCCTGCAATGATTCCGGTAGCTTTTCTCTGACAAATTCACATACTCTTGCTATTCGTAACTGTTGATAAGCATTTAAGCGGTGTGAATCAAAGCCTCCCATACTTTCAGTACTAATCGACGGATGGGGAACAATTAGGAATACAATTTTCGGAGTTTCTTTGACAGTGGCGTAACCAAATAACAAGTACTTGAGAGCCCATAAAGGCATCATCTTCTCGAGTGTTGTGTAGTTATTTTCGATCTCTGATTTTCGAGAACTAAACAAAGCTTTTGTTTCCGTCTTGCCCTTCTCACTTATAACTATAAGAACATCATTGGATTGGGTAACTTCCGGGTTATGATCCACAACGTTTTTGAGCTTGAGTTGACCTGAAGCAACATAGTTTTGTAATTCACTATAGCTGCTCATATTAGCTAATATTTCTGCCTCCGTCAACCTTTTGACATGTTCAGCAGAAGAAGCCTCGTTGTTTGAGGGGGAAGTCGTGCTAGAAGCGGCTGCTTTGTACTTGCTGAAGAATTTTCGTTTCGACTTTTCCTTCTCCACATCAGATGATTTTTCTCCAATGGAGTCGTTGACACTGGCCAGGGAGACGAGGTTCTCTTTGTTGATTACTTTCGATAATACATTCGATGAGTTCGTGGCAGTGCGTTGAACGGTGGTATGATTGCAAGGTAACATCGCATCTCTCGTCTTGAGAGAATCTTTTTCATAATCAGCAAAACCCAGAAATAGGGATTTCAATACCAGCTTTCCAACATTTAGTTTTGTCGATTCTGGGTCAATGTTTTCGTCGTAATCGAATTTGAAATCCTTATACTCCATCTCAAATTCGTCTAGGTAAATATCGCAGCTAGCAAAGTTGAATTCGTCCATAGTGATTACCAATTTTCCCGCTTTCGCATGAGCGCTACACCACATCGGAAGAGATTCCATAGTCTGGATACTCTGAATTAGCTCATCAAATTGTGTATCAATGTCTGTTTCAGCTGATTTGTTTCCATGATCAGATAGATGTATCTCTCTTTTAAGTGAGCAATCTATGACATCAAAAATGTACATTTTTCCACCATCATCCAAAGCGGCCACATGTCGACGATTATTTAGCATTCTGCATTTGATTATTCCATGCTTTCCCCTCAACACCTCAATTGGCCTAGAATTGTAAGGGACAACAGAAACGTAACCATCTGGTAGCTTTTGAAACACAATATCCAGAGGTTTTTTGCCGAACTTGTTCCGTATTGTATTCTGTATTGAATCCTCGTAATCGTCATTGATTATAAACTCAAAGCTTGGGCCTCCATTCAGATTGACTAAATATGACTGCCGTCTGTCGTCTACTTCTGATTCGCTTTCCGAATCTTTCATAGTAAGATTTCTCAAGCCGCTCGTAGTAGCAGATAAGGAGCCCCCAACCTCAAAAATAGGTTTGTGCAATTTCATTTGTGATATCAAAGCATCATCAATGTAATCCAAGTTCTCACTTGATAGTTGACTAGCTATGTCAACATTTTCACCACGGCTGGTTTCGAATGAGTTTCGACTCGTAATATTCAGCATTGACAAATTCCTGTTGAGCTTGATACCTTGGTAGAGCAGCAATTTGTCTGTCTTGGGAATCGTCCAATCAGTGATGTATCCCAAATTATTGCTTGCACTGGAAGCCCAAATAGAATCGCTGGAGCCTGTAATACTAAGAATTCCAGCTTTATCAGAATGTCCATTCTCTTTCAAGTTCAGTCCTGAGTGGAAATTCAAATCTGCGACTGCGGTAGCAATGCCAAGATTTTGATTCATTCTAGAGTTCAAGTAATCCTCGTTGAAAATATCGAAGTCCGACAAGTTAGATGATCGGAGATCCGTCTTCATAAGAAGGCCGTTCTTGTCACCTGAATAGAAAATGTCAAAATCTGATTGCTCCTCCGGTACGTAAAGCGACCAAACAGACGATTCATGTATGTCTAAGTTCCTCATTATCCTGTTCGTCCTTAGGTCCCATAGCTTTATCGTTGCGTCCGACGACCCTGAAAGTATTCCTCGGTCTTTTAGGCATAGACTGCGAACCGCATCTGTATGACCAATAAATGATCTCACTGGTTTTTTTATACACCGTTTGTCAAATAAGTAAATAATTTGCGAAGGGCCTCCAGAAACTATCATATTTCCGTGACAGCCAAGTGTGTACACAGATCTGTTCTCTTCTGTGCTTGTGAAAAATGCTGATTCTTCTTGTTTTACTATGTCCCAAAGTCTAATAGATCTATCGAGACCACCCGAAACAAGTTCATTTTGATTGAAGTCCATCGACTTGACATAGTCATTATGAAACCCCAGAGTTGAAACGACATTTGTCTCATAATTCCAAAGTTTTACTGCTGAATCATGCGAACATGATGCAACTAAAGAGGTCTGCGGAAGGACACACATATCGGTAATCCAATCTAAGTGCAATTGAAGTGACGTTATCATTCTGTAGCAGGTTTTTTGGGGTCTAATATAGTCCATCCCTCGACGAATACTTTCCTCAAGAGACAAGATCACTGGTTCGTTGGTGAGATTATTTTTAATAAAGCTTTTGACTTCAGATGCGGTGAGGTTCAATCGATCAAAGTCGTCATAATCTGGATTTGATTTCGACTCTTCAGTGGGAGAATGCATCAAAATCATGCCATCTCTCCCACCCGAAAACAAAATCTCTCTATTGTGGTCATATTCAAGTGAGTTCACACCTAACGAATGAGTATGATGAGTATCCGAGTCAATGACTGTTGTGTCTAAGATGTAGCTGACAGTGTATTTAGAGTCCTTGAGTGGATGCATTGCAAGACTTGGTAAAATACTCAACTTCTTTACACATAAATTTTCTTGATGTTAACTGAAATGCGCAAGTCGTCTTTAGTTGGCTGAATTGAAAGTTTCGAGCATCAAATTGAAATCTAACATGCATCCAATCTTATAAGCAAATACATTTAGCAATAATTTTTCAGTGTTTGTTGCCACCCCACCAAATGACTTTTTCTCTTTGTCGTGTGGCAGCTCCAACTGTAGTGCAGCAAAAAAACCGAGCCTTCCCGATAAATTTTGAGGTGACACAGAACGATCTCCCTTAGTATACCGTTTTCATTGAAAAGTAGCAAGTCAGAGTTATCGATTAGCTCATAGTTCTATTCGTTTCCGAAAGACGTTGAGCGATCCATTCTTAGTTGGACTATTGCCAAGCATAGGGGGCGAAGCACCACGAAAGCACCCACATCAAACATTCATATTTTATTGTTGTTCGCGATCGCAGACTTGTGATTTCCTTGACCAAAATAGTATAGAAGCTTGAGCTTGAGAGATAATGGGTAATGCACCAGCGAAAGAAACACGTTCTCCATCAGGATCCTTTTCAAAAGACAACGTACCGTCGCCCAAGTCTTTGGTGGGGTTGTCTAAAAGGAAGAAAGAGAGAGATAGGGAAAAACGAAGACAGAAGGAACAGCATATGCTGGATCTAATAGTTCGCTATCAGGAGAACGTAGACGGAGGCTATTTAGCACCATATGGAAACTACAAAGACGGTCTGAGCTACAGAACAGATGTTGTTCGAGAATTGATAATTGAGAGAAAATTGGCTCCATTTTATACACCCTTGGAAGATTTTGACGAACAATGGACAGATGGTGAACTTCTACGCCGGCTTAAGTGCCTTAAGCTGCATGCTCCAACAAGTGAGTTGCTATTAGATGAGGATGAAGATCCAGATGATCATAAAATACACCAAAGTGCTAATTCCATGCGAAGAAAAGAACATAAAGCATTCAAACGTCATCTCTCTGAGATGTCGATAAAGTTTCAGCGAGATGCAGAGTCTCGATTCACCAGAGACAAATCAGTAAGTGAGAGTGGGATCAAGACTTATCCAAACATTCCCTCAGATGACCTTCTTTTGACACTATACCGGAATGCTATTGAATGTCCTATATGTTTTCTTTATTACCCTCCTAACCTCAATTTGTCGCGATGTTGTGTTCAGCCGATATGTACAGAATGTTTTGTTCAACTGAAACGCCTGGACCCACATCCCCCTCATGACGAAGGAGCTGCGCCTAATAGTTCCGATGAATCGGAGAAATATTCTGATGAGCTCATAAGCGAGCCGGTCAATTGTCCTTTTTGCGCAATGTCTGATTTTGGTGTGACTTACTCACCACCCAACCTATGGACTGGTATCGGCGGACGGCCACCGAGGGATTTCAACCTTTTACCCGGCGTGATTCACGAAGATCCAGATACACCCCAAGGTGCCAGTCGTTCTTCAGAATGTCAGAGGAAAGCATCTCTTGGCTATGCAATGACGAAGTCTCACTCTGCATCAGGTACCCCACCCAAAAGGTCTACCACCTTGTCGGAGTATAGGATGAGCCAAGGTCAAAAGAGTTACGAGGATTCAGTATCCATGAACTCTAAAAATAGTGATAATAGTTTTCAGATCAAAAGCCTTGAGATCCCTGACCCTGCTCGGAGAAGAAGAGGTTCTCTGCCTGCCACGGCGCCTGGCGTAATTACAGTGGACCTCATCCGTCCTGATTGGGAACAAAAGTTACTGAACGCGAGATCAAAACTGGCAAGAAGATCTGCTGCTGCAACTGCTTTGCACGCGTCGTCCTTGATCTATGACCAAGATGACTCTCACCGCACGTACACCAGCAGGTTCGAAAGGTCATACCGGAGAATCGACAGTTCAAATGGGAACGATCGCAATAGTCATACAAGCATTGAGGAAAGAATGATAGAAGAAGCCCTCAAACTATCATTGCTTGACGAAGAAGAAAGAAAGCTGAAAGAGCGCTTGAAGAGATAAGGGCCGATTGATGGTTGACGCGTTGTTAAAAATGAATCTACGATATTCTATTGTTTAGCTAACTATTAAAAGAATTGAATTCTGTAAAGTATGTGTATATAATTTTGTGATTGTGAGCTCAGGACGATGAAAATTCAAGGATGTAAACAGTACGGTAATCTTGGCTCTACACCAAAAATATACATCTCAATTGTCACCGTCTTCGAATGGTGTATCTTGGGTTTCTTTCAATCGTCTTATTAGTGAAGTAAATTATGTCATGATGATGTAAGAAATTTCTTGCACTCTTCTCACTACCAATACAAAACTTAAGCTCTTACTTAATTGAACAAAAAAGTAAATTAAGAAATATACCCTTTTACAAATTTTTGGTTCTCTCGAGTACTACTTCTTGACAGCTTATACTTTTCATTTTGAGCCACCGTTTAGTTTCAGGTTATAGTAACGCCCATAAGTTCAGCTGAAATCCGGAGACTTTTTCAGTCAAAATCCCAAATTTTAACGAGCGTTGGTCAATGCAAAATGGAATCCAATTCAATATGGGACATATACTTGTCAGCCAAAAATATACTGCCACTCTATCCCAGGATAGAGAACAGAAGTTTGAGGGAAGAGAATATGAGACTACAACAAGAGCTTAATTCAAAGCCAGGTGATGGAAGTCAAATGCAGATTAATGGAAATGCCCTTACTCCATGTTCAACGTCACATGTTTCGGCTTCACCTATCGCAGTGAAAAGTTATAAAACCTATTGTTGCAAGCAGGAGCTTGCAAAGACTGCCATAGGAGAGGGATATTCATCCGATAGCAACATGAGCAGTTCTAATTTGATAACACCGCCAAGTGACCTTCAAACTAGCGTTCAACCTGCAACGTCTTCTCCAATTACGAATTCAACATTTGTTACACCTATTTCTATGTCTGAAAGCCCCAAACGTGCGCAAAGTAAAAAGACAAGGGAGCTCAATGATATGCTACAACTGAATTTAGATGACTTGTTAGACCTCAGGAACGACAAAACGCTTTTGTGTGAACATGATCCCGACTTATTCAAAAAGTATCCTGGCACACTCTCCAACAATTTAAACCAGCTCAAGTCATCTCCATCCGTTTCATCTCAAAATATGACAGTTTTTTCGCAAAATTTAGAAGGTCTAGGAAGGAATACCTTAGATTCAAAGTCACAGTCTTCCAATACTGAATGGAGTAATTCGAATTCTCTAGCATCCAAACCTAAAGATATCAACGTGAGCAGGCAGACACACGAGAGTCAACAGATTCATTCAGATAGATTTTCTGTCACTCCTCCATCGAAGCCTCTCTCCAAGTGTTTCAATTGTGGGACCACTAAAACCCCTCTTTGGCGAAGAGACTCGCAGGGCAATACTCTCTGTAACGCATGTGGCTTGTTCCAAAAACTCCACGGAACAATGAGACCCTTATCACTTAAAACGGACATCATCAAGAAGCGAAATTCCAAGCGGCAGTCCTTTAGCCAAGTTCAACAAGGAGCTATATTCACCAAGCAATTTGGCATTAGTCCTTCCACCACGACACCGAAACAAAAATTGCCCTTCCAAGGTAGCCCACAAAATTTAACCAGTCCTGAAATGTTTGGAGCACTTCAAACAAGCATTCATTCTGGTATAATTGCCAATCAAAGTGTGATTGTGTCTCAGAACTTCTCTGATTCGCCTAACTATGTTCAAAGGTCTAATATGGACTCATCCTACGAGACTCAGAACTTCTCTAATTTCGGATTACAACCTGGACATTTCTATCAGCCAGGAGGAAATAAACATTCAGTCCCCCCAGTCAACAACAACCGATCAAAAAATGTCCCAATTCTTCCCAAACCGTCAAACAGATTCTCGCAATCACTTTCGAATCCGAATACTCCGTTAGCAACTACTCCTATCGCGCCTCAATCTCCAACGGCTTATTCTCCGACAAACTCAGGATCGCTCCCATACTTCGTCAATCATTCTCAGCCTCAAGACATACCACGATTCAAGAGGCTCAAATCAAGGAGTTGTCTGTCTGCTGTATCAGATGCCTCTCCTCCTCCTTTGGCGCCCATGCCTTCTAACTTGTCCTCCCGACAAGGGTCCATCCCTAACAACCTCTACCACGACATTCAAGCTAAACGAGGTATTGTCAGTCAGGGATTATATACCGATGATGCGTCTGTCCGCTTGAGCTCTGTGGTTGATGGCGAAATCAGCTTTGGAAGACTAAAACTCTACAAACATGGTTCTTATGATCCGTCTATCGTTGACTCTAAAGATGAAAGTTGCACGTTTAAAGATCTTGATTGGTTGAAGTTTGATGTTTAATGGTCTATTAATGCTTTTGAATACAAAAATACCTGTGTATGCTTTGCTGTCTCAGCTTGCAGACCCAATTCTTTAATTGCTATCAAGGAAACAATCTAAATCTAATATTCCGCTTTGAATCTTGCTGCTATTCTTGCTTCGACCATCTATGGTCTTCTTTCTTGTATGTGTAATAAGCTTGGTTCAGCTAGTCTTGTTCCATTTCTATTATCTGAAGTTATGAATAAATATACTTTCTTTCAGCTGGTGCCCGAGTGATTGTTTAAAAAGAGTTTAAAGATCCATAAAACCAGAACGTTAAAATCGTTTTTTTATTTCAATTTTTTTTTGTTTTTTTTGTTTGGAGGGCATCGACACTGAAAGAGTTCTATAAAAAGCTCTAACAATTGAATCTCTCGCCAGGTTGATGGCAACTGTTCTTCACGACTGAATAGATATCCTGAGATGTTCCAAAATACATTCGGGCCAAATGCAAGCAATACAGGTAATCAACACAGTAGTTCGAATATAACACCTTCAGGTTCGAACTGGACCCAAAATAATGGAGTTCTCGTGGAAATCACTGGCTGGACAAATGCTGATGAAAAGGACTTGTCATCTTTCATTCATCGGAAGACAAAGGTCAATATTAAGATCATTCATGCAGATCGTATAACCGGGATTTTGAAAGCGTCGGTGAAAACAGATGGAGATGCGAACACTTTGAGCAAATGCAATGGGATTCGCTTTGCAGGTAATATTCTAAGAATCAAGATTCTGTCTTATTCCAGTACCACATCTGCCGCAGGGGGGAATAGCACTGTGGCATTAATCAAATCTGCTCTTTCTTCAAGGTATGACTCCACATCTAGACTACTCAATTTAGATGGTATACGCAATGACGTTAATACTGAGCTGCGTGGAGTTCTTTCAAACTCTCAAACTGCATCTAAATTCTTTTTGGCGATGTTGAAGATCGCTCTTCAAGAACATTATGAAATTGAATCGTTAAATCTATCCAACAACAACCTGGGAAACAACTCAAGAGAGCTTACTGAAATGGCAGTTTCTTTACCAGGCCTGAAAAATTTGGCATTATCGAATAACAACATCACCAAGCTTGACGCCTTAGAAAAACTGAAAAACAAGTTACCTCACTTACGGGAACTTTGGATAACAGGTAACCCGGTTGATAATCCTACCGCAACTGGGGACATCATCAAAACTTTCCCCCGTCTTATCATATTGAATGGGTTACCAGTGAGAGACGAAAACAAGCTTACCAAATTGCTTTCTTTTCCTATCCCGAATCAGAGTCTGTTTTTTGAATCGTCTGATTTGCAAAGAGTGGCAATACAATTCACTACGACCTACCTCAGGCTATGGGATCATGATCGTATAAGCCTGATCAGCCTATTTTCTCCAGAGTCTCAGTTTTCTTACCACTTCGACACTACTCACATTGTGGATACTCCTATCGGTTCCGTAGATTCTAAGGCAACCAGGGTGCCACAATCCGTCGCCAGTTCCTGGGGCTCATATATTTCCAATTCAAGAAACCTGATGCGGGTTTCCGGACTTAGGCCTCGGATGTCTAAAGTATTTAGAGGTGGAGAGCAAATCACGCAAGCCTTTCGATCACTACCTGGGACAAAGCATGATCTTGAAGAAAATCCCCAAAACTACTCTATCGAGGTTGTTTCAGTGCCTATTCTGAATGCCATGCAAATATCAATTCATGGTGGGTTCAAAGAGGTCTCGCTTCCCGTCGCTACTGGTAAAGATTCTAATTCCAGGCAGGGGAGTCGATTTGGAGCTTCGACCGCAAATTCTCGTTCTACTTTGGAAATGCGCTCTTTCGATAGATCACTTATGGTGATAGCTGGTCCTAATGGATCTTATATTGTCGCTTCTGACATGCTACTACTCAAGCCATTCTCAGGTTCGGGAGCCTGGTACCCAAAAGTTCCCTTCGACTCGCTTCAGTCTTTCTCTACTCCTTCCAATGGACAAACTACAACAAATGCAATAGAAGCAATATCAATCCCATCAGACATCGCAGCGAACTTGAACATCTCACAGCAACAACTTTTATGCAAGGTAATGACAGAAACTAACTTGGTTCTACAATACTCTTTGTTACTTTGCGAGCAAAGTAACTGGGATTACGGGACTGCTTTGATGAATTTCCAAAACTCTAGGTCTCAAATTCCAAGTGAAGCTTTTCATTCATAGTTGACTGACAATATTTTCTTCCCTATATGTACGTAACAAAAGATAGTGGGTAAATTTGAATATAAACTTTAATTTACATTTTCGTAAATAGTTCAATTTCGACGCCAGAAAATCTTGAAGCGCAATGAGTGATGAGCGTACTTGATTATTACTCGGAAGATGTTGTGGCGGCTGAAGAGCCTGAAATTTTAGAGGCTTCAAATCCAGTGTACGTCGATGACTCCTCGTACTCTTGTGAAACAATTCATCCATGTGTCTCATCAGGTATTGCTTATATCCCTAGTCAAGAAAACCTGTCACAACTTGAAAGTCAATTACAATCCAGACAGGTAAAGCATTCCGATGGTGGTGAACCAGACACCTTTGATGACTCGAATTCAGCTCTGGATGAATTTTTGAACAAAGTACGAGAACGCGTAGTTTCGTCAAAACTTGAACGTGAATTAGAAGAGTGGAATTTGATCATTGGAGCCCTGAAGGATAAAAGTGGCTTACTTCGCAATGCATATTTATCGAAGCATACTGAGCTACACCATGATGAACCTGAAATCAGTTTCACTGTTGATTCAGAAACCGTTTCGAAAATTCTTTTATTATTGGAAAAAGTTGAAAAGCTGGAAAACTTGACAGGAGCTGAAAGCAGCCCTATAGAAAGTGGTAGCATTCAATTGCAGCTCAATGTTCTGACTCAAAAAATTCAAGCTTTGCAGACTTACATGTCCCGACAAAGCAAAAAAGTGCCTACCAAAGTAGCAATTACCGATAGCTTGTTCTCGATTGAAAGAGAAAGCTCTTTGCTTAAAAAGATCGATTACCTGTATGAAAGATATGCATCATTGCGCATATATAACTTGGAGAAAGTCAATACTAAATTGAGATCCATTGGCTTAATGGCAAATTCTATTGCTCCTTCAAGCGACTTTCTCAACAATGCAGACAGCGAATTTAATGCGATGCAACGTCAAATCACAGATTGGGAAAACAAGATTTCTGTTATTGAGGCACGCATGGCTGAAAACCGTAAAATGATGGGGGAAAACCAATCTCAAGTGGAAATTTGGATCAAGAAACTAGAAGAAAAGCTAAAGAGCTAATTGTTTGTAGGTTTTATTTTGTTACTATCGTTACCACATCCTGATCGTGTACCAAATGATTTAGACCACATTTCTGGGGAGCCACTCCAAATTTGGATGATGAGCCCCAAACCAGAGCGTACTTGAAGTTTTCTTTCAAATCTTTGTGAATTGAATTGCAAACATCTTCGATTGTGGACTTATTCCGAACAACCAGTGGTTCCGAGAAATCAGGTCTTGCATTCCTCCGCTTTGTGTACAGTCTCAAAAGATTCAAACGATACCATATTTCCTCCACAACATCATCAATTGAAAGTTCCATTTCGCAAGACATCACTGTGGTATTCGGCTCCCGTGCAATTCTATCCACCTCCTCCAGCGAAACGGCATCAATTTTATTGTAGACGTAAAGACAAGGTGTGTATACCACATGCTTCTCATTGATTACATCAATCAAATCGTCTACAGTGGCATCTTTATCCTTCAGTGTAACATCTGCGTTGTGTATTCTGTATTCCTTCAGTATGGAGGACACAAGCTTTTCATCTAAATGGGATGGAGGGTTTAATGAAATCAATTTTATACCCCCCGATTGTTTGTATTTTATCATGATGTCAGGCTTGATTTTGTTCAGTCTGATCCCAATGGCCTCGAGTTCCTTTTCTAGATTCTCGCGCTGATCAGAACCTTTAGTTGCATCAAGGACCATCAAAATTAAATCTGCAGTTTTCGCGGTTGCGACAACTTGTCTTCCTCTACCTTTTCCCTCACTCGCTCCTTTTATTATTCCAGGTAAGTCGACAATCTGGATTTCAGCTCCTTCATAATGTAAAACACCAGGAACAGAAGTCAATGTTGTGAATTCGTATGCTGCAGCTGCTGACTGAGTTTTTGTAACTTTTGATAAAAAGGAAGATTTTCCCACAGATGGGTAACCAATCAAGCAGACTCGAGCATCTCCACTTTTGCTTACCTCGAATCCTTGACCTCTGCTGCCTTGGTTGGAAGAACCATCTGGATCCAAGAGCATTCTTCTATACTTTGCTAACTTTCCTTTTAACAGCCCTAGATGATATTCAGTTGCTTTATTCTTTTGAGTTCTCGACATTTCATCTTGAATCTCCTTTATCTTTTCCGATATATTCACCATTTTGTTAAGCTAAAAATCTCCAGAGTATTAAGTCTCAGAAATAGTTTGTTTATTCATGAAAATCACAAAAAAAAAACTCTAAATCCTTTTTCGTATCTATTATTTACTATCAGGAGCCATCTTTTGAAGCCATCTTTTATTGATATTGTCTGGCGTCTCAAGACACTCCAGCTGTTCGATCCGTGTGTAGGATTGTTTCCTTGGCGCACTGCAAGTATTCGAACCATGTTTTGACATTTCTTCACTTGGTTCGATAACATGTCTCATCGTGGTAATAATAGTGAATTTGGCTCTAAAATCTACCCATAACTGGCTAAATTTTGCAAGCTGGATTTTGTCTGAGGTAGAACACTTTAACCACACAACGCTATTGTCGAATTCGCAGTCATACAAGACTAAAGGAAGAGGGCTGGCAATTGCATAATTTGGACGGCCTGGAAAGAGTTCGACATCAAGGAGCTTTCTCACTATTTCAGGTTTTTCCAGTTCTTGGCCCACCAAAAACAGAATGGACATCATGGATCTCACTTGATGCCAAAGAAATGCTGATCCCTTGAGACTGAAAACGTAGGTCTCTTGTCCCAAATCTGTTTTTTCTATCGACGAGGATATGATTTTCCGTTTGTAGTTGATAATCTGTTTGGATCCATCTACCTTGCAGAAGTTACGGAAATCATGCTCACCAATAAAATAAGATGCTGCCTGTTGCATCATCTCAATGTTTAAATTTGCCTTCTCAAAGAAGTATTTGTAATGTCTGGAAAGGCAGGAAAACCTAGCATCAAATCCTTCTGGTGGTCTCAAGCAAATGGAATGGATTCTTATATCTTCGGGGAGAACTTTGTTGAGGATTTTAACATAATCAAGTTCTCTTGCGTCGTTGAGTGGATTTGCCATCTCGTCTTCGGTCAAAGTCGACCTCACAGTCAAAGAAATCACCTGATTCATTGCACTGACACCTTTGTCAGTCCTGCCACATCTGCTGAAATCACAGTCAGTCGGGTTTAAATTGCGGATTAGCTTTGTTTTCTCTAAAGCTTTCAATATAAATAGTTCTACTGTTGGGACGTTCGATGTATTATTTTGATAGGCGAGTCCATGATAATTCCACCCCAAATACGAAAATTTCAGAGCTATTCTTCGCTGATTGTACTTGGAAAAATCAAATTCTCTTCTCTGCCTTTTAGCACTTTTGGAAAGGTGATCACAACTACTTGAAATTAGATGAGCAGATTTGATTATATTAGCACCTGATTCATATTCTTTTATGCGTTTGATTAATGCATCTTTGGTCCATGTGCTGTAATCCGGCATCTCGGACATCTGAAGTGCTACTAAAATATGAAACCGTTCTTGTCGACAAAGTGTTGGTTTTGATCTTTGGCGATAATGAATGCGAATAGAGCTAAATCTTTTCATATGACGAAGTCAGAAAAAGGTAGCAGCTTTTCCCACTTGACTCTTTTGCTTCAAATTCTTTGCATATGAAGGCACAATTGAAAATGACGAGATCACTTTTATTGGCCACCTTTCTCGACCCAATAAGTAAAGAAACCTTCAAAAAAAAAAAAAAAAAAAAAAAAAAATTGAGGTGAAAAAAAAAACATGGTGAAATCTTATTTGCTTTAAGATCAACTTTTCTCATAATTAGGCTCCTCTATATGGCGGCAGAAAATAAGCTGACGTGGGACTCCTTGCCTTACCAAATACTTCCCTGGCTTCGGGAAGCTTTGGTCACAAGGGGTTACGAGAATATGACTCCTGTGCAGGCCTCAGTAATCCCTTTGTTCTCTGGAAACAAGGATGTTGTGGTACAAGCTGTGACGGGTTCCGGTAAAACACTGGCATTTGTAATTCCAGTGTTGGAGAAATTATGTCATTTCCTACGTGAAGAGTCAGCATTCAAAAGAGGGCATTTTGGATCCTTGATTATATGTCCTACTAAAGAGCTAGCATTTCAAATAGAAGCGGTCATCAATAATCTCGTTGAATTATGCCCTGACAGCGATTATCAACTGAAAACTCAAGCTGTCCTTGGGGGTGTGGGATCTGTATCGACAGATGTACAGAATTTCTTGAAATCTCGAGCGCAAATTATCATCGCGACTCCAGGGAGAGCATTGGAATTTTTACAACAATCTGTGGTAAAGTCCTCCAGTTGTCAAGTTTTAGTTTTGGATGAAGCTGACCGTTTACTTGATCACGATTTCAATTCAGAAATGTCCTTGATTGCCAAAATTTTGCCTCGACAGAAAAGGGTGGGAATGTTTTCTGCAACTATGTCTGCAGTGATCGATGATGTGTTCAAGCTTGGTATGACCAATCCTGTTCGTATCACTGTGAAATCTGATCACTTAAGCAAGAAGCTGGTACCCTCAAAGCTAAAGTTGTTTTATAGCATTGTTCCAGCCGATGAAAAAATAGGGCTTCTCTTCCATATGCTGGAATCTTATCAATTCAAAAGGGCTATTGTTTATTTTCCCACATGTGTGTGTGTTTCTCACTTCTATTTGTTACTCAATCATCTCTTGTCCTGTTTGAAAAAGAAAGTCGAAGATTACGAAGTTATGAAACTATATTCCTTGCACGGCAAGCTGCAGCTGGAAACTAGGATAAAAACGCTGTCTCGCTTCTCTGGGGTCTCAGAATGTAAGAACGTGCTGCTCAGTACGGATGTTGCGGCTAGAGGATTAGATATACCGGATGTCGATCTCGTTATACAACTCGATCCCCCTACAGACCCTGACGTATTTGTCCACAGATGTGGGCGGGCGGGTCGTGCTGGAAAAACAGGCACTGCTGTGGTGTTCTTGACTCCAGGCCTTGAAGAAAGCTACGTTGAATTCATGGGTCTGAGGAATGTCGAGTTACACCATCTTAGCCATGCTCATTACAATCCTCAAAAATTTGAATGGATTGATATGGAATCTCGTGCCTGGTTACTTGCTGATAGAGCTAGACATGAGATTGCGACAAAAGCGTTTGTGACTTACATCCGACATTACTCTAAACATTCTGCTGCATCTATATTCAGAGTTTCTGCCTTGGACTATTGGAAACTCGCAAAAGGGTTTTCTCTTTTCAGGTTCCCGAAGATGCCAGAAAACAAGTTCATAAATGATTTTCCTGACGGGGGATTTATTGATAAAAGTGTGGATTTTGAAAGGTATTCGTACCTGGGCACTCAGAAGGAGAACGCAAGATTACAAAATATTAATTCATCTTCAAAAGCAATGCAGCTCAATGAAGCAAGGCTCGCTGTAAATGCACGGAAGGAAAAGAACTTACCTTGGAGCAAGAGGTCGAAGTCTAATTCTAACGAAAGTCAGTCGTCGTTAAGCTCCAAGGAACGGAAAGTTAAGGAACGGTTATTGTTACCGGATGATGGAATTCAAGAGATACAGGATGATTGGAAAGACCTCGTGAGGGCCAATAAGAGACGAAAGGCCAGCGAAATTACGGGTGTTTTTGATGAATTATGATTAGAGGTTTCGTATGCCTAAGTACATATCAAATGTTAATAATATCCCTCAGGTCTGAAGGAGGGTCGTATTTAAGAGCCTCTTTCCAAAATTTAGATAGATGTCTGCTTCCTGAGTCACAGGCAACAAAAACAATGGTATCCCCTTTTTTAGCCTTCGTAAAAGCTATTCTTGCCGCAGCTACTGCATTCACGCAAGAACTCGATCCCAAAAAAAGGCCCTCATTCTCGTTGAGATAGCGAGCCATCAAAATCGCTTGTTTGTCGCTGACCTTCTCGGCCGCATCGATATAGGATTCCCCCTGTGAGAAATTCTTGGTAATTCTGTTTAGTCCAATCCCTTCCACTAGAGTGTCAACTTGGTGCCTTCTTCTGGTTCCTTCTTTCTCGACGGTGTCATACATGATACCATACTGAACTCTGTTGAAAAGGCCAGACCCTTGGGGATCTGCTAGAATTGTCTTTATTGAGTTATTTTTTTGTTTGAAAAATATTGAACAACCTGCAATCGTGCCACCCGTCCCTGCCCCTGAAACAAAAAAATCTAGCTTTCCTTCAGTTTGCTCCCATATCTCTTTTGCGGTCGTTTCATAGTGAACTTTCCAGTTGCATTCATTCTCGAATTGATTTGCAAATACAGCGTTATTACTGGAACTGGGATCACTAGCTATTCTATCGGCTCCACTTTTTGCTGCATTTACATATTGATTTGGATCAACAATTGATGCCGGTTTCACTTTTTCAATAACAGCTCCATACATTCGTAGGAGATTTACTTTCTCATCCGATGTGTCATCAGGTAAGCATATATGCGCTGTGTAGCCCAAGGATTTACAAAGCATAGCTATTGAAATGCCCGTAGACCCCGATGTCCCTTCGAAAATGACGTCGCCCCTGTTGGGTGTAATCAAGTTTCGATCTTCAAAATCCTTTATAATTGCCAAAGCGACTCTATCTTTGGCTGAGCCCCCTGGGTTGCATAGTTCCATTTTTGCGTAAATCTCACAGCCTGTAGCTTCGGATAGTGAGCGTATTTTGAGAAGAGGTGTATCGCCTATTAAGTCTGCCAAACATTTGGCTATTGCTCGTTTCCGTTTAGACCTCTTGATGTTGTGCAGCCATGGATAGAAAGCCACAATGAGGGATAATATTATTGCTGCGTGAGTCCCTCCATGAATTTGAGGCATTCTAGTTAGCTACACTCAAATTTTATACATGTTACAATTTCTTTCAATCTTTTTTGAATCTAGTCCGATAAAAAATTATTGGTAGACAGATGCCTTCTTTGAAAGAATTGGATTTCTTGGAGTTTCTGAGAAGATGTATGCTGCTGTTTCACATCAGAATCTACGAACTATACAACAAAAGTGATCTGACAAAACAGTTACTGGCTTCGAATTGGTCAAAATGTATAACATTAATATTTACTTATACCTTTATCGCAATCATTACACATCAAATACTCATGCTAATGGGACGCCATCTAGGATTAATATCAAGACATACGGATGTGTTCATTGAAACTCCGACCCATTGCTCACATGTTTACGTTTCTGTCAACGTCATCCAGAATAGACCGAAAAGAGAGCTTTTGAGTCGGCCCATAGTATACTACATCGAATTTGGTCCTGACGATTATGAAGATCCGGATCTAGGAACCACGCTTGGCTTTCTACGCAGGAAACTTTTAGCGCTTTTGCGAGAGAACGAGCTTTTGACTAAGCATAATCAAAAATTGAATTATATCCAATGTGATAAGTTGGAAATCTTCAAAAAGGAGCGCTTGCTAACTGACGATGGAGAATTTCTCTGTAATATGGATGTTAACACAGGCGATAAGCTCACTTGTATTGCCCTGATTTAGCAAGTGATTAGTTAGTTGTTGATCATTAACGAATCAGAAATCCAATTCTTCCCTATTGGGCATTGTAGACAAATTTAAGTAGGGAGAAAGCTCGGCAGACATTATACGATCATTTGAGGTCTCGTTTATTTGGTTTTTCCCGGCAGAAGTTACCTTGGAGTCTTCTGTTCCTTTGATCCAGCTGCTGCTTCCCTTTGCATGTCTCAACCAGTTATAGTTTCCGGCATAAATTTCAAATAATCCCAATCCAAAGTTTCTTATCACTTGTAACAGTAACACCATCAAACAAAGTAGAATTGCACTAGTTATAACTCCGAATGCAACAACAGATTGTCTTCCAGGTAAGTCATGATTAGCTAAACGATAGCGAAGATACACTCTCACAATCTTGAATATTATAAATCCCAACCCAACTGTACAGCACAATGAAAAGAAGGTGGATGTGATTTTCTTTTCCCTTGAAGTGGAGTAATCCGCACCGAAAATAACAAACACCGAGAGGACTAGAGCGGCCAGTGACAAACCAAACTCTGCATCTGTCTTGTCTGGTGCTATAATTAAGGCTTGAAGAAAGTATCCTGGTGCAAAAAATAAAGCCAACAATAAGGCATCCCGATGTAAATTGAACACTGTATTAGCATAGATCATTTTCCTATTGTTACCAATAGTCTCTCCCGTGAATTGTTGAAACTTGTCTTTCAACTTAAACCCAATAGCAAACTGAATGACACATACCAGGCAGGCAAGGATAACTACGGCAATGGATAGGCTTTTGATGTGAACTTTTGCAGCCGCCGTCCCAGACCCGAATGCATCAGTTGTTGAGGTAAACAATTGACTGTATGTGGCAAAGCTAGTGATTGTCGTATTGATCTCATTATACTGAATCCCCGCATAGATCGCCATTGCAGCTAGAAACAAAATGGAAGACGCCAAGTGGTACACATTCCTAGTATATAAAACAATGAAGGTGGTTAGTATCTGATAAATTTCGGCATAGATATAGAGTGCTAAGTATGCACCCATGGCGTATCGCTTTTGTTTGAGGTAGGATCTGTAATACCCATAGATGGCTAACACCGGGTTAAAGTCATCATTTTTTGACTCTATCAGCTTGAAGCTACTGAAAAACAATCCACATATAGTGCACTCAAGTGCAAGAATTATAGCGGCTGATATGGAAGAAGCAAAAAGAAACAGCTTTATCCATGCGTTATCGTTGTCTATCACATTTTCACGGACTTTTCTCCAAAATGTCTTTTCTAGTTCCTTTTCGAGATTGTGCTCTTTCGGGCCATCAAAAGCCATACTCTTCTCCGGAGCTTGCAAACCTGTAAACGAGTAATTATCCACAGATCCTCGTACAAGGAAAGATCCCCTATTTGATGCCGAGCGTGACCTTGAGCCTGATCTCGAAGTGGAAGTCGAACTTCTGCCTGAGCCCAAAATCGATCTGCTTCCAGATCTGTTCGACCTCGTCTGGCTAGTACTTCGAATACTTCTCAAAGTGTTCATTATATAATGAGCGAAAGGGATAATTGATGGAAGAAATTGTAGCTCAAAATAATTTGAAGTACAAAACAAAAGTTACGTTATAAGTTTAAGCTACCTAGGCAGGGTCCAGAATTAATATAGGGAAATCTTTTATGATACTACAGGCTGATGTGATTAGGTAGTCGTATATTATAGCTTCAGTTTCAGTCATAAAAAGTCTAATGCTTCCTGCCATTTATGCGGGTCTTTGTAATTTTTGAAGAATGATCATTCTTATGTTTGGGTACATGAGGCTGACGGTGTAAAGATCCTTTTTTACTTATAAGGAGAACGGGATCGTTTTTCTGCAGTATGCTGTTGATTTCAGTTGCAGGCTTTTCTGGTGAAGGGTTCGATGAACTATGCTGTATATAACTTGAACCGTGCAAGTTTGTTTGTGTACTGCGTTGGTTTGGAAGTTTGTTAAGATGATCACATTTGCTAGTATCCTCATCAGCACTCAACCGATGCTCAGCAGGATTGTTGTACATCCAGTCAATTCGTAGTGACTTAGACTGATTGAGTTTCGCTGGTACTTCTTTGATTGCATCATCGATAGCGGTCTCTTCTCTTCTTTTTGAAAGCAATTCGCGCTCTTTTTCCCACACCTTGGCTCTATTCTTTAGCAGTCTCGGGTTCCAAGACTTCTTGAGGTTGAGGTCGGAAACCATAGGTAAGATTATGTCGCTTGCCTAAGTGAAAAAGAAAAAAACTGTTATTCTTTTAAACAAACGACTTCGGTGACATATATATTTGTAATTAATGTTGCTAGTGTAATAATATAACGTACTCTGTCCCCAACCAACAGGCTACTAATGATAATCAAAATCTGGCATCCATATATTTGAGCGAATATGTAGATATCATCAAGACTACAAAGCAGAATTCACTTTAAAATCCGTGTATTTTGATATTTTTCTTTTGAAGACCGAGCTGCTGGATTAAGAATTCCATTACTTTCAATCTTTGATCTCCTTGTAATTGAATCACCTCCCCTAAATCATCATCTTTCACAATGTTGCCGTTACAGGCAAAGTCTTTTTTCAACACTTTCAGAATCCTCTTCAAATCGTACTCTTCCGGAACCCCTTGAACAGTTGTTAGTGTTTTCCTTCCATTCCTTTGCTGAATGCGAATATGGATATAGTTTGTAGGTTGAGTTTCAGCGTCTCCAGTATCAGCAAAAGGATCTAAATGTTAGCTAGTAAGTTAAAGAGCCTTTGGATTCTAAAGATGAATGAACATTAGATATAAGTGCACTTACCAAAGGATTTGAGGTTTTCAATAGAGCTCATTGATTGAATTGCACTGTAAAAGTTAAATAAAATTTATGTATTCAAAAAATTTTCTGGTTTCTGGAATTCTCAATCGCTCTTTCGGTTTATCAGATAACAGCATATTTTGTTACGCAAGCTATAACCTTGACCAGTTCCTAGTAAGAGATTCCTTTATGTTTTCAAGTACATGCGCATGTTAGGCTACCTCAAATTGACATACTCGCTAACGTTGACAACCACTGTCCTTGAAGAACGCTTGTTAGTGATCCTAACAATTCTTATGGTGTCAAGTAATGGAATCACCTAACGACCTTCGCTTGTTAATAGTGTTAGCTCGATAAATGTAGTAGCGCAACGTGTTTAAGTAATCGCCGTGTTTTTTTCTTTTGAACACCTCACAACTAATCTCAACCTCAATAGAATTCCGCTCTCATATTTAATTCACCGGTAACATAACATAAGAATTATTTAGATTATGCTTAGTTTCGGAGGTCATTCCAATTTGGACATTCAAACAAGCTTGAAAAAGGCCTGCACTGCCGACACGGCAGCCCCCAAAAGAAAACACGTTAGAGCCTGCATCGTTTACACTTGGGACCATAAGTCGTCTCGGGAGTTTTGGCATTGTCTAAAGTTATTGCCTATTCAATCAAATGATACTCAAATATTCAAGACGTTAATAGTCATTCACAAGGTGCTGCAAGAAGGTCACCCTACTTGCTTGATAGGAGGGTACAAAAACATCAGTTGGCTTGAAAGTCTCAGTCGATTCCCCAACAATAGCGCTACCGGAGATTACACAAGACCAATCAAGGAGTACGTCTTCTACCTAGAACAGAAGTTAAGGTTTCATCACGATCATAGAGGTTTCAACGGAATGTTCGAGTATGAAGAATATGTCTCATTGAGAACTGTTAGCGACCCCAACGAAGGTTTTGAATCCATCATGGACTTACTATCACTGCAAGATTCTTTGGACAACCTACAGAGGGTCATATTCTCTTCTATACGACATACTCCAGAATCAGAATGTGTTATTAGCTCTTTGGTTCCGATCATCGCCGAGTCTTACGGAATCTACAAGTTTTTGATTTCAATGCTAAGAGCTTTGTACAAGTCTTCCGAGTCTGAGGAAGTGATCACTCCCTTGAAAGATCGTTTTGATGCTCAACACCACCGTCTTTTTGAGTTTTACGCTGATTGCTCTTCCATCAAGTATCTCACAACTCTCGTTACAATTCCCAAACTACATTCAAGTCCTCCAATTCTTCAAGACGAAGAAGACTCACAAGAGCCCCCGCTAGAACAACAAGGCATCCTGATCAGTAATTCCGAGGAGCACAATGTACCGCGCTCTAGTATTATTCAGTCCCAGCCTACTGGAGCAATGGTTGACTCTTTTGTTAGGCAACAGCAAGAATTGGAAGAACAACAAAGACAGGCTGAGGAGAGAAGGCAAGCTGAACTTCTCGAGCAACAGATGGTGCAGAGAAATCAAGCACGTTTCTGGGAAGAACAGCAAAGGCAACAAGCAGTATCTCAGGAGCTCGCTCAGAGTCAATTATTAGCCGACCAAATGCAACGGCAAGCTCAGGGGAAAATGGCCGAATTGGAACAGGACTTATTGACTCTAGGAGGGCAGCATGAGAGGGACCAATTGATGCTCGAGCAATACGATCAGAGAGTTAAAGTTTTGGAAAACGAGTTGAGGATTGTGACACATACGGCCGAGGAGCAATTGGCAGTCAAGACCTCCCAATGTTCTCATTTGGAGGAACAGATTCAATACTGGAAAAATAAGTATGAATCATTAGCCAAATTGTATTCCCAACTTAGACAAGAGCATTTGAGTCTTCTGGGTAAGTTCAAGGTGGTCCAACAGAAGGCTGCGTCAGCTCAAGAATCTGTGGAAAAACGGGAGAAACTGGAGAAAGATTTGAAAGCAAAAAATATTGAGTTGGCAGACTTGATAAAGGAAAGAGATCATGCAAGGCTTGCTTTGGCTAGGATAAAAGGAAGTGATTCCGAGGAAGTTCAGCTGCTCAAGACGCAACTGAGGGAGATGGAATCTAAGTTAAGATCGCTCGAAGATACTCACTCCCAGAAC